AACTCGCGACGCATAACAGAAATGCTTCCTGCTTCGCATCGCATTAAAAAAAAACTCGCGACGGACTACATAAATGCTGTGCTTTGCACCGCATTAAAAACAATATTTGTAATGAAGAGAGATTTAATGACTAGAAAAATTAAATTTCTCGCCTTCTTCTTTCCAATAATGTAAAACACATTCTATCTATTGTAAAGGGAACATAGCTTCTTTTTAATATAGAAGTGTTATTGTGTCGTCCTAGAAAGTCTTATCAAAAATATTACGATGATCTCTGCTTATTCTGGACTATATATTAACAAGCGCAGAAGTTCATACACCATATGGTATGATCTTGACACCTCGTTGTTTTTAATCAAAATAGCTTTGTCACGTTTCCCATTTCAATTGAACAAGACTCTCATTGAAAGCTTCTGACAGTATTATAATTACCTGAACATTTTCATATGGTGTGCATATCCAAAAAGATTATTGTTCTGAACAATTGATAAATCTCGAGAGAAAAAGGATTTTTTTTGATGTAACAGTTTTTAGATAGGCTGAAAGTTAATCAGATAGTATTGTAAATTCAAATGAACACTTCAAAACATTTCAATTAGTTTTATTCTAAAAAAAACGTACTCTGTATCCATCATACATATGATGCCATTCAAAATTTCCTTAAGAATACAGCTATCAGCTTCTGGTTTTAATTTATTATATTGATTAAAGTTAAGTTCACAGGAAAATGAGAAGGTTCTTCTTCCTAAATGGATCATCTATGAAATTTACTATTCTTATCTCTAATAATTGTAGGTTACTTGTGTGACTCAAGTTTTATTTTTAGAGTATATCATCATATTTAATTAACTTTCTGTTTCTTTTATTTCTACGAAAAACAAACTTTTAATAAGAAATATTTTACAATAGGAACGTATGCAAACAATAATTCGTCATGTGGTGCGTGCAAGTAAACATAAATTAGCTCGTGAAGCTGGACAGTTCGGTTTATTTGGTTGTGATTTTTTACTTGATGAAAATTTCCGTATATGGCTTTTAGAAATAAACGATAATCCCGGTGTTGGGTGAGTTTAATTTATTGAAATAAGACTTGTTGGTTCATTTTTTGTTCTGCTTATTATTATTCAAAGATGGGGCAATCCTCGATTGAATACAACAACAAAACCTTTATTTGAAGAAACACTTGATATTGTTTTTGAATGTTTTGAAAAATTTAAAAACAATGAATCATTATTACCAATAGAATGTTTAAAAAATTATAAACTTATCTATAATGAAGACGACGATGTTGATAGACTTTTACGTGATGATAATCAATTGTTTAGTGATCGTCTATCAATTCGATATGCAACAAAAGATGTATTAGCACGTCCAAGTTTTCATCGAACATTGATACAAACTAATGCAAGTCGAATAATAGCCAATCAAGTTGTTGATAATAATAATAATGTTATCCTTCCATTAGATATCATGACTGATTCAAATTCTTCTGTAGGTGCTGTAATACCTTTGAGGTCAACAAACGCTGATGGAATCCTTACCAGCTCATCTGTAATTGGTACAGCATCAGTAAACTTACATATGTCTACTAAAACTCCTGATACAGATGCAACAATTGAGCCATTGAAACATGAAGATGATATTGCATTAGAACATTTAATGAAATCAAAAAAGGTGGAAAAAAAATCGAAAACAAAACCTTTAATATCCATGTCAACAACGTCGATGAGTAGAGTAAATATTAAAGCCAATAAAATAAGCGTTAAACGAAATCTTTCGACATCGAATACACTTTATATGCAACGGAAAAAACGTCTTGATTTAACGCCAATCATCGTTGATAAGAAACGCTATGTACATCGAAATGGTATCATACCTATTTCGACGGAAACAACTAAGAAAGAAGATAACATACCAAACAATGAAGTTATTCGTCCAGCAGAATTACAAAATGACATTGAGAATCAAGAAAATCAATCAGTTATCACATCAATAACAAATATTATTCCCCTAAAGTTTAGTTCTTAGAATCAATTTATTTTTTTATAATTATTTTTTATTGATGAAAAGACTTTTTTTTTATAATGACAGAAGAAAGAATTGTTTTTAGTCTGTAATTAATGATGCTAATAATAAATCGGTGATATGACGTTCATTTTGAAACGATTGAAAATTTTCTTCTTTCAATAATCGATATGATTCTGATTTCGATGTAGGAGCCAGTTTACGCATGATTGTTGGAATTTGTGTTAACATACTCATATAAGATCTTAATTCTGTTCGAATAGAATTTAGAATTTTTTTATTTTCTTCTTGATATGACGAATTTAAAGCACTATTGATTAATGAAAACGATTGAACATCAAGTTTAGATAGCATATATTTTGCAATCATCATAGCTTCAGAAGAATTTCTAAACATTGACAATATTGTTCTTCACATGGTTTTCTGATATTTGTAAAAATCGAAAGTTCAACGAATAATGAGAAGGAGAAACAAACAAAAGTTTCTATAAAGCTATTCTATTGAATATTTTGAGATTTTTATAACCGTCTAAAAATTCTTGTTCTGAAATATATTTCAATCGAGTAAAAGTGAGATCATAGTAGTTTTCGACTAGACTGTCGCAATAATCTATTGAAAAAGATTTTCAGAAGATAAAAGGCTCCAGTGATTTTTGTCATACAAAGTTTATGCTCATTGAGCTTTCATGGTTAATGAGTCGAGATCAGTAGTATTCTAACTAGAATTTTTTCAATCCGGAAAAAAATAGTCTTTTTCTATAAGTATTCAAAGACAAAGATCTAATATATAATCAGTAAATGACAGAGATCTGTTAAAGTTGATATAAATAGTATGTGTCGAAATGACATAAAGAAAGCAACTAGTTTTACAGAAAAAATTTCAATGATTCTATCAGGTCAATAAGTTACTGGAATTACACTGACGATAATTTTGACTAATTAAGCTTTACGTACCGCTTCGTTTCAATTACAATCTTAAAGAAACGGTAACATATTAAGCGACTTATTTTTAGGGCCATTACAAATAAATATAACTCTATAAATAGGCTCACGAAAGAAGGTGATGGATAAATATCAAGCTGATAAAATTATGTTTTGAATTAATTTTTAAAAGGATACAGTACTGTTTAATATACAATGAAAGCACAGTAAAAGTCAACATAATCTCATTCCTATATATAAAGATGCTTTGTTTGATCTTACGAGTACCATGGTATTAAATTTAAAAAAACATCTGAAAGCTTCAAAAATGAAAATTTTGGATAAATAACTTCAATTATTTTGTTATCGAGAATCTTGCAGTCAAATTTGATCAAACAAGTCTCCTGTCAGTTTTAAACATTCAATTTGATCACTAATTTTATTTTAATAACTTACTCAGCATAGAAATGTACAATCAAGTCTTCTGCAATGAAGTCATCTTCATTTATAAGATGAATAACTACATGTTCAAAAATATTTCCTTTATTAATACGTATATAAACATTTGGTACATGAATAATAGAATTAAATCCAAGATTTGATAACAATTGTCTAAAATGTTCAATAAGATGAATTTTTATTGTTGATTGTAAATTCATTTCCAAACGAAATAATGTATTCAAATAAATAAATGCTTGCTGATATACTAAACTATTCCCTTGCAATTCGAAAAAAAAAGAATTCAAAATATAATTTACTAGAAAACGTAGAACAAACTTGATTCAGTTTCTAATGCATTCAATTTTAATATTCGTTCATTATTCGGTTTAATAAGATCATCCATTGATATGTTCACTGAGCCAATACGAAAAATTTTGTTATCATTATTATTATCATTAGTCAATAAATAAAGTTCTAAATCAATATCTCGATCCAATTCAATTAGTGTTGTTAAAATAAATGTTAGAGATGAACTAGAATTTGAGTTAAAGTTCATTTGTTCATTTAATAATGATTGAAAACTAGTTTTTAAATTGAATAATTTCGTTTTATTTCTATTTTTATCAACAGCAAATAGATATACTGATGATGGTACGATTGTACTAATTAGACAATTATGAAAATTGATTTTAAGGAAAATTTCAACAACAAAAAATCTAAAGATTTTACTTCGTAATATTTTGAGCCTTTACATATAGAAATAAATTAGTTCGATAAATAAACCAATTTATATCGTTCAGTTGAGGGACTGTTGTTGAAATATTTGAATTTTGAATCAAACTTTCTGTTTGTGGCTGTGAATTTTAATTAAAAGAAATTAATGAAGAGAATTCTATGCTTTTATCTTACATTTATACTCAGATCTGTAACGTAATATTTGTTACTTATCTTTTGAATATCACTTTCAATTTGTCTACATTGAAAATATCCTTCATGAACAATAAAATCCGCATTCTAAAACGATTTCTTTTTTATGTTATTTGAATAATATACGATGCAAAAATAAGAATATAAAAATGTCAATCTTTACATCACTGCAATACAATCAATTACTAGAGACAAAAAGGTTTTTTGTTCAGTGCGCAGAAAATATTTTTCTCTATCAGATGGAATTTGTCTATTAAAGATTTCCAATTGAATCGATTTTGGGTCTGAGAAATACATATGGTACGTTGGTTATCGAATATTAAACGCCAGAGGGAAATATCTCGTATCTTTTCGAATGAGTACACAATGCTAATTAGAAAAGTTCAGCTCGAGCGTAGAATTGGGGTGTACTTGAGATAAGATGTACAATTTTCAGACTAGAACGACTTCATCATGAAATTATCCAAAAATAGTTTTTGTTCGATATTTGTCAATAGAATAATGCGCGAACAAAGAGCGATAGTAACAATTTGCTTTTGAATTTATTCATTAAGCAACAACACAGTATATATATTCCAACGTCTTTTTGAATAGAGACGTCATTATTTTTGCATTTGTTGCCCTCTTTGTCTCTTTCAAACTATTCATAATATATTATGGTCATTCAGTGAAATGATGAAGAAAAAATTGACATCCATTTAATCATTTGACACTTCGAATATTTTTACGAGTTGCCACTCAAATTATAATTAAGTGTTTTCTAACATAACTTCTTTGAAAAGTTCAACAAGGCTTGCCTAATTATTATTTTTGAAGAATATTATTTTCAGAAGCTCGTATAAAAATTGCAATTTTGTTCCAAGAATTTCTTCTGTCATTCTGTCTTTTTTTCTAATCTAGGATAAAATAAACCATAGAAAATTCAAAAGAGGAGAACACCTTTCGACTTAGAAGATGATTGAGTGCTGAAATTTAAAGATCGACAGGTTTTTTTGATTTTTTTTTCTACACCGTATAATACTCGAGTGTTTTTCTTACAACAATTTTCTTTCGGAGAATATGTTGTGCAAGAGCAAGACTAGATTGAACGTCAGCATCATCCATTTCAGTGGATAGAAGTTTTTCTTCAGTCTAAAACCAAGAATAATTTATAGAATACTTTCTTTTTTCAATAATCCTACCGACATTATATCCATAATTTGATTCGTTTTGAAAAATATGTATTTGTGAAAAATCAGTTAACATGAAAGAATTTAGATCGAAGTCATTTTTTAAAAATAATATCTGTTTCCATCCTACTTGACTAAAATCATCAATAAGAATATGATCAGCTGTTTCATTAGTGTTGGTGTATGGAATTAACTGAAAATTTTCATCATATTGAAATATTTCAACAGTTTGAATGTCTGCCTTTATAAAAAGAAATAATTGTTCGTTTTCGATTGTATAATATGTTGAAATAGACGTGATTAAATTATTCATTGAAATTTCATGATATATTGTACCGTTATGACATGAAAATATTCGATGATCTCTGCTTGATATAATAACATCGCCCAGAATTAAACGCGTTTTTAGTTGAATTTTATGATTTAAAATATTTATGTCTTGAATATTATCAACAAGTGATATAGGAATAAATTTATTGATACTAAATGAAACAAGTGGACTGGACAAACGATTTAAACAACTATAGTAGACCTAAATAAAAACGAAATAAGTTAGCCAATTGATTTGTTGAAAATCTCTAGTAGTTGTTCAACAAGAAATATAATAAATTTTAGAAGAACGATGAATTACACTAATCGTTTTACGGCATGCAAGAAAATATTTTCGACATTTTCATATTAACGAAAATACGAAGTATATACTTCTGTATCGAATGATGAGTTTATTAGGTTTTATGAAAATTCTTATTAAATTTTTAAGTATCTATAATTTACATTTAGACTTTTTCTATAAGATTCAACAAAATATGACATCGATTAATCAATAATATTGAAATTATCATATTATTGTGCAAGCAGAAAAGAGTTACCATTAGAAATGCGATAAAATTGAGATTTATTGCCAAAGAAGAAATTTAAAAAATATTCTATTACAGTGGTTATCATAAGTTTTCAGTTAAATCTAAAGATTATATAGTGACAACAGATAATACGTAACGTGAGACAATATTTTTTATCTTGATCTTTTCTCATTATAGAAAACTTTCCCTATTTAGTAAAATGAATTTTCTACTTATTGCTATTCGTTCTTTTGCGAACAAAAAAACAAAACAACTTCACTTGAATCAATGTTCGCTTCGTTTTTATATCAATTTCAGTGCCCATTAGCCAATAGTAATTCTCTTGTAAATGACAATAAATATATGTTAAAAGTGAACATTGAATGAATTCAATATTTCTTCCAAAATTTTCTCTTGTATTATCAATTATATAAAATCCATTTTGATTTGTTCCTTCATTTATAAATATACTCAATAATGAATTTATTGAAAGAAATCTCATTGAATCATGAATTGATGATGGCATTGATAATGTATAAACTATATGACATAGCCATGGACGTGATTGTAAAAGAAGAAACATTAAAACTGAACTATTAAATGTAATAAGATGTAAAAGAACAAGTAGACCTTTATCAATCAAGCATGAACCAACAATCGTACATTTATTAAATTTCATTGTCATTGATGGTATTAATGGCTTTTCAATGACATTTATAAATCTTTCCACATTGCTATCATATCCGATTATATCGATTTGAACATAACCATTCTCATTTATTTGAAATCGATGTATACAACCATCATATGCCAAAAAATTCATTATTTCTCTGTTCTTTTAAATAAAAATCCTAGAATGTGCATATTAATCAAAGTTCTATTAGCAAAAAGACCGTTTATGACATTTTATTATTTTTTAAACTTCCTTTTGCCGACACACATACGCATGTAAAAACAAGTAAAAAACATTCATGAGGAAATACGCGTGTATATATATATATATATATATATATGTATAATATGCAATAATAAACAACATTAAGTTTAGTTGTTGTTTTATTCAGCCATTATATTGTCATCATCATCGGTTTCGTCGATACCAGATATATAAAGAATATTGTTACATCGAATGAGTACTTCACCTAATGGACCTTTGTTTTGATCATCAATATATTCAACAGCATTACCTAATTGTACATTCATATATTGATCTACACTAACAAGAACACCTAAATGTAATCAATAAAAAAAAGAGACTATGTTAAAGTGATGCAATTCCTTATCCTATTTACCACTATATGTCATTCCCCATTTCAGACGAATAAGTATTTTCTTTCCAACTAATTCATTAATATATGGTCTTGGATTTAGTGGCGTTTTCATTTGTGTTGCTACTACTGCTGCCATTTTTATTTTTACTTTACTCGCACACAAGAAAAACAATCTGTAAACATATGAAAACAATTCGTTATTGACGGTATTTCGAAGGTGAAAAGATTTTCACCAAAATATTTCTTTTTTTATTAAGTCTTTTTCAAAAGATGTTACAAAAGACGATGTTCGGTGTTTCTTTAAAAAACAAAAAATGAAGAAGCAATGATCAATTATCATCGTGTATCGAATTAGTTTATTCTTCATCTTCACGTTTTTTGAACATGTATGTAACGCAACATTTGCCGCAATAGTTGCGATCAGCATGTCCCGCCATAAATACACCAGCACCGCATTGTTTTGATGGACATTCACGGCGTAGACGACGAATTTTGCCGGTATCTTCAACCTTTTGAATACAAAACATATTTTTGTGTTCAAAATAAATATAAAAATTATTTTCTCTTACTTTATAATATTTAAGTACAGCCAATTTAACTTTCTTTCGTTTGTGTTTATTTTTCTTTGGTGTATTATACGATTTCTTCTTTCGTTTTTTACCACCACCTTCAAGGTCAAGCAAAACGTATAGTGTACTTTCCTCTTCAACACGACATTCATCAAGTGTTAATTCGTCATTTAATGAAATGCCACCTAATGTTAAGCGTTGCTCATCGGCCGGAATACCTAAAAAAAGAAAAAAAGGAATTCATTATATCATGAAAATAGAATTTTATAAGACTTTTCCCTGTCTACCTTCACGTTGTTCAACAAGTTCCTTAACATCATTGATAGTATCATCATGTTGAACATTTAACGTTAATGTTCGATCATCGAGAGTACGTACAAAGATCTGCATGGTTTCTTGTTTTTTTGTTGTCTCCCTTGGCCTCTTCAAATAAATGATATCTAAAATAAAAAATGACTTCAGTGACAAAGTACGAAAAATTCTAAGTGATTATAAATTTGGACCAAAAATATTTGCAAAGCAGATCCTCATTCAATATATAAACAACAAAATTAAATTCTTTTTAGTCTTGTTTGATAGCTGGTCTTGTTCGTATTGAGTTCAATTCTCGATAATTAGCGTCAAGTTGACAAACAAAATCAATTACACCATTTGCAAACGAATCCATGATTGCATGAAATATACATACTAAGAAGACAAAAAATTTGATTTTAACATATGCGAGAATACAATATGACCAAAATAAAATAAATAAAGACCACAATATAAATGCTAAACGACGTTGAAAACTAATATTTGACTCAGTATGAGCATCATTACAATGTTTTGACGATGAATCAAATTGATTTTTATTATAAAATCTAATAAAATAAAGCGAAACTATTTTAATAAAATATGTTTTTAGCTTTTTCTTTTTACTCTTTTAAATGTTTTTCTTTCTGTTCCCAGCGACTTTGAAGCCATTCTCCAATTCCTTCATCGGTTTGAGGTAACGTATCTAGTTCATAACGTTTCACATGAAAATGAATTATACTTGGTATATGACCTTTTAATAAATCAATTTCTGCTTCTGGAATAGCTCCTTCATAGCCAATAGTAACATCATCAATTGCATCAAGAATTTCATCTAAATGAAGAAGAAAACAAAATTAAATTAATTATTATGTTCGATGTCGGTTATTATCGTTTTCAAACTTGATCGCATTGAATTTAATAAAAATTTAAATCCATTAAGACGTGGATGAAGACAATACTCATAAGATCCATTGAAACTTGTTTGTTTGGCAGCATATTCATTACTTTTTATTTTAGTTTGTTCTGTTAAATTTGTTCCTTCAGGAAAAATTAATATCTAAATTCAAATTAACTATTACAGAACAAACTTAAAGAAAATACTTTTCTTTGATAGCAGTAGTAAATTTTTGTGTATAAAAAATTATGAACAAGAAATTAATTTGTATGAATCATTATAGTATTGAATTTTGAAAACTTTTGAGATTTATATAGAAAGAATACATTCACTGCATTACTAATGCAGAAGAGATTACGGAAAATTTCTCATCTCCAAAAATATCGAAGCTTCTATCAATTTATTTTCAATATCGTAATGAACGTGGAGAAGAGGAAATTTGAATGGGCTTACATTTGCTTATATAGATATTCATACTAAAACATCATCATACAAACACAATAGGTACTGATAGATATTGAAAAATCGATGTCAAATAGAGCGGTAAATCAATGCATGACTTTTACTTATAAACAAAAATTTATCGTTATAGAACGATTCAAATGTTCTATTCATGAATGTTTCTGTTATTTAGTGGTAAGAATGTTACATTTGATCGAATTTTTAAAATTCAATAATATATTGATACATACTGACAAAACTTATTTTCAATAGACAGTTCATGCTCGAATGACTATTAATTTATTAGGACAAACTAATATTTAATTTTTGTACATGCTTTCTTGAGCAATATCAATTATTAAAAAATAGATCTTGCTAGATTAAGCATATCATTTATTCTTTCTATTCGATGTATAGGAATAAAGCATAGACTAGCGTATTTCCTTTCATTTTTTAAATATCGAATAGAATAATTTTAAAGAAAAAGTTTTTAATTACGTACAGAAAGAGGCGATTGACATGATTTGTAATAGCCACTAATATTTTTCATTGTTTCTTGATCCTTTTCCCATATACGATCAAGAAATAGATAGCCGGCATGTTGCATAGCCCATCCTTGAGTGAAATTAATCTATGCTTATTTTATTAGAGGTAATAAATACAATCTTACCAGGGCCAGGAATTCTTTTAAGATCAGCTTTAAGAACAATTTTAAGTTGTTTCAATGTTTGAAAACGACTATGTAACATGAAGATAAACATCCAATCAAGTCTTGTACGATGATTCAATACAATTAAGGAACGTTTATTATCTTTGGTTAAATCATCACCGGTAATAACAATCTTTATTCCAAGTAAATCTTCAAGAAGGCACTAAACATATTGATTTGGATGTGTTAAAAAATATAAAATATGCTCGAAAAAAGACCTACAGTCGCCATTAAAAGATAGTAGCCCATAGCAAACGAACACCATCGAAAATATAGACGCCGATTCAAAAATATAAATGGTACAGCAGGTGTTTGAGCAAAAACGAGACCAAAAAAAGCACTGATTGCCAATATTAAATAAAAGATCAGCACTTTTATTGAATTAATTATAGAACACATTTTTAGAAAGTAAAATCTATTTATCTATGTATCATATACAATGGTATATTTGTTTATAAAAATTACTCCTTTTCAACAGAATCTAAAGTTTTTGATTGACCAATCATACGACCTCTTTCTAATGAACTCTTCCTTCTTCGAGAATATGTATGAATATAATTTGTGGAATTATTCATATTTTCTTTTCTTAGATTTTTATTTTGATCATTTAAATAGAAAAAAAATTAAGAATTGAAAAATTATTAATGCATTTGTGAGATAAACTAAAGAGGCGTTAGACTTTTTCATTATTCGTTCGTTGTATTGACTAATCAGATAAGTTTCGATAAAATGTGAGCAAGGCAAGACGAATGACACGTGTTAATACTTTCTTCATTTTTTTCATCATTTGAATTTTTAGTAACATGCGTGCTGTTCTTGTTCTTGTTGTATTTACTTTGATTCATCAAATCTATGGTCATGGCGAACATGGAGGTCCTGGCAGTCAAGCTACAGCTGGACAACCACATGTTGCTCGAAAAATGGAAGATTACGTTCATGATACAGAGTAGGATAATTTGTTTGTTTCCCAAATAATATATATATATACATGAAGTTTGATTTTTAAGACATCTTCGACATGATTTAGAAGGTCAAATAAATAAACCTAAAGAACAAATGACAGCAGAAGAGCAAAATTTTTATTATTTTAAACTGCATGACACAAATAATGATAATCGTTTGGATGGCTTAGAAGTTGTAGCTGCTTTTGATCATGTACATCAAGAAGAAAATAATAAAAATAATGCAACAGCCGAACACACTCCACCACCGGAGCGACTTGGCGATGACGAACTTATGCGTATTGTTGATGATATTTTAAAAGAAGAAGATCTTGATCGAGATGGATATATTAGTTATGAAGAATTTAAGAGAGCAATTGAAGGCAATTCAAATACACAAGGATGATTTAATCAAAACTGAAAATCGAATAGTTGTTTATTGAGATATCAAAATATACATTCCCATCAACGAAAATTTTATTTTGTTGCATTAGTTAGAAAACAAAAAAAGCAACATTCTTTTTTCTATTCCATAATTTTGCTGTCAAAATTTTTCTCATATATCATGTTGATCTGTTGTTTTTGTTATGCTTGATTTTAGCTGCTAAATGTCATTAAAAGCAAAAAAATGAGTTTAAAATATAACGGCAATATATTGATGATTACACTCAGTATTTTGTGTCGTGTTCAAAAAACGTCAGATGAACTTATATGTATTAAAATTCGAAAGTTTTCTCAGAGGAGAATCGGTTGCAACTGATAGCGATGGATTACAAATTTTTGCCTACTTTATTTTGTAACTATAAAACAAGAATGTTTCTGATTTATAAAGAGTTCCATATATTGAGTGAAAACAATGAGTTTGTTGTTTAAAAATTGTTTATTTTATAAGAAATAATTTTGTCAAAAATTTTCTTGAAAAAGTCTATATAATTTTTAAAATCAATAACTATGATCTATTTCGAAATAAAAGAAACATTGCGGTTATCTAACTCACTTTTGGTTGGAAGAAAATAGAAAACAGAGGTTTTGATTATTAAACAGAGTATCGAGTTTATTGAAACGCTTAAGAGACGTTATGATGTACTATGTCCTGTTGACTTTTCTAGTAGTTGATATTCATCGGTAGGTATTCTGAGCATTATAAATGCAGTAGAGATTTTGAAAGCGTTGCTTTTCTTCAAATTTAAGCCACTAGAAAATACAAACGAACAGAGTCAATGATCATCTTTAGTAAATATTTCAATAACTCCAAGCCTACGCTATTCAATAGTCAGAATTGTAACTCGCTGCCTTTTTCATTTCAAAAGATATTTAGGTTCTCTTGAATTTTGTCACAGATAGTAAACATGAAGACATCTATTTTCATCCGATGAACTGTTCCTTTGATAATTCTTTTAAGAAATTTCGAAGACTCAAAAAGTAAAAATTTTCGACAGATTTTTGCACTACCAAGAGAACATATTTGAATGTTTCCTTGTTTCTTAAGAATGGTATTTTCAAGTATTCCATCCTATCAAGATCTCGGTGAATATCATCAATATGACTAGTTTAATTGTTCTTATTTAAATATGCAGAAAAACGAAGGAAGCTTTTCATTTTTCAGTATACTACAGTTATGAGTTACGTAATGTGTTTTCACTGTTATAAACATTTAAAAAATAGACACTTTTTTTGTAAAATACTACAAACTATAATCACGATGCGATATCGAAGACGAGTTTTTCTGTTATGAATAATCCTTTCGTGCCAGTGTTGCTGATCTATAGATCTGTCTGCATTATTAGATGCTATTTTTTATATTTTAACGAGAACAAAACAGCTCTTCTATCTCGCATATAACTCATTTCATGTAGTATTTTACGACAAAAACAATTTCATGTTGAAATTTTCATAATAGTAAACAAGTGATATGCAACTCAAAGACTTCAGTATACTGAAAAATGAAATGGTTTACTTCTCTGTCTTTGTTTTCAGATTTGAATAAAAGCAACTAAAACATTCATATAGATGATATTCATCAAAGTTCTAACAGGATAGAATCGTAAAAAAGCCTGTCTCAGGGAAACAGTCAAACAGGTTCCCTCGTCAATAACTCTTGTGTTATATCTGATTCGAATGAGTGCCACAAAACTGACTTCTTTTTCTAATCGAAAGCAAGCTTTTGTATGTAACTGTTCTCAAAATCTTGTTGTTGATAACGAATATTTGCATTGTCGATAACGTTTATTTATGTAAAGTTTTATCCTGTGAAGATATCTAAAATAGAGCTGTTCACTTGTGTAAGTTATTCGTGAGAAAGTGTATCTATGGCTCCGTTAAAATTGAATACTAGTTCACTTCTTTTGATAATATTTATTTCATACAGTTTATCGTATGTACCACCACGTATGGAAATGAAACGTCTTTCAAATATACCGATTATATCATCATGGGATTCTAATTCAGATTTTTTATATAATTATAATAGTGCTCTCATGCCAACAGTAAATGATTCTAACGCAGTTGCACTGCTAGTTCGTGTACAAAGTTTGCGTAATGATTCAAAAACCATCTACGATGTCGGTCCAAGTAAAATAGCATTGAGTCGAAGTATAGATAATACTTATCTTAAATATACGCATATTAGTCAACAAGATATACTCATCGATAATGATCAAGAATATCAATCAATTGGAACCGAAGATCCTCGTATTGTATTGTTTGGTAATACTTACTATTTGTAAGTAATGGATTAATCATCATCATCAATAGAATTTAATATGTACATGAAAAGTATTGTCAAACGAAATAAAATAATGAGAATATCGATAATTTCAATAGATGTTCACTAGCTGTAGAAATTAATAAGTGCGAATCTACGTGTATGATTCTGAGAAGCTCATTTAATAGAGATAAATAAGTGATTGGAATTTTCTTTTCTCTTACTTACGGAAATAAAGTCTGTTTTCAGTTTCATCAATAATCATTAATTATTAATAAAAACACTTATTTTGTATAGAAGCGGTTCTCATTTCATTGATTTTGTTCTTATCAATACTTTTAGAAAGTAATTTTTATATTTATTAGACTATATACAGCTCTCAGCAGTGACTCACAAGGTATATGGCGTGCTCAACTAGCTTTAGCCACATGTGAACTTAATTGTTTCAGTAAATTAAATTGGAAATATTATGGTCCCATATTTCCGAATGTATTTTGGAGTAAAAGTGGTAGTTTATTGGTTCACAATGAAACTCATCGCTATTTATTTTTCAATGATTCCAATATTGCTATAGCACTTACAAAAGATCTTATTCATTATGATCTTTCATCTAGTTTCCTTCTTAAAACTCGACCTGACCATTTTGATTCAGCACTTGTCGAAGCTGGACCTCAACCTTTAAAATTAAGTGACAATAATTATTTATTTCTTTATAATTCAGCACGACATACAACGATTCCAAATCTGAAACCCAATTGGAATCTCCAATATAATTTAGGTTGGGCAATACTAAATGGAGATGATCCAACACAAGTTTTAGCTAGAAGTGAACAACCAATTTTTTCACCAGAATTAGATTGGGAAAGATGCGATACTCAATCAGGAGAATGGGCCAATCGTGGTCTTACACCACTTGTTATTTTCATTGAAGGATGGAAAAAAACAGATGTAAATAGATTCTTGGTTTGGTATCAAGGATGTGATTCAACGATGGGATTAGCTGAACTTAGAGTATATTTCTCATAAATGAGAATGTTTAAGATATGATTTCTTAATTTTTTTTCATCCTTCGATTACTTTTTTTCATTGTCTAATACATATCTGTTTGAGTTTTATCATTATTTTATTTTTTTAAATATTTGCAATCAAATCTTATCAAGATAGAAGCAGACATAAACTTAAGAGATGCTGAATAAAATGTTTGATTATGATTATGCATGAAATTTAAATCATTGAATATTCTTTGTCTCGATCAAAGTGAAACGTCGTCTATTTTGACAGACATATGCCAAATGAAATCTATTTATCTAAGAACTTTTATTAATTTAATTAGGACAATGCATTAGTAGATCAACAAGGTACCATGTCTATCAGTATGCTCCGTATAATTTTTTTTATAAAACTATTCATATTTACTAGAAACTATGGCATAACTAGAGTCTCATAAGATACCTATGATGATTATTTATCATTTCTTGATCGATTATCAACCAGTTTTTTCATGAACAAATCGTGCACGTGTATACGAATCGATAGTAGGCAAACCTCATATTTGATAATAAAAATATCATTTAGAGATTTGAAAATAGTTGTAATTGCATATTTTTAATTAAATGTCATATAATGCGACAATGAAATCGAAAGAAACAAACCGTACAAACATACACATGCAGAACAAAAAAGAAAACATTTTTTTATCACCTGTTACACAGCTCTTTTTACATTTTCTTTAGAACGAAATCATAGTTTTTATCTTATTTTTTATCCATGATGATACGGATTTTGATGATGATTTATTAAACTGGATGATAAATTATGCATACGCATATTTCTTGCATATTCATCTTCTGTATGTTGATGCTGTTGTGGATATTGAGAATGAAATGACATTGTATTATCCTAAAATTAAAAAACTAAAGTATAAACATCTTGAATTTTATTCATTTTATTTAACTGACCATTGTTGAACGAACATTGAAATCGCACGATGATGGTGGTGGTGGTGGAAATGGTGAATAGAAAACAGCTGCAGCTGCAGCAGCACTAGTAGCTGGATCGGTTGCCATCATAATACTTGTTGGCGACGAAGTTGATGCATTTCCTCGACCATTGAACACTTGATGAAACGATGATGACGATACTGGATTTGTTGAAAATGCTTTTGATGATAGTCGAACAGATGACAACATAGATCCGCTACCTGATGATGATGAATTATGTGATTGTTTACGAGCTTTAGCTCGTCGATTTTGAAACCACACCTTACGAAGAAAAAAGTATTTTTTGTGTTTCTCCATTATATTCAATGTTCATTAGACCCTATATAAATATGATTCAGCATGACATGTGCAAGGAGCTTTTATTACGAAGAGACATGACACCTTAGCTCTGTCTACGCTAAAGAAGTGATCCATATGTCCAAGTTTTGTTTGACTCATTGCCGCTATGATGCTGATTTTTTTTTCATTTTTTCTTTTTCTTTTTCATGAACAGTTGTTCGAGACGACACATCTTGATTCAAATTACAAGAAAAAAGTGAAAAAATGTGCAAGAAAAACGACAGCATAAAAGAGAGAGAGAGGGAAAGAGAGCGCACAAGAGAACGATGGAGATGAAACGTATATCGGATGTGTGAACAAGCAACATCCAATCGGGAAAATAGTACCATCAAATGAACCGTGTTACCATAACAGACGGCATGTGATTTGAGTGGAAAATCGGTGTAAATGGAATCGGAATATACACGCACACAATTTTTATCTAAGCCTCAAGGGAAATAATAAATAGAATACAAGAAAAAACTGAATAGCTATTTGAATTTGACTTTTTTTTAAAAATATCTATACAAATCACTAGTTACCTGTATACGCGCTTCATTTAATTTCGTTGTTCGCGCTAATTCTTCACGTAAATAAATATCAGGATAATGACCTTTCGCAAATGATGATTCAAGTTCAATAATTTGTTCTTGTGTGAATGTAGTTCGATGTCGACGACGAGCTGATGTATGATTACGTTGTTGCGCTTGCTGATGTTGCTCATGTGATTGAATCAGTTGATGATGCGTAAGAGGTATAGTTGTTGTTGTAGATGATGGTGGTGGTGAAATAAATGGATGATTTATGGCTATTCCATCATGTTGTTTTGTGCGTTTAAATGCACCTGCATTTACTAGAAAGAAAAGATGATAACAATATAAAAACAAAGCAGTGTTTCTTCGCTAAATTTTCAAAAAATAGTAATAATTACATGAAGTTATTGTATAGTTGCTATTTTCTAACATTGTCTTGACTTTGTATCGTGCAAATATATCCAGAGAATTCGATTACTGTGGTCTGGTAATCTTTCAACAAGATTGCCTTCTTTTTCTATCTTTTTTGTATCGGTCGGACAGCTCAAGTATTCGTCGTTCAATGAAAAGCGAGAAGAAAAAACTTGCATTGGAAATGAAAAATGACAAGAAGAAAAAGAAGAAAAAGAAAAAAAGATGAATGGTTGCATGGCGGATGTATGCCGTTCAGCAACATGATCAACAACCAATCGACGTGATGTTTCAGACATCATCATCATTTTGATCCTATATGCTTCTACAAATACGTAAAGAAGAAAAAAAAACATACAAGAAGCGTTTAGATTGCAATCAACTATCGATTGTTATTTTGACGGAAAGAGTCAACAGATAAATTATTTATTCAGAGAATCATTTTAGTCTTTTTGGAATATAAAAGTAATAAAGATTTGTCAAGTTGTTTCTACTAAGAAAAATACATTTTTCAACAAACACACTTTACTTTAGAATAGATGTGTTCATAAAAATCGACCTATTCCTAAATAATATTTAGATGAATTTGATTGTAAATGTCATGAGTAACAAAAAATTTTAGTCTCGTTCTAGTTTCTATATTCTTCATCTATCTATCTATCTATCTATATATATATATATAGTTTTTTTCTCTCTTTTCTTTCTATAAGAAGAGTGAAGTGGATCAAAATTAGATTTTTGCACTGACACAGAATTTGATTACTGTAACTGAACACATTAGCAAGTGTGAGAAAAGAAAAGAGAAAAATTATTTCATCAATACTTTTTTATGTCTTTAAAAATTCGAAGTATGGTTTGAAACAAAGAAACTAACTCAAAGGATCGTTTTCATTCTTGTATCAAACAAATTTATGTTGTAAAATATTTTTTAAAAGCATCCAATTATTCTAATATTGAACAGTTATTTCACACACATACATATATATATATATGAGTCAATATTGAATTAGTTGTCATTATAACAATGAAATTAACTAATTTAGATGCAAAGAAAGAAGAAAAAAATGAAAAAAATTCTTTTTTTCCTTCTTTGTAGCTCCTTTTTCTTTCTTTATTCATAGAATAAAATGGCACATACAAATACACAAACGAAATATTTTCACTGTTCAAAGGTAAGACACACACACAAGTTGTTCAAGCTGGATAATGAAGCATTGATGTGTGATCGACACGAAATGATGAGAGACTCTTATTGTACCAGTCAGTATCTTGAAAAGGTAATGGATTATCCTGAAAAATAAGATTAAAAAATCTTTTTTAATCAAAACTTCTTGAGAAAATATTAAACCTGTCGAATGCCAGCACTTGTTAATGGTGAAAATTGTGAGTATCCAACGACTGTTGGTGGATAACGCATTTGATTCGATACAACATTATTTGTATTTGCTGTTGATACGCCTGTCGTAGCATATTGATAAGGTCTTCCCGTTGATGCTTGATAAAAATTTCGCATCATTGCATTACAAGGTGAAATAACTGGTGATAAAGCTTTTTGTAGTTGTTTTTCGTGTTTTCGATATTTAGCTCTTCGATTTTGAAACCAAACCTTTTTTTGCATCAGAAAAAAAAATAGATAGTAGTTATAATAAATATACGAATTTACATTTATTTGTTTTCTTTGTAGTCAATTAAAATATGCACTAGTTAGAAGTGCTGATAAATTCGAGTGAAATTATCAATGTACGAGCTAATCGATAGAATATAACAACGGGCAAAACTTGTCTTTTTCTCTCTCGTGTATTGATGTAGTTTCTTGTCGGTCGACTGCACATACTCATTAGAAATCTATTCTTACGCGACGACAAAGTTTGAACGCTTAATTCAATTATCAAACTATGTCTATGCAGTCAGTTGACTCGTCATCGTCTTTCGTCGTCCACGGTCTGTCTGTATTCTATGCTTCACTCGACATTTCCTCTTATGCTTGTCAATCATAAAAACATCTATGGCAAAATATATACTCTCTATATTTGTGTTCGTCAAGTCTTTATCTTTTTTCTTTCTCCTAGAAAATGAATTTATATCTCTTTTATTTTTACGTCACTCACCTGAATTCGTGCTTCATTTAATTTTGTAATTCGTGCTAATTCTTCACGACAGTAAATATCAGGATAATGACTTTTTCCAAAGGCTGATTCGAGTTCGGCTAATTGTTCTTGTGTGAATGTTGTTCGATGTCGGCGTCGTGCCGGTGTTGGGCATTGACCTCCGGGATTTGATAATGAATGATGTGAGGATTGACTTGAGTTCGTTGAATGTGTTGGAGACACATTATTTGCATGATTATGTGCTGCTGATTGAAGATTTAGTGAAGACGGAGGAATATGTGAATAATGTGGATTATAAGATTGAACATGATATGGATGAGTATTCAATAAAAGTGATTCGTGTTTGATTTTTTTGAATGCTCCACTATCAGAATGACCTTTTAGAAACAGAAAGTATTTTCTGTTTCGACAAGTAATTTATTTTTTATTAGAAAAAGAAAACTAACCTGTTGGATGAGACATAAATTGTAAATTATTATTTGAGGATTGACTAATGATACTGAATGGTGATGTTCCATTTGTTGCTGCTGACGAAGACGACGACGATGATGATGTAGGAGCTTGACATAGTGTTCGATTTAGAGTACAAAAGCTAGCGTAATGGTCATCAGATGTATTTGAAGGTAATTTGAATGATGCTGACATATTTCGTTTTAAATCCGATTCTGTATTATCTGAATTTATTGTATTATTCGTTGCTACAGCAGCAAGACTTGCTGCTGCTAAACCCATAGATGTTAAACCAAGCGTAGTTGTTGTGGATGCCGATGTTGATCCTGATCCATCACAATCATTGGTTACATTAGTCGTACGATTATTAAATGATGATGGTTCTGAATAGGTAGTATTACTTGTCGTAAGTGACGAAGATAATATTCGATTAGTAGTATTATTATCGATTAAGTTTGACATTTTGCGTGTGTATATATGTTGATCAAAATTCAATTATTTGTTATTCATTGATAATGATTGTTATCTTAGTAAAGAGAAAAGCGAATGAGTGTTCGAAATATAATTTGATAGTTTTATTTTTGTGTGTGTTCTTTGTTTTATCTAATCTTTATATATACGTACATATATATTAGATCATAATTATACTATAATGCTAGTTTGTATGACTCTTAATTTAAGGTGACTAATTCTGTTAGATGACAAATCAACACTTATATTAATAATATAGTATTGAAAAAGAGAGACTAGTAAATAATTGATGAAGGCAGTAAGAATATTGACGGCGGTAAAGAGAAGACGCACGTCCGACAACTCGAATGCGAAACGAAGGAGACAACTACGTTAGGAAAGAAGAGGACTCGCAAAAACTTCAGCTAACGAATGAAATTTACTTCCATTAGGCTAATGTTGTTTCCACTCCCTCATTCATGTTCACGAACGGCATAGCTCAGAAGGCTCTTGAGAATCGATGCATTTCTTTTTTTCCTATCTTTCTCTGTCTCTTTCGTCTTGTTTTTTTTCTCTTTTGTTTTGACATCCAATAGAAAAATTGATGAATACATAAGATCCATTATTATTGGTGGAGATATTTAAGTGTAGTAGAGAAAAAAAAACTATCAAGAAACTTATTGCCAGGCTCGTTTGAGAAAAAAAAGAGAAAAAGAAGGAAAGAGAACGACAGAAAACAATAGCTTGTTTTCTAACACAAGTGTGATATTGATGCTCTTGTTCGTCTGAATTATTCGAGCAGATTTCGTGCTCGTTAGGGTGCTTACCGGCTGACCAACGATTCTCAGATGACAACTTCGATGAACAAGTTCCATTAATTGAGTGATTGCCACAAGCGTTTTCTTCTTTTCCTTTTCCTTTTTCTATTTCTGTTCATCTGTCTAGCGCAATGCTAGAGGCAGAAAAGCTAAAAATTCTCTCACTTGTTAGGCCACCTACTGTGTTCGTTTAGTATTGATAGAAACTTCCAAATGTTAACTTCTTTCAACACTAATTCAGTGTACATAAATAAAATAAAATAAATAAAAAAGACCATACATGAAAATTCCATGACATCACTAAATGTGAAAATTGATCATTGATAAGTGAAAGAATTTTTTCTCACTCATTTCTTTACCAAAATAATTCGTGAATTCCAGAAAATGATAATAAAATTTTAAAAATTCATATTTCAAGCTTTATCTTCCGTTATGAGGAAAAAATTGAAAACGTATAAAAAATATAATGAAGATATAGGTAAAAATTGGAATAGTTCATTCGAAACTAAGACAATAATAATCAGCGATGTATGTAATTTATTTTTTATGGTGAAATGCACCGATTTTCTATTACTGAAAGATCCTTGACGAATTATTAATTTAAACGTAGGTACGCACGATGAGTAAAAGAGAGAAAGAAAAACAGATGGAGTTATCGATGATATTTTTCAGCAAAATTTTTAGAACTTGAATATTACAAACAAAAGAAAAACGAGATTTGATTGCAGAGTTGTACACAAATAGTTATTACCTGTGTGAATATTGTTGAGTTCAATAAAGAGATTGATAAAAACAACTAGACAAGGAGAAAATGATGCTATCAACGTAATTGCTTTATTGTAGAGAATCAATTTGTTTTTCAGTAACAATCAGTAGAGCTATGCAGAAACTGTTTGATTTTTGTAATATTATTTTTATTAGCTTATTGTTAGTAACAAATTGGTATCTAAAGATTGCAATGATTTCATTCATAAAGCCATGCTTTGTTAGTTGCTGTTAGAATAAATGTGTCTCTTTCTTTGAAAAAAAACAACAGAATCTTATACGTATGGTTAAATGAGGTGCATACAAATATATAAATGGTTCCATATATTTTCTTTTTCACGAGATGACTATAGATTAATATAAAACGAGAGAGTAATCGTTTCTTAAAAGATACATGTTTGATTCTGATTACTATTGTACTAATGAAGCCTTGTATTGTGTATCTGCTATGGCAACTAGTTAGTCCAATGATCAAACTTGAATTTACTAACAGATTTTTAAACAAATAATCTCATAGTTTTTGACTAACAAATCTATTTTAGTGTTTGACTACCAAACAAGAAAAGCACTGATAGAAAAATATTGTAACTAAATGCCAGATCGATCTGGTGCTGGCTCAGGAAATTGTGGTGCCCGACGAATTTTATCTCGTTTTGGTCTAAAAAGATATTAGAAATCATGTACTTTTTTTCTTATTATTAGAAGTCTATGAAAAAGTTACGTTAATTTGAATAAAGCTGGATGCTCATTGAACATTTGTGATAGTTTTTCAGTTTCCAAACGGAAATCTTTTTTCGTTAATTGTTTCTTGTAGAATCGGTTGTCATAATCACGTTCAATTTGGAATTTAAATACACCATCGCTCTATAATTATATAAACCATATAAAAAGAATGTGAGCGATGATTTTCGATTCGACACTTTTTAGAATTAACTCAAAATTTTCTCACGTTACCTCAGCTTGAGAAAAAACAACTTACGAAAGTATTGTTCAAACTCGTGTCCATAGTTTCAACTTTTACGATATCTAACAGTAGGTCTTGTTGAGATAAAGGAAATTCAAAAGGAGTTAAGTTCTAACGGGTCTTTGGACTTGATTTATGAACGTTCAACTAAAGTTTTAGTCCCAAAATAGACTTAATGATAACCCCAAAAACATTTGAGCCAAGAATAACGTTGTTTATTATTGTATTTTTAAGTAGGCTCAATATTTGCGTCATGCTTTCTGAAGTTGGTTACTTTATTAAATTTAATATATCAACAAAAATTAGATTATTTCCAGCTGAAATCCTCGAGGCGCTTCTACAGGTCATTAGATCTACATATGGAGAGAATTTTCAAGCCATAACTACGGATTTTTGACTTTTGTGGAAGTACTTAATGTTGCATCGCAAAACTGACAAAACGATCATAAATTCTTCGATCTAAAAGGATCTCCTATTTTAATTTCATCAAATTATCTTGGTAGGCTCAATAAAAACTCAAAAAATGAATATTAAATAGTAGCTTTTCTTGAGTAATTTTTATACAAGCATTTATAATCTTAGACAAACTCTTGTGAGTAGTCATTTAAAAACAACCATTAGAGAAACAGTCAAATGCTGTTGTATGTTTTTAATGGCTACAAACCTTAGCAAAACTAGGATCATTTCGATCAATAGGTTTTGTAGATTCATATGGATGTGGTACTTCTGGATGATAACAAACAATGTGATTTGTATCAGGTGCCATAGCAATACATGGATTCGGTAAGTTTACACTAACATTTGACGATGCAAATGCCGAAACAGTTGTTGAGATTCGACGAGGTAACAATCGTAGGCATGTTATTCGATGCATCATCATCATCATCATCATACTCTAATAAAATTAATCTGGAAAAATCGAATTAGACTTTTTATGTTTTCTTTATGCTGAACAAAACGAGATGCATCCAAGTTATATTAAGATAATATGTAGAGAGAGTGAGAGAGGTAGAGACAGAGGTAGAGAGAGAGGTAGAGAGAGAGGTAGAGAGAGAGAGGTAGAGACAGAGGTAGAGATAGAGGTAGAGAGAGAGGTAGAGAGAGAGGTGTGTTATGTTCCCTTTTTAGGTTTTATTTTATTTTATGATATTATATATCAAACAGTGAGATGGTCTCACTGAGATCCTAGCGAAGCATAACTTAACAAGAACTGGTCCGAATATATATACATATATTCGAGATCAAAGAAAAGAAAAGCAAATAAGCAAGAGGAGAAAAAACAAATAACTATGGACCTCTAACATTATATAATAAAGATGTCAGATCCTAACATCCTTCCACAAGCAATCAAGAGTTTTTGTTTACGAAAACTTTTCTTTTCTTTTTCTTGTTTTGATCTGATGCATGAGGTTATCATAAAAAAACAAATATAACGAGAAGAAAACAAAATAAACGAAAGAACGTCATAGACAAGGAAAATCATTTGACATAAATGCACCGGATAGAAAAAAATGTTCAGATATCACTGAGAAGAGAAAATATATATCAGAAAAGGAGAGAAAAAAAACAAAAAATATAACAAGAAGAATATCTAATAATACACATGAAAATAATACAAAAGGTTTTTACTATTTTTGTTTTTTCTTACTGTTTTTATTGTTCACGATGATGTTCATGATGACGATGTTGATATCGATGATAGTGATGTCGACGATCTCGATGATGTTGATGACTATGATGATGTCGACGATCTCGATGATGTTGATGACGATGATGATGTTGATGACGATGATGATGTTGATAATGACGATGATGCTGATGATAATAATTATGCCATGTAAATAATTCTTCAGATAACTGTTGTTGATATTGTTGCTTCAGCATGTCATGTTTAAAACCAATAATTAATAAGACATCGGCGACTTTGACATGTGTATGTTTAATTTGATTTTGACGAAGAATTTCTTTTACTAATTTCATCGTAAATCGATAATAAATATTGTATTGGAGATAATATTGATAACGTCGTATTCGTAATGTATTATTTCTGATGCAGTTTCTGCGGCTTCTTGCTTCTTGTGTTCGGCGTCGATGAGCGGATTTATGTGGTAGTGTTTGTATAACTGGACCAGCAAATTGACTAACATAAATTCCATCGTCAGAAATGTCTTCTAATTCATCCTCATCAAAGAATACAGCAACGAATTTTTGTGTATTAACATTTAAAAATTTATTTTTATTTTTTTGAGGTAATGATGGTGGTAATGTTGAGTTAAATGAAATAAATAAATCATTAATTGTTGTATTTTTTTAATTGTTGAAATGCCCATTTTTCTAATATTGATCGAATCAAATAAGCTGTTGAAAATACATCGTAAATTGCATAGTTAATCATGTTTTGTCTTTGAGATGATGATAAGGTTCAATTATTTGCGGTTAATCCACTTGCTCAATTATTAACTCGAGTAGATTTGTCGACGAATAACTGTGCATCATAAATTAACGCCTTCTGAAGTGATCATAATTCGCCAGCACGATATGGACTTGGTTCACGACAATAGCATGTTGACGATAAATAATGTTTTGACATAACATTAACACTACTAACATCATCGAGATGATGCTTCGGGCAAAATGACTCGTTCTGAGTCAGTGCCTAATCATACCAACCAGGAAAATAAGATTGGATATCAATTAATAATGCTAATATTGGCCATTTAAAGAATTCATAATCTTTAAGCCGAGCGAGTTCCTCGTCCATATCACCCCAAGAATACAGTTCTATTCCTGATTTAAAAATGAATAAAAAATTTTCTTTAATTTTTACGTACATGCATGAATTATTTGGTGGCAAATGCTCCAATTCAATTAATATCACTAATGCTGGTAAACGTCGAGGTATGGCTTGAATTTGAATTAACGCCAATTTACCATTTGATCGTTCAGATTCAGTATCACTAGTGTATTGCGTGCATTTTTGTACGAGACCAATCAGCAATTGCAGATTTTCTAATGATGTATATTTGTTCACATGTATCACTTTGTAATTCGATGTTGGGATAATAAGTGGTGAATATTGTTGCTGTAAATGATATGAAAGATGTTGATCTGACATACTAATAACTAAAGAAATAAACGAGTAAGAATGGTGAACTAAAGCAATATAACAAAACAAAAATTGAACAGTATGATGAAAAAAAATAACAATAATATGAGTCATAGCATGTATCAATAGGTTAAACGAATAGAAAATATATATTATCATATACAACATATGAAGATGTCGTTAACATGTGACAATAGATAATGATACTATGGCACATAAAAAAGTTATAAGTTTTATCTAAAGCAAAATGATGTTGAGAAAAAAATATAGTTTTCGTAAATTTATTTTGACGCATGAATTTGTTTCCAATTATGTAATAATCATTATTGATAATGTAATCCTAGTGAAGATGACGGTAAATTGATAATTAATGTCTCGAATTAAATTATCAAACCTCACCAACATAAGAAATCAATGTTGTATCATATAATTCGTTGCGCATACGTCTTGTATGATAAACCTTGAACCTTCATAAATATAATTAATCATATACAATGACATTAATGATAATTAATAAAAGAATAAACAAAAAAAATTATACGTCACGTTGTTTAAGAAATAAATATTGGTCCAATGTCATTAACATGCACTCGAGATTCGCAATTTGTGTATGTTCATCTTTGACCCAATAAGTAGGATGTTGTTCTTTAATAATAATTTTGGGTGTGATCGAATATTTTTGTTCTAATTTTGTTTTCAATCCATGGCTCTTAATTAATACAAAAGCATTAATTTTATAATGAGGATCTGTTACGCCGTTTGTCATAATTACTTTTGTATTACCGTTGTCGAGTAACAATATGTTCACGTGCTTGTTGTTGAATGATCGCAACATACCTTTTTTAAGTTGATCATAATAATCATTGGGTTTATTAAATATGAACGATGTCGAGGATTCATCAGTAGGTAAATGTGGTTGACGTCGGAATTGTAATTGATACGGTGAATATTGAGTGGTTGCATGAATTTCCGTATTATAAGCGAATCCTATGGGTAATAAATATTCATCCCAATTGTTATGTTCGCGATCTTGAAGTTTGGCAAGTTGAGGAACAAATGTTGCATTGAAACGTTCAACCATTTCGTTCGTTTGCGGATGGTAAACAGTCGAAAAGATGTGATTATAACCAATTAATTCTGTCATAGAATCCATAAATTGATTTCGAAAATGAGTACCTTGATCTGATAATATAGATAATGGTACACTATATCGACAAATATATTGAGTAAAAATTGCTTGAGTTGTTGTCTGTGCGGAGCAATCCGGTAAAGCAATTGCTGTTACCCATCTCGAAAAATAATCCGTAATGCATAATACAGATTAATTATCACTAGGGGTTTGTTTAAATGGTCCACAATAATCGATGCCAATCAATTGAAAAAGTCCTTCTGGTGTTGAGATCGGTTGAAGTCGTACGGGGTTTTTGGAGCGATTGATATTATGTTGTTGAGAAGGTAAATATGATTGAATATGGTGACTAATTGATCGTTTCATATATGGCCACCCAAAATTTATTTTTAATTTTGAAATAAGTACGACGAATACCAAAATGACCACCGAGTGGATCATTATGATACGATTGAAGGAGAGAATTAATCATCGATGAAGGTAAATAAATCAATTTTGTTTTTGTGGTGTTAGTTGCATTTCTTGTCATTAATTTGTATAATACACCATCTTTAAATGCATAAGGATGCTTCGTTGGATCTTCTATAATTTCTTTAATTTTGTTTTGAATACATGAATCTTTTGATTGTTCTTCTTTAATCTTGGTGATGTCGAATTGATTAGACGTAATTAAATGTGATGAAAGTTCATTTGGTGGTTCGACTGCAGCTTGATTTGACAATAGTGATGATTCATGTTTAGATAATATTTTGACTAAATCCGTCTCATTTTATTGTTGTTTTATCTGCTTTGTTTTTGAACGGGTTACAACAGCACCAATAACTAATGAATTATCTACAGGAACAGACACCTCTTCTGGTGGTTCCTCCTGAAATAACATACTAGTATCATAATCCTCATCAAAAATTTCTTCATTATGTTGTATTGGATGACGAGATAAATAATCAGCGAAGCAATTATTTTGACCTTTGATATGAATAATTGTTTCAATATTATATTTTTGTAATAATATAGAAATACGATCAACGTGCCGATTTTTCACAGATGAATGCATCATTTTACATAACCGACAATGATCAGTATATATGATAATTGATCGACCAAGTAAATAAGATTACATACGTTGAAAACATAACTATATTGTTAAAGCTTCTAATTCGATTGAATCATATCGTCGTTGAGTCGAAGATGTACCTTGAGAATGATAATATAAATTTTTTGTTTCACCATTAATAACTTGCTGTACTCTGAAAGAAAAAAAGAAGTTTTACAGAGCCCTTTTCGAGGTTCCGGTATCGGATAAAACGTAGAACCATCGGGAAAAGTTCTGACTGAAAAAGTTTCAGCGAAGAAATAACGAAACCATATATGATTTTTCTTCAAAAAAAAGTTCTGTCCTACATATAAGAGGTTCCATGATTTAAATGGTTTACCGTTCGGATTTCCCTTATCTCTGCATCCATCTTTCGATATTCTTATATCTATACCCTTAAAACTATACCCTTATTCATATATTTCTTAAAAAAAAGTGTTCCCGGGAAAACTTTAGTCTTTCCGACTTTGTCACTGTCTTAAAACCTTTTAGAGTTTCCGAATATTGGTGTTCAAACCATTCGAACCGAAACAAACAGATACACTACTTTCTCATAAACCAATATCAGAAACTGCAAAAAGGTTTCAAAGTTCACCGACCTCGGAATGCAATGAAGGATCTGAAAAATATCGGCAGTCACACAGATGTCGAACCCATGTCGTCTATCATAAAAACATCAAAATGACACATCGTTATTTCTCGAATACTGATATGTAACTTAACCATTCGCTGAGATCCATTTGAGGAATCTAAAAGAAAAGAAAAATTAATATGAGCTTTTCATTCTTTAATATAACTCACCCTTTGAATAAAATTCATTCCAAGAACCTAAAAGAGAAAAAAATCGATATTCCTATATAACGTTTTTATTCTCAAATGAAGCTTATTATTTGAATAAAATTTATTTGAAGAATCTAAAACAAACAATAAAAACTTAATATAATTTTCTAATTCTTGCATATAACTTACTGATTGGATAAAATGTATTGAAAGAATCTAAAAGAGAATGAAATCTTGATATTAGCTGTTGATTCTTCAATGTGAATTACCCTGGGAATGATACAATTGTAAAAAGCTACACGAAGAAAAATAAATTTTGATATTAAGTTTATATTCTGAAATGAAACTTACCGTTTGGATGCAATCTATTTGAAGAATTTCAAAAAAAGAGAAATTGCTATAGATGTTTTATTGTTCGATCCTGTGATTTTAAGAAAAAATCAGTTATAATGATCATCTGAAACCAAAAGTTAGTGGTGTTCTCAATCACTACAACCTTTAAAAATTATTATGGCTATTTTTAGTCGTTTTTTCTTGAAATTTAATGAAACAAGTTAGCTTTAGAGACTAGTCCTATAGCTACGTTCTTATTTCTCTAGCCTTAATACGGCATCTTATAGCTATACCTCGTTATCCATGCCTTGATATCTACACCATTACAATTCTTTGATTTTCAGCATGCCTTTATGATTGCATTCTTATATCTTGACCGTTTTATTTATATCATTATACTAATAACCTTATATGGATTCCCTTATTACTATACGATTATTTGTGGATTCGCGAAAGTATATGTTTAGGACTATATCCTTGGATTCATATGGATTGCATTAAATCCTCTACCTTTTTTGTAGGATCTGAAGTTCAACGACATGTGTGCACATCAATTGCATATGATATGGCTGAATAATTTCATAGTGTTACATGTTTAATTGAATGGTTTCTTTTGTTGGCGTTAACGAGTGTTTTAGAACAAACACGATAGACAACGATAATATGATAATAAATCGTATATAGCCGACGCATAAGATACTTAAAAATATTATTGGAGCTTCATTAGAGTCATCGAATTGTGAGGATAGTCGTAATTTATCTCAAAGCAGTTGGATTACTAAATATGGATGATAGCATTATTTGCCTTTATAGTTATTTACCAGATTTAGCATATATTAACTAGGCGTTGAGGAAACTATGGTGATTTGTTTCAAGCTTTTCCCGGGAATGATAAACAGGTGAAAATGTAAAAACAAAAGCGAAGTTATTTGAGAAGAAAATAAAATTCACTCCGTCTCAACGGTTTAAGTGCAAAAAGCATTCTCGAGCGATGAAAATGTCGAACATGAGAGTACAATAACGTATCATGGAGTAAAAGAAAGAAGAAAGTATGCAATAAAATAGTTCTACTGAATGTACCATAAATTACATGTGAAAAAATATTTTCTGGCGACATTTTGATGAAAGACTTCATAATAAATATATTTTACATCATACTTGGTCTCTCAAAGCCTTTTATGGCAGCACGTTTGAACTGTAAAACCCTAAAGAATTGAGCAGAAATGAGAAAATATTTTCCACTTCAGTATTTTTGGGTGGAGAATTTGTTTTTAGAATGGATTACTTTTTGACAGAACCTTTCAAGGTTCAGTCTTATTGTACAAGACTTCTTCGGTTTAGCATTGCAGAAACAGAACCTTTTATGGTTCAACAATTTTCTGCTGAACCTTAGACGGTTCAGTATCATGGGACAGAACCTTTTGAGTACCTCTTTTTGGATAGAAAATATTTGATGGTTCCGCATCTTTACCCAGAACTATATCTGGTTCAGTATTATTGTACACTGAACTTTTCATGGTTCAGGATTCTTTTGCCGAACTTTGTCAAGTTCAGCATCATTGGACAGAACCTGCCCTAGTGAAACATCTTGTAAGTAAGATCTTGAAATCTTGGGATTGGTAGGTAAGATCTTATCAAGATCTTTAAAAGATAATTCGTTTGTTCAGATCTTGTCCTATCTGATAAATCTGTACCTAAGATCTTAGCAAGATCATGGCAACGATTTCTTTGACTATTATCTTCTCACAAGATCTTGAGTAAAACAGAAAGCGACATCATTAGTTTATTTAGATAGGCTATCTAGCCATTCACCGTTTTTTTATGCATACAGAACAGAATATAAGCAACATGATTGAACATGCAAAAACATAACTTTACAAGTTAAGTTTTTTTCTAAACTATTTCTCGACTATTGATTAATCGAGAGGATGCTGATCTCGATCGATGGTCGAGAGAGGACTACCCTAAACTGGTCTGGCGAATATCGGACCAACTTAAAGCCGGTCAGACCTCAACATCTGATTTGCTTGAGCTATTCGGGACAGGAATAGTTAATATTAAAATATATTGAAAAAATACCAAACATACTTTCAGAATGCATCATTCAAGATGTTATGAATTCTTACTTAAGATCTGTAATAAGATCTTGGGTACAAGATAACTGTATTATCTTGTAGCTAAATTTTCAAGATCTGTTCACTTATCTGTACCCAAGTTCTTGGCCAAGATCTTACTTACAAGATGTTTCACTAGGGTGTCGGGTTCCGTACTTTTGACTAGAGAACATTTTATGGTTCGGCATTTTTTTCACAGAACCTTAATAGCCCCAGGTGAAACAATCATACACAGATCATATCTGATCTTACAAGATCTTACAGATAATCGGATACCATAAGATTCTTACAGTATGATCTTTCAAAATCGTATAAAAGTCATATCGTAAGATTCTATATATTTCTTGCTATAAGATGCTAACCTAGATTTTATATGATTCTGACTGTAAGATTCTTGTAAGACCAGACGATCGGTATCTTGTATGATCTGATAAAATCGTAAATTAGGACTCTAGTGATACAAATAGTTTTTATAGCAATAATTTCTATTGTCTTAAAATTTATTTTAAAATAATTACAGTTACTCTAATTAAAAACGCGATATATTGCTTAATTGGAAACACATTTTTTACATAGTTGCGTTTTACTTGTCAAGATATCACATTTCTAGCAGCTTTATTTCAAAGCATTCCAAGTGAAACTATTAAAAAATTCTTTATTTATCCATATTTCCTTGATAATCAATATATAATCATATATATACATATATACGTATATATGTTGTTTGGCGTAATTTTGTTCCATTTACTATGCCATTTAGAGAATTTTCTGTATTATACGAGTTTATTTCATTCAAAACTAACCAGTTATAAAGTTTTATTTCATACAATAATTTTATCATTTTAAGTCATTTAGATGAGTTTAAGTTTTTAAATACATCAAAACACGCAATTTCTTAATTTCACGGGAAATTTTCTTAGATTGAAACGACATCCATTTTGTAGTTTCGATGTAGAACAATTATCGATAGTAAATTTTTCTAAAATTCATTTCGAAAGTTTTTTTTTATATATTTATCGAATAATTCATTTTTGTTTAGTGTCAATTAAATGATGAAAATATTTAAAAATGATAACTTATCGAACAAATGAATTAAATGCCATGCCAAATGAAGAATTTTCAATTGGAATTCAATCAATTACGTACAAGTATGTTGATCCAGGTCGAACATTCCGGTCCCGGAAACGGACGGTTCTGTGGTATTCCGGTGAAAGGATCCGGTTCCGGCTGGAATCGACAGGAACCTGTCAAAACTGGTAGCCGGATACGGTTTCCGGATTCCTGCATCGAACTCCAGACAATTCCCGGTGTGTTCCGGTCGGAAACAGCGAGTTTCTTGCAGGTTTTCGCCGGAAATTCACGGAATACTGCTTCAGGAATCATTGTCCTGGGGATAGAAGCAAATTATCAAATTTTTTGAGAAATCAAAAAATCGACTTCTCTCTAACAATAAACTCAACCAATATTTCAAAAGAAGTTTATTTTATCTTCAATTGAAGTACTGTGTTAATCATTTTTTCTTGTTTTCAATATATTTTTTTCTAATTGTTCTTGGCCTACTCATAATATGATTTTAGATTTAGCCAGTACTATTTCAAAATTAGGTAATCGTGTTTAAACTCATCAAGACAAGGTCGAAAGGCAATTCAAGAGTTTTTCGAAAAGATTAATCAAACAACAGTAGGATTTGTGCACCTTTTTTGAAAGAATTTTTTAAATGCATGTATTTTAGTTTGGGTTGATTCTAACTTAGAAGAAAATATCGCCGTGATGGTGAAATATTTCCTCGCATAGTAGTAAGTGACATTTTAGTGTTCTTATTTATTTACCTATATTGGTCTCTCGTATGTTAAGGAATATAGTAGTCAAAATCTATTAGGTACAGAGCCCGCGGAAGTGGGGGGGGGGGGTGTATACCCCACCAATAATTGAAAATTTTCAATTTTTCTCAGCGACAGGAGAAGATTTTTTGCAAGTTTTGAGCTTTTTTTTGCGAACTTTGTTGCAAACACCCCCTTACACCCTCCCAATATTAGGTCCTTCCCGCGGCCTCTGATTAGGTATTTATGACGCTGGTGATTATGGTCGATTTGCTCCAAAACTTCTGGCAATTTTATTCTCGTCGACTGAAATAAGTGAATCAATTATTCATAGTAATTCGGTTTGTGCAAAGTTCATGCTTGATCCTGATCGTATGTGAATTTTTATAAGTTAGACTTGTTTCTTATTATGATTAAAATAGGATTAACTACTATTTCTAACGATTTTTTATTGACTAAAATGAAAGATTCCTGTAAACTGAAAAGCAGTTGCATTCCAGTGATATTTGTTCAACATTAATCTTAATTTTCGGCAACTATTTCAACGATTTCGATTAGAAAAAAGTTAGTTGAGAAGAATTTGCTTCTAAAAGCTTTTTTTTCTTTTTTAATCCAGCATTACTGATACAAGATATAATATAATACAAAAGCAACTACTCCTTAAAGACATGTTTTTTTTTGTTTCTTTATCAAAATTGTTTATCCATACGTTTAATCAATTTTTCTTTTTCAATTTTAGATGCGATGCGCTAATGGCTTATCACTTGAAATAGATTATTAGTAATAATGTTTTTTATATTTATTTATATTTTTTATGTATATTTGTATGTTTAGCTATTGTAATTGATTACATTGATGAAATAAATATATGTAAAACACGAGAAAATTAATTTTATTAAAATATTCATTTGAGAGCAGGAACTAGAGAACGAAATTTCGTTATAGGATCTGTACGAAGGTTCCCTAATATCTTACAAGAATACTATTGGGTCATACACGATCTTTTCATAAGATCATACAAGAATCGTACAGTGAGATTTTATCAGAAATGCCGCCTTTAAGATATATGTATGAAATCATACAAGATCTTATACGATTTTCGTACGATCTCGTATGATCATATAAGATCATGAAGTAAGTTCCGATACGTTCTTGTAGGAATCATATAAGATCTTACAATCAGATTGTTTGACCTGGGAGGTTCAGTGTCATTGTGTAGAACCCTTTCGGTTCAGTATTCTTCAACACAGAATTTTTTATGGTTTTGAATCTTTCCCGAAACCTTCAAAAGTTCAGTACTGTTGGGCAGAACTATTGATAGTTTCGTCCTATCATACAGAACTTGAAATGGTTCCGTGTGAGCTACGGAACCATAAAAGGGTTCTGCAGAACGCCTTTTTTTCTTGCAGAGTAGCGAAACATAACTTAACAAGAACTGGTCCGAATATATATACATATATTCGAGATCAAGTAAAAGAAAAGCAACCAAACAAAAGGAGAAAAAACAAATAACTATAGACCGCTAACATTATATAATAAAGATGTCAGACCCTAACAGAGCGAAAGAGAGAGAGAGAACAGCGGAAATGAATGGAAGTGAAGCAATATGGTTTGAGATGAATAATCAATCTAGTAGCACTGGAGTTTGGTTTTTTTTTGCAATGTTTCAATGCTGAGCAAGCCAAACAAAAAAAAAATAACAAACAAAGAGACACAACGCAATACGATTTACATGTTAAACAGATGAAAAATAAATAAATAAACCGAAAACATGTTTCATATCGCTCACAAAGAAACACAAATAAGATTGACTAAAAGTGTCGTGAAGTATTATCACAAGTCTTTTTTATTTGTATCTACTGCCGGTTTAACGTATTTATCTTTAACTTCATTGATACGTTTAATAAATTCTGATTTTTCAATAAAATCAACACTTTCACCCCAATCGCTTAAGATCTTTTTTAAATCTTTCACTTTTAATTTATTTAAATCCACTGCATTCACATCAATTTGTTTTTCTAAACAATAGAAAAATAATAAGATAAACTTTGATTAAAAACAAACGAAGAAAATTTACCATATTTGAGATCACATATTTGTGGATTTGTTTTTGAAAGTCTTTCGCGACAGACTTTTTCGATTGGTATACCCCATGATAATGGCTTCGATAAATCGCCTATAGCATAGGTCGCAGATGTTTCTAATGCACCAATATAATAACACTAGAAAAAAAGAATACAGACAATTGTAATGACTTAATATTAAAATTAAAAAAAAGATTTATTACCAATCGATGTTCTTTTGAATCAACTTTCGTTTTACTACAATATTTTTTGAATCCTTTTTCTATTTTTTCAGGATTTACTTTTTCATCATTTGTTAATGATTCGAAAAATGTACCGATCGTTTTAATACATACTAAAAAAGTTATAAGTAGAATAAGAATTGATAGCTACATGAAGATGTTAACAATTTATTTATACCTTCACAATGTGTTTCGTCGACAGCTTTTTTCGATTGAACTGTTGAAAATGCGAATAAAATAATAACAATAAGAAATGTAAAATAGGATAATGATTGCATAGTTTCCACAATACAATTAAAGTATGAATCTGCTGATTATGCACAGACGATTTAAAACGAAAATATGGAAGAGATGAGACGATATTTTATTCGGTTGTGAGTGCGTGGCGTGGTAGGAATAAGTTCGTCGAAACTTACCGTTGTCAAATAATAATTTGATTAAATAAGAACCAATGAAAAGAAAGGAAATAACCTTTGCAAAAATGTCGCTACATTAAGTAAAGAAACATACGTTTGTTTCATCCGAATTAAGCCGCCTCTTTTTTTAAATACTCTAAAAATCAAAACTTGTACAAATAAAGTCAATTCTCAACAATTGAAGTTTCCAACAGAAAATATTTTAGCTTGAATTAGATTTAGTTAAATGAGAACAAAACTTAAAGCCATCCGAAATTAATAAAAATACAAGATCAGGCATTATATCCTAGTCGATTCTAAATGACTTTGATCGATTCTGTTATTGATAATGAATATGAGTATTCAAAATGTATGCACAAACTAAAAAATGTAGTTGTATTCAATGTAAACAAATAGTAATTATTAACTCTCTCTTCTGCTTATTATTATTATTTCAGCATATTTGGTGGATAGTATTTACGGTACTAGTCAATGTATTGCTACCTACATAGATTATATCTTAGGTTTTCATCGATGAGGACTATTGATAGTTCAAACATACTTTATAAGAACTGCCGTTTGATAATACTAACACAATTGACAATGAACAAAACACAAACGAAAAAAGAAATTTGTATATTTTGAAAGATGTATTTTATTTAAAACTTAAACCTATCCTAAAGTATGCTGACTGATAGGTTTTCATGAGTTGAAAAATGTCTCTTTCTTCTAAAAAGATTCTATGTAAAAAAGCGAAATTTTTTACTAGACAACTTATCGAACATCACTTTCAGAATTTGTTCATTTTTCTTTTCATTTCACTATCTGTTTTTCCTCATAAAAGATATAAACATTTAAAAATTATTGGAACCGTTATTATTTATCATTTATATTTCTTGATTTACACCTTCATGCATAATACATAATACCGGAACTTTCATCAAGGTATAGTTTGAATATTTCTCTTAATAATTAGGAAATGGTCGGCACATTCCTACGCAAAAAGTGCTAATACGAGCTGAAAAAATCTATTCTTGTTTGAAAAATAATTTTTGGTGTCTGCCATAATCTGTCATTCGTGCAGAACCATAGTCGATCCATTTTTTTGTACGGAAGTACATTGCTTGGATCTCGGATGTCTACACATTCATACATGAAATTGAAATAATATCCTATGCTTGTCAAGTCAGAAACAAGGTTCATTTATCAGGAAAGAGATTGAAGTTGGAAAAATACTGTAAATTGTTCATCTTTTTTTTATAAAGACGGTGATAAAGTCAAGGTGTTTCATCAATGACCGAAAAGAATGAATTTTCTGTTCGCATTTTACTTATTGAAGCATACAGAGAATCTCAAAGTTATTGAAGTAAATTTTAAAATGGTCGAAAGTCATCTTAATCAAAATGCCAGTGTTATAATATTGTGTTTTCATTTTCATTTGTAAAAATTATAAACTGTTCAAGTTTATTTTGTATTTACATTATTATTACTATGAAATATATTCATATTAGGTTTTCATTTTCCATCATACTATACGGATATAATGAAACAAATGCAAAAAAAATTTGTTCGACTTCAAACATCCTAAGATTTTTCTTTACCTAAAAAATATTATGAAGTCAAATAGAAAATCGACGAGATTAAAAATGGTTCAAAAATTTTCTTTTAACAGAAGAAGAAAGACTGATGAACTCAATAAAAATATAACAGGAAACTATATGTAACCATAAAAATCTATTTAGTGCGTCCGTCGTTACAATTTTTTCTGATAGTACTTTTTCCTTTGACTTCAACAAGTTATGTGTTAACGGGGAATTTTTGAAGTTTTATTCAACATAAAATACTAAATTGATAAATGATGATAACAATAATACTCTACCGTATTGATTGATATTCAATCGGTTTATTGCTGATTACTAGACTACATTAGTGATTAACCAGTATTTTGTTTTTCGAAACAATTACTAGGCATAAAATAACAAAATTTATTGTAATTATGTAACCAAATATTAATTGCAATTCGAATCTGATCAATTTCATTAAAAAGTTAATAGACTCCAATATACTCGCAGTTTTCCTTTTTCCGTGTGATTGAGTCAAGTTTTTGGATAAAACCAAGCAAATTTAATTGATGATGACTGATTTATTCATAATGAATTTATACAAAACAACATATGTTTCCGAAGTTTCGTTCTCAACGTCTAGATTTGAACTTTTTCGATGAAGCTGATGATGATGATGGTCGTGGCAGTGGCGGTGGCGGTGGCGACCGTTGAGGTCTGTTCACTTTAAGCCGCCGTTGCTTTTTGTAATAATCCCATTTAGCTTTTGCTACACTTTGACTAAAATCTACATGTATTCGTCGATCATCAATCAGTACATTATCCATTTTAAAATAAGCTTGTTCCGCATCTTCTTCATTTTCATATTCAATAAATGCATAACAAAGAGAATCGCCCGTCTTTTTATCTCGTACAATATCACAACTAGTAATTTCACCAAATCGACTAAATATTGTTTCTAAATCTTCATCAGTTGTAACTTGATTTAATTTACACACGAATAAAACATTTTCTGGTGGTTTCATATCAGCCTACACAAAAAAGAAGTTGTTTAATGAAAAAATAATCAAAATTTTCCGATTAATCATTATTTGTTTTAATTTACCGGAAAGTATTTTTTTGTCTTTATTAGTTACTATATTCAATAGAGTTAACAAGATGGTTATGCTCGAAATTTCTTAAAAAATGTTCCAAATCATTTATGATCATATTTTTACTATTCATTTGTTACATAACATTAAAAAACACATGTTTTTTAAATATTCAATCAAGAGATAATTGACTTGTTAAAGCAGGAGTTTGCGAAAAATTTCTATCGATTAATTTTCTTTACACTCTGTTACTGAGATATAATGATTACGATAATGAAATTAGACTGAGAACTAAAACAAAAACGGTAACATACCTCTGGTAAATCTCCAATAAGTTCAAGAATCTGTGCTCTGGCCTGAGCTTCTTTTTCTTCAATATAATCTTTAATTTCGTCGTCTGTTTTTCCTTCTATTCTATCTTCATCGAACATTTCATCAAATGCAATCATTGACGATTTCACACGTTCGATAGTTGGTGATGGCGAACGTTCAGGTATATCTAATGATGATGGAATTTTAAATGGATTTGATAGAATAACTGTATGTATAATACGTAAATCATGATAGGGTCTATAGTCACGATCAACAACGGCTATATTTATTTTATCTAATACATCCCAACCATCGACAACTTCACCAAAAACAGTATGAATACCATCTAGTGAATCAAGATTTGATGATAATGTAAGAAAAAATTGCGAACCATGCTGATTATTTGAATTATTAACCATTGAAACAGCTCCACGTTTACGATGTTTAATGTATGGTTTTTTTTCCATGTCAAAATATTTCGCTTGTTCACCATATAATTCTCTATAAATTGATTCACCTCCACGACCTGTGCCAGTTGGATCACCAGTTTGTGCAATAAAATTTGTTTGTATGGAATGAAATAAACAAAAATTATAATATTTTACTGCACATAAAAATAGAAAATTTTTGCACGTGGTTGGTCGTTCTTCGTGATATAAATCAATTGTTATATCACCCAGTGTTGTTTCGAGTACAACAGACATTTTCAAAATCTAGCATAGACAAGTAAAAGAAAAAGAACATTTATGTATAAATATGTTTATATGCATTCGTTTTATTTATTTATATTCTTTTTTTGGTTAATCTTTCCTTTAAGATTTTTTATTTTTTTTGGGTTCATTTGTTGTTTTTGTTACTTTGTTATATGTGCTACAAGCATATGTATATACAGCAGTTGAACCAAACAAAAAACAGACATAGGAAAAAAGAAAAAACGAACAGTTTCGAGTAACGACACACACAAAAGAAGAAGAGAATTTTATTTTTTCAGTTTTATTCTTTTTTTTTTGTTTTTCTGTTTTGTTCCTTAAAATGGAAAAAAGCCAAAAACAAATGGAATAGAGAAAGAGAGACAAGAAGGTTTTGAACAAGTATAAAGAAAGACACGAGAGTACATCCAACAACAGCAACTCTAATGTATTATGTAGAAATGTTTCGATAGCTACTGCATCGCAAGATTTGATTCCGATGTTTTTGGAGATATTTCATTGTTGATTTCGTCGACTGTTTCAAGTTTTGCGCGCTTCGCTTGTGTTTCAGCATCTGAATCATGTTCATTACCTGCATCAGAAGAAGTTGAATTTAATTGTGATCGTTTTAGAGATGATCTAGTATTTATTTCTGGTTGCTCATCAGCTGGATTTGTTTTTGATAATCGAGGACTCTGGTTTGTTACTCCTGTGATATCTTTCGGTAAAATAGCAAGTATATCTCGACGTCGCATATAACTATTTATTTATTTAATGAAAAAAAGAGAACTTCGATAAAGATAAAAATAGAGATTACTTACCGAGCATCTAGATTGATATTATCACGATTCATATTACAGGTAGCTGAAGCTTTGTAAACGAGATTAAGAAATATACGAATTTCATCAGTCAGATCAAGTTGAACTTTGTTAACATTTTTAAATTGTAAACCTACAACCCACATTCCACTGAATGTAGTCGGACTGTTTATTGTATTGGACGGAGGTGTTGTTAATAGTTGTGCTACATTTGTCGATGAAGTTTCTAAGAAGAAAAGTTTTATATGATTAGAAAAAATATAAAGTCAAATAGAAATGATAAAAAGATTTCTCTTGCACTTTTGTGTTCCTATCAAATAAATCATTTTCGTGCGATACTTAGTACTGAATTGAATTATGTGGAATCAAATCTTTTGACCCAGAGAAAAATCCTTCAACATCACTTCTATTTTGAAAACATTGTTTTCTAGTTCGTTCAAACTATATAATAAGTGAATTTCACAGTTCGATACAACATTGTATTAAGATTATTAACTCAATAGGATACAAATACAACATTTATTATTAGTGAAAATGATTAGAAGCTGACAGGAACCGAGAACCGTAAGTTTCTGAGTTCAAACACGTAGCAAAAACAATAAATAAAAATAAAGATGACAATTGAAATTTAGAGTATATTTTGAGACTCCTGTTCAGTTATCAAAAAGAAAAGCGGAACATATTTTAATGTCAACTTTAGCAAAAGTTTGATCGCAATGCAAAAAATATAAATATATATATATATATATATATTTCTTTAAAGGAAACAGTTTTATTTCTTCAAATACGAGCAACAAAATTAAGAAAGAAAAACAAAAACAGCATTTTAAATCTTTCTTAGTGTAAATTTGTCTTGAGTATGATTTCTGATAAGCATACAAGATTGTGATCAACGAGAAAATTAATTCTTTGTGAACTCTCATCCTATTCTTATTTTGTCCTATTGGGAAAAAAATGATTGCATACCTGGACTACGATGGCCATTAGTTTCCGTCAATGTTCTACTAGGTTGCTGTTGATTTTCAAAAACACTTTCATTCGGTGTATATTTGTCAGGACTAACATGTGCTATATCAATGTATAGGTTTTTTTCGAGATTTCCAATAAGAAAACGTATTTTTGATTCAACCAAACCACTCCATTCAAGAAATTGGTTCTGATCTGATGCTGATAGTAATAATATAATATAATGTTTGTAACGATTAAAAAATGCTATTCCAGTAAATAATTGTTTCCATTCGGTCTTGGATCCGATTATATTACTGACAGTATCTAAACTACGTTTGATTTCTTCTACAATGATTTTTTGTGTTGATTGCGTTACATTATGTGTTGAATTTTGTTGTGGGTAAGCTGGTGTTATTACTGGCATTAAATGATGGCGATCAAATGGATTTGTCATTGGATCCCAAACATTAAAACCATAATGTGCATCATTGACTGGTTTCAATATAACAGGTGTTGGCCATTCCCAATTTGAATAGACAAGAAAAAATTTATGAACTAATGTAGCAGCAACAGCATTTGGATATAGTTGGCAGATACGTGCAACAAGCATAGCCCACGTCACACCACCGAAAAATCCCAATGCATTACTATAAAGGCCACATTTTTTAGCCCATAATTTAATGGCACGTAATGTTGATTTGAATGTTTCACGATTGGGTACTAAATCAAGAATTTCATCTGTAACACGACAACCATTCAAACTACGTACACAGCGTTGGTCCAAATTAAGTAAAATTTTATCATCTTTCAAATCGAGTGTATCAGGAATAGTTGTTAATGCCAAACGAGCAAATAACATATCCAGTTCAATTCCATCAAATGTGAATTTAATGACCGGTACAAATGCTTCTTCTATGGCACGTAAATCGCATACTTCCGGTTGATGCCGAAGAAAGTCAACAAATGTTGAAAAAAAATCTGTACGATCGATATGGCGCGGAGCTATAAGAAGTGTATCAATATCACCACCTAAAACGAGACAAAAAAGAAAAGATTGATTTTATATTATTATCAAGATATTCAATTGTACAGTTAGACTTTATTAAAAGCTTAATAGCGATTTTCATGGTAACATAAATTGATTTTAGTATTTTTAAACCAAGATAAAAAAGAATAAATCAATGTAATTATGTAAATCTCTTAGAAATTATGAAAGTACTTTCAGAATAAAACATTTAACATAATCGTTTCAGTCGAGATATATTATCCACAAAACTTATAATTTTCCTGATCGATAGTTAGATAAATGATAGATAATTAAATGAAAAACAAATTGTTTGAATGTTCGGTTACGAAAATTTTTGTTTGAGTTATACAAGAATACAACATGCATAATCATTCTTTAGTTTTCAAAATCAATTCGTCCATTGATATTTATAAGTAAAACTGCTAGTTTTGATAATTGTTTTATAATTTGACAAATTTTGCTTAGTATTATTAAATAGCCATGAAAAATTATTATTTATACTTTTCGCTTTATCTTTAATAAAATCTAATATATTATTAATCAAATCAGTAATTATAGTTCAACAGATTTTATAGGTTTATTCTCATCTTTTTTCTCGATGTAAAGCATACAACTTATTACGGAATTATTTTATGCAATATTCATTATGAACATTATAAAGTTCGATCTATTAAAAACAAAGAACTCAAACTGAAATGAATACAAAAACTGTTGAAATCTACGTTTTCCTAGTTATACTAAAAATTAAAATGCATACATCTCGCTATGAAATGTTTTTTTATAAAACATTGCAGATGATAATTACTATTCTGAAACAAGCAAAACACATCAGTTGGTCAATTTTTGAAATTGAATATTTTTTTCTTTGAAATACGTGAAATTTCATTACCTTTTGAATGAACACCAAGCCGATATGATCCAAACGTATGTACACGACCGCCAACTGTATCTACAGTTTCAAGTGGTAAATTTTTTGTTAAAGATATATCACGTATCCATTTGCGTACAAGTGCATTTAGTTTAGCCATTACATCAACACGATGTGCTAATTCAGCGTCTGATTCAAAGTAATCATATGAACGCAATGTTTCTTCGAGACTTTCCGTCGCTAATATATCTGATGGATCAGGACCTTTCATTGATATAGGTTGTGTTATACCATACGAACGTACAGTTGCTTGACTATCAATATTAATATTTCCATTATTTGAATTCATGCTTGTTGTAGAAGTTGCTGTTGAACGAATAGTAACTAATGTTGACATGACTAAATTTATGATATTAGAAGCATAACGTAAACTTGACGTTATAATAAGTCTTTCAAAATGAAAGATGCTACTATTAATACTATTTAAGTAAACATAATCGTTCTAAAAAAGAAATTTCTAGTAATCAAAATGATATGACGACAGACAAACAGACATGCATCACTTTTTCCTCATCCTCCAATTCTATCATATAATTTGATAGATTAATAAACCAATGAAAATCAAGATCATGACCGCTGTTATTTTTTTTAACATGCTAATGCATATTTATTGTTCATCGATATTGTACTTCAAAAATTCAGTTTAATATTATGAACTCAATGAAGATTTACATTTAGAATAAAATATTTTATTATTTAAAAATAATTAAACGTAAATAAAATAAATAAATCGGTCGTGTCAATATAGTTAGATTATTGAACATAAGGACGCAGATGTTCATCTAATGATTGCTTAAGAAATTTGCTTTTTTTTGCTCTTTACTATTCTTTTAGATGATTGAAGAAAGTTGTGTTTTAGCCAAAGAATATTTTTGTGCTAATAATACTCAGAAACTCTTATAAATGATAATCAATACCGACAACAATAGAATTCAATGTTCTGTCATTATATTATCGATAGAATTCAAGTGAAATTTACTTGTGATTTTACTTTATTTTACAGTGAATCTGTATTTATAAGGTATGTATATAGAAAAAAATGATTCATTTTTTAAAAGTATTTTACAATATACTTGAGCTATTTTTACAATCACTTGACAGACAACAACAGTAACATCATCGATCATTTTCTTTTTTCTGGTAGCACGTTGATACGTTTCTTCTTGTTTATTTCTCTTGTTATCGCTGAATAGACATAGAATCCTTTCATATTTTTTTATTCCAAATTTTGTGTTATTAGCACTATAGAAGAACGCCAAATGTGACATATGAGCATATGTGATTCATTTGCTTGTTTACTAGACTCCTATCTGTAGAATAAAAAAGAAACGAAAAAAAAATTTTTGGAATAGTGTATATCATCGGTTTTGTGCTTCATATGAATACGTGATGACGAAGTCCAGAAAGCATTGTAAAAATATAAAAGATTCGTCTGTCAATACGAACGAAAAAGAATACGTACATATAAATACTGTAAAAACATGCGCAAATTTAACGCGTTTCGACTCAAACTTCATCGTGATTCCTCTCATCGCGCACAGTCAACGACGGCAACAACATCAACATTAATACCTCATCCGAGATCATCTACAATTGTAAATACTGATCACACAACGCCTACTCAACCTATTACTATCTCAGCACCGATCATTCATAGTCATGAAAAGGTTGTGATTAACTGCAAATACCATCCCAATGAAACCTATAATGAGGAACAGGCAGCAATTATAGTCAATGACAACAAGGAAAAACAAATAGTGATGTCAGAAGAATCCGAAAAATTGTCTGATGAATTTAATCATATCGATGATCAGGTAGATTAGAATGAAGAAAGGACAACATACAAATTGTTGCTTTTCGTTTTTGCCCATCTTCTTCCTAACTAACATAGATAGCAGAATAAAAGTCGTCTTATCTCTGTTTTGTTCTTGGTTCAGGCTTCTTGACATTTACATTTAATATTCATTGAACTTAAGAATCATACTTATATATTCTTCAGTAAAGATAACTGAGAAAAATGCTAAACATTTTACTCCATATAAATTGAGGTCATCCCTTAATATTACTTTTAGGATTCTATTCTATGATCGTGTATAGAGATGAAATGGTGCGAATATGCCGCCGTTAGCAGACTCGCATACGGATAATTGATTAGCATTTTTACTCCGTTCTTTGCCGTCTATCCTACTGAGAGAAGAAAAAGAAGAAGAAAGACATTGCATGATGTTGCATGCGTTTAGGATAATCGTCCGAAGCATCTGTTGTTTTTTTGTTGTCATAGTTAACGGCGATTCCTTAAAAGATAACAGAAAAAATTTTCTATGTGCATTTATGCCATCCATATCATAGCTTGTTGATTGATTCTTTTTCTATTGAGTTTAATCAGCATTAGTGAATGGTACCAAACATGAAAAAAAAGGAGACAAACAAATATTCGTTATGTATCATCTTTATCTTTATTTGGCATAACCTTCTCTATATTTCATATATATATATATATCAATTGATTAGATTGCACAAGATCTATCCTTTATGTTAAATCTATCACTAATAACACACACACGCGTATATATATATATATATACAATGACACTTTGTCTATCTCTACTTGCGCTTATATGAACAAAGCACATGCGAGTAATCATCAATATACACAAGTATATAGTACTTTATAAATTGCAGCTATAAGAACGACGCCAAATACAACAAACGTAGGAATAAAAAGAAAAAAAGAATAAGATGGAATATTCTCCTGGTGATGATACCACTTCAGTATACGTCATCTGCTCTATCTAATATTCTTCTTTGCATTCACACATACAAACACATACACACGTGCATATTGTTCTCCTATTGCGTCAAGTGAAAAAGAAGGAATAAGTGAGAGGAGATTATTTTGGCAGTAAGATGTCGACAGCGTAGACACTGCTTGAGGCTTCATCATCATCATCATCATCATCATCAAACTTGAGAAGTACTAACAAGGTATAAGAGATAAGAGACTTGTCAACACTGAACAATAAAAAAACTAAATATAATACATACGAACTATAGTATTCTTTTTTGTTTTGTTCCTCTCTTAGCCTATTTCATCTTTATCGATATCAAGTAACCAGTCATCTTCATCAATAAAACAAGGTGAATCCCCACCAATAGCAACAACAACATCGACAACAATAATGGTTGGAAATACTCCGAAAGAAGATATTTTAATAAGTTGTAAAGCAACAGCAATGATATATAACGATACACAAAAGAAATGGATACATTGTGCACCAAATGGTCCAGCTAAAATTCAATTACTATTTGCTCCTGAAACGCAAACATATCGTATTGTTGGTCGACAGATTCAAAATCATGAAGTTGTTTTAAATCATTCGATAATTAAAGGTATCAAATATAATCAAGCAACACCTACATTTCATCAGTGGCGTGATCAATCGTGTGTATATGGATTAAATTTTTCATCGAAACTTGATGCACAAGAATTTGGTGCCACAATGATGAAGATTCTAGAAAGTGTCAATGGTTCTACTAATATGTCTTCCCAGACGAATACTAATGCTCCAACAACTCTTCCATCGTCGACGCTGAATAATAATAATAATAACAGCAGCACAACGTCTTATATACGTCAAACTAGCCAACCTTCTTCTTCGCTTTCTTCCACAGCAACGACGGCAGTATCTACCCATTCCACATCTACAACTTCTTCCGTATCTGAGTCTCAGAAACAACAACAACAACAACAACAACAACAACAACAACAATCGACCTCGTCTTACAATAATCAATTGCATCCAAATTTAAACTCCATCAATTCCATACCAATTTCTACGAGTAATAATAATTATTATAGTCAACAACATCAACTAACTGAAGACGAAGAAACAAATTACGCACTTATTTCTGATTCATATTCATCATACGGTGATACTTCAATAAATAAAAATAATAATATTCCACCAGCTCCACCATTGAATTCAAATATGCCAACTTCAGGTAGTGCTCCTTCTGTCGCTCCACCACCACCACCGCCGCCACCACCACCACCACCACCTCCACCACCATTGCCTAACAATTTAGCTGGTGGACCACCACCACACCCAGCGCCTGCACTAGTTCTACCTGCTGCTAATGGAAATGGTGGTGCAAATGCAACACGAAAAACAAGTACTACTTCGGGTGCTCCACAAATGGACTTAATGTCTGAAATGGCAGCAAAATTTGCTCAACGACGTAAAGTTGTTGATGAAAATGTAAAACCTGATTCATCGCATGCAAATAATACTAATAAAGCATCATCAAAATTGACGGCAGCAACTTTACCACCAACAACAACTGCACCTGTGCAGACATCGCCACGAATTGGTCGAAAAACAAATGAATCTGGTTCAACAAATTATGCATCAGCTGATCTTGAAAAATTAAAAATTGAAATACTTACTGAAATAAAGAAAGATATTGAAAAAGCTAAACAAGAAATTCTTACTGCTATTCTTGATCAACAAAAACAAATCAAAAAATAAATTATGTTATTACACTCAAACGAAAAATAAAATAATCTCTTTTTTTTAATTTCTTACATTGCTATTTTTCTATTATATATTATTGTTGGCTATGTTAATGTGTTTGTGTATGTCTGTGTTGTTATCTTTAAATAGTTCCCTTGCTTTTTTCTCTCGTTTATTTAAGCTTTTAGAAAAAAATCATGAAAATCCAAACTGTACAATTTGACAAGATGCTGCAATATTAATAAACAAATATTTTTTTCATTTTCGTCGTTCGCTTGTTTTTATTTACTTCTATAAACGTGCTGTTTTGTTTTACAAATATTTTTTTTTGAGGAATAAAGGATGTGCTATGACTTGAAAAGAAATTTTCTTTCTTCTTTTTGTCAGATATTTCATTTCATACTCCTCTATGTGCTTCTTCAGGCAGGTTTTTTTTTAATATTTTCTTTATTTATTTCCATTGAAAGAAACAATAAACTGTTCTTATTCTGTACTAATATTTCAATAATTTTAATTGTTTTGTTCCTTTGTTTTTGTGTTCCTGGTATTTAATACGATGTTTCCTGTTGTTGATATTATATTGGCTCTTTGCTTTTGCTATCACATATTTTCTGTGTATCATTACTTGTGTTGTCTATGAAAACAAAGAAACATAACTAATACATTTATTTAATGTCTTTTTTCTTCTCTTGTCATTAATGCATTTTTAGAACATCATAATCAAAATGGAAATAACGACGTTTAATCAACGTAAAAATGTACCACGTATGTTTCAATTTCAACGTATGGAACGTATTGTTAAAGCTATGCAACATCCAACGTCAGGAGTACCTGTTCGTGAACAAAAATCATTTCTTTCAACAATACCAAATGCATTCACGGGAGCTGATGTATCAGAATGGATCATAAAAAAATTACATGTTAAAGATCCTGGTGAAAAAAAAGATCATTTTTCTATAATTGAAAATAAATATTTTTCCTTATCTAGCTGAAGCACTCCATCTTGCTTCATTATTATGTTATTATGGATACTTTTTTCATGTGACAACAAATGGGGCTGTCCAAATCAAGGATGATAATGAACTATTTCGTTTTCAGGCACCTTATTTTTGGGTGTCGACTAATTGGACAACAGGCAATGCTGAATATGGTTTGTTGAAGAAGAATTTTGTTTTTTATTGTTCATCATCGATTTATTTACTTTTTTGGTTTTAGCTATTTATTTGCTGAAACGAACATTAAGAAATCGTCAACGACATGGTCTTGAAGAATATGAAATGGTTCAATTATTGTTCATAGTTAGATAATTTTTAATCGATATAGGTGTTTTTTAGCGTGCACTAGATGATCTTAAAAAGAAACTGATTCATCAATGGGATTTTGTAACCATGCAAGCTGAAGCTCAATTTCGGTATGAATCTTCTTATTGTAGAATATGCTTTGTGTAAAACACGATCTAAAACAAATATTGAAATATATCGCGTAAAAATTTGCATTCATAACCCTCTTTCACAAGCTCTAACAGGCGATTTCTACAAAGTAGAATTTATTGTATTTTTCATTTTAATCTTGCCGAATTTGAGCTAATACTTTTGTTTTCTGCTTATATTTCTTTCTTTCTTTTCTTTTTCATTTTTAGTGTGCTCAAAGATCGTAAAAAAACTGATAAAACAATAATTGATAGTCAAGAACGAGCTTTTTGGCGTGTTATGCGACCTTCAGTAAGTTTTCAAAAATAATTATTTTTAATGTGACAGAAAATGTATCCTGATCAATAGCCGGATGAAGCATCAATACTCGAAATGGATATTCGACATGATATGTATGCTTATCGACTGATGAAACGTGAAGAAGTAGTGAAACGACGCGTAAGTTGAATGATTATTTTTCTTTTCTTGAATTTTATAAATCAAATCACTCAGCGAACAAAAATGATTGAACTACCATTTTTTCAGCTTGAATATCTTCAACATACATTGACCAATCGAGTACGCACAAAGTCATCACAGACGCATCAAAGGTTTTTCTTTTCACCTCATTTATACATTTTTATTTGCGTCCCTACATCCTTATTTGATCGGCCGATGTTACCTATTTTCTATTTTTTACTCCAAAATGTTCACCCGATTGTTTCGTGTTGTTATAACTTTATTTTAATTGACTGAAAAATAGGAATTCATATTTTTATTACACTTTTGTTTGTCTCTTTTGAATTATAGTTTATGCGCATTCTGCGAATTATTCACTGATTATGATCCATTTTTGGGTAATTGTTCGCCATCAAATCCATGGCTAACATCAGATACTGATCGGTGGACACTTATGCAACCCTTGTATGTTTTTAATCATATATAATATAAACGAAGGAAACATATATATCTGATACATAGAGTTGATAATCCCACTCAACTTCGTGTTCGTCGTTGGTCATTTAGTTGTAAAGAACTTCTTTCCGATCCAACTGGTATATCTGAATTTATGAAATTTTGTAAAGCCGATTTTTCAACGGAAAGTCTTCATTTTTACTTGCACGTACAAGAAATACGTCACTGTCCTTTAGCACAGATAAAACAAAAAGCAGATGCTGTCCATCGGTTTGTTTCATACAAGAACAAACTCTATATTTCAGTATCTTCTATTTATTAGAGAACATTTAGCACCAAATGCACCGCAAGAAGTTAATATTAATAATACAATACGAACAAAAATTATACAACAACTCGAAAATCCTTATCGGTAAAATAGGAAACTTGAAAATTTAAATTCGTATTAATTTATTTTTGTTTTTAGCGAAATGTTCATTGAAGCAGAAAAACATATTGTTGAGTTAATGAAAAAAAATAGTTATCCACGTTTCATACAATCGGAACATTATCGTAATCTTCTACAGAATGCACTTAATCCTTTGCCAAAGAAACCGTAAGAAAATTTTACTCATTGATTTATAAATACACTTTCAAATTTTTACTTTTAGTGGTATATTTCATTTTGTGAAAGATAATTATCTTCGTTTATCATCAAGTAGTAGTGATGAAGAATACGATTCAGATGATCAAGTTCGAAAAGTCGATAATACCTTGATGAATATCTCCGCTAATAATATCCAAAACAAAGCTCAACCTCTTGTTGGAACATTAGTAAATACAGCGGCTCTTGCAACGGCAGTTGTTACGATGAGTTCAGCATCGATACAAGCTATCGACGGTGATGGTAAAAGGTAAAAAGAGAAACCGATATTTATTAGAAATTTCAAAAAAAATAATTTTTATTTCTTCTAGAATTTCTTTACAACGTCAAACAATCATGAAATAAAACTTTGCTCACTAATAAAAATAATTATATTTATAATTACTTCTTTTTATTTTTCCACGCAATGCATTTCTTTTTCCATTTATTACTTAATGCTCATACTTATGCAGCCTCTTTTTGATGAATCAAATCTGTTTTTTTTCTCATATTTTTACATTCAGAGTATATCAAAGTGTGTTTCTTACTTTAGTCAACATCTCAAATTAATGTCATATTTGTGTTCTCTTTCATTAAACTTAGTTCATGAATGCGTAGTGGCCATTTTTTTTTTAAAATTGTGCCGTTAAATCATCGCGAAAACTCATATAATAGAAAACTTTATTATATTTTTGCAAAACTATTTAACTTTTAGATGGATATGAGTGATAATGATTGTTTTACTCGCCCAACAGCGATTATTATTCAACCATCATCATCACAAATAGATTCGAAGTCAAATAGAATTATTTTTCGTCTTGGTTGGACATCATTTATACTTGGCTTTTGTGCTTTTATCATACATTATATATCATTAGATCATTTAGAGAATTTTTCACCAATTAATGCTGGACTTATTTCAGGTATTTTACTTATGATCTCGGGTTTAGCATCAGTGGGTGCCGGATATAAAGAAAAATCATATCGATGTTTTATACTTGCTCAAATCTGGTCATTTATTACTAATATTATATTAGCACCAGGTCTTATTGCAGTTTCCATTACTGCATTGATTCTTGATAGTAACGATATATCTCCAATGTGTCAATCAACTGTATTATTATCATCATCACGAAAAAAATCCTTTGAAAATAATTTAGATGTTTATCCATCGAATCTTCCATGTTTAGAAGCAACAAATTTATTTCATTTAACTCAAATATTGAATATTATTCAGTTAATTATTGGTGTTACATGTTTTGTCATACATATAGGCCTTTTATCTATACAAAGAAAAGTAATCACACAAATGAAAAATGAAAAAAATGATTATAATAATAATAAAATTATTGTTTATACTGACCGAAATAACATTGCTATGAGTAAGAGTTATTAATTTAATATTATATTTAGTCATTATAAACAGAACATTTGGAAATTACGTTTTGCAACAGAAATATTTTTCTACTTAATAGAAACTATTATCTATTGTATCTAGAACATTACTGAATAATAGAATATATTAATTTTTTCATGATACATAGGTTTCAACAAAATCTCTGCATCTTGAGGAAAAATAAAATTTAACCATTACTTTTCATTTTCAATAAATTTATAGAAAATGATATATTTTCTAACCAAACAACCAAAGTCATTGTTGTGATATACTGATCTAACTAGTTTGCTAACTGTGTTTTTCCTAGTTGAATCTATAATCTATTCTTTGTTTAGATCATGCAATATGCTATACTGATGCTCCACCAAAATATGAAGATCTTCCACTAACACAAATATTACGTGATTAAGCAATATGTATATATAAGCAAATTACACAAAAATATTATTCTTTTATAATCTTTACACTTTAGTGAACAATGGTCTGATAGTTTTTTTTCATTTATTTAAATGTAGTTTTAGTTTTTCAGGTAATAATAAATTCTCGGGGAATAGAAAAAAGAAATGTATTAAAATTTCAGTTTAGTTTCATTTAATTCAAAAAAGTTTTCTTTGTTGTACGAATGAATCGTTCTTGTTTAGCATTCAAATCAAGTCTTTCTATTGGATATAACGTTGGTGTCTCATGGTATCGATTTTTTTAAACATGCTGTCTCAAGAGATTGCATTGTCTTGAAAAATGTGCGTCTCATTCTATAAGACTGCAAAATATTGAAATGAACTTAATAAGCAAGAATAATTGATAGATCCATTTATTGATTTGATTATAAGTATCATAAATCTAATATTATTTCATCTTTAATTTTACAAATTCAAGACAACGAAGATATATTCTTTCTTTATCAGTTTTGATTATTTTTAATATTGACTCTATTTGTATAAACAAGAACGAACTCTACATCAACACAAACAAAATTTGTTTTATACTAAAATAAATATGTGATTTCTTAATAGAATATTAGTGTCACAAGGGATGGTAAAAAATATTCTACAAGAAAATATATAACTCATGAGATAAAGTGACAGTCTTCTTTGAATAGGTCGTATTCTGATTCAAATCGTCTTCATAAAATATGTTTTTACATTAGATATTATCAAAAATTCGTTTATTTCATTAATTCAACGGCATAGTAATGTAATGATCAAGTTTCAGAATGAGACATTATAATAAGATAGACTGTGTTAAAGATTTTGCATGAAGCTTATAAAATTACGATAGTTCTATCGTTGATGAAAGATTAACAACGTAACATTTTCTCAGTTTCAAAAGTCCGATTATTATTTAAAATTTACAGTAGACATACCGTTAAACTTACACAGACGATCGGCATTTAGTGGCATCTATGATGATGGGCCCTTTCTTTTTCAATAATTACACAAATGAATGATGATAATGTGTCATCTAAACAAATACATCATATCTATGAAGATTTTATGAATGAAAAAAAAAATAGAAGGAAGTTATTGGAACCTCTACCTAATCAAACCTTTCCGTCAGTGGTGATATAATGGCGATTAAAAGAAAGACTAACAAATAGGTTCTTTGTTCCTCGTGGCGCACGACTATTGTTCATTCGTATATTACCTTGTATTTTTTTATTCAGATAAAATTGTCATAGTATTTTTTTAAAATTTATTTTTCAACTAAATTGTCGAATGCAGCTGTTAAAATTCATCAAACAGCTTCAATTAAAACGAATGACAATGAACAAATGTTAACAGTCGATAGGAAGGAAAATACTTCCTCAAGCGAGTCGCTGAATGAAAAATGACTTGGTCCAGTATAGAATAGGATAAATCACGATTTATCCTCAAATAAGTATCAACAAAGCATGAATAAGCAACAAACGAACAAACAAAAACATTTGTTTTTATCAACATGTGCGTATCTTGATTAAACCTATTGTATCTATACGTTTACAAGGTATACCACAACTTGCTCGTTATCAACAAGCTAAAATAACTGAAATTTGACGTCATGTTTGGAACAGAAGAAACAAAAATATGGTGAATGATCCATTATACAAAAATTCAGTGAAAAGCGATTCATTTTATTTTTGTATTTGTACTGCATTTATAGGAAATATTTCAGAATGTTGCTAAGCATATTTTCATTTAAGCTGTTGTTATTGTTAGAACTATATATTTTAAGCGGTACACATAAAAATCTTTTTTCTGTACGCATCACTATTATAGGTGTTCCTTGTTGGATCTTAGAAAAGAAAGAAAAAGAATCCTCATTTATGGGAGACATTATTTTGCATCACTGATATATTTTAGATTGAACTTGTACGTGCACTTTATTAACCAAAAAAATCAATAATTATGTCGGAAGTTTCTGGTGAAAATCAACAAGCATCGACTAATGCTGGCAGTGAAGCTGCTGATAAAAATGTAGTTACTACAACAACATCAGCAGAACAAATGGAAGCTCAACCAGCTGTTGATGCAGGTGAACAATCTAGCGATAAACAAACATCATCAGTCGATGCAACTAAGGAAAATTCAAGTTCGCAACAACAATCAGGTGAGAAATCAAAGCCTGATCTATCAACATTACCAACACGGGCTTATCTTGATCAAACTGTTGTACCAATTCTTCTTCAAGCAATGTCTCAACTTGCTAAAGAACGGCCCGCTAAACCAATCACTTTTCTAGCTGAATATTTACTTAATCATAAAGAAAAATACAATGAATAAAGAAACAGAACACGACAATATTAGATTCAGACAATGTCTGTTCTTTCTCTCTTTGTGTTTCTTTTTCTGCTGTTAATCGAACGGTTTTTATGGTTATTCATCAGCTATATTTGTCTTCTTTTTTTCCTTCTATCTGTATTTGTTACGCTTCAAACACATTGTCTATTATTGTTGATTATGGCTGCGTTTAAAAGACTAGAGAGAATAAAAAAAAGTGAAACAGGAAAAATACAACAAGAAAAAGCAATGATTCTACATATTCATTGAAAAATATTCAAATAATCAAATCTTTTTATAATAAAGAAGAACGGAATGAAGACAAAAATCTTTTGAGGCATTTAAGATACAGAAAAACTAAGTTTGATTCTAATGTTTTCTATCAATATTTCTGTAACCACCTACTAATTTTTAATTTCACATTCCAAGTATATCTATTCGTATAAGAAATCTAAATATTGTTTATATTCAAGAGTTCTATGAAAGAAAATTTTTAACCTTAAAAAACGTGGACAAGGTTAAAAACAGTAATCGACTAAGCATTCTAACTAGCAAAGTACATCGTTTACGATTATTTTTCGTTGATATATTTCTATCTAATCGAAAGTACATGCATTTGACTTGACATTTTTTTCAGTGAGTATACTACGAGTTGACGAACTCATTTGAAAAAAAAAACGAGTTCAGTCGGTGAATTTGTTACGAGTTAAGATCGTAGTACCAAAAGTACATTACGTCATGGTCATTTCCGATGTTTCGTTAATGTACATATCTCATTAATCAATGATGTTACAACAATGAAGTTGTAGTTATAGAAATAGCTCATCATTCAGTAAGTACACTGATACAAATTGCAACTCTCTAAATAGTTGCTATCGTTAGCAGGATCTTCCAGAAAACTTAGGTTTTTGTGAAAACATCAATTTTTCGATAGAGCTATCTCCTAAAATATGCAATAAATAGAATTCTGATGAGAACTATCAAAGATCCGAAAAAATGTTCACTTTACACAAAGTTCGTCCACGAATAGAAGGAGATTAATATTCAAGTAAAACGGCTGAAACTTTATCGCATTGCCATTATACAGTTCTATTCTAGTTTTCCATTATCTATTCAACATTCTCATTTCTCATAATGAGACTTTTCATTTCTGCCAGAGGACTTTTGTAGGACTTCACTTTCAATGTTCCTACTTTGCACGAACTATTCTATTGGTTAGAGCCTTATCAGTAGTGCAGTGACTTTTATAAGTTGTAGCGTAATTTATCATGCTTATCATAACATAGGTTATTCATTGTAACAGATGTGTGCAGTAGAAAGTTTATTCTGATATCAAATTCGAAAACAAAAATTAATCAACTAAGACTTCAAATTAATTAGTAGTAGTTTCCATATTGCTGCTGTAATTCTACGACTAGAGAAAAAAGAAAAATAAGTGCAGAAATTGTTTTTTTAATCCATAGAAAGAAGTTCGAACTCTCTAATTTCGGAAAACTAAAGAGCTGCTTCAATGAGTATTTATCAACTGTAATGCCTATATGACAAGAAAAAAGACTAAACTAAATATACGGTAGAATCTACAGGACAATATACATATAGATAGATAAATTATTAATTTTAAATAAAAGAAAAAGGAAGCTAAACACAAATCTATCGCTGAATCTACCAGAAAATGCCTATATACATGTTGATATTGTAAATAATAGAAACGAAAACGAAATCTATCCCTAAAACTTAGCAGCAACATATAGAAACATTTATAAATGATAAATTTAAAAAAAAACTAGAACTAAATATATCACTAAATCTATAGAACTATGCCTTGATAGATAGATAAATTAAAAATAGAACATTATAAAAGTGAAAACTAAAATATAATGTTTTCCACAATCTAATGAACAGTATCTATGAATATGCATAAATTAAGAATTATAGATATCAAAGTTGAACCTAAATTTATTCGTAAAATTGCAGACCTGTATCTCTCAATATGTAAAAATTCTAAGTTTTTAATTAAAAGCAAAGAAAATTACAACTAAATCTATATTGAAATCTAGAGAATAGTGTATGGATACATGTAAATTATTAAAAAACAAATTAGTAAAACTAAATCCTTCTCTAGAAGCTGTTTTACGAAAATTTTATTGTCGAGATATTCGATTATATTGGAAATCAATCTAGATAGCCACCAGCGGCGTAACCAAGATTTTTAGACCATTGGGCAAACTTCTATTAAGTCAAAAAAAAACCATAGGCAAAATTGGCAAACATTTTTATTGATAGGCCAAAATTTTTTAACCCAACAAAGTATTGATAACGTAGAAAAACACAAAAAAAGAATAAAATTATGTTCATTTAACTACACAAAAGAAGATGAGATTCTTTTAACCTAATATATATGAAAAGAACCTCAGCTTTTAAGCTTGTCTCAGACTTGCTGAGATAGATATATTTGATTCTATCTTCAGTCTCTATTTACAACATTTGGCTTTGAAATTCAAACACCAAAATCAAGACGACGATTATATATTTTTACATATAATTTCAATGTTTCGAAGAAAAGTGATAGCTTAATAACGTATTGCCACTAGTGAATCTACCATTACAGTCAACCGGTGAGGACCACCTCTTTCACGAAATTTTTTTCGATCGTTCCCAGCAGAAATGAAACAGAAAAGAGTCGTACTGCATCAAATAGGCTTCAAAAACCACTTTTTGATCAGGAGTGCCACCCTTTACTGATTTTCTGGATCCACCAATGCGTATTGGGTCGTTTTCCAGTTGACATGGCTTAGTATTAGTCTTTTAAAACAGGACAAAAGAGAACCCCAAAATTATAAGTGTAAGTGCACAATTTTATACGTATTTAAGCATATTTCTTTTTTCTTTTTTCTTTTTTCTTTTTTCTTTAGACTATTCTTATACTATAGTAGCGCCAAAGAAGAGACAGGACGGTAAACTGGACAAGATAGGTTATAGTTCATTCGTTTTCTTTTCATGTCAGCATTTTGAGAGAAGATAGAAGAAAAGAACAAGTATACTTACAGATATTTATGTACAATTGTGCATTGGTCATATGTTTTTTGTTCTGTTTTCTTCTATTAATTCTTTATAAGAACAAATAAAGGGTACATATGCGGTTCAAACGAAAGAAAAAAGACAGAAGCTAGTTTATTCAAAAGTAAATTATTGTGAAAAAGTAAAATTTCAATGGTCAAAAATTAACTAATGAAAATTACAATGGGCAAGGCTCAAAATGAAATGGGCAATTGCCCATTTGCCTCCCCCTGGTTACACCACTGGTAGTCACTTAAGATAAAATATCAGTAAAATTATGTAGGAAACTGAATTGTTTTCGGAAAGACAGTATCGGGCTTTATTATCAATAAAATTAAGAAAAGAGAAGAAAAATTCTATCATGAATACAAAAACCTGTAGAAAGAGACAAAAATCCTCATGTAATCAGCAAATGTGATATTTAATCTCTGTGATAGAAACCTATCTAGATCTCTCTTTTATGTATATCACAGAAAATGATATGAAAAGAAAAGTCCTCCGTAATATACAAAAAGGTGCGCTACTGAGCTTTTCTTTTTTTCTTTTCCTTTAACTACTAATATAATACAAATTTCATTCGATATGAAAATGTTTTGTAGATCTATTATAGTGCTCTGATATGAACATCTTATTTGTTTTGATAGTGTCATATTCTCATATACTACAATAATTATTTTAGACTTATCTTATGTCATCAATCAAGCTCACGACTTGTCCACGTAACGCTCTACTTCGCGGATCAAGTTTTAGAAAATGTTCTTTTCGATATGGATAGATCTAAGCGTATTTTCTGGTACAGTTTTTTTACGCTGATTATGAATTAGGACTTTCTTTCTTAAAAAAAATTGAGCTTTGGCATCGAAAATCGGGTTTTAAAGTTTTCAAAAATCGTATTTTCAATTTTCTAACCAAGAAATTTAAAGCAGAAGTCCAGAGTAGTATACCATTCGATGCAAAATTTGATTCTCTAAAAAAGGACCTGTTTATGTTTTACTCTCATTTCTCAGGACATCTTCTAAGCTCTTGTACAGTTTCTAGCTTACTGTACAATTATTGAGCTCCTATTTCAATGCAGCAACTTGACGTTTTTACAGAAGGATATATGTACGGCAGTGATCAGTATACATTAAACATTTAATATTTTGAAGCATGTTTAGTGCTTCAGATTTGGCCGACAAAAAAACGCATCACAGTGTTACGTTCGGTTTTTGCATCTTTTATCTGAGTGAAAATAGTTTAGAACAAATATTTTTTACTGCTTCAAAGCCCATTCAATTCTCTACAAAATTGGTACCATAATAATTTAATTTGAAGAAATAATTTGTCAAAAACTTAGATTTTTATAAGCTGTCCTAGAGAAAAAGAGTCCTTTTTTGTCAGTGTTACGCGATGATAAAATCTTTCTTGAAACGTGAGAGTTCAATCCAACTAGGGCATTTTTGCAACATAAATAGATTATGATGAGCTGTGTGGAATGATGTTTGAACGACCTTGTTAGCTCTTATGCCTTTCGAAATAATTGCAAAACAATTTGCCAATATGTCACAACGTTACATTTGAACAAGCCGCTCAGTTTTATTTTTTATGTTCGTTAAATATACGAAATTTATAATTGAAAATAAAGTTTCGTCAGAATCTTCATTGCAATCATAGAGATCTTTCAGGTCAATATTTGAAACTATTCAGCGTTTTGATAGATCATTATTATGGTGACACCAGAAAGACATAATACAAATGCTTTACTCCATGCCATTGAGAACTTCGTACAAACATTTTAATTACAATTCTCAGAATACGATTTCAAAGATGATATTTTGTTTCTTTGTTTAGAATGTGGTCTCTCTGGGTATTAAATCTCAATCATAAACAGTTAGTTTAGCTCTATCAACGAGTTTAATCGAAATGCATGAACTATATATAATTCAAAAATGCATGAACTATATATAATTCAAATGAATAGGCAGAGGTCAAATTTGTTAGGATCTCGATCTTTGCAATTGATTGTCAGACTAATCTTTGATATCAGACGAAATTTCCGAAAATGTTTAAAATAAATATTCAAAACTAAAAACAATTAATATGCACAACGGTTAAGTAATTATTGATTATTACTACTAGAAATATTTTGAACTCCAATTAAGAATTAATTCATGGAATTGGTTTAATCTACTCATAAAAAACTACATACTCGTTAGTAATAACTGCAGGGCTTCTAAAGATTTTTCATATCAGCTTTCTTGAATCTCTGATTGTACTTTCCGAATCTATTCGTAAATTTTGTCTAATACAAAGTATTGATGGTCAAATCTGTTGAAAAATCGTGTAGATTATCAAATTTTCACTCATTACAATTTTTGAGGGTGTATCGCATACATGTTGACCGAGGTTTGAAGTAAAACGACAACAAATTAGTCACTATATCAGTAAGTGATCCCTAGTAATTTACTGCTTAATAAAGAAAAAACAATATTATTATTAATATTTTACTTTCCGTATAGATATATTCGTAGAATGAAATTTTCTAAAAATTACAATTGATACAGATATCATATAATTTCCACCTTTCGTAGCTAATTTATTCATGAAAATGACTAAAGTTCGTTTTACACACACAACATCAAGACGTGATTCTGAGACAGCTTTTGTTATTAAATAAAAATATACAATTGATAAAAGAAACAGTTTTCTATTAGCGAATACTACGCATTAAATTTTTATCTATGAAAAGAACGAGATTTCAAAAGATTGTTTTTGGAATACTTGATATACAGCGAAACAAATCTTTTAGTCTACGTCAAAAGATGTTAAACATTTATTGAGACTATTTGGTTTTATAGAATAAGTTCTCTGTCTGAGAATAATGTCTCACAATTGATTTTCTCAGTAGGTTTCTTTGTATTACCTTAATGACCTTCCCTTCGTTTATTATCTATTTTTAATATCTTCATCAATGATATCAATGAATACATTCTAACATTTAAAAAATCATTAACCAAATTGTCCATATGGTTCTATACCAATCTTCATTGCACATTGCAACATCTGTGATAAGATATTAATGTTCAATGTTGTTTATTTTCCAACCATGCTTAATTTATTACGTGCACTAAAAAATTTTTTTAGAATAACCATAACAAAAAATATCATGATTAAATTATATATTTCAAAGTTAAATATAGAAATGTCCGAAAAGTTTCTCTTTTTAAAAATTCAACTTATATTTATCGAACAAATGCAAATAATTGTTTTTCTTGAATTAGATCATTCGAATTGAACAAATACAGACACAAATATTAATTAATAAATGAAAATACATTGATACAAAGATAAAACTGAGTATTCATTTGAACACATTTAAAGAGCAAATAAAAAAATGACAATTCACACGTACACACTGTACAAAATTTTAACGATTTCATACACAGACGTATTAAGAGAAGATAAGCATTTCAGAATGCAGATGTAGTAACCGAATATGATCTTATCAGGAAGTTCGACTGATCGTTAAAGATGTAGAAAGCAGAAAATCGGGGACGGAATGAATAATGAAAAAAACGTTCAGACACACAATTTTTATCATATTTATTTTGTTTTATTTATGGGCTATCTCGTTGAATGAGACTTTTTGGTTGAGATAATTGCATTTCCAGATGTTTTAATGCATTTGAATGACTTTGATCCATTTGAGATATTTTTAGTGAATGTTGTTGTTGTAATGCAATAACAAATTTAATTAAATCTAACGAAAATTGACAAAAAAATAATAATAATAAATTATTAAAACCTACAACTTAATATATATATATATATATCAATATTTTACCATCTTTTGAACTTGATTGAAGATCATCGGGTAACAATTGTAGCTGAATATCATTATCTATGTCATCTGATGATAATTTATGATTGTAATGGAACGGCGTATTCGATATAGGTATTGCTTGTAAGTAAGAATCTCCATTAGGATTCCATTCACTAGATGGTGATGACAGAAAACCATTAGTTGGCCCTGTTGTCCATGGCGATGATGGACATGTTGCAGGCGATAAAAATTTTGTATTAGAGCGTGAACTAAAATAACACATAGATAGAAGATTAAGTCTATTACTATAATAATAACAAAAAAAAACACACACACAAGATTACCTAGATGCGGAATCCATATTATCCTGATCTAATAGGGAACGATTCGTTGCAGCTTTATCGAGTCGAGGACTATTAGTCTACAGAAAAGAAAAAAAAAAGTACATGTATAAATTATTGATGATAGAAAATTTCTCCAGTGAGTATCTCTTTCAACAATCAAAAAATAAGGTTCAATTTTCGTTAATCAATCAGAACTCATGACGAGCAACATGTGTAGAAAGAAAATGCTTGCTTTCTTTTTTTTTAAATATTATCCAGTAGATAAAATAAGAAAAACTGCTCTACAAGTACCAAATTCAATAAATATATCTATCCTATTCGAGTTTCTTTATCTCGATTTGTATATTGATTTTGAAGAGTGAGAAAACTAAAATCACCTTTGACGATGAAAAGAATGAAGTCACTTTTGTCATATTATTTCCGTTTGTTGCAATTGATTCACGTGATGTACTTCGTCGTAGATCCATCGTCATTGAACGTGTTTTAGATCTTGAATCATTTATATTATTTGATGATGGTGTTGTTATCGTACTATTTGATGCTGGTGATGATTTACCATTATCAGTTGTTGTCGAATTTTGTACACGTAATTTCGGTGCAATAAAACGACGTCTTACAGAACCAAGCAGCGAACTTTCCGAATGACGATCGGATGATTTTGAAGACGAATTATTATTATTAGCTTCTTCTTTTTGTTGTTGTTCAATATCACATTCATGTTTATATTGACTATTACATAGAATAGAATTCATTAATAAACGATTGTTATCATGTAATGTACGATATAAATTTTCAAATAAATTCAGTTTTGTACGTGCCTATGTAAAATTAAAATATAAAAATCAAACAGATTGTGTATTCTTGTTTATAGATTTTTACTTGATATTTTTGAAATGTACTTGCACGACATGATGCCATTTCAGCATTAATTAATTTTGTTAATAACCATTGTTTAAATATATGATCACATTGAAATGATGTTGAATGATTCAAATTAGGTCCAAATGATGGTACACTATCACGATGAATAACAGATACTTTAAAGTGTGTACCATCACTGTCCAATGGTGTAATAACAAGATAAACGTGTAGAAATTGTGATGCTATACATTCGGGATTAAATATTGTTTCAGTTTCTTGAAAAACAATTGCAACAATATCATTTCCAATATGACGTTTACGTTCAAGTTGTTGTCGTTCACTTTTTGAATGTGGTAATAATGTACTAACATGAAACATAATTTCATGATTAAGAAATTGTTCATAGACTGATTCAGTTCCTGTATGATCAGATTTAACATCAAGGCCTCCACGAAATCTAAATAAAAAAATGCAAAATCTTCATATTACTAAATAATTCGATAGTTTTCTTTTACCCTCGAAAATCTTTTAGTTTAACACGTGTACCAATTAAATCAAGAAATTTATCCATAGCAGGACTATGTGTTTCATTACTAAATATATCTTCTTCTGTTAGTTGATCTTCACATTGATATATTATGCCAAATTTATGTTGATTAGATACATGTGATTCATCATATTTTATTAACAAATCATGTGTCTAAATAAGAAAAAAAAATATATAAATATTTTCATTTGTATTCATGCATGAAATTTTTTATTTATTCTATATTTACTCCATCACACAGCACCGGATCAAAATATTCAATATCTGTAATAGAACATTGTTCACATAGTCGACGTAATATTTCAAAAGGAGTACACGAAGAATGTATATCTGATATGGATTCAATAGATGTTCCTTGTCGTGTTCTATAGTAAAAAATAGAGAAGAAAATAATAACTTGTCGAAAAACATCAGAGTTCGAGTATATTACCTAACAATTGACATTATTGATCGTTGTTTATTTTGATTAATAGAATGTTTATATGAAATAATAACAGGCCCGTGACTTTCACTAATACCATACCAATTAAAATGTTCCTAAAATAAACGATCAATGCTAATTATTATACAATCAATTTTTTTAGTTAGATTTACTTTTGTTTGAAATTGTTCACGATATATCATTGGCTTATCATCGATTTCAAGTTGTGGTAAACATTCATCGAAACTTGTGGCACCATTTGTATTCATTGAAGTTGACCTTTCAGAACACCATGTGTATTCACTCGATGGCTTATTATATGCCATAGTTGTATGATTTCCAATAAAGACTGTTCGATGTGATGAAGGTGATTCAACCATACCATTTGAGCCAGTATTAGCTAATGATTCAAGTAATCCCTAAATAATTAAAATACAAACAAAATGAAAATTATTCCTATAAATTTCTATTTACCAATCGATCGACTGTAGTAGCAGGTACTGCAGAAATACGCTATACAGAAGGACAAAAAAATAAAATGTCATCAAGGCTCAATAAAAATCATCTGTAGGATAATGTCATCAAGCAAAAAGAAATGACTATTAATATATTAAAGCACGTACGAGATAATTGTTACTACGAATATGCAATAATGGCGATAAATTGATCGTTCGATGAGCGAATATTGGTGACATTTCTGATGTCTCATCCGAATTCGTATGTAAACGAATCTCGGCTGTTAATGCTCTTTCTCTTCGACGCATAATGACAGATTTTAAAAAATAATATTTAATGCCAAGAAAAAAAATTACAAGAATGAAGATTGATTCGTACGGAATACGTTTGCTATTATTATTATTCAGCACAATAGCAAATAAGTGTTGACGATAGTCAAGAGACAAAATAGAAAAAAAGATTTTTCCTCTTTCTTTCTATTTCTAGTATGGAAGAGAAAACGTTGCAATGTATTTTAGAGACGTGCGACGCTTGTCTGATGATGAAAAATAAGTACTCCTCTTCTTCTTCTTCTTCTTTTCCTTCATCTAAGGCTAGCTAGAATAGTTCCATTTTTCTCGTCTCATGTTTTTGTTCATCATCATCATCCTCATCATCAGTTACTTCTTTTTCTTTTTTGGTTCTTCTTTTTCCTATTTCCTTTCCTCGTTGATATGACAGTTACGACAACCAAAACAGACATACTAAGAAATAGACAAAGACACGAGATGAAAAGAAAAAAATGAATAGAACTGTGACATGGTAATATCTCGTTGCCATCCATTTGGTGGCAATGGCGCAATCATATTGGTAACATACGAGTGAAAGCTGACAAACGTAGAACATTCAAACACTTAAAGAAATGTGATGATATAATCATGGCTATTTCATTATGAGAAAAAAATCAATTAGCCCTACAAATGGTATTATAAAAGCAGCAAATATTAGTTTCGATTGAAGGATATTTCTTGCGTGCATACCTGAATGAAGCCAAATATACTATTTTTACGTGGCTGTAGAAAATAAAAAGAATTTTTTTTTGATGATTTCTTTTTAAAATCTGTTTCTTCTTAAAATTTTGTTTTTTATTATTTCATTTCTTATCAATATCAATGAATTCATAGAAGAAGCAGAAAAAGAAGAAGCATTTAAAATTGATCACACATACTTGATTATCTCGAGTTGTTGGTTTTGTTACATTATTGACACTAATTGAATCCGATGCAGTACCCATTAAATTAACCAAACTTGTACTAATCTAAACACAAGAAGAAAATATTCAATGAATTAATAGCAGACAATAATATCTCTACTGACTTTGATATCTATTTATAAAAAAAAATCGTCTATTAATAAAAACAATGTTTTTGCGCTAGTCAACTTGTCGATTTACCTAGTTGAGAGATGACTAAACTCATATTTTTCTTCTTCTCTCGAATGAATTCAATTTGACACGCAAGTGAGATTAGAGAGTAATAGACTTTATCTACATGTGTGTATGAAAAAAAGAGAGCGAGAGGAAAAAGAAGAACATTGATATGCTTGATCTGATGCATCCCGCTCTAACACGAATCGATCCATGAAGCTGTTCAAATAATACTTTAGTCATTCACACAACATCGAAAAAAGAAAGGACGAAAGTATTTATCTGCGCCGATGTGTATTGCATGGATAGATTAATTATTTTCGAATCGAAATAAAAGTAACGATAGAAAGAAGAAGTAAACGAATGTAGATGAAAGAGAAAAATGAAGAAGATAAAACTATATCCATGTAGAATAAAATCTAACAATGGTGCGCTAGATACACTTATTCTCACCTCTTTATTAGTTAAAACACGAGGAGGAGCCAATGACGATGATGATATGTCATCGACTGTACTGGATGATATTTGTAATGAAACATTATCGACTACAGATGGATTTCGTGTTGTTGATGACATTTGAACACTGTTCTTTTTATCCATTGGTTTACGTGGTGGTAAAGCAGGCGGAAGATCTTGATTAGTCGATTGTGCTGTTGGTCCAGCAAGATGATTATGTTGATTATATGACGACGAAGATTTTTTCGATGAATACCGATGTTCATCTTCCAATGTCAAGTCAGTTTCAGTGTTTGATGAACCATTTTTATTTGGAACTGAATTACGGCCAGGTTTTCGTCTAAACGCGAAAAAAATATAATACTAATACTATTTAAAAAGAGATCATAAGTATTTTTTATTAAAAATCGTTTTTTGTCATCCATAGTCATTTTTCATCAAGAGAATTAGTCATACATAGTAATGATGAATCATAGAATATGATGAGAAACATAATCTGACGGTAAGTTCTAAGAAGACTTCTAAAATGTAAAGAATTTTACCTTACGTTGTTTGATGTATGACGTTTATTTTCATAATCGAACTAATCTATATCAATATATAATCAAATTCGATAAATGTCGCATTTTTTAATATTGTATTTCTATATTCACTGAACTTTTAATGGGATTGACCAAATGCGTTTTTTGTTGATTATGTTTGAAATAAAACAAGCATTACTATACGGCTTAGTACGGATTGAATATCTGATATTCTGATCTTTTCTTTGTAGTATGTGAATATTAATTATGATATTTGTAATAGAAAAAAAGATAGCGCAGTGACATATTGCAAGTTATTATTTAATTTTTGTTAGTATTTAATTTAGAATAGATTTAGGGCAGTAAATATTCTCAATAAACAAGTTTCTTTCTGTAATTAAGTATGTTCAACAATTATTTACAAGTAGTATTGTAAAAATAGCTGTTATATTTTATGAAAATAATCTAAACAGCATTGTTGATTATAAAATCAAAGATTTCAAGTATACCTAATCAATTTTATATCTTGTCTCAAGTATGCGAGACAGAAACCTAATAATATATACATAATTATATATATATATATATATTGATGTAGAGAATCAATTGATTAATTTCTTTCTCAAATCAAATAGTTAATGAAAAAGTTTCTTTATTGTTTAGTGTCTCAACGTTAAGGATGATGTTAGTCATCATCATCATCATCATTCTCAAAATATTTCATTTTATCTTTTCGAATGAGTGCATATTTATATACCTGATGTTGAAGAACGATAAAAATTGCATGTCCGATTTATGATGTATGTTGATCGATATATGAGAGAAAACCAAATGGATGTAGATACGACGATGAAATCTTGTCAATATTATCAATAATACTATTATTGTTAGTTTTTCTTGTATGAGAAACCTTCGTCTTGAATTACTATAGATACTCCTACTCTTCGCCACGCATGCACATGCAAAGATAGGATGGATGAGAAATTCAAAATCAGTTTGTACTTTTTTTTCTTCTTTTTCTTATTCCACAATTTGCATAGAAAGAAAGAAGAACAGCTAGGAGAAATCAAGCAACAGATGCTAAGACGTACAATTGTACGTGAACTTGTTATCGTACCTGAATAAAAACATCTGTCTTTCAAGAGATCGAAATTTAACCAATGTAAAATTCATATATACGGAAAAAAGAAAATACTAATTCTCAATCAATTTATGATAAGAAAATGAAAAAGCATCTTATGCACAAAGAAGAAAAAAACACATACCGTCGACGAAATGAGTTTAGCATTGTTGCAATCGTATATTCGTTATGAAAGGAAAGTTAATATCAATGTTGTCGTATATTCGTATATTTTTTTCTTTCGTATAAAAAAATACAATACATCATAAATATTCGTCCTGTTGATTTTCATGCATTATGGTTGTTGTCAATGCATGCGTGGTGATTCAAAATAACTGTCGTGGCAGCGGGATAAATAGAGAAATACAAACGTATGACGACCAACAATAAAGCAGTGATGTGTATGCCTGCCAATGCCACTTTTATTCTCGTTCTCTCTTGTTTTTTTTTTCTCTTTCTTGTCACTTCTTAAAACACAGTTGACCGTCAGCTTTCTCTACTTGAATTTTTTGTGTTCGAAATAAAAAAAAAAAAGTGAAAAGAAAGCAGTGCGCGACAACGGGTCAATACATATATAAATAGATGCATTCTTTTGCCGTTTCTCTCGTGATTGAATTTTTTGTTAGTTCTCTTTTCTCGCCTCTCGGTGATAATTCAAGGAGGTACCACCATACCTGTATTCTATTGTGCGACTATTACTGTCGCCGGTCGAGGACACCGAAGAAGAAGAAGGAAAAAGAAGAAAAAAAATCAACGATGAACTTGACATTTCGTGCACAATACAACAACGAAAGAAAGAAATGAACTCTGTTATAATCGCCATTTATTTTGTCAATCATCGTAAAACTAATGTATACCTTCAACACGTAAACCTACAGTGTGCACCATATGAGATGACCTCTAATTACAATTGATGCAAGTTTATTACAATATATGTGTACATTCTAATATACAATCAGATGTCATCATTTTTTTCCTACACAGCTAGACTATTGCTAATAAAGGTCATAAAAAGTTCTGTGCGCTTTTATTGCAGAATCTTACTGATTGAATATAGCAACATTCTTTTTGAATACTTACTTTTCATTCATTTCGATTTTTAGTAGCAGACTAATATATTAAATATTTGGTTGTTCGCGTATTGTTAGTTTATAATATGCGCTAAAACTACATTTAATATGCAATAGAATAGCAATTAAAAGGGTCGTTGTAAACCAAATATTATTTCATTATCAATTTTTTCTTATATCTTCATCTCGTTCACGGCAATCGTAGACGTCTTTACCAGTAGACACGCCACTCGTCGATAGAAGAAAAAGAATTCACAGTGAAAAACATACCCGCAATCCTTTTTCCTATTCTCAGACACAAGAGGGAAATAAAACTGACTGAAACTAGCGAATCAGTTGTCGAGCAAAACATTTATAACATGATCAACGAAGACTAACAGATGGCTAGATAGCCAAAGAAAAACGTAGAAATAAATGGAAATAATTTAGAAGAAAACAAAAATGTCCTATGTCTGTAAGAATTCGACGCCAATGTAGCACGATAATGTATATATATATATTTATGTCTTATATAATTCTCAAAATAGTTCGAGAATGTCGCGTTCTATTTGATTGTTAAAACAGAAATAAACAAATAAATCATATTTAATGTTTCTTTACCTTGCTGAAGCACACGATGTTAAATGGCGTATAGAATGCCTAAAAGTGGAAGACATTGAACGGCTGTTGTCATATGATGAGTGGTTTTCTACGTAATTTCTTTGATCGTTCATATTATGATTTTCAATATGTTTTACATGTTTATAATGATTGTATACATTGTCTTTATGGTAGCCATCATGAATTTTATGCAATGTTTGCATGGTATTGTTTTTCGTTTTATATTGAATGTTCGTTTTTCATAGTATTGTTATCATCTTAAAAAATAAAATAAATTCAGGATTAACAAAAACAAGGACAGGTCAATTCAGGGTCATTCATCATCAAAAAAAGAAGAAAGTGAAAGTGAGATATGAACGACAAAGACGAAAAAGGAGAAGAAGAAGAGAAAAATGATGTATAATGTCCTCAATAAGTAAGCCAGTAAGGAACATCCGTTCATTAAACTTGAATATTGTATTTACTCGACGTGTACTTTAACACACAAAAGCTTAGCTTTATCAATGAATATGCATTTTGATGGCCGATGAGAGATAATGTATGAGTCATCAACGATAAATAGAATGAGAGATAGTATCATGTCGTCGTATTTGAATTTGAATTGAAATTGGAATATGAAATATCATGTTGTTGTTGTTTTTTGTCATATATAGACAGTGCTATTATTAAGAAATTCATCCAACGGAAAGTTTATTCGTGAAAAAGCAAAGATCAAAAGCGGGATATTTTTCTTATTGCTTCCTATTGTAAAAACACACAATAAAAAGAAACGCCTTTGGAACAAGTGAGACTCAACATACTATCAGTTTGTCACAAATAAAAGAAGAATATATGCTAGTCCAAAAAAACAAGCGAAACTGTATCTATACCCACATGCACAAAAAAAAACAAGTGAAAAAGCAAGAGAACATGATAAAATGACAGCGACGTGTCATTTATGCTAGTTGCATAGCTTAGTATTTTCGTGCTTCACAATCACGTGTATCGGATGTCTATTCTTCATTTCTATTTTATTTAACAACTCAACTTACACATTATTACTTACTATATGTCCCTATAGATATACATTAGGATTGGTGACTTTCTCTCGAGTTTTGTTTTCTCTTGTCGTGTATTTCTAGATAAGAATATCCCATACATACGAGCTACTATGTAAAAATGATAGAGTCGTAATAGTTTGAAAGTAATTTTTTTTTTACTAAAGTAAGAAACATACGTCATAGGTATTCACATAGATTACACCATTCTACGATTGAAATCATAATTATACTTCATAATGCAAAAGTACCTCAACATATACAATGGCTTTTTTTTCTAATTCAGAGTAGCCATTGGAAATTATACAGACAACTACATCAATTATTTGCTTGAATCAATCTTTAAAGTAATTCAAATTTTTTCGATGACGTGTGTGTATTTTAAGCATACACATTGGAAAAGAGTCCTAAAGAAATTTTTTAAATAACGAAAATATCCAGTATATTATTTGTTAAATTATCATCATTCTAAATATAGACCAAAATTGACGAAGATTATTAATGATTGTATAACTGTAATTTTTTTCAAAAATAATGAAATGGTTTCGATTTAAAATTATGATTGAGATCGATATTGTTTTCTTCATTTAAAATCGAATAATCTATAAATCGTCAGCGACCCAGACTATTAGATGCTTAGAATAAGATATTTTTCCGATTAAATGTATATAGCCAAGTAAAATAATCAGAAGTTAAATAAAATTTAAAAAAACTGCAATTATAATAAATTTCTATATAAAATAATTGACAAAATTGATGATTTAGAATAATATTATAACAAAAACTGATACTCGAGCGAGAAGAATCGAAGTAGAATTAATGATAAACCAACCTAGCAGCAAAGCCGAAAACTGATTTATATGAAACTCGTTGACGTCAGAAAATGTTTGTGAAATATTGTGCGTTTTTTCTTTATTAGGAAAATTATGATATTAAATAACCAATGAAATAAGAAAAGCTCATATTTGTCTGTCATGATGAATTAATAATAAATTTTATAACTACTTCATCAACAATATTACGATTCAAATAATCTTTCATGTTGAACTTGGAGTTGAATATAATGTAGTTCATTGTTTTTTTTTAATATAACTCATATATTCAGGGAATTTGCACGCGACGGAAGATTTTCTATTCCGTGATGAAAATGTTTTAGTAGAATATCGACGTCAAAAGATTGTTCTCAATTAATTATCCTTATAAAGTATTCTGAAAAACACCTAATTCTATATTGATGATATAATTTTCTTACATATGATAAATAAAATAGATACGGATGTTCAAATTGTAAATATATGACGCTAGATAATTATCGTTATAGAAGTACTTGTTGAACTCTCTTCAATAGATCGTCAAACCTTCATGATATAACGCTGTTGAATGAACAGCACCAATAGTGAAGCACATTATTATTACTGATTTGCTCTTATTTTTATAGTTCTGTTTATCCATAGAACACGTATCGCTTGAATATGTTGTATGCTTACAAACGATTGAATTGTTTGTCTCTGTAATGATAGTACATTAATCAAAGTAAACGAAGCGTTCAAAAGAAAAAAAATAACATTTAGTCTATAGTCTATTTTTTTCAAGATTCATCAAGTTAAGTGACGTCAAATTTGAGAACATATGGTGACAGAAAAATGGCTGAAGTTAGGCGTACTTAGAAAGCTCTCTAATGCTACTTAAACATTATTCTAATTATCATACTAGGATTTTTACTATCTATAGGCATAAGCAGTATGACATAAAAATATTGAATCCAACATGTAACTTAATAGTGCACGAGTAATTAGATAAATTGAATTTTAATTGTAAGAAAACACATTTAGTGGATTGTTAACCAGATTCACTGTTAAGTTTTTCTTTTTTTACACCCTATCCAATTCATTCAACTTACCTTTCATTTTAAGAAAAAGTCAAAAGAGTTATTGGCTTAATTTATAACCGTTTTTTTAGTTCAGTTATGATCTTAGTCGTTGACATTAATTTTAAAGCAAACATTGACTATTATATTTTTGAAAAAACAATAAATAACATGTTTCTACTTATCGTGTAAATCAACGTTACAGGCAGATTGAATGATCTGCTACTTTCGCTCTCAATTCACTAAAAATTATACATCTACTAGTTTTGCTCAGCATCTATCAGGTTCGATACAAGTTATACTGTCATTTATATTAATTGAATAAGGATTTTTCTGCAATAAATACGTCTAATACTGTTTGTACGCAAACACAACTGACTCTGATTACCTCCGAACTATTTATAATCAAACTGAAAAAACTCAGCAAGGCAAGACTCGAGCAATTATCAACTTTTTCGTAATCCCAACGCAATTTATCTTATTCAACTATAAATACTCTTTTGAAATCTGAATATCTAATTTCATAATGGATAAGATCTACATCACACCTACAGTTCCACGAAGAGTTTTTCTTGATCCCCTTATAATGATAGATATGGCGACATCTGCCACTTCAAAAAGTGAGATTTAAGATTTTATTCTCTGGTTGATAGGGCCAAAAACTGAAGTTGTTATTTCCGAAAAATAAAATACCTCCAAAACCTTTTGACAGCCATACAACTCATAGACAGTGATGCTCGTTGCCAATTGGTTGATTTCTTTCAAGACAAAGAGAACAAGAGAAAGACTTTCGAGACAATGGTTCTTTGATGGATTCAGATTCAGAAACAAAGACAAAACATTCTAAGAAAAAAGTGGCACAGAAATTTGCACAACGAACAACATGAGTGAAAATTCATTTCTATCCTATTGATATTCATTTTTAGATATTGGTATAATAGGAATAGCGATCGTTTGAAGCAACTTCTTAGAATCGTTCATTATCCTATATATACATTGCTTTTGTTACTACATTTACAATGAACAAATCCGTTAGTGATGCGCCAAATAAGGCAGAAGAAACCTATCAACTCCTTGAACAACTCGACCATATACTTAAACGCCCTGAAACATATATTGGCTCAAACAGACCATGTCGCGAAGTAACTATCTCCACTTCTTTATGTTACTTGTACAAAATGCGATTATTTAGGAAATGTGGACTGTTGACGAATCAGGAATAGAAGGTCCGAGAATTGTTAAAAAAGAAATAACCTATGTTCCTGGTCTCTACAAAATATTCGATGAAATTCTTGGTAACAAAGAAATAGTTTGAATTTTGTCTATATATTTTTTGAAAAATTTATTTTATTTAGTTAATGCTGCCGATAATAAACAACGTGATAAAACCATGTCATCCATCGAAGTTGATATTAATCAGTACGTAAATGAATACATATTTTTTTGTTATATATTCGTTCATTTCCTCTTTCATAGAGAAAAAGGTGAAATAAAAATTTGTAATGATGGTCGTGGTATTCCTGTTCGTAAATGGGCACAAGATGAATCTATTTACATTCCAACATTAATATTCGGCAAACTTCTTACATCAGATAATTTTAATGACGATCAAAAACGAATCACCGGTAAGATAGCTTTAGTAATGTCAAATTCTTTTCGCTACTTACTTTCTTTTTCGAGGTGGTCGAAATGGTTATGGTGCAAAAGTAACAAATATTTTCAGTAAGAAATTTACCATTGAAACATGTTCGAAAGAATTTAAAAAAATATTCAAACAAGTATGTTAACAATTTTGAATGTTTTCTTTTTAACGTAGATAACACAACTTCTTTAGACTTGGACAAATAATATGCGTGATCCACAAGATGCCGTCATTACTAAGGCTGAAGGTTCGAAAGAATTTACTCGTATTACATTTGTACCAGATTTAAAACGATTTCAACTGGACACATTAGATGATGATCATGTTGCGTTATTTAAACGTCGTGCTTATGATGTTGCTGTATCTACTGGTTGTAAAGTAACACTCAATGGTCAACGTATTCAAGTTAAAACCATGAAAGATTATATGTTAATGTATGTTGATGTTGATGAAAAAGAAGTTGTTTATAAAAAAGTCAATGATCGTTGGGAAATTGGTATTGCTAAAAATGATCATAATAATGGTTTTACACAAGTTAGTTTTGTTAATTCAATTTTAACATCAGAAGGTGGTAAACATGTTGATTATATAACTGAACAAATTTGTCCTAAACTTGTTGAACAGATAAAGAAGAAAAGTAAAGCTGCTGCTGAAAACCTTAAACCAGCGCAAGTTAAAAATCATTTATTTCTTTTTGTTAATTGTTTAATTGAAAATCCTGAATTTGAATCTCAAGCAAAAAAACAATTGGCAACTGAAAAAAAGAATTTCGGTTCAACATGTTTAATAAAGAGCGATGAAAATTTTCTTAAAGATATAGTAAAGAAAACTGGCATCGTTGAGTCTGTTATTAATTGGCTTGAACATCGACAAGATGCAAAATTACATAAACAAAGTGGCACTAAAACATCTAAATTAAAGGGTATTCCAAAATTGGATGATGCAAACGATGCTGGTACTAAAAATTCTGTTAATTGCACTTTAATTGTAACTGAAGGAGACTCAGCTAAAGCATTGGCTGTTGCTGGTCTTGGAGTTATTGGTAAGGAAAACGAAAAAAAAAACGATCATTCATTAATTAAGCATATTTTTTTGAATAGGTCGTGACCGTTATGGTGTTTATCCTTTGAAAGGTAAACTTTTAAATGTACGTGAAGCAACAACAAAAAAAATGACGGAAAATAGTGAAATATCACAATTAGTAAAAATTCTTGGTTTAAATTATGGTGAAAAATATGTAAACAAGAGCGATTTATCAAAATTACGATATGGAAAATTGATGATTATGGCTGATCAAGATCAAGATGGAAGTCATATCAAAGGTCTTGTTATTAATTTTATTCATTACAAATGGCCTAACTTGCTTAAACATGATTATATTGAAGTTTTCATTACTCCAATTCTTAAAGTAAGAATTTAATTTTAATTTTATAATACTCCTAAAGACAGTGTTCGTATTCGATATGCATCCGATATTTCTTTTCCCCTCGTGTACGTTTACTTATTCAGTACAGTGAATGCCTGATTTTCGCCAGTTTTTCTTTTTTCGATTGGTAGCTCGAAAAACATTCGGGAAGATGTATTTGATATTTGAAGAAGTTGAACTATTTACGTCATATTAAGTACTAACTTGCATACCAAGTAGTTATTGTATCATTCAATATTATATGAAGTTTTTTTTTGTAAATTGTCACTGTAGTATAGTATGATTATATTGAAAACTGTCAGATGTTGATTGTTATGAATTAATCATGATAGTGACGATAGATATGGATTCGTTTTGCTTTCTGATTGATATTGAATGATTGTTAACATTCGCTAAAAGATTAATTTTTTTATTAGGTATCAAAAGGTTCTGAAGTTATTTCATTTTATTCAATGCCTGAATTTGAACAATGGCAAGCAGCAACAACAAACTGGCAAAAATGGAAATGCAAATACTACAAAGGTTTTTTTTGTTCAATATTCTGAACCAGAATAAATTATATATTTTTTTTCCAAAAAAATCATAGGTTTGGGTACATCGACAGCAAAAGAAGCCAAAGAATATTTTTCAAATATGGAACGTCATCGTATTTTATTCAAATATGAATCAACGAAAGATGATCTCGCTATACAATTAGCATTTAATAGTGCATTGAGTGATGATCGTAAAGATTGGATTAAATGGCACACTGAAGATGTTAATCAACGACGTGAACAAAATTTACCTGCTGATTATTTATATCGAATAGATACAAAACAGATTAATTTCAATGACTTCGTTAATAAAGAACTAGTTCTTTTTTCGAAGTCAAGTACAGAGCGTGCAATTCCAAATGTTATGGTAAATAAATCCAAGACAAATTTGAATTGTACTTGAAAACGATAAGATTTTTGTTTAGGATGGTCTTAAACCTGGTCAACGTAAAATTATGTTTGTATGCTTCACTAAAAATATAGTTCGGGAAATCAAAGTAGCACAATTAGGTGGTAAGGTAGCTGAAAATTCAGCATATCATCACGGTGAACAATCGTTAACAAATACAATTGTTGGTCTCGCACAAAATTTCGTTGGTTCAAATAACATTAATTTTCTTGTACCGGCTGGTCAATTCGGTACACGTTTACATGGTGGTAGTGATGCTGCTTCAGCTCGTTATATTTTTACTCGACTTAGGTAACAGTTAAAGAATTACTTCCATAGGTTATTAACTGATAATGTTTATTTTAGTCCACTTGCATTATCGTTGTTCAGTAAAAATGATGAACCATTATTAACATACTTGAATGAAGATGGTATGGGTATTGAACCTGAATGGTATTGTCCAATAATTCCAACTGTTCTTGTCAATGGTGCACACGGTGTTGGTACAGGTTATTCAACTGATATACCATCTTATAATCCATTAACATTGAGTAATAATATGAAATATTTTATTCGACAAGAACGTGAAAGACGACGTCAACTTAATAATCCAACAAGTGAACCAATAAAATACTCTGATGTTATTACATTAAAAGAATTAATACCATGGTTTAAAAATTTTACTGGCGAAATTAAATTGTTAGATAATGATCGTACACGTGGTGTTACTAATGGTGTTTGTGCTAAACTTGATGACACAACCTTTGAAATAACAGATCTACCTGTTGGTACATGGACACAAAATTATAAAGAAACCGTACTCGAAGAAATGCTTCATCCGAAAAAAAATGATAGAGCACCAAGTATTATGGATTATAAAGGTTTGTTTATATTTCTAGTCTAGTAAGACAGTCATATCAACTTATTACGAAAATATTTGAAATTATTCATTTTTAATATACACTGTTTGTTTTGATTTTTCTAATAGAATATCATACGGATACGACTGTTCGCTTTGTTGTAAAATTATCAAAAGAACAATTTGCTAAATTTCAAGAAGCTGGCCTTCATAAAAGTTTCCGTTTACAAGATACATTTAAACTAACTAATATGGTACTTTTTGATCATAATGGTATTTTACGTCGTTATAAAACCGCTGAAGAAATTGCTGCAGAGTTCTTTATGGTTCGTCTTCAAATGTATGATAAACGAAAAGAATATATGGTTGGTACATTGAAATCACAATGTTCAAAATTAGATAATGTAGCAAGATTCATTAAAGAAAAAATTGAAAATGTTATTAGCGTTGAAAATAAGAAAATCAGTGCTGTTATTGATATGCTTGTTGAACGAAAATATGCTCGAGATCCAGAAAGAGTTTGGCGTGAAGAAGCAAGAAAAAAAGTAAGAAATAATTTATTATTTAAGCTTAAAAATGTATGAAATTTTTTTGCTTTCAGTTTGCTATTGAACTTGCTACACATGCTGTTCATGAAGATACAGATCAATTAGGAGATTTACAACAAAAACAAGAGGATGAAGACAACGATGATTTAGACGACGATGATACTACTAAAAGTAAAAAGCCGAAAGCAACAACATCAACACATCAAGTTGATACAAGTTATTATGATTATTTAATAAATATGTCTCTACGTAATTTAACAAAAGAACGTCGAGATGATATCCTTAAAGAACAAAAAGAAAAACATGCTAAACTTGATGCTTTAGAAAAAAAATCTCCTGAAGACTTATACGAAGATGATATTTTAAATTTTGAAGCTGAATATCGAAAAGTATAGTTTAATTTTCTATTCAATTATATAAAAAGATTTATACGTTTTTTGAATTTTAGACAATGGAAAAAGAACGTGTTGATGAAATGTCTGGAGTTGCACATCCTACAACAAAGAAAGCAGGTGGTGACAACAAAGCTCGTAAACGACAAACAACGAAACCACAGCGTGCTGAAACAAGACCAGCTCCAAACGGTCAACGTATAGCACCAGTTATTGATCCTGCATTAGTGAAAAAAGCCAATGAAGAAATTCTCAAACGTAGTAAAGTACGTTATTTCATATTTGGTTTTTTTTTTTTGAATGTAAAGTTTTCATTTTTCTAGGAAGAAAAGACTGTTGAAGATAAAAAATCCATTATCGAATATCTTACTAAGGAAGGTGTTTCAGCAGAAGATATAACTTCCATTATGCAAACACGTTGTAGAGAAAAGAAGAAGATTGGCGGTGTTACAGGTTAGAATTTTTAGTTCAATTCAATGTTCTTATATTTTTAAATCCGGTTCATTTTTTTCTTCTAATATTCTTTTATGTAGAAAAGAAAGCAAGTGAAAGCAAAGAGAAAAAATTAAATGGTACCATTGATGAAAATAATGAGAATAGTAATGCATCAATGATGTCTGTTGATGGTCATGATAATTCAGGTGTAGTTAAAGAAGAAGTATCACCAAAACGAAATGCAAAGCGTACAGCAAAAGAAAAAGTTACAAAATATGATGCAGATAATGATGTTGATGAAGAAGATGAAAGTTTTATACGTGGAATGCAATCTGATGATAATGAATCCGATTATATGGGTAGTGATTCAGAGACCGAAAAAAAACTTAAAAAAGCAATTACTAAACCAAAACAGATTCGAAAGCCTAAATCAGGTAGTTTTGTATTTTATTCAACAGAAAAATGATTATATATTTCTGTTTGTTGTTATATTTTAAGCTACATCTAATAATGCATCAACTCCCATTAAGAAGAAGGTATGTCATATCAAGTCTTGATTGATATATACAATGCAATAACATTCTTATTTTGTAGGCAACTGCTAAGAAAAACTCATTAGATGTTTCGACGGATGACAATCAAAAGAATGATGAATCATCACCAAAGAAGAAAACAGATAAACCGAAAAAGCCTACAGTATGTTAACATTGCTAGTGTGATTGGATTTTTGTTTTTCGTATGCATTAATCTTAATTGAAATATTTCAGGTTAAAAAAGAGTCAGATGCAACGAAAAAAAAAGAAACTATCAAAAAAGAACCCAAAAAGGCAGTCAAAAGACCTAAACCATCTGTAAGTATAGAAAATAATTAATAAGAAAATATCGAGTATAAACTTCATGCTATTTATAGGATAGTGATGAAGAGGATATTCCGATTTTATCGAATACACCAACACCGACAAAAAAAGTAAAATATGATCATTAGTTTTTTATTTCAATTTGAATGTTTTTCTTTTTGTTTAGTCCCGTACGCAACGTACAGTCGCTGCTAAAAAAAGTTATCATATCTCCGATGATGAAGATATGGATGATGAAGATTATGAATAATTTCTCGTTTTACTTTTATATATGTATATATAGATATATATGTATATAAAATCACACCGTAGATGGATTATTTTTTGTTGTAAGACAACGAAATCGTTTATTCATTTGAATGTATTTTTGTTTGTTTGTGGCATTAATTTTGCGTAGTTAAATAAAATGGAAATGTCTGTTTGTAATTCTATTTTCTTTCTCAATGATTATGAAAACAAAATAAAAATGTGTTTTTTTTCCATTGTATGAGATTAGAACATATCAGTGAAACGAGAAAAAAAACGAACAAGAAAAAAAACCAAAATTAGAGCAAAAAAAGACAAATTTCGTTTTTTTGAACAAAGTGAAATCAGGCACAGAAAAAAATAGAAATCAATGACACTTTTTCCTTTGTTTTTTTTTTTCTGTCAACAAATATATCATCACACAGAAGATCGTTTGACATCGAGTCGATATGGAGTCAACTCAATATCTTGTCGAAAACGAGAAAGCATTGTTTGTAGTCTCGTTTGAGATAGAATATTCTCAGTATTGTTAGTATTATTCACACTTGTTGCTTGCTCATATGTTGGTTTTAATGAATTAGTGGATGCGGATGTATGTATAGGAGGACGAGACATCGATGAATTAGAAAACGGGGGTGGCCAACTCATCACAGGAGAATCATCGATAGATGATTTAACTCCAAGTGCCGATGTCGTTGTTATCATTGGCGATAATGCTGTTGATGTTTGCAAATGATAATCAGTATTGGACGGTTTCGTCGTTGAAAACGTTCGTCGAACTACAATTGAATCTAAACGTTGCATTGGTACAAGATGCGCTATTTTCCCAGGCATACGGCGAACTGTAAATTTTTTACGCTCTTTCTTTTGACGTTTCAAACATGAAAAGCAATGACATGGCTCTGATTCGGATGGTGTTAATTCAGTTGATAAATATTCGAATTGTTCAGAAGATGGATAAGGAATGAGAGTACCTAGGATAAATCATTACAATAATATAAATATGTTCTTTTAAATACTATCATTTAAATTTCTTTTACCATTTGGACTAATTAAATCACTATCAAATCGAAGGGAATTACGTGCTACTGCTGATTGAATTTCTTCACGACGTTCATCCTCAGTATTCATTGTTAAAAATCTTAGAACAAGTAAATTCATGGATGAGGCAACAACAGTTAAACCAAAGAGAATAAATGTCATGGCTAGAACAACGTAAAAAATATTGGTATTCAATGCTTCATTCGTTTGTAAAGCAACGAAATCGCCAAAGCCTGTTAAAAGTAACAAGAGTATTTCTATTATTTTTTGAGGAAAAAATTAATTAGAATAAACTTTACCTATAGTTGTTAGGGTTATAAAACAATAATATACACAATCAAAATAGTCCCATGATTCATAATGACTAAACATTGCGGCACCACCTGTAACAACTCCAACAGCTAGTGCAGTACCAACAATAACAAGTTCAGTTTGAGTAGTTTCAAAGTGACGTAATTTAATACATTTTTTTATTGTTTTAATACACCAGCTAGCAAAATTATTTAGACGCTCACCGACAGATTGAAACATAACAAGACAAAGTGGAATGCCAATAACGGCATATAACATACAAAATGATTTGCCCCATACTGAATAAAATAATAGAAAAATAACAATAAATAACAACTGAATATTTAACTCACTTGTTGTCGGACAAGAATGACCGTAGCCTAGAATAGAAAAGAAAACATATGATAAAATTCGAGCGATTACTTAAATATCTAAACATGTTAATTTTTTTATTGTTGTAACTGTTCCTAATCCACATAAGTATACTTACGTTTTCAAGTATTTCAAGAGAGACAAGAAAAAAATCTTACAGTTTTTATTTTTAGTTAAAATCGCAAATAAATAGCACATATAGCAAAATTATAACTTCGAAAAGTAATTTTATAACCGAACTGACAAATCACAATAAAAAAAAACAACATATTTTGATTAGAACTTTATTATCACGATGTAAACAAAATTATGTTAAATCTGTGTTTTCAATAATATCAAAACATTGGAAAAATGCTAATTTATTTATACTTTATAGAATTACCTTAAGTTTTGTTAGTTTTCAAGAAAAGATATCGACAATAAGTGATGATGTGCTTTTTGTGTATGTAAAGAAATGTAACCTGTTCAACTGATATTTATTTTTATGATTTCAAATTTTAGCCCAGTCTTTTTTTAAACACAACATACAACAATGGTGTTTATTAAAGAATATTTTAAAGACATGAATATTTCATGTCACGAGCCTATTCGCAAAGAATCTGATGTTTACTTAAGTAAATATTATGTTAGTGTTGTAATATTAATATATATATATATATATATATATATATATACATACATATTTATTTATTCTATTGGTTTCTCTCTTTGCATACTGAAAACATTTGTCTTGTATTAAAAATATTGTCATCCCTTTTCATATTGACAGTTATCCAGTTGAATACAAGAACTAATAGTACACAGCTGTTAATTATCTACGGACACGTTTAAATATAGACAAGCATGATAATAATAATAGTAATTCAATGGACAGAAGAATGATTTGCGTCTCATCTTCAGATCATTACCTCGACATGTATAGCATAGTATATACTTATGTGTGTATATACACGAAATAATACTGTTTCATTGACGTCATTGGTAAGACTAACATTCTATCAGCATGATTTTGACAAGCATCTTTCTCCCTCTCCCTCTCTTGTTCTGCCAACGAGCAAATAGATTTGTGTGACAGGACGCACTCAACAGAGTCTAATGACTCGAACGTCATCAGTAGCAATGGGATCTAGTCTCTGCTCTCGTCTTCCCTTTGGCGGAAAAAAAGAATGAGATTCGTGCACGCGTGCACAACGAAGATTAGCAAACATCGTTCAAGTTGCACCCATCCAAACTTCTTCTCTCCTTCCTTTTTGTCTTCCAAACCAGAAAAATACCACAATCAATTGTAACTAGCAACTCACAGTAGGAGTGCATCAAAACAATTGGAAAACAGCTCTATAGACGTCAAATAAGAATCGAGGCCAAACTCGATACATACTATAATCGTTTTTTTTTGTGTTTCTAAAACAATGAAAAAACGAGAAAGAAAGAAAAACTATGTGATGAGTTTTTTCCTCTCTCAAACAAACACATTCCTGACGTATGAATATGTAACTGAATTTTTTAATCAGTAAATAGAAAAATCCGATGAAATTGCGAGTCGTCTTAATTGACACGCAATGTATGACTTTTCTTGTCACTTTTTCTTTAGTCTCGTCGGAAATTTAGATAAATATACCGAAAAAAAAACCATCACAAAAATTATCTGTATCAAGACAAAAACAGATTTAAAATACTTAAGATATAATTTAGAGATATAAAAACATTATTGAATTGCTTTTCTCACCTATAGTTGTAATGACAGTAAGCGAAAAATAGAATGCTCCAGGAAATTTCCATTGTGCGCCGGCTTTATGTGGCTGATATTTAATAACAATGTCTTCAAGTTCAATATATTCACTATGAGATATATTGTATGAAAGGAGCATGCTCGCTTCGGCCGTTTGATATTGTTTGCGCAAGAAATCTTCTGTATTTGATTCGAGCGCGTCAAATATGGCGGCACCAACCAGCAGATAGCTAAATGCAAAATAATATACATATATATATATATATATATATATACACATGTATATAGATAAATTATTTTTATTTTTATCAGCATACCTGAACGTCGAAACAATGAGTGTTAAGGTACGAACGTTCTGCTTTTTCATACTCGCGTCATCAACGCACTGACTCTGCCAGCATTAAATTTCCGGCAAGACTGTGCATATGATATTGTGTTTTTTTTGTCTTTGATCACCGGGCTAACTTGTTCTTTTAAATCTTTTGTATTTCTGCTGTTGTTCTATTATGTGTGATGAACACGACAGAAACCTAAAAATATTCTTTTGTTATCGTTGCTGGATGCGAATGGATGGATCAATGTCAACAATCGAGTTCAACAACGACAAGAATAAGTATAATGTACATCTGTTTGAGTTAATAGTATAGGATGACGATCACAAACGGTGGTGGTAGCCTTAGTCTTGTTGGAATGATTACAGAGAAAGAAGAAAAAGAAAAAAAAGCAGAAGAAGAAATAACAACACACATTATATACGACAACAAGTTGCAGCAATACGAGTAGGGAATCGGCGTTGAGACTATGGCCAATGTCGATGAGATGTATTGACATGAGTTCTTATCGATAGAATCTGTAACGCATGATAGAAAAAGAAAGAAAGCTAAATGATATTCGATAGATAATGTGGCACTTTAATAGTTTATATATTTATTTTTATCTGTATGTTTGCATGAATATCATCTATAGCTGAATGTGTATATGTTTGGGTGTTCAAAATATGGGTGACAGTAGTAGAAAAAAAGTCAGCCAAAATGAGACAGAGCAGAATAACGACCATTTGGGGAGAGTGGAGAAAGAACGAAGGATCTGACACGCGTACACATATATGAAGCGAGGACGAGCAGTCGTCTGTTTTCTTTTCTTTGTTTTTTGGAAATAGTGCCGAACCGGCCAAAAAAAAGAAGCAGCAACAATGCGCAGAAACCTCCATCATCCTTTTTTTTCCTATTCTTCTTCTATTTTTCGCCTAGCTTTCTTCCCCGTCTCTCTCTCTCTCTCTCTCTCTCATCTTTCCTTCGTGTCGTTTCCATCATTTTTTAGATAGGCAGCGCGCAGTAAGGAACAGAAGAATGATGATGGTGATGGCGACAACAACAACAACAACAACGTTGTCGATGACAAAAAGACGACGCTACAGTAATGATGATTATGATGATGACAATGATACAAAGAGCATCCCCAACTCTACAAGAGCGATAGCATGCTGATTTGCAAAAGCGAGTATATAGGCCAGCTCGCTCGTTCTGCACGATAAGAAACAGAGGCGCCGATGATGATTTTCAGATCACTTGCTTTTTTTGTTCTATTTTATTGTGTCCTCTCTATGTTCTATGTATGTATGCGTCTATGTAGTAAATTTGCAAACGACCGAACGCAAGCATGCGAGGAAGCACATCAACAAACGCTTGCGGACATTCTAATTTATTCAATTCCTTTCTTATACTACATAACTGTTGCTTATTCTTTCTGTCAAACGAAGCACATACAAGCTGGTGAAGAACAAGACGAAAAAGATCCTCGTGCCAAATACAGAATTGCAATAAACCTCGATGTCGATAGAGCGGTGGGGATGAGGATGGATGGATAGATAGAGAGATAGAGGGATAGATAGTTGGATAGAGCTTCGAGCGGACGCTCATTCTCGCGTTAAACGATTTTCAAGAGAGGAAACAAGCTTACATAGACGGTAGATACTTGAAGATCATCTACTAATACACATCAGTTTTCTTCTTCCTTTTTTCTTGGTTCTCATAGTCCTTACATACTACAAGATGCAGCTGTTGCGATTTGATGTCGTCTAAACATTATTATCCTTCTTTTTATGCACATCAACAGCTTTCAAATAAATGACGTCATTCTTACCTCCTGTATACATTAATCAATACTGTTTGAAATAGACATAAATTTTTCAAAATCAAACCATCTTACATTATTTAATAGTATTATTCAGTAAATGGAAAAAATTACACGTCAGATACTATAGAGTATTTTTGTCACTACTATGGTGCTTATGTGCATGAAAATCAATTAGATTTTTCTATAGAGAGTGTAAAACAAGTTTTGATTTCCTCAAGCGATGTGTTTTTCACGTGAGCTTTTCCTGGCAACGACTAATACACGTAGTATATACCAACAATGTATTTATATTTAATGTATTGCAGAATTATAATTTTATAAATATATTTGTTATAAAATCAGAAGAACTATGAAAATTGTAAAATTTTTCGAAATATTTCTTCCAATCGATTGTATATTTAATCAATAATTTCAACGAGAAAACAATGATCAGAAGAAATCTTACAAGTCGAACTTCTTTAATAGAAAGAAGAACAAGTTTAGACATAAATATTTTGTACGTTTATTTTTTACTTATGCGCTGATGCATGCCATCGATATCTGCTCCTATATTATGGTGAATGTGATAACTTACCAGTATAGATTATTATTATTTGTGATTTCTACGAGTTAAAATTCTGTAGAAGTCAGTTTTAGTTCATTTCTAAAGCTCGACTTTACTTTAACTTAGAAAATTTGTCATTTCCCGTCGATTAATTCTGCCATTTAAAAAAAGTATATTATTTCACTGTTTAAATAATGTTCTATTAGAATATTTTGTTACTTGCAAACGTTCATTGTATCAAAGCAAGAAAGGTTTTGAAATTTCTTTTACTACACATAATAATAATAACAATAATAATAATAATAATAATAATAATATTGTTGTATGATAAAAATCCAAGAATAAATTTACAGTAGAATAAAATTTACTCATAGTGGAACAAATACTAATACGACCATTACTGTCTTTTTCATACCGCTGGGTTTCAAAAATAATTCATAAAAATTTTTATAATTTCAAAGTTAATGATAATTCTATTTAAGAAATACGTACAAACTTAATATTCTAGCATACAGCAGATCAAGACATAGTGTGCATATACTACGAAGATCAGCGTACACTAGTATGAGCTTATAGGAAAAAAAGAATATTACTATTGGGAATCAAAACTCAATTTACCTTTTATACATCTATGTGTATCATCAGTAGTTTTATCTTGCACCTACAACAATTTATTAGAATGTGAAACAATTGTTTCGTTTTTCTCTCTTGCCTACAACTAGAGAAGCGACCACTTGGCCTTGTGGCTTGCAATATATGGTTATGTCTGTATGAGACGGGTGTCGCCAAGTAGTCTTTTTTTTATTGCTTATGTTTTCTTTCTTTTTTCAGCTGTCTCATTGAATCATCGATCTTCATTAGACATGTGGTCGACAAGAATACGATCGATTCTCGAAAGGAAGTAATATTCGATGGTGATCCAGATTCTCTCTCTCTCTCTATCTACAATGATGATCAATGAGACAAATCATTAGAAAAAATAATGACATTTTGTGTATCCCTTTATTTTTGTGAATTTGTTCTCTACTCATGACAAGTTGCTTCTGTTAAATATTTAATCTACATATTCCTAATCTGTTATATTTTCTAGATGAAAAAATTGGATTCTATATCTGTAGTAGAAATCTATGATTATATAAAGAATATATTGAAGCTATATATATTTCCTATATTACATTAATCATTAAATTCATGCAATGATTACTAAAATGCCATCTTTTTAAGTCACATAACATGATTTAATCAAAATTATGTAACAAGAATTTGACAAAAAAATGAATGCCTATCATGTATTTCTTGTTTTTTTTTCGAAATCTGAATAACAAAATGTACGATCTACATATGCGTCAAATTTAGCTTAGGTGAATACGATGCTAACATGCACAATAATTTTCGTTTTTCATTACTTTACAATCGTTAGTGATGAAACAAGTTGTCGGCCTTTTTTTTGTTTTTATTTTTCTTGTTTTCTTCTTGTTCCTTTCCATATTATTCTTCGTATGATGCTCGCTTTTTACTACTTTTTTTTGCTGCCAAACGAGTGTTTTTTTTCTTTACTTACCTTTAGCTACGTCGTCGCAATGGTTTCAGATGATAGCCAAATATCTACGCAGAATAAATAACCATGTGAATGTAGAATGTATGAGACGTGATGCGGGAATCTGACTTTTTTTCTTCTTCCAATCTTTTTCTCGCTGTCGTGTTTTTTCTTCTTCATAGAATATTCTGTAGCAAATAGTCATGATCGAGGAAAAAAGTTATTCATAAGAAGACCATTAAAAAGATCATTTTTTTTCCGATTTATTTTGTCTGGTTATTTTTTGTGCTATGTATGCAATGATTTTTATTTTACAATTTCCTTTCTATTTTTGTTAATTCTTTTAGTTTATTTTTCTAATAGATGGCTTTTACGGAGAATCAATCACAATTTAATCGACGCTTGCGAACATGGCCTTTTCGAAGGCATCGCACCGCTTCTAACGGAAGTACTGATGGCAAAATTGATCGCAAAATAAGATATAATTCGGAACTAGATCTAACACGTTATGAACTATTAAGACCAATATTTATGACAGATTCATCAAAAACTATGGAAATTAGTGAACGAGATATTTCTCAGGATTCTGCTACTATATCGATGAATACAGGGTAATAATGAAAGAAATCGATCTTCTTTTTCTCTCCAATAAATTGAGTTTTTCAAAATAATTTTATCCGACGCTTGACATTTCGATTTCCTTATCTATAGTTTTATTTCATATATTGCAACCAGCAAAAAAAACAGTTTTCAGATATTATTTTTCAGTCAAAATATTTATTGATTAAACAGCTTTTTTTTCTAGAGATTATTTGATGTTTGAGACAGGCTGAACTAACATATACTCTTTATCAAACGTCAATAATAAATCATCATGTATAATAGTATCAAGTTAAACTATCACTCACTATTTATTGTCTCATTTCATGGCCAGAACAAGAAAAGCAGAGAAGAATAAAGTTTTCTTTTATACTAAAAACTTTCAATATCACAACAATGTAAAACATCTTAACAAGTGCACGTTCTCTGTAATAGTAATAGTCGAGAGAAACAAATGACCAATTAATATGCCTTGAAATTTCTCATGAATACATTAGTTTTCATGCAATGTCTAGGTTGATGTGCATACAATACTTAGCAAGAAAGAAAAACCTTATGTATTTAAATATTTAGAACAGTTTATACATAAACCGATGAGTTGATATGGACTCGAAAAGAATTAATTTTAATAATTGATTAAGCATCAATAAATACGATAGATTTCTTTTTCTTATTACTAGAGCAAATAAAACATTTGAGCACATGAAACATGAATAAATTTCTTCTAAAATTTTTTTTTCTGAATTATTAATTTTAGTAATGTAATAACAGCAAGTTATCGAAAAAAATCTATTCATACTAAAACTCTTCATGAATGTCCTATATGCTGTAATAGTATACAACTGAATGAATTAAAACAAATGTCATGTTGTTCAATCAAACTTTGCTCGTCATGCCTTTTAATGCATACAATAACAAATATTAATAATGGAATAATGAACATTCAATGTCCAGCATGTTCACAAGATTTTAATTCTTCAGCAATATTATATAATAATGAATTACCAACATCCATACGTGAACGTTATCAACAACTATTAGCACAACAATTATCTGAGAAACAGAATACTTGTCTTAAATTATGTCCTCATTGCAATTTTATAACTATACTTGATGAAGATAATCCATTGGTAACAGGAAAAAAATTACACCGATCATTTCAGCAATGGATACATTGTGAACAATGTAATCAAGATTGGTGTTGGTCGTGTTATTCTCCATCACATCCAAATGAAACGTGTCGAGAATTCAAAAAAAATCATAGTCAACTTGATGTATGGGCAAAAACACGTCGTACAGATGATAGAAATCAACGTAATGCACAACGTTGCCCAAAATGTTCAATTTATATTGAAAAAATTGACGGTTGCGATCATATGATATGTGGCAAATGTAATTCAAAATTTTGCTATCGTTGTGGTTCTAGAATGAGATTACCATTTTATATTGGACATGATGCAAAATATTCAATATTTGGTTGTAAATATAAACTGTGGCCAAAACGTCCATTATTACGTTGGCTTATCCGTGGTTCAATATTTACTGGCGTAATTATTTTAACTCCAGTGGTGCTTGGTACATTTATTGCACTTGTTGCTGTTGGAATTCCAACGATTCTTGTTATTGGTTGTTTCGCGTTACCTTTATATCCATGCCTCAAATGTAGAAAACGACACTAGGAAATGTTTACAACGAATTATTCATTTGGCAAAACCGAGAATCATTCGAATCGTTTTCTTTCTCTTTGATATTTCTATTCTTATTCAAAAATAATATGATTTTTAACTGTCTTTCATGAAAGTTGTAAAAGATTGCTTTGTTCTCATGTTTACGTGTTATTTTTCTCCGCCGCTGTGATAAAAAAATGATTTATTGCTTTTTGCCATTCAAATGAATGTAAATTATGTTTATTTGTAGATATTTGGTAGAAGTTAATGAATACAGTGAACTCGAGCGTGTATATTAATAATTCTTTTTTCATTAAATGAAAAGAATAGGAAATTTAAATTGCTTTTTAAGTTGCGTATATTTTATTGACTTCAAACAGAGTTCTTTCTATCTTTCTTCAGAACATTTGCGGCATAATATTTTACTTTTGTGCGAATAAATAATTTGATAAATTTAACTTTATATTTTTCCAAAAGAAGAAAGAAATCGTTCTTGATTTGGATATTTAATTTGTATGCATGCTTTTGAAAAAAACATCATAGATTTGAAATGCTTCATAATCAGATTTCGATGCTTTTTCTAATGAAAAAAACTTCGTGACTATTCTACCTTTTTTTTTTGGTAGTTCGAACGCTTTGCAAACACAAGCTATAGCTATCCTTGTAAGAAAACTATAAACAAAAGCGTAAGATGAAGAAAGTATTTATATGATGGTTTGAAAGCAATTCATTAGGATTTTTTAGAATACTAGTTAATAAAATAAGAAAGATGTAAAATAGAACAAACTCTACGCGTTTTGTCTCTTCAACGTGTTAGATGTTGCGAATTTTCTTTTTCAAATCATACGATTATTGTCATCTAGAATTCTGTGTAGAAAGGTCATGCACTGTAATAACAAAATCTTGCAAATAGAAAATCAAAAAATAATAGCTTTAACATACGGTAAAATTGTTCACAATAACAACAACGACGAATCGATATTAATTTCTTTCTATCTATCCAATGGCGTTTCTCTGGATTACAAATGGTATCGTAAGAACGTAAAATTTTTACTTTTTATTTCTTTGTCCAGCTTCAAGATAATTAAAACAATGACAGCAACAAACGCTCGCCGTCAATCACTTGGCTTAGAACAATGACAGGCCATGACAGATAATGAAGGAGAAAGAGAATTAAACGATCAATCAATACGAAGTACTCGTCAACGAAAGCTTGATAACGATTAATAGAGCTTTCTTGTAGTAATCAAGTTCTTTGTTGGTATTTAACACATTCTTTTAGACTTTGACTGAATAATAGATTTTCAAATCTGAATTTTCTAATTTTCTGTTGTAGAAAAAAAACAGGCTCCACTGAAAATTCATATTGAGTTGTCCTAGATGAAATACGTACTTGAATATGAATTCAAAATTTTATTTTCTGAACTTAAATGTAAATTTTTATACAGAATCATTGATGCTGGACTATTCTTTTTTCATTTATTGACTGCATTAATCTTTTCATTTTATCGATTAGCCACACCTATAGATCAGCGACACACTAATATTCATGTAGAAATATATAATTGATTATCAAATACAATCAAAACATCGTTTCGTTTGAATTTATCGATTGGACTGCTTTTCGTCACATTGACTATTGATTATTGTATAAGCGTAGAAAATCTCATATACACATGAGTTGGTATCAAGATTGAATGTAATAATGTTTTCTCTGTAGAGTTTTCGACTGTAACAATTTATTGGTAATGATAATCACTGATTCATTTTTCTTTTTTTTTTGTTAAAGTAACAACTGAAGAAGAGCAAGATACTATGTGACTGATCTGCTCAGAAAATTGAAACATTTTTTAATAATATTCTATCATAAACATTATAGCACAGAAATAGATAAAGTGACAATGAATGATGGAAACTCTATTTGTCGTATTTGGATGTTTCAATCAACTAAGGCACATTTCAAATTTTTTCAATGATAGCATAAGCTGTACCGCTGTTGTTTTCATACTACGTATATTAGATTGAAATAAGTTAGTAGGTAACATATTTTCATGATTTTAGTGGATTTTTTTAAATCAATATCTTTACTTTCGAGTACGTTCTCATATTTTCAAGCTTTACAGAAAAAATTCTTATCAATCAACTTGAGTATAGTTTTCCAGTTATCTTATGTCAAAAGATTTTTCTTCACTTATTTTTTACCGTAACTATTTTCATCACGCTATTTACGATTTTTGAAAGACTCTAACAAAAGAAGAAAACTCAACTTATCATCTTGATGACATATACTTAAAAGTCAAAGATAAATATAAGAACTATTCATACATAGCTATGGTTCATCCGTCAAGTGCAGACCTCTAACTCTATGTGTCTGCCGACTCTGAGAACGTATTGAATCTACTTTGATTGGTTGATATGTTTGTCTAATTGCTGATCAACATGAAATATTATTATTGAAAAAAAAAGAGAATTGGAATGGATGAAAACATGCATGAAATGGCTCATAACAGTGTGCCTATATATTGAATTACGTTATGTAGTAAACTAAAATTTAGTGTTTGTTCTGAGAAAGAAAGAATCCTACAGAATTATAAGATATATTGTATATATTTTTAGATGCACTAATGGATGACGCCCGTACAGTGTCCTTGCAGTCCAGGATTTTTGGTTATGACAATGGCATTTCTACTCAGCTGTTTTCTCATTTTGTTAATGCTAAGCCGAGTATGTATTCTATCTTGACTTTCATTCTTTTCTTACCGACAAACGTTAAAATTACTAGAATAGAATTAAATGGATACTATCTAATATACACAGAAGATATACGAATAGACTTAAACTCAATACTAGAGCTTAGTTGATTCTATCTCGATTTCAAGTGACCTTTGCTCATTAAAAATGTACTATACAGGCTGCAATTAATTAAACGAAAATTTCATAAATAGGGATTATATTTTACAGGATATGAAAAGTATAAAATAATAAATTTCATTCTATTATTAGAATACGTTCGAAAAATGCAACATGAAAATTTTAATACGATTAATCATTTCAATATCTTTAGATCAAAGTATATTACTATAAACCTTGAAAGTAATATAATCCAGGTATATTGAGTCAAAATACATATGTTTATGTGCGTTCAAATACTATTAAAAGGAATATTAAGAATATAGATAGATCAGTGTCTATTTTTGTCATCATGTTTGTTCGTAAATTATCTATTTATGATCGTATATAAGATTTTAGTTGTTGTTAAGATTCATCAATCATATATTTAAAAACCAGACTAATTTCACGTATATTTCAATGACGATTGATCATTTGAAAAAAATCTATTCTAAATAGTCTAGTATTTTCTAATATAAGAACAACTTTTGTTCAAAACACAACATTTGAATTTTTTTATTTTTGTTTTAAGCTTTGTAGTAGTCTCTTCTTCTGGCGTCGTATTATTTTCTTTTTCGTAGGCACATCCAGCAGTTATTGAAACAATCGATCACAAAGGAGTAATTAGAAGCCGGGAAGTTATCCAAGGTGGTGATGCAGGCGGCGTTTATGTACCAAAACGAGTTGGTAACGAAGATCCTAATATTCATTATGGTGTAGTAATCGATTGTGGAAGTAGTGGATCTAGACTGTATATTTATATATGGCCAGAACATTCAGGACAAGAAAATGAATTATTACAAATAAAACAGTTACTTGATAAGCAAGGAAATCCAGTTGTGAAGAAACTAGAACCAGGTAAGATTTCGTTTTTTCCTTGTAAATTTATTTAAACATTCATTTTCTCTATTAGGTCTCTCGTCAATGGCAAAAACACCAGGAAATGCAACTGAATATTTGATATCATTACTAGGTACAATATTTTCTTTGAAGATTTTGATTGTTAGAAAATATTCTTCTAGATTTCGCTGCGGAAACTGTTCCATCAGATAAGCATCGGGAAACACCATGTTAGTTATATAGTTATGTTACTATATTTTTGTTTACTCTACTTTATTTTTGCAGTATATATCTTGGCAACCGCCGGTCTTCGCTTTTTGACTCCAAAGTAAAAAGAATAATTCATCGTTTGAATATGCATCTATATCTATATTTATTTATTTATTTATTTATTTAGCGAACAAAAAGCATTACTAGAAGATTTATTCAATGACATTGTTCAAAATTATCACTTTCAAATTGAAAAAACTCATATTCAAGTTATTCCCGGAAAATTAGAAGGTATTTATAGTTGGATAGCAATTAATTATGTACTTGGTCGTTTCCAGAGCAATACTACAGATTCCAGTAAGTTTCATATGATTTTATGTTTACAGAAAGTAGAATCATTTAATTTATCTGATTCGTAGTATCTGTCACTAGTGGTCAAACAATATCTATTTCAAAAAAAAGACCATCAACTGTCGGTATTCTTGATATGGGTGGTGCCTCAGCTCAAATAGCTTGTAAGTGTTGTTATTAGTTGATGAAAATAAAATGAATAGAAAACTATTTAATATTTGTTCTGTGCTTCTTATAGTCGAAGTTTCACCAGATGTAAGTGTCTCTTCTCATTTTTGTTCTTATTATTTATTTTACAACACCAATGCGTTTTTGACATCGTTTCAGATACCAGTAGAAGGTGAAGAAATAGCAGAATTTTCGCTAGGGTACGATGAAAATCAAGAAATATTTAAATACAGAATATATGTCACAACATTTCTTGGCTACGGTGCAAATAAAGCATTTGAAAAATATATTGATCGAATCATTTCAATAGCTCTTAAGTAAATTCGATGCAAATGTTATATGCACATATATATATATGTATATTCCAAAAAAATATTTTAGATCTTCACCATCAAATTCAACTCATATTCTAATTGATGATGCTGATTGTTTACCTCATGGTTACACAGCTAATTATACACGATATAATAAAACAATAACAATAAAAGGAGAAGGTGATTTTCATAGCTGTGCAAAACATTTAGTCACTTTACTTAATTTAAATACAACATGCAAAAAAAAGCCATGTTCACTTAATGGAATTTATCAACCGAGAATTAACTATGAATCTCAAGATTTCTATGGTTTTTCAGAATTTTGGTATACCATGGAAGGTTAGATATAAGAAATTACTTCTATTTTAATTAAAATTATTTTTATTTAAAAGATGTTTTAAAAATCGGTGGACCTTACGCCCGATTAGCTTTTCTCAATGCCTCGACTGCAAGTAAAATTAAATAGAATAGGAATAGAAAATAAATATTTTTCATAATAGAATTATTGTAATTCAAAATGGAAAAATATTCGACACTGGTATACAAATAGACTATTTCCAAAAGCTGACTTAAATCGTGTATTGTAAGATTTTGAGTTGATCTCTATGGTAAAAATCAGCCTTATCAGTTACCTATTATCTTTAGATTACAATGCTTTAAATCTGCTTGGCTTTATGCATTTCTTCATGATGGGCTGAAATTTCCTGTTAATTATCAACGTTTACGTTCAGCTTCACTAGTTAATAATAACGATGTTCAATGGACATTAGGTGCTATTTTATATAAAACTCGTTTTCTTCCATTGAGGTCTAGTAAAATTTAATTCTAGTAATGAAAACTAATTTTTAATATTTTATAGAACAATTAATCAAGTTAAAAGTACTGTACATTATCGAAAGAGTCATACTGATTCAACAGTAATGATTATTTTAATATGTTCAATGCTGTTCATATGTGTGCTGATGTTCTATGGGAAAATATTACGAACTAAAATTCTATCTTTATTTATTCGCCGTAGTAGTCTTTATTCATCACCATCGAATAGTAATTTTAATCAACGTTATCAATTGTTAACATCAGTTATTATTGATGATTCACCATCATTATCAAATATATATTCCAACGGAAAATCAACGTCATCATATTCATACAATGGACGGTTAAGAAGTGTTTGAAAACATATATTTTCTTTGTTTTTCTATGCATAGTTTTCTTGTTAACCTTTTTTTGTTTCATTCATCGCGAACTGCTAAAAAGATATATTGTTGTTTTCTTTTTATAAAAAAAATATAAAATATTGTTTTTCTTTACCAGCTATGACATTAAAATAAGTTGAAAAATAGAAAAATATTTTTATTTGTATTTGAACTTTTACTAATTACACTCTGCGTTATTTTTTTCGTATATTTTTATTAGCTTAAAGAGAATAAAGTATAGTAAATCCGTTGTAATTATTTTATCTGACCATTTCATTTTCATTCAAACATGTTTAATCGTTTGACAACAACTGAATGAAACAAGTAAATACTACACTGTGTATACTTCAAAACAATTTGATCAAAGTAAATATAGAGAAAAAGATGTAAATAACGAATTAGACTGATATAAATTACTCATGTCATCTGTCTTTTTTACGAGTATCGATCGTCGATAGTAGATTTGTTATACACATCATCTTCACATTTATTCTGTAGTGGATACTTGATTATTTTGAAGGCGTATCTAGATTTGTAATTATTTATTACAAAAAAGACAGAAAAAAGATGTTTCATGGCAACTATATTTTGCACAGACGATCACGATCAAAGCATGTAGCTTTAAAATTAGAAGATCTATGTTTCTGTAAATTCAAATAAAATATTTTGTACCTTATATTCAATTAAACTAGTCTTAAATCTTTGAACATGTTTTTTTTTTCATAACATACATCTCATAACAATAGTGTCGAATTATTTGTTTGCAATTATTATACAAAAAAAAAGAACAACAACTTTATATTAATCTAGTTTTAATACATGTATAGTTGGTTTTTTTTATTATTTAGACGGAAAGCTTAGTATTAGATAAACAAAAGAAGGAAAAGGAAAATTTTTACGTGAAATGATTATCAACAGCAAGTAACGTACAATGCTATGTAAGACTTCTTTTTTCTAATGATATATTGATGTCAAACAGATATCTTACATAGTATGAATCAAAATACATGTAACTAAGGTATTTAAATTGTTACTACTGAAACAAAATATACTACTAATTGACTAATGTAACTCAGCCAAAATCATACTATAACATTAATCATAATATCAAATATCACAATTTTTAAATGATATTTGTTATATCAGCCCAATATTCAATCCAATTACGATGTATAAAAAATAATGCAGTATGAAATAAAATAAAACATTTTCTATACCAATGATCGAGATGTATAATTAGTACTACAGAAGAAACTATCTCATTTGATATTAATTTTAATTTTGATAAATATACAATTGTGTTCTCATCGAGAAGTTGTCATTGATAACAGTAAAAAAACATTTTCAACACAACTTATGTTTCTATGTACATATTTTTCTTTTCATGCTTTTAAAAACCGTCTTCAATTAAATTATTCAAGTGTAAAGTGCAAAAAGCACCATGTTGAATGTAAATATGTACCTACTTAAAATCTTCCGAACTTTATGTAAGTCATGTCGGATGCAATAACCAAATATTTAGCTGATTCGCATATTCGTTTTAGTATAGTCTTAGAATAGAATTGGCCTATTAGACAGACACAAATGCTCTTGTTTATTACTATTCGAAACATTAGAACTTCTTTTATTAAAATTAAATACGTAAACTCAATTGAAAAAACCGAAGCCGCTTAGTGACTGAAGTGAATATTCAACTAATGCTTTGTCAAGGTCAACAGCATTGATTATTATTTTTTCCTCGCCTTTGAAAGGCTCTTCACATTGTTGTAACGCCCAAGAGAACATGATTGAATAAAGAACATTCTCAATGCTTCTATTGTTCAGATTGTGTATTTTTTTGTTTACAACCCTTGCTCTCCAAAAAAGTAAAAACAGTTAACTTTCTTTCATGAAGACTTCTAAATATTTATACGTTCCGCACATATTACATCGACTCAGTCATTATCATTCAATATAAAAAAAATGAGAAAAAAACGATTGTACAAGTCACAGAAAAGATTGAAATCATTCTTTTTTTTCTCTAGTTCCGGAAGAAAATATGAAAGTGCAATGAAAAGAACGATTGTATTAGCGGGGATTCAGTTTTTCACATCAACAATAAGCGGTGCTTCATACATTGAATGCCGAATACCAAACGAGTAGCCAGGAGATTGTTGTTTGTGTATCCAAACCTTTTCTGGTGAATATTTACCGGGTCCCGGTTTTTGAGTTGAATCACCTGGCATTTCATTTCGTGCAGTCATACTGTAATGTGGTGGTTCTTGTTTGTATACACCTGATTTTATCACACTATAAGCACCTAAACAATATGTAAATATTTAAGTTTTGACAGAAAAAGTATTTAAAAAGAAATAATCAATTACCAGGTCCTGGCGTTCTTTGTAAATCTTCGTCAAAGCCACCTCGTTTGCTTCTTCCAGTCATTGTAAATATGGGTGCTTGTTTTTTTACACTTTGTACTGTTTTACCAAGCATTCCAGGCAAAGCATAAGCGTTCGGTGCTAAAAACCGACACGTGAGAATACATCTGCAAAAATATAATAATTGAAGTTAAAATCATACCAGGTGTATGATCAAGACCAAAGTATTTATGACGAGAACCAAATGTATAGGCAGGTGGTGATTGGAATACAGATTTCATTGGTCCTTTATCTTCAGGTTTATAAGTGCCAGGTCCTAATCGAGATTGTATGAAACTTGGATGACTTTAAAAGTCTTCTTTTTGTCTGTTTTCTCTTACCAGGATTATAGTCGCCTTTCAGATCACCGCGTCGAGCATAGAGGGAATAATGTGGTGTGCCGTCTTTACCAGTTCGAGAAACTTTCGGATTTGGAAAATAACATGGGCCAGGCGATGAGTCATCTCTATATTTGCCGTGTCTAACACCGAATGAATATGCCGGTTGCTTCGTATGTACCGAACGTGGATCATGAAAACTACTGCCGACAAGACCGGGCAATACATAAGCCGGCCCTGGTGTCGAATACATAGCCGAAATTGGTCCGCGTGGTTTTGTTTCTGTATATACCATCTTTCTGCCTTTGTCTAAAAGAAAACTCACCGAGAAAATATTAAACGAGTCAGTCTTTCAGTAAACGTGATTTATAATTGACGATTACAAAATGCATACAAAAGAATCTATTTTTTACACACACATATACATACATACGCACGCACGCACGCTCTTCATTTCTCTCTCTCTCTCTCTCTCTCTCTCTTTCTCTGTCGCACACAAACACATACGTAAGTTCTTTATATAAACGCTTCTCATATTTTACCTCACTTTTTTTTCATTTGTTGTCAACGAGTGGCAACAACAATAAACAGTGGGCTCCTTGATGCTTGAGACAGTCATCGAGCGATAGAAACTCTCTTTTCGTTCTTTTTTTCTAATATTCAAAGTCATTAGAAATAAAAAGGGGGCGAGAGAACGAGCGAACTGAAGTTGTGAAGTAATAAATAAAACCAATAAAGTAAACACATCCATCACTATAGCTGTAATGCCTCTCACTTTCTTTTAGTTTCTTTTCTGCTACTTCATCGACGAATTTATTTTAAAGAAACTAAGTGAACTGATTGTAGTTAGCCATTTGTGCACTTTTATTCCATGACGAAACAAAAAAGAAGAACAAGTTTTATAGTTATAGCTGTTTTTGTTGCTGTCATTGTTGTTGTTATGGTTGTTACTTCTCTAATGTCTTTTTTTTCTTTTTCTTTTTCTTTTAACTTATATGTAAGAAGTTGTATTTTTGTAATGCTCCACGTTACTAAAAAAATGAAGCTGAATATGAGAATAAGTGCGTCACAGTGTCAATGAGAATGTTTTATTTGATTGAATTCAGATCTTTAGCTGTGCAGCACATCGGGCCAATATGTATATGTAAATTTCTATTCAATAATTTTCATTTAAGAGGCCTATGTAATAAATTCATACAAATGAGAGTAATGAAAAATTTTTGTAGCAAAATATAACACATATCTATATATATATTATTATTAGGGATGCACCAGTATTGGAGGTGTTAACTAGTGGAACTCTAAATGCTGGTATGTGTTGACACCGATGATCCTGGTAAACTAGAAATACTGGTACTGGTGCATCCCTAATTATTATGTTCTATATGAATCAGTGAAAAGTAAACGAAATCGCAACAATATATATATGTGTGTGTCAATATTAATAATTAAAACGCTCACAAAATATTCAATTTCTTTACTAAGGGTTGAGACCCAAAAAATATTGTGTAACACATACTTATATTATTTGTTAAAAATTAGTCTTCATTGTGAAAAATTTTCCGGCAATCGCATGCGTTTATTTTGTAAATCAAAAATTTGCGAAAAGTTTATTTTCATGAGGATGTTCACTCTATTTTAAATTATACCAATATAGCAATGAGATAGGTGTATATATAATCATCCTTGGATATTAAACGTGTTAATATGATATATTTGAGAAAGTTATCTCAGCAATATACTCAAGTGATAAAACTTATCTTTCTCTGTTGTACAGATTTTAGAAGCATCGTCTACGAGTCGACTGATAAGATGTCACGTTTTAAGTCAACAAATATGAATTATGAATTAAAAACTCTTTTTTTTTGTTATTTTCAGCCATTAAAACAATGTTAGTTTTTATTAGGCGGAATAGATTTGAGTACAAATTTCTAGTACTGTTCTTCGATGCATAAATTAAAACAAGAATGTTGTCAACCGTTTCTTGATTTTTCATTAGCTAATGCCAATCTACGAATATACGAAATACATATAGCAGCATTCTCTTGAAGTACGTCATCTTTGGATCCAACCATTTCCATTAATAACTAAATTTAAAAACAAATTTTGAACTTTACATATATATTTATTTATTGTTTAAAAGAATGTATATACTCGAACAACACCAGCTTCGTGCATTGTAACACAATTCATGGGATTTTTTGATAATTGATGCAGTGCTTTCGCTGTTGATCGATGTACATTAGGATCAGAAGACTTGAGATGCTTAACAAGCGGTGCTACAGCTTGATTGTCGCCAAAAGCTTGTCGATTATTTCCCCACTTACAACATTCCGCTATAGCTTCAGCTAAATAGCGACGAAGTACATCTTCAGTCTATTTAAATTAAATAAAGAAATGAATAGATTAGAAAACTTCTTACTCGTGCTGCTAAATGTGAAAGAAGTTTAACAACGCCATGATCTGTGATAACAGCCAAGTTTTCTTCGTCTTTTGCTATTTCAGCTATAGCAGCACATATACTTGCTAATACTTCAACATCATTTGATTTTAATAATGATACAATCAATTCAAGGCCACCAACAAAACTTCGTACCATTTCACCGGAGTCCTATAATATTGAAATAAACATTCGACAATTTTCATTGGCGTCTTCTTTTCTAACTAACTTTGATATTTTTTACGCATGGTGATATAGCCCAAGCAGCTGCTGCTTGTACTTGTGGATTTTGATTTTTTAATAATGACCATAATAATCGAACACCATCCAAACGGTCAATCATTCTAAATAAATATATCACAAAGGTGACACATAATAAAAAAAATGGAAGCACATGTAATTACGTGACACTTTCAGGTTCTTCAGCACACTGACGTAATGCCTGACAAGTGTTCACTAATAACGCTGGATTTGTTCCTGTTAGTAAATTAACCAATGGTGATATTCCAGCGGCTTTACGAATTGTCGTTCGATTATCGCTTTCTTTTGCACATTCAGCTAATGCACCAACTACATTAACTAAAACTTCTTCTGGTTGATTGTTAAGTAACTGTACAAGTGCTTCGATTGTTCGAAATTCTTGAAATTGTGCGATATTCTAGTATTAAAAAAAGCACAACATGTTTACGTATGAAAATATTACGACAAGAAAAGAAACGAATTACTTCATGTGATATTGAACATTTCCAAATTGCGCCAGTGGCTGCAGCTAATAATGCTTTATTGTCATTTTGCTGTAAGAGATCATGCAGAGGACGAAGACCCGAATGTTTTCTTACAAGATCACGTATTTCTTTATCTACTGCGCACTAAAATAAAGCAAAAAATACTCCAATTTTATTTTCAAACAAAGAAATATATTCCACTTTAATCTGACCTTAAAAACAGCGCTAGCACAATGCTTTTGTAATTCAGCATTGGCACCTGTTAAACTTTTGACAAGATCAGGGATCATACCTCGAATTGCTATTCGATAAACAGGCTAGTTAAAAATAAAACAATGATTTTTCTCACAAAAAATAAAAACATTAACTCAAACTATACATCAGTAGCGCATTCTTCTATAATGCCACCCACAGGAATTAACATATTATCATTAGAACTTTTTAATAATTTAGCCAATAGTGGAATGACACCAGCGCGTTGCATAGCATATTTATTAAGATTTGATCGACTTAGACTCCAAAGAGCTAATGCTCCTGCACGAACAACTTCAATATTTTTTGCATTTTCATTCTGTGAAGCATGAGAATTGGATCCATGACCACTGATAGTAGCATTTTCCAAAAGAGAAACCTATGTATTATTTGTTATTATAGAAATATTGATGCGATTTCACTTAAATACATACCAATCGTTTAATGCCTCCATTTTGTCGAACAACTCGACGTGCTCGTTTAAATTTAGCAACATGAGCTAGAAGATAATATTAAAAATTACGTGAATTGTCTTTTCTAAATTATTTTTTTCATGTGAGTCCTACCAATAGTTTCAGCGGCAAGGCATTTTAAATCCTTTTCGGGCTCATCGAGTAATTTAACCATGGTTTGTAAACCACCAAGATCAGCTATATTTCGACGTATAGTAGGATTGATTGATATTTCTTTGAGAATATATAATGAACCAATCTAAAGAACATTCGGATCAATAGATTTTAATATATAAAAGTTTTTGTTTGACAAATTTCAAGGTTGACATGTACCTTACAATCGATATCATCTGTTTCAAGTAAATTAACCAGAACTTCCAAGCCTCCAACATCACGAATAGCTAATTGACATATTTCTATTGATAAATTAAAATCACGAATAGAAGATAATGCAATGACGGTTGCAGTTGGATTGCCGCCTTTCAAATATTTGACTAATCGTTGGATTTGCCAATACTCAGAGGGTAGGTCAGTTTGATCTTGGCGTGTTCGTTCGAGCAATTGATCTTCTTCTTCATCATCGTCTTCTTCATCACTTGATTCTTCTGAATCTTGATTTCCCGGGCCTCCATGTCGACTATGATCTATATGACCACTCCGGCGTCCATGAATTCCTCGCTCAACACTACTAACTTTCGATAAGTTTGTATTCGTTCTTCGTAGATTAATTTGACTATATTTCAGTGAAAAAATTAAAAGTTAAAAAAATAAAAACGAAGAACATAATGATCATACTCAGTAGCTAAGGTTTCCCAAGCACGAGAGGATAATAATAACTTTTGACGATTTGTATCGGATGCTGCATAATCTGATAATAAGAACTATTGAGCAAAAAAAAATACCTTGAGTAGATCAATGTTTTACCTGTAGTGGTCGTTGATGGCATTACTCGTCTTTTGTTTGCTATGGAATTTGTATAGCACTTGTTGCTAATCGAAGACAAATCGACACCATTAATCCATTTTTACTTGTTATGTCACTAAGCAACCCGATCTATTTAATTTAAATGAATTGAAAATTATTTATTTAAATAATTATGAAAAAGTAAAATTAACTACACAGTTCTGTTCATTCAGTGGGCTATCGAATTGTTTTTCTTTTCATCTGTGACTCTTATCACTAATGCACTTTGTACAGCACGTTTTGTTGCCAGGTAATGTGTAGTAAAAATGGCTGAAGAACGAGAAGAAAACGGTAATCGACTATCAAGTCTATTCGTTAGAATTAACAGTCAAAATACAGATAGTTTCTTTTAATAAAAGAAAAATCAACGAAGAAAAGAATTACAAACATAATATTTTGATTTATTCTTTAAAAAATTGAAATAAAGTCTTTTTCTCGACTTCTCATATGAAAAAGAACAATGAACGTTACTGAACACAGATGAAAATTGAAAAACAACAAATGGAAGCAATACATTGCATTAAAGTCTTTCAAACTAGGTGATGTAATAATCATTATTTTCTGTCAAGATGTTTACTGTTCTACTAAAATTTCGACACAATTGCAATTCTACAATTACAAATCGTTCGTCAATTCTAATGAATAAAAAGTTCTTATAAAACAAACAATTACTGATCTTGAATGACTCATCACAGAAGTTCTGAATTATTTTTCGACATTTTATATCTCGTTTAAGGCTCATTAATTTTATTCTATTCCAAAAAACAACACAAAGAAAAATAAATAGTAGATTTTACAATCTTCAAGAAAATATTGTAAAATGAGGCATAGACTACGCACAATCTTAGTAAACAAACTTGCCAAGGCAAATAAATAGTAATGTCAATACATAATTTTATAGTAATCGTTTTAAATTTTTTTCCTTCTTTTCGTTTCTCTAATTTAAATACAAACCGAACAGATTCATTTATGGTAATTAAGTAATTACAAATCATTGAACAAATGCTAAGTGAAAGCGATTAGTGCGAATATTTGAAATCAAGAAAAAAAGAATTTCTTCACGATAGAAATAAATTGTTAACGATTTACAAGGTTTTAATGCGTCGTTACAAGTACAATAAATTCGTCTGTTTTTGTTCGATTAAATATAAAATTTATCAGGTGTATTACGTATTGTTCTTGAATAGTTCGAAAATTGAAACAGAGAACATCAACTACTCGATGAATTTCATCAAGAAAAATAACAACAGCAAAAATTGACAAGTACTTTGGTAAATAAAATGCGAAGTAGATTAATGAAAATATTTTCTTTTCTAAATAAACAACTTGTCTAAACTGGTTTATGCTCATTGATAAACAATGATATGAAAAGTTCTTATCAGTATTCATAAAGAAAAATAATCATGTGTCTGTGGAACAAACCAATTTTACTATTTCATTAATTCTATAAAACACTTAGGGATCAACATATGAACAATAAACGTAAGGAGTATACTGCTAGTAACGAATTTTAAAAGAACATGTTCATGAAAATATTTCCAACTACTAGAATATACTTGTGTTGATTAAATCGTTTTTTGTTTTCTTCAAAAACATGATCTTCATGTATTATTATATAGAAAAATGTATAACTTTAGTCAAACATTATTGCTCTTATTTCACACATAAAAAAATCATATTCTTTGATTTCTTATGAAAGAAAGACAAAGAAAATTTTTAATTCTATTGTTTTTTTCTTTATCGTCACAAAGTGGCTGCACAACGATGAAATCAGTTTCTTTTTTTATCCTACTACGTGCAATGGCGTGCATAGATTGGTTTCTTCTTACATACATTCCTGTGTACAATATATCATTAAGCATCGAAATATTCCCATAAGCATTGTTTTCTCGTTTTTTTATTCTACCTTTCTATGGTTATCTCTTTTTAACTGTAAGTTTTATAATTTTCAACTCCACACGTAATCAATATACTATAGAATAAGATACATGAAAGAATTATTAGTTTGTTTTCTTCGATAATTGTTGTATCAAGAGAAAATTTGAGTAAATAATCAAAATATGTAACGTGTTATTTGTTGGGCATTATGACTTTTATCCGATTTTAGAATTGATCAATGTCTGAGACAAAAATTCTGCCAGCGGGTACTAACAATCTAATTCAGCGTCTTCAAAACTCTGAGAAATCTATCAAATTTATTCAACATGAACATGCTTCCACGTTGGCTAATCTTCATGAAGAAATCTCTAAATGGCAACAGAAATGTTGTGGTAAACATAAATTTTAATTGTTCGTTGTTGTTCTACAATTCTATCAAATTTATTTCAGATCTCACATTTCAATTAGCGATTAATGGTACGTTGACTAATTCTACGAATGACAGTAAGTAATAACTTTAAAAAAAAGGCAAGATAAATTTTATACCTATTTCATTATTCAAAAAACAAATTAAAGATAAACTTCAGAAGACGATTGACAAACTTGAAAATGAATTATGTCAACATAAAGATACAATCAAAATTTTAAATAAACGTTTAGAAGAAAAAGAAAAAAACTTGAAAGATTATGAAAATCTTCTTCTTGTAAATGATCGAAAGCATGCATTAGAATTACATACCCAATATGATAAACAACGAGAACTTAAAATTGAACTTGAACAGCGTTCAACATTTATTGCACAATTAACAAATCAACTACATAACGAAAAGCAGCATCAACAAAATGCACGAAATCGTGTTCATCTTGGACAAATTATTTTGCCAAATAAACCAAAAAAATTAAAAAATATCGATGAACAACAACAACAACAACAATTACCATCTGGCCGTTGTGTATCGAAACGTTCATCATCGCTTAGTAATCAAGCTAGTACTGATCAAGAATTAACTAAAGTTTTGTTTATTGGACGTTCACCAACTCCTCCGCAACAGTTGCAATCACTTTCATCTAAAAGCATCGGATTACATGAAGAAAAATTCTTTAAAAAACGTCAGCATCCATTGCTAAACAATCATACCGAAAATGCGGATTTAAATAAAGTCTCATCATCGCGGCCAACAATCAAATTGTCAACTGTTTTGCCACCTATTGTCAATAGAAAAGTACCACTTAAAGCATTGCCTACGATAACACTTCAACGTGAAGGTCAAGCCTGAAAAAATATCATCGCTATATATTTATTTTACTGTGTGTGCATAGAAGATAGTATTAGATGAGCAGTTATTCTTTATTCTTATTTCTTTTTTCTATGTAAAAAATATTTTTTCTGCTTGCTATTTTTTAAGTTAACAATAATCACGTTTCTTCTTAATATTATAGAAACGTTCTCTTTTGAAAAAAACGAACTGATGAATAATACGTCTTAAATAGTTATCTAGACAAAAGAACGGATATCATAGTCTAACAGCATGATTGTTTTTTTCAGGATCCAAAGGTTTTCACTTCTTTAATGCTATTTGTCGAGTTCATATATAACTTGACAGAAAATTTTACACCACTATTAGTACGCACAGTTTCTTAAGTTTTATTTGAATGTGGAACTCCTCGACATATGTTCTTGCTGGTGTGTATTTACACGAATAGAATTGTATTTGGCTTCAGTAAGTATTTGTAATATAGAATACCTAAATGTTTACCTATAAAACTTTGACATTGAACAATGGAATTATTTATATATTTTCGTCTTACAGATCACATAGATAAATCTTTAGATAACGATGAAATAATATCATCCTACAGGTTTAACGCAAGTTAAATTAGTGATCAGTTTATTATAAGAAAATATTTTCACATTTTTTAGAAAAATTCATCTGCTGATTACGAATACCTCATTTTTTCGATTCATTCTCATTGATGCGCGTTGAATTTTATGTACATTTATGAGATAGAAAAGAAAATAAATAAATGCATGCATATATACGCATATATATTTTTTAGAAATTATACAAATCAATACTTTTTCAATGCTATATAAATGAACATTTTGTTGACGGGCGTGGGCGTCTATATTGGTTTGCAACAATCACAACTACATCCACCCGAACAAGAAATTTGAATAATTGCATATAATAAACTAAGGGAAAGAAACAGGATAGACCGACTACCGGTTTAATCTCTGGGACTGATTGGATGGGATGGGATTAAACTGTTTCATCTCACGCCGAGCCCTCTTCTAGGCCTGCCATATAATTTTCTTGTATGATTGTTGTATCTGGTTGAGCTAATTCTAATTTTGATACTGTGATAATACAAGTTTCTTTTCCAGTGACCACCAAACTATAATTATTCGACTATTACTGTGACTTTGCCAAGCAAGAGTGTAGACTTACCAATCAAAGCTTACTTTTCTAAAAAAGAACGAAACTATGTTTAGTTTAATTAAAAACTGGAAAATATTTTAAAAACACTGTAGCAAACCAAAACGAATATGTTAAATGTCGGTGTATAGCCATATGCTCATTCAACATAACCACATCAAACTCTCACCTTCACTCGGCTCCAATAGAAAAATCTTATGAATGTCAATAGAGATTCTATTACGTGACATATTGAGTTTCACTTCTTTAAAATGATGAAACATTAATATTAAAACTGTGTAGATGCTCAGAGTTATCTTTGTTGGGATGATAATCTACTACTGAAAATTATTGCAATCTTTTTTGTTCTTTTTCTTGGGATTTATTGTATCTAGATTTCGATCACTAAATAAAGATTGACTATTTACATTACTAAAAACCAAAATTTGTGCATTTTTTAAGAGAATATTCAAAGGAGAGTCAGAATAATATTTGATTTACTTGAGTTTTCAGTGAAGGCTTCATTGGAACTTGTCTTTTTTTAAAATTTATTTATTATAATAAAAGATTTAAATCATTTAACTAAGTGCTTGAAAAATGGCTATCTTTTCTATTAACTTGAGAGAACAAAATACAATATGCACATTCAAATAGTTCTTTGAAAACAATACGTAAAAAAGACGAAAGAAAATATTGTTTCTTATGTAATTACAAAAAGAACGAAAAACTGGATTGATTTAACGCATAATTTTGCTTATGTTCCAATGAAAAAAGTCGATACGTTCGAATTCTATTTACTGCATGTTGGTTTTTCTTCTCTTTCTGTTTTAACAAAACACAACCACTGCTATGATTCATCTAAAATAATAACTATTGCAAATGTCTTTTGTCATAATTTTTGTTTTCTATATCTCAGTGTAAAAGTAAAAACAAAGCATAAATCATTGTAAGTGAATGGATCAAGGATCTAGTAATAGGGATAGTAATGCAAAGAAAGAAGAATTTTCAATTCCGTTATGGGAATATAATAAACAAAAACGTGAATGGGCACCAAAGCAACGTGGTCAAAATAGTCAAACACATACTTGCGAGAATTTTCGTGTTGTTTCATATAATATTTGGTTTTCTGAAGATTATCAACCGACGCGTTTTAACAGTCTTTGTGATATACTGAATAAGTCGCAAGCTCAAATAATCGGTTTACAAGAAAGTTCGTTTTGTTTTCTTTTCCGGATTTTAATAAAAGAAATACATTTGATTTCTATATATATATATATATATATTCATAGTGACAAAAAATATTCTTCAACAACTTTCAGCGCAATCATTCGTTCAAGAACGATATTATTTATCTGATGTTGATGGTGGTACATTCAATGGATGGTATGGTGTTATTTTATTAATTGATATTCGTCTTCATATTTCTAATTTAAATTTAATTAATTTTCCGCGGTCAAATATGGGTCGTCGTTTAATATTTGCGGAAATAAAATTAGATGAAAATGAAATACTTCGTATTGGTACCGTTCATTTAGAATCATTAGATAATAGAGAAGAACGGTTACGCCAATTAGATATATGTCAAAAGATATTGAGTCGTTCGCCAGGCAGTTATATTTTAATGGGAGATTTTAATTTTCATGCACATGGTCAAGAAAATATCGATCAATTTGATAGATTACAACAGTGGATTGATGCTTGGACTTATTTAATGGGCTCTCATAATCATGGCTTTACATTCGATACTGAAATGAATTCGATGACAAAACTTCATAATGGAAAACCGAATCAATCAAGATATGATCGAATTATTTTACGAAGTCAAACAATTACTCTTACTGAGATTGAAATCTTAGGAAATCAACCTATCGCCAGCCGAGGGCACTTAAATATATTTCCATCAGATCATTTTGGTTTGACAGCAGTTTTTCAAAGAAAAAAATAAAAATATGATTTGTAATTACAAAAAGAGTACAACTACAGATGAAAATAGATGATTTATTAATATTATTCTATGTGCAATAGTTTATTTACATAATTCATTTTTAAGCATACTTGTTTGTTTTTCTATAACATGCACATTTATTTCCAAACCATTTGTTAAGCCAAAACCAGTTTCATTGAAACAAAAATAATCAACGAAAATTAAAAAAACATATTTACGTAACAAATCTTCAAGACCGTGACACGACATTACCGCGCGCGACACTTCCGCGCAACAGTGATCGTGGGAGCAAAAGTTGAGGGTGAGCTCGAAAATAAGGGTGAAAACGAAAACAAAAGTGAGGGGACGAGCGAGGGTGAGGGTAAGAGTTAGAATGAGGACTTTGCGAGCAAATATTATGCATGAATCTGTATTGCGCCGTAGTGTCGCGCGCGGAAATGTCGTGGAACCGATAATTAGATTGGATTCAGTTGAGGGCCAAGCGAATCGTAGCGATGAGCGTTAATTGCGCGTATTGGCGTAGCCCGAATTTACTAAATGATTGGGTGACACCCGAATGATTTTTCAAAAATGTTATCGGGGATGATGCAGATATAATGTTAATTTTTTCAAAAATCAGTTTTAAAAATTTCTCGGTAGTTGGGCAGTGCCCAATCACGCGGTACCCTGGTTACGCCACGAGTTGTAATATATGCAAATGAAATTATTTATCCAAACATTTTTATATTGGTTTAACAAAATTACGGAGTTTATGTCTTTACATCAATACCAGTTCAGACTCAAATTCATCTGATTAACTTGCCTGAATTGTTAAAAGGGTATAAAAATCTACGACACTCGATCATATTTATTGGAATGATTCTTAAATACAGTGTTGAGTTTCGCTAGATAACTGAATAACCAACAGGATAACATTATTCTGAATAGTTTGCTTTGATCCTATTAGAATACCAAGTCATGCACCCATACTGCCCATATTTAACAAATCAATGTTTCTTTATAAATATTGGCTGTATTTTTCGACCGTTTCATTGCATGTAAATTCAGTTTTCTTTTATTGCAGCCGTCTTTTCATTTCATAAAAGCAAAATATATAAACATTACAGAAAAGTGACATATTTCACAGTAGAAGATATGGAGAGTGTGTCGAAAGCAAGGAACACACCCACAAACGAAAGAGTTGTGTTCCAGAAAATGACTTTCAAATGATGCCTATACTTTCTGACGGCAAAACAAGCAATAGAACAAATAGCCCATATTCAATTTCAATAGCAAGCAATTATCAACCAACTTATGTCACAAGAACGACTTCTTGTATCGTATAAAAAAACCAAATTCAAATTAGAATAATGAAAAAGGATTTTATTTTATTAATAAATTATTTAACGTTGTATTGTGAAAAGATACTATGATTGTTAATTCGATGGCGACATCACTTTTCATGTATACTTAGGATGGTAGTGGTGATGGAATAAGACTAAATCTTTAAGAAAAAACACTCCAATATTTTGAATTGTTCTATGAACGAACAGTTGGACGCACACAAAGTAATGTAAGACTGCGAGTATTATTGCAGAATTATGAGATCGGTGACATCATGTGTTTCATGTCATGTTCACCACTATTAACTTTATTAATAGGAACTTTTTGTTCCTAGATTGCCTGAATTCCATGCGGCTCAAGATGACGACCCCACATACTAACATCACCAATTTCACCTAACCAAAACTTACGTCCGAAATCCTTGGCACCAATGTGTAGTGTATGAAGTAGTTGTATTTGTTCTTCTTTCCAGTTCCCCCATCGTCTCTTCAGTGGCGAGATGTTTTTTGAAAACACATGATTTATTTGCATATGCATTCATATCGATTGTATTCACGAGTTTTCCGTTTACATAAAGTTTTTGTTGAGCACGAGAGGCAAGGACGACCAGATGAAACCATTTATTTCTAGCTAAAGATACACGGCCACACTCGAACTGAGTCAACGCTGGTGAAATTACAGCTTGATTTTCTCTGCATTGAAATAAATGCTATGACCAATATGAAGCCAGGCGGAAACACAGATATGATTGATTTGACAGTGAGAAATATCGTATACGGGAATGTCAATGGATGATTGATCGTCAAACTTAGCACATGAACAAGAAAAGACGTCTCCTATCGTGGATTTCCTGTAAACGAATAACGACCCTTGATGATACCTGATGAATCATGACCGAGATTGATTGGATTCTCAAATTTCCAATGACCGATAATATGTTGTCGACTGAGCGCACGACATCGATATTGCTGAAACCACACATCCAAAATGATTGATCACCATTGTCGACAGACAGTCAAAAAAATTAGAGATTCTTTTAAACGATCAATATGACAAAAAATACGATCTAAGATTTCGGATGGAAAATGTACAAGCTGTTGATCAAAACTTGCCATGCACTAGATTGTGTGAAAACGTGTATACAGTAAGAAAATAAAAGAATCTAAATAACATAAGGAATGAAAAAATTAATTTATGGTTGAATGACAACAGGATATGTTTCTCGACTCGTAATACCAACAAGAACGCAAGAAAAAATTATTTCGTCTACTGACTATAACTATCAGGGTGTGGATGTGGGAGTGGACATGTTTTATTTTATGAATAATTTCAAGCAATTCATATGATACGTTTCGGAAAATGAGTGTCTACATATTTTCACGATACTGCAAAGCATGACGACTTTATGTTATTCATTTTCTTTCTGTAAATATTTATTTATTGAGACTGTTAAATTGGAAAAACTATATGACAGACGATAGCTAGCAATAAACACTAAATAAATATTAGCGAATCATATTGAAAACACAAATAGTTGAATCAACTTTTTTGTCCCAACAGCCAATAACACTTACGTCACCTCGAACTCTTATTTTTTTCTTAACTACATCGTTTTTATATTCATTCATATCAACTGCAATATTTTCATCACCATTTCGAATTTTCACAACTTGAGCATTGGGAACAATCATATGTATTAGTACGTGCTCATTTTGTCGCAACAGACGTCGAAGTGGCTCAATTAAGATGCATTGATACTGTTCAAATGATTGATGTATGAGTGGAAATGTGATAGATTGAGATAAGTTCAATCCAGGTAATCGTATACATATGGCTGCTCGATATGCTGTTTCGTTGTTTGTTTTAGCATAAATTGTAACCTCATACGGACCGTTCGTTTCAGGAGGAGCAACATAACAATTGAATACATCGTTTTCATTCACATCACGTTGGCATAATGTATGCAATCGGCGAGAATATTCTTTGTCGCCAATTGTTAATTTAGCAAATAAATGAGCAGGTTCTGGTGCTCTTATGGAAACTTTGAACAAATCTTCATCTGGTAATTTCTTTACAGTTGACTTTGAAGAAGATTGATCATGAGAACGAGAATGTTGAACCGATTTCGTTCTAGACAAATTAGGTAGATTACTATCAGCGATTGTACCGATGTTAATTGACTTTTGTTGACCAGTTATATTAGTTGTACTATTATCAATTGATTTTTTAATATGTTCTATATTACTGTTACTTTTTTTGGGCAATGCTTGCTGCTCCTGAATTGCATCAACCATTGTTTGTTTGATGAGATCAAGGGATACTGCCTGTTGTTGTTGCGCCACTGCATTCACTAACGCTTGTTTTTGTTCAGAAAATAAACGATTGAATCCTAGATCATCATCACGCTTCTTAGCCAAAAATATATTTTCGATCTTTTGAGTAAGATTATTTTGTAATTTATTCATAGCATTCGTTTCTGAAGATGTTGATTTAAGAATGTCTTCATTTTTCAATATAAGTTTCTGTATTTCTTGTTCTATTGTCTGAATTAAAGTAAATTGATGTTGTTCGGTTGATTGCGATACATTATGATGTGCATCTAGAGTTTCTACTAATATCTGTTTTAAAGTATCAATAGAAGCATTAGTAGTATTAACATAGCTTTCAAATGCTATTCCCAATGAATTCTTTTGTTCTTCTAGTAGACGAAATATTTCTTCTTTATTGCTAGCTTCTGTTGTTGCTTGTACAATTACTTCTTGTTCTTTTCTAATTGTTCTAACTAATGTTCGCTTCTTAACATTCATCTCTTTTCTAAGTGAAGCAACAAGCATTTTTCGTTCAAATCGCATTGCTTTACGAAATGTTTCTCTAAAGTTTGTTGTATCAATATCGACGCGTTTCGGTGATTCAGTACGTGCACGCCCATCAGAACCTATAGAATTAGTCCTTTTGATTTGATTAGTAGTAGAATTATTGATCGGAAGCGTTGATGTACGATGAGCTGTGTGTGAACGATGTTTTGGTCGTCGGGTCTGCTGTTCAGATGCTGTTGTCGGACGTTTAAAAAATGAAGTTTTCGTTAATGATTCATTTGTTGACTCATGCTGATCATCGACGCAATTAAAAATATAATAAGTATTTCTATATGTTGGGCGATCTTGACGAAGACCAAGAATATGATACGTTGATGAGCCGATTTTGAACGTGTGAGTAATATCAAAAAACTGTCCATCTTGTGTTACGAGATTACAGTTTTGTCCATACATTTCTTCAGTCGATAAACCTTTTACGATCAATTGGTTTTATATACTAGAAATTTATTGTAGAAAAAAAATGAAGACATTAATAACAATGTTGATGAATTAAATGATAAAGTTTCAATGGTTTTTTTTCTACTGTCAAGATTCACAAGAAAATAATCGTCATTATTCGTTTACTTTTTCTGTTGAAGTTTAGTGAAACTTGTAGAACTTAATGAATTGAAGTTTGTCCTAGAAAAAGTTTATGTGCATAACTTATTTTAAGCTAATCGAACCTTCTAGCGAACTTTAACTATAGAACCGTAGGTTTGTTAATAAGATCATATTATAGAAGGTTGATTTGACATTTTTTCTCCTTTAAAAATGTAAATTTGACTAGACTGACTAAACGATGTTAAAATCCTTGAAATAAACCTTTGCGAAACATGGATCTTTCCATAGAAAAATCTATGTTTAAAAAATCTGCATCTCGATCTCGACGCGAACTGTTTTGAGTGCTGTGATCTTTTTAATAATAGCTAATCTAATTTACTTTCGTACCTGGAAAGAATTTCAGTTCAATATTCGAGCATATAGACTTTCTGAAAATGTTAATTAGCGCAATTGAAATTCGTCAAAAACAAGTTTTGAACACCAAATCGTTGTATGGTCTAACCGTCTTTCAAGAATATCTGCAAGATGATTAAACCTTCAAGTGAAAAGTCAAACGAGTACGTTGAAATTTCTCATCTTGAATTGTTTCTATATCAAGATGAACTTAGGACAAACCGAATACAAGTCAGTTTCTTTTTTTCTTTCTTGGATAAAAAAGAAAAGTGTAAGTTATATACAAGATAAGTCTTCATATTAATAAAGCATAAATTTTTCACGACTGAGGAAGATTCAAAAGATGAAGAATGAAGAGAATGTTGAAGCGACTGAAAGAGAAAAATGACATGATGCGTCATATAAATTCCTTTTCTTGTTATTCATCAAGTAACATATATAAAGAGAGAGATTATTCGCTTCAACATCTTGTATACTCTCATTTTCTAAAGAAACGATAAAAAGCAAAAAACTGTGTTCTAGCTGATGTAAAGAGCGATACTAACTAGTCGATAAATATGGAACAAATTCCAAAAAGAAAGTTGAAAAACACAAGTGGATACAATGTTTTATTTTCATAGTTGTAGAAAATTGTCAGATGTTTATCTAATACAAATATTTAAATAAGAAGATACTGTTATTGCTGTTTTATCTGTAAGTAGGGGCTATCAATCAATATTGAGTCGATGGAAAATTTAATATTTTGATAAACAAGAAAAGCTTTAATAGTACACACTTTTTTCATAGATACCAAATGATATTTGAAATATTTATGTCTAAAAGTCTTTTGTATTATAATTTATTCGATGAACTGAACATAATTACCGAAATAAAGATATAATTCTGAGTTCAATATTAAAAATCTCAATAAAGAAGATTTCCGTGCTCATTACATTTATAGTTGTATCTGATCTTCTAATCGACAGTAGCATGATTCAACTTATGGATTCATTCCTGTCGACTTGAGCAAATGCGTGCACTTCAATATATACTATGCAGTAGTTCTTAGGTGTTCTATTGGCTTTATCTACATAGCATAAATTACCATACAGCGATTTGATGCTACACTCAAAACAGAAAGTGCTATTATTAAGATAGCAAGTTATAAAAAACGTTTCAGCATTTAGTTTTCAAATTATATTTTATAAATCAACTGATTCTTTGTCGTTTTATTTTTAACATAATATATATATCACATAATTATTACTCCTCATAGAACTTTTTCGAAATCTTCAAGATAACATCTTCTAGAACTTTGTTTTAAACATAATAAATATCTCTGATTTAATTGTACACTAGTCAGAAGAGTGTTTACATTGCGATAGATACTATTAAATGAAGAAAGAAATTAGCAAATTCTAACCACAATTAAGCCAAAAAACTCTGAGTATTGTTTTCAATGTCATACAAAGTGGTTCAAATATATATTAACATCTTTTTAAATTAAACTGAATTCATAAACTCATGAAAAACTATAGTAGGCATCTATCAATTTAAAAACTTCAACAGACAGGGACATAGAAAAAGGAAAATGATTAGCTACATGATTTATCATCAAAAATCAACAAAGAAACTTCTGCGAAAAAGAAAAGAAAAAGAGAAACTATGAGGATTTTACGATAAAGTGAGTAAGAGAAAAGAATAAGGAAAATAATTTTCAACAAGCAACAAATAAGAAACACGGTTACTATGAAGAAGAAAAACTATCAAGCAGTCGATAGAAATCCTCACATATGTGACTGCATATTTTGTTATTAAAAAAGTAAATGATACGTCTTGAAAACTCTCTGTAGTATACCGAAATAAAGAGCAATTATAGTGCTATATGCAGTACTTGCCGTTTTATTTTATTTTGTTGGCTGAAAAAATCATTAGCTGGCATAAAAATGAGGACAACTACAACAATTGATGTTCATAACAATTTACTTATGAATTTCCATGATGGGAAAAAGAAGGTAAAAGAAAATAGGAATGAACAACATAATTTTTATGTGAATGTAGAGTGGAGTAAAAGAAATAAATGCGCTCGATACTTTCAAATGGTTCTTTTTTTTATGAAAATAGAAGATTATGTTAATAAAACTAGGAATAAAAGTAAATTGCATGATATCATTAATTCATTGGCTACAATTTATCCGATAAATGCTTCTAAAATACAGTATATGACTATTGATTCAATATTTCAAATTTCTTAGATGCATCATATTCAATCTTTTTCTTTAATTTTCTTGCTAAAAAAAACATGTTGATTGAATAACAATATTTGTGTTCATGTATCGTTACTGTTCTTTTTTGCAATAGATGAATACAAGTAAGTTTTCTAATCAGGTAAAAAATAGCAGATTATTTAGCGATGCTATTTTCAGCTGTATTAAAGATCACATTTTACATAGCTGAAAATATAAGATATGCATATAGTTTCATTGAAACAAAATATTTCTTGTAAAAGTTATGTTATTTGGATTTAGTCGTAATACAATTATTGGAAATAAACATTTAATTAAGTTCACAACATTCTTACAAACACACTTTCTATGATTAGTTTATTATAATTTTGCTCATACATATATAAAATATCAGGTTAAATAAATTTCATGATGTTATTGTGATGAATGAAAAGTTTATCTTCTGATTCATACTGAACAATTAACAGTAGTCCCTTGAAATCATACAGAAAAACAAAACATGAGATCCGTACATTTAGTTGAGTGCATTTTTTTATCCGTTGAATATGATTGTATTATGCACTTAAGTTTAGCATGATTGAGCTAAGATCCTCAATTACGGACCTGAATACAACTGATTCAGACGACCATTTGCTCTGTCAACATACTGAAAGACGCATGGAAATCGAGTATTTCTCTTGCTATCATTGCATTCATCTAATTGATAAAGAGTTGCGTCAATGATCCATAGCTGTAGGAATATCTTACAATATAAATATAATAACATTCTATAGTCGATTGTCATATAAACAAATCGATTCAATCTAATTATCCTTGATTCTATGTGACAAAAATCACCTATTAGAAATAAAGTATTCAACATTCGTAAGTAACATTTATCAAATGATATCATATTTTACTAACAGACAAGAACAAGGTCCGATTACATTATGCAATGTATAATCTAATGGTTAAATTCGATATGAATGCATCGTTTTTCATTCATTATAGACATATTATCTACACTTATAATCTTACGAAATATGTCAAATTAAGTTTTTTTTTATAGAACTTCAATGGGTTCTTAGTCTACAAAAAAACAACTTCCTAATCGTTTCGTATATCTTGAAAGAAAAAAGGCTTCTCAAATATCTTATACGAGGCCTCAATATACATTATTTTATCGATTTAATATCATGATTTCATTTCTAATAACATTTGTTATATTTAAATTAGAATTATTGTTGAATAAGCATATCATTTCTTTTGTACAAGATTTATTATTTTGTAAAAGAACAAAATTGAGCTTCAGTATAGTTTAGGAACGAATATAAGCTACATAGTTTTACGTCAAGAACGTCTACATTCATGAAGATCAAGTAAAATAACAATTGCAAGATATCCAAGTTGTTTTTCTTTATCATTGATAGTAACATGATAAGTTTTATTTAATTTTGAAAATGAATCAATCACCTGAAATAATGTTTCTGGGCATTGAAGCGTTGGATATTGATCTGGTTGCGAAAGATTATTTTGTTCAAAAGTATCTATTATCACTAAACATCGATTTTTTAAATCAGAACTTCGCACTTTATATAACTTTCTTCCAACAACAATAGTATAAAGATAATTATTGTAATTACAAAGTTCGTAAGATAATTGACCAAAAAGATTTTTTTTACCTGATTCACCATTTTCTATATAGATTAAATAATTTCGAGAAACATTTAAATCTGGTTCTATAACACAAAATTCATCTTCACGATGTTTTGCTATTAAATTTGATAGTTTAACACTAGAAAAATATAAACAAGATTAATTTATAAGGAAAATGAGTAAGGAGCAAAGAAAAACTATTTTCATTCTTACTCGAATTGACCCGCACGTTCTTTTGAAAGCGTTGCTTTGACTGTACATATTGTTTTTGAACCACTAACAATTTCATATTTTTCATTTTTTAATGAAAATTGCCGTGTAATTGTGTATTTCATTTATGTTTGAACGTATAGTTGTATATGTAATTATATACGTATATACGTATATGATTAATGACAGGTGAAATATACAAAATTTAATGATGTTTGCACTGGTTGATGGCCTATTTGTTGAATTTATAATTGTATTTCTTTCGTTCTGTATTTAACCTTCTATTTACAAGATACTTTTGTTATTATGATCAGTGATGAGGCCGAAAGACTTGCGTTGTTCTACACTAACGTTAAGAAACGACAAATATTGCTTTTAGAAGTAACGTTCTTTTTTTCTTCTTTTTTTTTCATTCGCTACTATATTACATTCTATACTACTCTCCGGCTTTTTTTCTCGTTTCGTCTTTTCTTTCGTTGACGCTTGAGGAAAATAATAGCACTTCTCTAGTAAATTACAAAAATATAAAGCGTTGTCTCCATATCAACAGAGTGAGATAGAAAGCAATTGATTTTAATATATATTATTGTTTACATTATTTGAATTTTATTACAGTGAATTTTGACACATCTACTAGAGCTTCACATACTCATCACTATTAATAAGTAGGAATCCCAAACATAAATTTCATTTTATATCAGCTTGAGTACAATAGCAAAAAATAATGTCTTTTTTTACATGAATGCAATATATTTTTTAGATGAATACTTCGTCAAATGTTCCTATTTTATTATGTAAATATGTATATAACTTATAATATATATACATACATGCAAATATAAATGGTAAATTTGCTTTTAAATGTAAATAAAGACAAAAGAAAATAAGTAAAAAAAAGACAGACGTATAAAGCAGCTAACAAAAAAAATAAGAATTTTAAAGAATTATAAAATAAGACGATATTGAGCACTCTTCTTTTTGCACAGCGAATGAGAAATAAAAAACAATGGCGTAAAGAATAAAAACCGACCGGAATTAGATGCATAAATGAAATAAATACCAAATCATTTTTGTCTAGCAATTTCAATGTCGATCCTTTAAATGAAAAAACAAAATGCTTAAAATTGTTCCTTAAAATGAATACATTTCAAGACTCATAACCAATTAATAATTTGATCCCAAAAGCCTTGACAGGTCGGTTATTACGTATACTTACCGTTCTCTTTATTAGCATCATTTTATTTTTTCTGTAAAAAGAATGGAAGTTTTAAATGAACAAAATTCCAGAGTAAAACCAGTCCGGTTTAATTTTTTTCTTCTTACCTGCATAGTTGACATAACACTACTGGCCAATGATGATAATCTACCAGCTGCTTTTGATACACCTTCTTTAAAGTCAGCTGTCATGGTTGCTAAATCAGGACCTTGATAATTTGAACGATCTGTTCTTTTTTTATTTGGATCCTCAAAAAATTGGTCGCTTGAAATGCTTGTATTTCCTTGAAAACGTGATACTACATTGTTTCGATCATTCTATAAGAAATCGAGTTCAGATGTAAAAATGTTTTTTCTCAGCACGAAACTTTCATTCAGAAAAAAATTCATTTATTATTATTATAAATATATGATAATATTAAAATTCGAAAGCTACAGGCGCTCCAATCATCTGGAATAGAAATTTAATTTAGATTAGCACGTGCACATTATCAGAAAGTGTCGATTAGTAACGAAAAAATTTAAAAAAACCTGTGTGATGCGTTTGTTTATATGAAAACGCATGCAGCGAAAAATTATGATGAAAATTTGAATAAATTTATTTTTTATATAATTAATACATGCACGACATTCACATACGTACATCAGAATCTTTATTAAAAAATTGATCACTTGATATAGCCTTAGCATTTGAAAAACGTTTTTGTGCATCACTACTATTTCCTTCACCATAAGATGTTGAGGATTGAGTTTTTGATTTGGAAGATGATGATCTAAGAAAACAAATTTGATTTGAATTTAATAGTTCTGTTAAAATTTTTTATATTACTTAGAGGCACCATTATTAGAATAGGATGAACTGTTCGTTCCACCAAATCCATAATCATCGGCTGGAGTGTTTTGATCAATAATATCCCAATCATCAGTAAATGTGTCTGCAGTTTTTGATGAGGATTTAGGTTTAAATAGATCATCGTCGAGTCTGTGTAGAACAAAAAAATAAAATAAAAATTTGATAAACTAAATTAGTCAGCGATATGTTTCTTTAGTTATTTATATATTCGTTGAAATTGATACATTATCTAACGAAAAAATGAATAATTATCATTATCAATAAGTATTCTCGTACTATTAGATAGAATTAATCAAAAACAATTCAACTATGAATAATAATGTGAACAGATTTATTTTCTGTATGAGAACTGGTGAATTATTGTTGAAAATTCGATGTTTTGAAAAGTAATACATGTTTTTAAATTATTATTTTTATCGTTTAGTAATCTTCTAATTTGACGATGAATTATATTTCATATCAATTAATGAAATACATCGTAAAGATCACATACTGAACAGCTATTCGAGTTCAAATAGAATATCAGTAGTTGAAAATGCATGACCTTTTCTCGTTCCTTTCTTTTTCATATTAACGTTGACTTAAACAGTTTATGTAGTTATAATGAAATAGAAGAGTCAGTGTTACAAAAAAAGCACTATATCAAATAGATTCAGCCTTTCTCTTGCTTGTTTTTTTCAAATTCAAATAATTAAAGTATTAAAACAGCACATATATGATTATTATTAAGTTTATCAGTACGTTTTAAAGTTGTCATTATCATCTCTCGATGAGAATCCATCATAACTGAATTATTAATTGAATTATTAACTTATCAATGACTTCCAATACATACTTTGATCGACTACTGAAGCCAGATGATTCGAAGTCATCGAAAAAATCTCGAGTTTTTGGTGCAAGCGAAATATTTCTTGTTGTAGTTACACCTTCTTGTTGAATTGTTTGCATATCAGTCATAGCACTATGACTTACACCGCTAAATCAATGAAATTCAATTTTATAACTCTTATTATTTATCAAAAACTGATTCTACCTTCGACTGCCAAAACCCATGCCAAGCCGTTCCATTTGTTCAGCTTTCTTAGGATTCGATTGCTTTAATTTAGCTTCTTCTATATCACGTTGTTTATTGAGATCTTGATAAACAAATTTGAGATTCGCCCTAAAATATAACAACTATTAAACTATTTTTATCAAGACTATTGCTCTAACATTCGTTTTTCTAATTGTTTTTCGGTTTCTTCACGATTTTTAATTTCAAGAAAAGCTTCTTGTTCACGATGTTTTTCTTGTTCTTGAACATTACGCTCGATTTCTTTGAAATCCGTTGTTACTTTTTGTGCACCAAAACCTTTCTATAAAGAAAAGAACAATTAAAAAGTTATTTATCAATCAAAAACCAAAACACAGTCGAAATTAATACTAAAAACAATGTTAAAAACCTTTTTTGCTGCTGGAGCTCGACGTTGACCAATATTTGTTCGTTTTGGATCGATTGGTTTCATTGGACCATCATTATTCAAGGCACTTAGATCCACAGTTGGTCCTTCTGTTTGTTGTTCAGCTAGAAATAGAAGTAAATCACAGAAATAAAAACACAAATAAATAGACAATTTACTCTTATCCAGACTTTGATTACTGGAATGTAAAGAGATTGTTACATTATCTCCACGGTCAGTTTTAGCTGAAATTTGAGAATGTTCATGAAAGAAATCATCTTCTTTCTTTTCATTTGTTGAATGGTTATGTTCATGCTTATGTGCATCATCAAGAAACAACTACAACAAACAGAATATATGATAAACATGATTAAAAATAAGTGTTTCTTCGTTTAATATTTAATTACTTTTGTTTCATATTGTTGCATTGCTTTAGTAGCAAGTTGATGAAGTTTTTCCCGATAAAGTTGTGACGCTCTACTATTATATTTTTGTTGAATATCTTTTGTTTGACATCCATGCTGTTGAAAAAATGCTTCCTAAAAAAAAACTCAAGATATTGAAATTTTATCGATCATGGTGTCATAATATTATACTGACAGCATTAGCATTTCCACCAACTTGCATGGCTCTTAATGTGAAAAAATAGTTACGATTCAAATTTTACTTCCAATTGAAACATACCGAAGTTGAAGCCATCCCCAACTAGTATCAAGATTAGTCGAACGAACAAATGATAAATGAACGCCAAGACCGCGATGTCTTGCTGAGCAATCAATACATAAAAATATACCGTACGTAACCGACGCCCATGTGGGATTTTTAGTATCACAGTCGAAACACGTCTATCGATATGATACATATGTAAATCAATAGAAATAAATCAAAAAAAGATTATTGACAGACCTTATTTGCAGGAAGTGTTCTCAATCGTTTAAAAATGGCGTCGATGTCTGACTTAGTCGGTTCTTCCATTGTTCTAATAAATTATTGATTAATATTGATTTTCTTATAGAATAAACTTATCTAGAAATGAAAAACATTTAACCTTGATTATTCTTAACTATTTGAAACTAAAGCAAACAAACGAACTGAGTAATGAATGACAACGATCGATGTACTATATTATTCGTTAATAGGCTTATTGATATGTGCCAATTAATTTGAAGATCTTAAATGCAAATGAGTATCTGTAAAATACAATTAAAGTCTAGCAAATAGAACTAATTCTTCCCGTTCAAAACCATATCGATATTGAATTGATTAAAAGTTACCATACGACATCTACAACATAATTTTATTCGTTACTCAATTACCCTGTTAACGATCAATGCAGAACGAAAGGGTAAACTTTTTCAGAACAACTGTTGCTGCAATAGATGTTGTGGGGAAAAAACTCTGAGTCATACTTTCATGCTATTGCGTAATGTTTGTTCTCTTCATGGTTTTTGTCGTTTCAAGTTTGACTCTTATCAATTACTATATAATACTTGATGGTTTCAGTCAACAATCATTCCACTCCACGCTATTACATCTGTGAAGAACACATATTTGTAGACTTTCAACTTTTATCTTATGTACTTATCATTTGTAGGATTTAATATCTGATTGAAAATTGCAACCAACTCTTCGACAAAATTTTAACTCATCTTTATAACTACGAGTACGCCATCAGCATCTACTACTACAATTGCCACATTTACTTCCCAAATCGAACCTTTGTTCTTCAATGTCACAATCAACAAACCTATTTGGCACTCAAACTGCACGACAACCATTCATGTTCACTGCTAGTACACAAAACACACCACCTACAGGTTTATTTCGCAATCCACCAGTCTCAAATACTCCTGTCAATTTTACATCTTCATGTAAGAAATGAATAATATAATTTATCATTTTATTTCAATAGTTAAGTTTTTAGATTTTAACGGTGCATCTAATTTTGGTATGCAGCAAGCAGTACCAGCTACAAACTCAACATTTCCCATTGCTTCAAAAACAACTCAATTAACGTTTAACTCTGGTCTGTTACCTACTCAAGGTAAGTTTTTGTTTTTAATCAAATTTGTTAAACATTTCAATTCTGATTATCAGACAAATCTATACTGAAATGACCATCGTTCTAAAAATAAGTCTGAAATTTCAAAGTAAAAATTGTTTTTCAATGAGAGCATTCTTAAAATAAGCAAGTATTGAAATTTCTCATAAAAGACTATTAATCAAGTAGAAACTTTTCATTTTCAAAATTTCATATACAAATCAACAAATTTTACCCCATCAATGTATTTAAGTCGTATTCTATATCTTCAATATGCTTTCATCAAACAAGAACTGCAAATATTGATTGTATTTCCTCTCTATTTAGCAACATCCATTAATTCGAATGCTTCTATATCAACAGCGCCAAACATATTTACAACTGCAACTTCTATGAAGCCTAATGCATCAGACAGCTTATTCAATAAACCATTATCAGACACAACAGGAACATCAATGCCTTTCTTTGCATTTAATGCCAATACAGTATCAACGAAAAATAATTCTGCGCAACCAAATTCAACAAATACTGGTGTATTTAGTATTAAAAAATCCGAAACACCAGTCCCATTTAAATTTGAACCTCAACCAACTCCAGGTACGGGCATATCTTTACAACCAGCAACAAAACCATTACATAGTAACACTGAGCAAACTACTGTAACAAATTTCTTTGCTGCTCCAACTTCAATAGCAGCATCAAACGCGACAAATATGTTTAGCACTCCTACTACAGCAATAACTACGTTCAACTTAAATCCATCATTAGTGACTACTTCAGCTGGCACACAAGTACAGTCAGATGTGATATCAAGTTCATCAGCAACAATATCTCAAATAACAAGACAAGAACAAACCACTGAGCGACCAATGTCAATGATTCACCAGCAGTTTATTGCTGTATCACTTCTAGATCCATATGCTAATCGTGGAAGAAAAGATTTTTCTAACATGGATTCAATCCAAAAACATGTAGAACCTGCTTTAGTTCCAAAGGTACCTACAACAACAACTATTACGGCAACAGTACCAACACCCATACCGCTTATACTTCCTATACAAACAAATTCTCGAAAAGGATCATCAGCTCATTCATTAGTTGATGTTAATTTTAAATTAAAACCTGTTACATCAATATCATCATCATCATCATTAACCCAAAATGATACTATAAAGACAGTCACTCAACAATCGATTTTATCAACCGAACCATTGAAAAGTACGTTTACTGATGAAGAAGAACTTGTTTTACTTGGTCGAACTAAAATATCGAAATTACGCCTAGCCAATGTTATTAGTGCTTCAACGTATCAAACTAATTATATCCCTTCACTCTATCCTGTAAGATGTCTAGCTGATCTTGAAAACTTCACCAATATAACGTCACCATCATCAAGAATCAAGAATCAACAAATCTCACATTCGCTCAGTAAGTGTATCAAAGTATAGGGCATGAATATTGACTTCTTTTTTTTCCATTTTTTATAGCTGAAAATTATGATATATCACCTAATCAACAGCAAACTGCATCTATTATTTCCCAACGACCATTATCTCCAATAACTTCATGTAGATCAAATAATGATTTTCAAACTTATCGTTTACCGATTTTAACTCGTGATAATTATTACATGAAACCAACTATATCCGAGTTAAAAATTTTATTCCATGATAAAGGTGAATGCATCCTTTCACAGTTTACCGTTGGACATGAAAAATATGGTTCAGTAACGTTTTACGGTCGAATTGATGTTGCAGGACTTAATCTTGATGAAATAAGTATGTAGTAAAAGTTAACGTATTTTCATTTTAACATATATTTTTACTTTATTCTAGTTCAAATCAATAGTCATGAAGTCATTGTTTATTCAGATGATAACAATAAACCATCTGTTGGTGTAGAATTAAATCTTCCAGCTCGTATAACATTACTGAGTGTTTATCCCATTGATCGTGGTACACGTGAAGAAATCACTGATATTGCACGCCTAGAAGCAATGAACTATTCGGATTATTTACGTAAAATCACAGAAAAATTCGATGGAGAATTTCTTAATTATGGAATAAACGATGGATCCTGGACATTTATGGTAAATAAAAATAAAAAGATTCAAGAAAATTCGAAAATTATTTTCTATATTTTTGTTTTAAGGTGAAACATTTTACACGTTATGGACTTGATGAGCATCAAAATGACTTTCTTATCAATTCAAGAATAATAAATTCGGATGAAACGACTTCTTTGATTAATAGATACATGCACTTGAATCATCAATCAGTATTGACTTCAAATTTTATCGAATATGATGGAACAATTTAAAATGAAAGTAAGCTGAATGTTCAGAACGAATAAATTAAATTTTTTACTCGCCTTCTCTGAACAAGCAGCATTAAATATTTTATTTACCAGATTCTATTTGACACAGAAAATAACCGCGACAGATTATTTTAGATTGTTTTGTGTATTTTATTAAATAAAATATTTTCGAAAAAATATTCATTTATTTATATTAGTTAGTAGAGAATTTTTCATTTCCAGAGTGATAATCTCAGTAGTATATAACGAATAACTAATAACCGTGGAATATCCTAGGCAAGTATAAAATCATATAGAATATCATGAAAAAGAATCTAAGATCATTCTCTTGTCATGAGATGTCTTTCCTCATAGCTGATTATCAAGTTTTAGAAGTAAAAAGCGTTTTTCTTCCTTGTGAACTACTTGAAGAAGTTTCACATGAATGAAAGGGTATAGATGGCAAAGAGAATATCCATCTACTCTCGATTGTAGATGGTGAAAGAGTAGATCTCTAGTATTAATTTAGACAATACACAAAACCTATTTTAGTTCATTCTATAAGTTGTTCTGCGAAGAAGATAAAATCGATTCAGCTGAAAACTATCGTATAGACATATGACGTCTTAAAAATTGAATATCTAACTAAAGTATTGTTAGAAATTAAGCGATTTGAAAATAATTTTCTCCGAAGATACTTTCTACATTCAATACTTATTTCATTGAGCACAATCATTGTCGACAAAGTGTACGTATAGGTAGTTATATACGGTAGATTATCCTTCAAAAAATGATATAAACAGTCATATTTTTAATACTCAATTTCGAAATCTACATCAAAAAACAAATTCTACTTCCACTAATTTCTCGTCTTCCCAAAATTATCGAAATAGCTTCAAGCAAACATTTCGTCTCATTCTTTTTTCATTCTTCTAGAATATTTTACAGAACATTCGATATAGAGAAACATTTTTACTAAATATTTTTTGTTAACAGTGCACTTTTACTATTTCTCATGTCAGGACGATAATCAGTTTATTATTTGGGTTTATGATGAAAAATTATAATGGCATCAATTCTGGGCAAATTGATTGTATTCATCGGTTTAGAATGAATCAATCCAACAATAGAGTGAGATTAAAAATTAGTTTTTACATTGAATCTATTTTAGTGTTGAATTCTACGTAATTATGAATTCATGTCTACGAATCTTATTAATAATTGTATCCCGTGAACAAAACATCACAACAAGCTTTGATTATCAACTTGTCAGATAATAATGATATATTTTGATGCTATACAAATGATAATGTATGAGAAGGACTGTTATTTTTAAGTAATTATTTTATTTACTGAATTAGAATACTGCTTTAGATGCAAACAGTATCCAATGAAACACAGTAGATAATATTATATTTTGTCTTTAAATTGATACATTTCCAACAATTGCTATTTGTTATTGTAGCAATCATCAATTACATATCTGTGATTAACTAGAAAACATTTAATTACAATTTTCTATTCAACTAACCAATTAAAAAAAATAGTATATTATTTACCAGAGTTCCTTTTTCTAGAAAACTTCTATAAATTTTAATGAATTCCTTCATCAACATCGAGTAATATTAAATATTAATTTAATTCGCAATAGACAAGTTCAGGTTTATAATTATAATGTATTATATTACAAATGTTATACTTTACGAACAATATTTAATGATAAACTGTCTATTCAATCATTGATAATATACCAATCGAATTATATGTACATAGATTTATTTAGCATGATATCTATTTTCCTTTTAAGTACATTTTACAGTTATTTTTACTGTAGAATAAGTTTGGAACAATCGGTTAATATCTTAGAAATATTTCTTGACCAATGTGGTGACAATAATTGACGAATTGATGGAATGGCACATAAATGTTTCTAATAGAAATTTGCACACAAGTTATGACCAGGGATAAAATGAATAGTTCATTTTTATTATAAAGCTTTCTACATTGTACGAAAGCTATAAAAATTATTCAATTTACAGCATTGTTTATCCCTATAACTTTCATCTGAATTTTAGTATCTGTAATCTTAATGAGATGTTAACTTACTGAAAAGTCTCGAAAAAAAAACAATGAATCTCATCTACAACTGTAGTAGTTTAAGTTGTAATATAGATTCTTTGAGGTAGATACACATATCTTACATAACCGACAATACCACCGATAAAAATAGACACAATGAGACAATATCGATCGTTTGAAATAAAATCTTGGTATGAAAATCAATATTCTTCCTTTGATTTCAAGACCAAAATAATCAACTATTTATTTAGTCATCACATACGGATCGGAAACAACTTGCAGTGATGTTGTTTCTTGTTATTTTGAAATAAACTTTTGTTAGTGTCTGAAATGGAAACGTCCGATATATTATATGTTTCTGTTGCTTTTTCTTATTACTGAAATAGATTCGATTATTTAAGACATTTGTTTTTCTCATGTAAATACGTTAATTTGGAACAAATTCTAAATAGTATATCTTCTTTTCTTATTATTACCGAGCTGCTCATGAAATGGATTTTTCGATATATCCACATTGAACAAGGATAAGTAACTGTGACAAAAGAATTATATTGACTAATCTAAATAGATTCCCGATAACGTATAAAGCTTGTTGATTTTATAGTTTGACCTTATTGTTCGATCGAATCAATTCATTCTCAAGTACCTTTATCCGTCTTTTCAATAAGTCGATAGTGTATCGGGCCAGATGAAGTATGTCAAATATAATAGATCACATTTTCCCTACTGTATTTTTGCAATTGAATTAACTAGACTATAATAGCTATGAACTAGAAATGATAAAGTCTGTAATAAAAACAAAAACGTGCATTAATAGTATATTGTAACACTTGTGCTCGTAAATATCGACTTTTCATTAAATCCTAAATCATATAAGAATCGTTTTGACTTTTGATTTACTCATTGTTTGATTTTACTTCTAGATAACGACTTGTTGCTAACGACTCATTGAAAATAATATTTTCAATTTCGAATGAATTTATTATATTCAAATAAAACAAACAATAATCAGAAAAACAACCCAACTATTTCTATTTGTCCTCGTTGACTTTGATCGATTATTGGTTTCATGTCATGTTCGCTTTGATCTAATGAAATTATCTGATGCTTGTAATGGATGATTTGCTTTCTATTTAACGCAATTTATACTCTCCTAATTGCATTTAAATATAATTATATTGATAATTTAATAAATATCTCTTTGTCTTTTATACGCACGAATACAGAATACTACCGAAAGTCCAGTAAAGATGCATATATCATTCTTAAAATAAAACTTCCTAATTATTATTAAGAAAGATCGACACGTCGTTTTTCTTTTCCTTTCTTTTCTTATGTTCAAGAACAAAGCTGACTTGTGATGGTTGTAACTATTGATTATCGTGTGGCATATTCGCATCTTATTGTCAGTTAATGTTCTTTTTCTCTACTAATAGTATAATGACCTGTCATTGTCAATAATCTCATGGTGAGTCATTCACAGACAAGCGAATAACCTTTTCGCGTTAAAATAAAAGAGAAAAAAACAACTATCAATGTTTTATTATTTTCTTCTATTCATCTTAAGAACCGGTATAAAGCTGCTACTTCTTTCTTTTATAGCTTCTTCTTTTTCTCATTTTATTAACACATGGGAAAATGCATTAGTCTTTTTCTCTTCTCCCGATTTTTCTATTCTGTTTCTTGCTACTACCCACTTCTCTAGATAATGATAGATACGATGCCATGATTCCAATCGATAATCTGACGCGCACAACTACTACAGCTAATAGAATACATGACGAATAGGCAAGCTAACGACGATGACGATGATGATTACTGATCAATATTCGTGGGAGGCAATGCTGTTTTTTGCGCTTGCAACTACTGGTATACGTCATTGACCTGTGCGCATATACGTGTGTGACGATTGACAGCAAATCAATGCATCGCTATCAACATCTCTCGAACGAATTCGAGGTTAAACAAGTAAGTCTTTTTTGTCAATTTTAGTTTTTCCTTGACTGATGACAGTGTTGACAAATGTTTAATAGAAATCTTAATCTAACACTATGGCTTTCTCTCGACATTCACTTCGACGTGTTATCGGTGATATGGTTCATCGACATAATGGTAAAAATGACACAATAAACTCCGCGTCTATTAACCGTCAGAAAAGCAATAATGGATCAAGAGATAAAAAGGATCGAAATTCTATTATTAGTAATGGTTCCCTAACGGTATGCATTATCTTCATAAGATAAAGTGAATAAATTATTCTTCTATATTAGTTATCCCCAACATGTTATGAAAAACTACGTAAAAGTGAAAATGAAATATGCAAATCACTCAATTATCTTGATCAAGTTTTAACACATAATAAACTTGAAATTCTTCCAAATATTATTACATCATTAATTGAAAATCTGTTCGATATTGATAGTGTCTTAAAAGGAATATTTGAACGTGAACCAGAATCCTTTAGGTAAAATTGTTACTTTGCAAAATATATTTTTTTATCAATTTTCTCTCTCTCTCTCTCACTGAATAGAACACGTCTTCTAAGTGATGTTTATTCTCTCTTAGCTGATTTAGTAGATTGGTCCGATACATTACTAATATCAAAAACTAATATTACAAAAATTCAAATAAATGATGATGATAAATATAAAAAAATTGCTTGTGATCTTATTCAAGCAGTTAAAGTAAGAATTAATTGAATGAAGATGTCTATATGAACATTTAAAAAAATTCATTTCAGAATTGTGTTTCACATGCATGCGATACATCTTCAACACAAAGTACTGAAACACATTCTGATTCAGTTCCAAGTGTTCAATCAGTTAATAGGTAAGATTTTTCATTATTACTAATATTTTAATCTTTTTTGTATCGATCTTTTTCTATTAGTTCCAGTGATGATTTAACTCCAGCTTTACCTCCAAAACGAGATAAGCGTCCTGTCAATTCATCAACTGCGATCATATGTAATCGATCTCAAAATAATGGAAGTGAAAATTCTCTCTTATCATCTTCATCATCCTCGAATCAAACTAAACAAGATAAAGATAACGATGAACGTATACAATTAATCGTTGATGATATTAATCACATTGTTGAAAAATATACACGTGAATTAGATGATGCATTACGATCAAAAACAACAAGTCGCTCTTCATCTATTGATTATATATCAGAACCGAATCGTTCATCGACATTACCATCATCTTATCATCATAGTAGTGTGGATACATTATATGAAACACATGTATCAAAAATAACGAAGAGTGTAGTAACTAAAACAACAGTCAATAATGGGCATGGAATGATTGATAAAAAAGAATCATCTCAAATTTTTAATGAAACAGATTGCTCGATTCATTCAGCCGAAGGAGACGTTGTTAAAACACAAAAATTTACAATTATTAATCGACAAAAATCATTTGATGATGATGAACATAAAAAAACAATAATGACTACTCGTATAGATCAATTTAATACGTCTGATAATGATAAAATAACAAATGATCCACCGCCATTACCACCCAAACGAAAGACAGGTTTGTATAAAAATGAAAAGTTATAGATTTGTGTATTTCTCAAGTCAATAATCTTGTTTAAAATCTGAGAGAAAAAAAGATCAAATGATATGCTATGTAATGAATATAGAACATCAAGCAGAGTCAGATAAGAAAACTTTGAAAGAGTGTTGATAGTTTTTTTTAAGATAAATCAAAGCAATTCTTTAATACAATCCTATGAATCTTGTATTCAGAAATAATTCATTATTTTCAGTTAGACAAAAAAGCGGAACTACCTGTCAAAATATGTCTCCTTTTAGAACAAAATCTTTCGACTTGCCTCTATGCATACACAAGTTCTATTAAAATACTTCCTGGAAGAATAAGATTTTATACATAAGATTAATATTAAAACAAAACAAACCATACAAGATAATAATATCACTTTATGTTTTAGCTCGAGCATATATGTCCTTATTTGATCGATATGACCAAAATGAAGCTGAACTGTTTCTTCGTGATGCATGTTTGATTCCATCACCACAAAGACGTTTTGAAGATTTATTTGAACAGCTTCGTCAACATTTTCAGCGTATGCAAATACTTTCAAATAGTGATGATTCATTAAGAATTAAAGGAGCAACAATTAAAAATATTAATAAATCAATTGAATATGTAAGCAATATTTGAATTATTCATTGTCCCATTGTTGTTTCTTTTCCGTTTGACGTCAATGCCTATTTTATTTTCTAGTCAAAAGATAATGAAGAAATTAATGAATCCAATCTGTATGATAATGCATTGAAACTCAATTATAATAGTGATATTTTTCTGGAAAATATTTCTCATTTACTTGTTTTTAATCTGGTAAAACTATCTCTTACTTCTTTCACGGTCTATATCATTTTTTACAAATGAATATTTCAATATAGAATGAAGATCCTTCATTACGTGGTGGCTCTGTTGATGCATTAATTATTCGAGCGACGTCGCCTGATAAAAGGGGTAAAATATTATTGATGATCGTTTTGTTTTTATACATAATAAAAGATTTTCTTTAGATTTTGTTTATCAAGAAGCATTTTTAACAACGTATCGTACATTTGTATCTCCGAGTGATTTAGTTGATAAACTTGTTCAACGTTATATGTTTTTTTCTCAATTTGAAACAAAAAAACGCATAGCTCGATATGCATTTTCGCTTCTTATGCGCCTTATCGATGAAATCGAGTAAATAGAACTTATTTTATGTAGTCTTTTGTTTAACTATATATATATATTTTTTTCTTTTCATTTAGTAATGAATTAACGGAAACGTTAATGAAATCTATTTCCAACTTTGTGACAAATCTATTACGTCACGGTGAGCTGCAGTTGGGAAAATTATTGAGAAGAAAGTCTCTCGAGCGTTTTAATAAATCTGACATTGCCAATGAACAATCACAACAAGATATCGTGCTAATAAAAAGTTCTATATCATCTAAACGAGCAACATTACTTGATTTTCATTCAATGGAAATAAGTGAACAATTAACATTACTTGATTCGGAATTATTTCTTAAAATTCAATTATCAGAAATTTTATATATGTCTATTGAAAAAGGTGAAGACTATTCTCCAAATTTAGCTGCATTTACAGAACATTTTAATAACATATCTTATTGGTAAGTAGTAGTAATAATTGATTGCAAATTGTTTTTTCAAAATGGATTTTATTTTTTTACAGGGTACGATCTCGAATACTTGAACAAAATTCTCAACGACAACGTGAAGTTTATTTTGAAAAATTTCTAAAAATATTAAAAGTAATTTTTAAGAATACTTAAATTTATTTACTTATTTAAATTAACACACTCAATATGATATGATAATTGATAACATATTAGATGAATAACTAAATAGTATAAGATTCTTTTCAGCTAGCTTAGAACAAAATAGTAGTTCAGGATTACTCATATTGGCTATTTATTCCATATTCTATATATATATATATGATCAAGGATGTAATAAAACTATTCTCTAGAGTTTTTGCTCATTCTACTATCAAAGTATGTCATTAGTATATTAACTGACGTTCATTTTCTTTAAGCTTATCGGGCAATAAAATTCAATTAACGTATCGTATTTCACTGATAAGAATATTTTAATGTATGATAAATTATTTATGTTTTATCATCGAACTAGGTTATTTACAATGAGTTCAGGCTAATATATGTTTGTGATAGATATTGATAGGAGACTTGAAATAACTAAAAAATTTATATAGGAACTAGTTGTAGCATATCTCATAAAATACGCTGCAGTACTCATGAAGTATAGATTTTTTTTAGTTAATACATCTGTCTAGAAATAACTGCATATATTGGTAGTAAAAGTACTTTAAGAATAATTTCTACAATTCTTTTCTTCTTGCTATAATTTTTGCAAATGCTTTGTTACTTTAGCATTTACGACGATTAAGTAATTTCAATTCATATTTGGCTATTCTCTCGGCTCTTGATTGTGGTCCATTGAAACGATTGAATTGGTCAAAGAATATCATAGATGTAAGAGTTGTTTTGTTTTGTTTACTTGCTGAATCTTTTTTGATTTTTAATCTATTGAATTTAGTCGATATCGGAGCACACCGGAATTATTGATAGTACTGGTTCATTTAAAAATTATCGCGAAGCTTTAAGTGCATCCGTTGGTCAACCATGTATTCCTTATATGTAAATAATAAATAGAATAATAAGTTTTAAACGATCGTCTTTTTTTAATTTTCTTTTTAAAAGTGGATTGATTTTGTCTGATTTAACATTTGTACATATTGGTAATGTCGATTATTTACCAGATGGTCGAACTGTTAATTTTTGGAAGCGATGGCAGCAATTTACAATCTTGCATAAACTTCGCTATTGTCGTAAATGGTCTGTCTTTATCAAAACCGAAGGATATCCTCGTTTTATTGAATTTGTTTTTTAATGTTTTTTAGGGAATATAAATTTACAAGAAACGATCGTATTTTGTATTTTTTTAATAATTTCGATGATTACATGAATGAAGATGCTCAATGGATACAATCAGAAAAAATCAAACCAAGACAAAAAACGAATCCTTATGCATAATAATCGAGTTTAATATGTATATTTGTCAAATATTTTTTTCTCTTTGTTTACTTTTGTTTTTATTACAGTGACAATTAAAACAAAATTTAATGGATAAAAAGGATAATTCATTTTATTGCTTTATGTATCTATCTGTTTGTTTTTGTTTTTTGTTTTTTGTTTTTTGTTCTTAAATTTCTCTCAGATAGATCCTGTGTATCAAAATCTAGAAACGGGCTTCCTAATGCTATGTTACTTTTTCAACGTACCGAATTTAGACAATAATAAAATAATGCCTTTCTTTTCTTTTCATCAGATTATATTTGATGATATCATCGAAATTAATTGATTTATTTACTCATAAATTATTATTGAAGAGATATTTTTATTTAACAACCTATCGATTCGATGTATGTGATTGAAAAAGAAAAGAAAACTGTATTCTAGAATTTACCAAAAAGTTCTTCGTTTCTTTTATAGCAGAAAAAAATGATGTCAAAAAATTTACTTGAAGAATATGACAAAAAACGTGATTTCAGAAAAACTCATGAGCCGAAACCAGTATATGATAATAGTAAGTGTACAAATGAACATCGATTTGTTGTTCAAGAGCATCATGCTTCAATGCTTCATTTTGATTTTCGGCTTGAAAATAACGGTGTTATGAAAAGGTAGAATTGTAAATCAACTAAAAAAAGAAATTCTCTTCTATCCTCGTCTTATTTTTTACTTAGTTGGTAGGTAGAAGAAATTCTGAAAAATATTATTCATTAAATTAATACAAACAGGTCAATACCAAAAGGACCAAGTCTTAATCCTCGTGACAAACGTTTAGCAATTATGGTAGAAGATCATCCGATTCCATATATGAACTTTGAAGGCAAAATACCAGACGGAGAATACGGTGCAGGTTAGATTTTGTTTGGAAATATCAATCGAATTTGAAATGTTACTATTTATGGATTAGGTGAAGTACGAACATGGGATATTGGAACCTATGAATCGTTAGATGATATTGATATTGATAAAGGAATAGAACAAGGAAAATTAACATTTATCCTTCACGGGAAGAAACTTCAAGGTGAATTTCATATGGTTCGATCACGATTTCGAACAAATCAACGAGAAAATCAATGGCTTTTAATGAAAAAGAAGGATGAATATGCAAATGAAAATTTTTTACTTGAACGCATACTTAATTATGGTTCACGACAAGATTTACAATCATCAGCTGACACTAAAACGAATAAGAAACGACAAAGACAATCGACAGTAATATCACCTGAATCACAAGTAAAAAAACGTTGATAATTTCATTTCGAAAATTTACTAATCAAACTTAATTTCATTCCGAGTAATATTCTGGTGACGTTGCACTTTTTTAAAGACTTCTAATTCAGAATTAAACATAAAAATTCATTGAGAATCGAATAAAAAACAGCGTTCTTTCAGATTGGCAAGCTTGACTTTACTGTAAGAATAACGCATATAAAAAACGAACAAATAATCAGTGAATAAATCATAACTTATGCTTTTTCATAATTGTAACTGTTCAATAGACAATTTTTTTTTACTTCTAAAATATTTAAAATTAAGGAACAGTCGCTAGAATCAATAGTTATCTTTGATAATCTTGCTTGATAAAACTATAGTTACATCATAAAATAGTTTGATGTTGTTTCGCTCAAGATTAGTTTTTTGAAAACATAATTACTAAATAGTAATACTGATCAGTTAACCGCATAAAAACTTAACATTGCCAAAAGTAAATTACACCTGTTTTCACTTATTTACGAATACAATATGGAAATTTTACTAGTACTTTAATTCTTCATATCAAATATTAAATATCAATCAGAAAGCGTACAGTGAAGTACAACGTCTAACTAAAGATAAAAATAGATATTCTTATCAATAAATTTAACATGATGTTCTATTGATATCGCTAACGCATTCGTCAATAAATCTGATGGCTGATCTCAAATTACATATTCCAGTAGAAAATTCAAAAGCTAAGAAATGTCTCATCTCAATACTATATATATATATATATATATAAATATATCTAAGGAATTAAATTCTTACTATGATTATAATTACATCTAATTTTTATTGTTGAATTAATAATTGAAATCATTTTGACAAATTCTCTAAAACTTCTTTTTGTGTATAGATTATTTATATTGAATATCGATTCAATTTCATTTTACTACAATGAATAAATTGTCAGCAACGTTCTTTTTCAATACATCGAATTGTATTTTTATTTAATTCAATTGCAGTCAAATATTTTCAGCATTGAAAAATCAGACGCAAAATCTTCTACACTATACTATTTATATGCGATACAATGATCAACATTATAGCCCCTCTGACATGTTTTCTAATATCATCAAAAAGAAAATGTAAAACTTCCTTTTAACTTGTATATTTAAACGTGTACACTTTTCCTTAATGTATAATTGGCAATAAGGATAAGAAAGGAAATACTCAAAAGCAAGTACGACAATTGAGAAATAAACAAAGAAAAATTCAAAGATGAGAGATGTCAAACAGTGAGAGAAGAAAGAAAACAAGTAAGCAAATTGTTAACAGATCCATGTACGTAAAGAGAAAAAATGAAACATGATTTTCTACTCGCCGTGCATAATGAAAGAAACATTTTGTACAAATCAAAAAAAAATGAAGAGAAGAATTCAATATTCAATCTAAGATATTTATACATTATGTCAATTCCAATTAGTAAAAATATTGCATTAACAACAACAAATAAGAACAATACATTCGAGACATATGACGAATAACAGAAAAAGAAAGAAAGAAAGAAAGAAAGAAAGAAACAGAGAAAGAAGAAAAAAACAAGAATCATACAAGGTATTGCTGGCTCATCAATGAGAGATTGCACAAGAATGAGATGTATCATGTGCACAATCAAAAGAAAAAAACCAAAAAAAATACTGTCTTGTTCTATCTCATTATTCATTTATAGCTGCACATCATCGTCATGTTTATAGAAGAAAAAAATACAGGTAAATACTAAAAGAAAACAGAAACCTTGTGTTGGTCATGCACGTATATGAGACAAAGAAAGGTAAGACGAAGGCACCGATAAGCAAACCATAGTAGCAACATCATTAAAAATGAACAAGAAACAATTTATTGTTGCCAGTAAGAAGGTGGTATTGATTGATGCATTTGTTCCATAAAATTAGATCCATCGACAGATGAAGATTCACTTGGCATCAACATCGAACTTTGAGATGTTAACACATTCATATTTCCATTATGATCGTCAGATTTTTCTTCAGTACGTCGGCGTAAACATGCAGCTTTGGGATTTAAATTACGTTCTAGAAAGAAGAAAATTTGATTAAGATGAAAAATTGTCTTCCATCGTATTACCTCGAACTTGTTGCTCAAGTGTAGTTATTAAATTAACAGCTTGCTGAAGTACGCCTAGTTTAGTAACTGGTTTATCATTGCGCATATGAATTGAGCACATACGGCCGAGCTCTTTAAATGCATCATTTATATCTCTAACGCGTAATCTTTAAAAGAAAAGAAAAAGACCAACAAAATAAAATTGTTCGTTATTTGTTAAATTTATTTTTCTTACCTTTCTCGTGCGTTATTCGCAGCTCTTCGATCTTTCTCTCGTCGTTCACGTTCTTCCGGTGTTTCGTCAGGATCAATAATACTACCTTCTGATGATGGTCCACCGCGCATACAAGATAAATTCATATGACTATTAGGACTTAATGTTAATGAACTTAAATGACAAAAAATAGTTTTCTTGCTTAATTAAAGGAAAAAAATCTATTTGTTTCTAATTTCTTACTTTCGTAATTTCGTTGCTGATGATGATGATGTTGGACCAATATGGCCTCCACTTGGACCACCAACTGCTATTGTTAATGGTGTTGCATTCTCCAAATCTATGTCATGACAACGATTAAATTCATTTAATTTATCTGTTGTTAATTGTGATAGACCATTTGATGTCGGCGGTGGCTTATTTTCAACATCAACTTTAACTTTATCAAGATTGTCAAGTTTTAGATCAGGATTTATTGATGTTATATTAGCGTCATTGGATGATGTCGATGATGATGCCGATGGAGGGTTAGCATCTTTAAAAATAAGATTAGAAATACATTTTGAAATAAGAAATTTTTTTTCTTAATTATTTACATGGTAAATATGGATCATGATGTCGATTTCTTGTTGATGGATCCGATGTCGTAGGATGATTTAAGAATGCCGAATACGCTGCAGTGGAATGTGGATGATGGTAACCAGTATAGTAATGATGATAATCAGTTTGTCGAAAAGATTCATCAACATCTAATCTTGGTGGCTAAAAAAAAGAATTTAGATTCGCTTTTGTTTTGTTTTTATTTGAGAAATAATTTTAATTTAAGCTAACGAAATAAATAGTCCCAACTCCCATATTAAACAAAATAAGAGACAAACCTCGTTTAAATTGTGTACATAATAGGAGTCATCAGATACATCGATTAAAGGTGTCTGAGTTAAGAATTTTAAAAATGTTTAAATTAGTTATGATTCTTTTTTGTCTTTTCGAACTTTAAAATCATAAAACAGATATAACTTACCAGATGATGATAAGTTGGCGTTGCATTTATCCATGCTTGACTAGATCCTAATAAAAATAAAATAAAATGTATGTTGAAAACGATTTCCTTTTTCTTTTTATTCGCCTGTTCAACATACCATTTACTGGAGGTGATGCGACTGACGTTGATGGCGTTGAAGAGTAGGGATGTTCGCTTGCATAAATCTAGAAAAGATAATTGTAGATTGTCGATTATTATTGTTTTCTTTTGATTTCATACTGATTGTAATGCTTTGCCGAGAGTTTCTCCAGTTTGTACTGTTTGATCGTTGCCATTACTCGTATATGTTGTTGGTTGTTGAGGTCGAAAACTTGCCATCGATGGTAAACATGTTCCACTGGCATCATTATATGTTCCATGATTATTGCCAAGGTCGTTTGGTATATAATTTGGTGTTGGTGCTAACCATGGATTACCAGTTTGACTGTCTAATAAACAAACGACAATAAATATGAAAAGATGATTTTTTTTAATTTTTACTTACCAACATAGTAAGCGGATTCATTTCCATAGACTGACTTTCCTGGTGGATATCGTCCAGGATTTTCCGGATTATAATCCTCCGAAGTATAAACCTAATATAAAAAACAAAGAAAACCGATTGTATAAGAGATCGACAACAAATGTCTCTAGCATATTAACTGCTAACTTCTTTTGATTGATCTCATGTGCAAATACTCGATAATAAATTCCACAAGTACTTTCATATTACGTATGTATATATTTATATAGATTCCATACCAACTAAATCAATTCAAATTATTTTGCTCAAGAAATGCTTGATTATTATCTTTCTCTCCGATCGACACATAGAATAATACATATTTGTCTATAGTAAACATCGTCGTACAAATATATACAGAACGAAGTTTTGATAATGACCTCATAAAAGAGAAAAAAATAGCGCGCGGTATACGTTTACTCATCACTAAAATCAACAGTCTCAGATTGACGACGTATCAGTTCATAAAAAAAAAATCTTCCATCACCCACTGATTTCTTTGTTGGCTAATCAAGAGGAAAAGGTTCGTTTGTTTGTGTTCACTCGACACGAGATCAAAGAACATGCGATCGCAATCCACACTGACATTCAGATCGACTTCATTGAGTAAACGTAAATGTATTGATTAGCATTATCTTTCTCTTTTTCTACTCTATTCGACCAATTGCTATTGAAGTAACAAAAGAAATATATCTTTCTTTTCGAGGTGAAAATATTAATCCAAAAGATCTTTTCGCTTCTTAAGATTATTTACAAAGACAAAAACGAGAAGTCAAATACCTGATACGATGGTCGTGAGTAGTAGAACATGTATTATATATTGAGAAAAACAGGATTCTTTTATCACAGTTTGTTGTGTCAAAAAATATTTAATTGACTTCTAATTATTGTGTCAAATAAACTCGTTTATTCAATAGACGTATGCCATTACTTCATAAGGCAGAAAAGAAGGGAAAAGTGATATGCATCGAAAAAGAGAGAAGAAAAAGAGCCGATCGATGTAGGAGACCTTTCACTGAAACAGCGAGATATCCTTATCTTACGATGTGTTAACTAGAGGCGGGCATACGGACAGGAAAGAGAGAAATGAGACGCACACAAAAAAAATTATCACATCTCTCTCTTTCGCTTTCTTCCTCTTTTTTTTTTATTTGCATCGGAAGGCAGAGAAAGAGAGAGACAAAGAAAGAAGGTGAAATAATAAATATATATCTATATATCTATATATAAAGACAAAAGTTTGTATCTCAAACAGGAATAACGCTTGTCCGGGCGAATGAATTAATCTAGTAAATGCAGATAAACAACTGTATCCTAACCGATACAATTAGAAAGAACGAGGATTTTTTTCCTTATATTAATTTTGCTTATTCCTGAAGCTATATATCTCATTAGACTATTTTTTAATATATATGTATATATACATGTTTATATCGACCCACAATTATACAAGCTTGTTTCTTATGTTGTATATATACACCCAAAAGTCGATTAACGCTCCTTATTTTCTTTTTTTTACTCATTTATCATTGTCGGCAACAAGCAATCGTAACAATTGAATATCTATTATCATATCTTACAACAAGAGAAAACGTTTATTACATTGTTTGTCCTTTTTTTTGCATTCAGCACTAAATGCATATATAATGTTTACAGAGAGAAAAGGCTCACAGCGCAGCTGGAAAGCTCGTTCGTGTGCCATCGAATGCAGATAAACACGACTATTAATTTTATCGCGTATACAAGTTCGGTCAGCCAATACATATAATCATATCTATATATGTATGAATAAGATAGACGAAATGAATTTCTCATTCTCTTCAGAATTCATTTCACCCTTATACAGCTGATGCACAAGCTAAAAGTGATTTCACAAGTGAACCGTGAGTTTCTTTCTTTGCAATTTTGTAAAAAAAAGAAATGGAGAAAAAAATAACACTATTCTTCATCGAGTAAATTAAGAAAGTTGTCTTCTGACAATGAAAAAGATGTCGTTATGTCAGTAACAGCGACAGCAAATAATTATATCAATTACTCACACGTCAGCATTCAATGTCACAAATGAAGATATATACATATATACAAGAAAGGAAAAATAGAAAATCTTTTTTTTTTACCAGATATGGTTCATAATGAAGCAAGGTCATTGCTAGTATTGTCTTCAACGATGCCCGACGAATATATGTATGTGTTCGATGATCAATAAGGCACCAGTGTGACTCGCATTCTTTTTTTCTCTTCTCTTTTCTCTCTATTTTGGGTACGTTCAATTCGGACGAGCGAATTTTTTTTTTAAAATAAGAATGGGAAAGAATGAGCGATGTATGTGTTCGCTTGATCTTATCCAGATCGCTCGCATGTATAAGGAAAGCAATAAATATCTAATTCGTCACTTATTTAAGTAAACGTTTAAATAATTATAAAGAGTGGTAAAATGTTTTATGACAATAAAACAAAAAAGTCACCGCTTACATTTGTTGATCGACGAGTTTTTTCATTAAGTTTTTCTATAAATAAAAAAAAGTTACGATAAATTAAATGGAAAAAAAAAGAAATTTTCCTACCAGAATATGTCAAATCATTTGTTGATGTACGAGATGTCTGTAATAGAAAAGAGTTAATTCATTTTTATTTTAAAAGACAAATTATCTTACTGAATTCGAGGAGGTAAATTGACTAGATGAATCTACGGGAGAAAAAAATTTAATCAATAAATTTATGTTTTTACTATCTGATTATACTCAAGGGTTCTGATGTTATAAATGGATGAAGAATATCACGATTGCTATAATTGCCTTCATAAATCTAAAGCCGAATACTAAATTAAAAATCTTTGTTTTCTTAATTATACACATACTGTTTCGTCATATGTTGTTGATGATGTCCAATAATCTTAAAACAAAATAGCGAAACTATAATGAATAACTATATTATTGAAGACAAACCTTTACTGGAACTATTACCATTGGTATTATAAATGGATGCAGTGTTTGTTGACTGTGGTGGAGCATGACTTCCATTTCGGTAACCAGTCGTTGAACATAACATCTAAATAAATAGTCAATGGACAATTAACTGTACAACAAGAAACATTTTGTTTTTGTCATTAAAACGTGCAAATATGAATTACACTACAATGAATATACCGGAAGAGGAAGTCGAGATGATGATGATGATGATGATGTGTTGACAGTAGTATTTGTAAAATGTGTTCGATGTTTTACCTAAAAAAACCAATGTAGATATAGAAATTTTACTTTAGATTTCTTTTTTTAGAAAAAAAAATATTAATATTTAGTAGAAACTTACCGCGTTGAGATCAAGAAGATCATTGAGCTCTTTCTCATTACCTAAATTCATTGTGTACACTCAAAATCTACAGAAAAATCAATTTAATGTTCAGTTTTATCAATATTCATATGATCAGTGATTGAAACAAACAATAAACAAGCTAATAGAAACAATACTTAATCAATCGAGAAAAGAAACGAACAAAAAAAAAGAATCAGATAGGTGGCGTTATCGATCGATTCGATATTTACGAAGTGATATACGTACGAATGTAAAACAAAAGTATATAGAATCTTTTCAATATATTTTTTCTCCCCCTCTCTCCCTCTTTATGCATATAGCTAGTATTTTTTTTATAAAACAGATATTAGAAAACTTCATTGGACTACTTGAATACGTATTTGATCGATAATCGAGTTACGGCATGACTAAAAATGATTAAGATGCTTTAAAATGTTGTCAGTATTTTCTTCGATTTTTTTATTACAATACTTAGTATTTCTAAATTGTTTTGTTTTTCTTCTTTGTGTGATAAGATAATTATGATCAAATGAATTGATTATAATGCGGATTCTTTATTTAGAAAGAAACATCTATTTCCGTTTCGTGCTCATTATCAGAGATATAATTTTTATAATTAGCTCAGTACAGTTAACAGTATACATATAATTTAGTCATGAAATTGTGAAACTTTTGAAGTCATTTTGGTTGAGATACCATATTCAGTTGTTGGTTTCTACTTTTTGTTTATATATTGTTTTATTTACTTGATTGTCGCTTCTGATTAAATTAATAGTATTCTTCTACAATGACTTAGGTACGATTAAAAACATATATCGGTCTTTGGTCAACCTTCAACTGTATCAATTGAAGAAAAAGTCCATTACATTGTTGAGGCCTTTAGTTTTAGTAACACATAATTTATATACAATCGATATAATAGAGAAGCGAAGGATGAAGGTTGATGCATGTTAAACATGAATGATAACGATTGAGTTATTTCTTTTCGTATTCATTGTTTATCAGATGATGTTCATTGATATAGAATAGATTTTATCAATAGCAGCGTCCGATAATGCTCAATGAAAGGCTTTATCGGGATAAGAAAATAAATCTGAACTTTTGTGTAGCATATTAAAGAATAAGCTCAAGTAAGATTTTCTGGCATATCAAGCAATACTTTTAAAGAATGATGAGAAAAGAAATTTTGTGATTTGTTCCATAAAATAATATCAACATTTTTATATTTATTCGAAACATTATTAAATATTAGTCAAGTTGTCGAACAGAAATCAGTGATTTCGACTTTTTATGAATATCATTTCCTGTTTTATGTAGATAGATATTCATTGAAAAGTCTTCGTTTTTCTTGATATTAAATCACATCTTAGCGAAACAGACGTGTCCTACTAAAAAAAAGCATTCTTTTCGGAGATTATTCACTTTCTTTTGTGCCGGGCTCCTCGTATATTTTCTCGTTCGAATAACTAAAACAGAAAAGCGAAAGTCATGAAGACGAAGAAAAAAATAAGGAATAAAAAGTGATTTTTTTTCCTCTTGTACTTCTTCTCCCAAGCAAACAAATGAGACAGAATGACGAGATGCCGTCCGTTTTTTTCTTTTTTTTAGTAGTGAAAGCGCAAGAAAGAGAGAGAACAGAAAGAAACAGAACAGAGCGCGGTCACATTTTGTTGAACGAGCCATTATTCTTTACATTTTATTCAAGTAAATTATGTCGCTAACTGAGGAGCGTATTACTGAAATAAAAGAGATCTTTTCAATGGTCGATGACGATGGTGATGGTTCAATAACACGTTCCGAACTTGGTGTATGTCTTCGAGCTATGCAATATTCTATTAGCAATAGTGAAATAAATGATTTAATGAAGAAATTTGATTCCGATAGAACCGATCGTATTAATTTTCCACAATTATTACAAATCATAGCTGCTACGGATCAACCAAATTTAACAAAACAGACACAAACTATTCTTTCTGCTTTAAAATTATTTGACACACAAAATGATGGTAAAAAAAATGTTTTATCATACAATTTCCTAAAAACAATTCTTGTTTTCTTCTTCTTCGTATCATTTAGAAACTATATCTGAGAATGATTTTCGTTTTTTAATGCAGCAAACAGGTGAGCAGTTATCAAAAGATTCGGTTGATGATATGATTACAGCAACCGATGCTCGAACAAAAAATGGTCGTATTCAATATCGTAAACTTGTATCAACATTAATTCATTTATAAAAAATAAAAAAAACGAAAAACTATCATTTTTATTTCATTATATAATACAAATACGAAAAGGAAGAACACAGAGTCAGCTGACTAGAGAACTATTATTTGATCTCATTTGTAAATTGAAGAATTTTATTTGAATTACCACCATTTTGCAAATATTCTATTTGCAAATTAATAATATGATAACGTAATTGTACTATAGTTTTTTCATATTCTTTTAATTTTGTTTTCAGTTTCGTATTATTATCATGTAAATCATTGTTGTATATTTTCCATTCATCTAAAAGAATACGATAACGTTGATCATATGTATTTTTTAATTGCTCGATTTGGTTTTGATGTTCATCGATTAGTAGAATTTGCTGTTGATTTTGTTTTGCGATCTAAAAATGACATCGTCAATATGAAGATTAGTTCCGAATAGAAATATTAAAAACGAAATACTTGATCATAAAGTCGATGAATTTCATCGTTATATTTTCGTTTTGTTTCATCGAATTGTTGAAGATTTAAAGATTCTTTTTCTCGTTGACGATGCTCATGTTCACGTTTTGCTATGTATTGACTACATTTATCATTAGCACGAGTTAATTCTTCTATTTTTTGTTCGAGGATACGTCGATCATTGTTTGATAACTAAATTTTCAATAATTAAACATATTATTCATTCGGTCAAAAAGAATTTTGCAATTATTTTTATGAACTAATCAATACTAGATTAGGCAATTCTTTGACTTACACAAGAAATATTTCAGCTTCTTGATCACTCTCACATCATAGTATCAATAGACACATGAGAACAAGACTACAAAAAAACAATTTCAACAGAATTCTAATATAGAAGTATCTTCTCTCTACGTTATAACTATTATTTTATTGAGATTCTATCAAATTAAAACAAGATAACTGAGAAAAAAAGCATATTATAAAATATCAGACAAAAAAAATATTCGCTTAGAATTCGAGCTTTTTTCTATTTAATTGTCTAAGAATTTCTTTGGAAATCGATCGATGCTTTCCTTGAGTGATTGAATGCACTAAAGAATGATTAGCAGTTGTAATAAAAAGTCGTTTTTTTCATTTATTACATTTTATATTTCAAGTATATAGGAAAACTTTCGTTTTGCAGAGAAATTTCTATGATCCATTTATTTATACAATTTAAATAACAAAGATGAATAATAGAAAGACTCGTTTGTACAATATGTTTGTATTGGATTTACTTGATTGCTCAACGGTATGTTTTACTGAGGACTCATGAGAGAAATTTCATACATCGAAAGAAAACCAAAGTTACTTTTACATAGCACACTATTTTCGGAAAGGTCGACTTTTCTTTCAAGCAACAATATAATTTTTGTGCTATTATATTGCATACGATTCAGTGACTTTGCTTCAAATTGATTTTCTGGTCTCCGAAAGGTCATGGAAAGTATACTAATATGACATTATCTGGATAGTCTCTGTTTGTTCTTTCCCCAATTAATAAATCGTTCGAAACTATGAATTAATTTTCACCCTTTGGTCTTCTTACAGTAGAGTAAATCGAATTCTAATATAATATTGGTTCTGGTTTAATATATAATTATAAAGCTTTTCTTTTAACTACTTTTTCTATTCATGAAGAGGCTCAAAATCTATTGCTATCATAATTTCTTTTTCTTTTCTAAATCTAAACTTCGTACTTAGAAATAATAATTATAATAATAATAATAATAATAATAATAAATGATAAATATATTTCATCTGATGCAAACTATTTGCTTACCTGTTGTGACTGAAATTTCTTTAATCTTTCTTCGTATTCGAAAATTATCTGTACCTTAATGAAATATATATGTATAAGCATGATATTTTTGAAGTTAAAATTATTGTTTTTTTTGTACTTTTTCTGCATTAAATTCTTCTTGTTTAGATGCAATTAATGAACGTACTATCTGTTTATTTTTCTCCAGAGCCTGTTCATATTGATCAATATATTCATTTTCTAGTTGTTCAACTTTTCTATTATAATCATTTTCTTTTTCAACTAAAGATTTTTTAACTTTTTCTTTAAATATTATAACTTTTGTTTGAAAACTATCAATCATTTGCTGTTTTAAATCGGGCAGTTCATTTTTTAATGTATTTAATTCATTTAAATATTGATTACGTTCTGATAGAGCTTTATTTAAATTTTCATTCGATATATTTGTTGTTAATAATGATAAACGATCATTCATTTCTTGTTTTAAATTATTCAAATCAAATTGTAGACAATTAATTTCCATTTGCTTACTGTTGAGTTTTAATTTATAATCTTCAATGTCATTTTGCAATTGTTTTAATTTTTTAATATCATCATCTTGCTGAATCGAATCCTAAGAGACAAAAAATTCATGCATACGAAGATTTCCAAAATAATACGATAATTTACTGTTTGCAGTTTAACACAAGTCATTGATGGACGCTTAGATAGTTCTTTAATATGCTTTTCATATTGTATCTTTTCATTGGAGAATAATTGTTCACGTTCATATGAATTAATCTGTAATTGATTGAACTTATTCGATGTTCGTTTTAATTCATCAACTAATTCATTATTTTGTTTTGTTAATATTTCTAGCTTTTGTTCAACTTCATCATTTATTTCCTAAAAACAGTTATACTTGGAAATATTCAAAAACAATTGCCCACCACCCTTAAGACAGTTTCTCTTACTGTTTGTGTAATAACAGTGAGCATCGCTGGTTTTTTATTCAATTTTAATAATTGATCATATTCCATTTGTATTTTATCTAATTTTTCTTGAAGATTTTGTTCATTTAAACGAATATCATTGATTCGTTCATCAGCATGACATTTTTCATCATACATAGTTTCATACATTTGTTTTAATGTTAGTATTTCAATTTGGTGTTCACTATTCTTATTTGTTAATTGTTCAATTTTTGTTTCATATTCAAGACGCATTGAAAAAACGTTTTGTTCCTGTTTTTCGTTTAGTTCATTTACTCTATATTCATATTTCAATGCATTTTTTCTATAAGTTTCTTCGCTTGTCGCATATTCAGCTATACGATGACGTAATGTTTCATTTTCTTGTCGAAGAAGAGTATCATCTTCTGTTTGACGTACATGTTCAATCATTGCACTAAGATAAATAAATAAAAAAGAAAAACTCTGATTAACTAAACATCAATGAAATAGAATTTACTCATGAATTGATAATGGTTCTTCTTCTTCCTCTTCATTATAGTTATCATCATCCTCAAATAAATGTTCACCATTATCTGTATTTGATAATGATTGACTATCAAATGCATTGGCGAGCATTTGTTGAATTTCTTCTTGGTTTTCAAATTCTTCTTCACATATTGATAAATCATGTTGATGTTGATTATCATTTATTTCATTTGCAATAGTAGGATTGAGTATCAGACTGACGCCTGAATTACTGATACTATCCATTAAGAGGTCAAAAATTCAATTTTCATCGAATTATCTACTCGTTACATTAGAAAAAAGAGGAATATTGGTAAGTTCTTTCCAAACAAAGAAATGATTGAAACCAACGACCTATAACGACATCTGGATTCGTTTGCTTGAGCGTTACCATAGCATTTGTTGGTAATAATGGCGAGAGAAAATCGTTGTTTAAAATTTCTATTCTTACTTGTAAAATTAATAAAATGAGTGCACCTAGAACACCAACTAAATCAGCAGGTTCCAAATCTAGTGAATCAAAAAATCCTCGTGAATCAGGCAGTCAAAGTGGAACGCCACCAACAGGTAGTGCTCAACGTCGTAGTGCTGCTGGTTCCCAACTTGGTTCACCAGTTGTTCGATCAGGTGCCGCAAGTGCTGTTTCGCCTTCAGGAGCACGTGATAAACTTAGTTCAGCTACTAATAAACAAAATGCAGCTAGTCCAGTACCAGGTATAAACCTTTGTACAAAGAAAAACAAGAACTTTAATCATTTATCTATATATACATATGTATTTGATAGCGCCTAAATCAGCTACGGAAAGAGTGGAAGTTGCAGAAAATGCTCATTGTAAGCAAGATGAATTTATCAGTAAAAATGGTTGTAATTTTTGTTTGGTGCTCCATTTTTAGTTTTACCACCTGGCATTCATACGATTTTTATATCGTCAACAACGCAGCAAGCAATGCAATTATGCGTTGACGAAGATTTAACACAAGAAAATAATTCGAAAATGATTGATAAAGAAATTCTTCTTAATGACATACAAACCAATGGACAAGGTTCAAACTTTTATGAATTTCAACAACAAATACAGGTTTAGTGATATCTGTAGTATATTCCTGTCTCATTCATAGGTTTCATCCATTTTATTATTATTTTTAGAGTTATCCTGAAAATGAAATAGCTATTATATATGATTATGATTATTATTATTCACAAAATTTTCGTATGTAAAATAATTTATGATGCGAATAGTAGTCATTTCTTTTGATGCTTTATTTACAGTTATCTGTTTTGATTCAAAATTAAAGAAACTTATAGAAAATGTAAGCAATATTTTATTTGAAATATTGAAGAATATGAAAGTCATTTTCAGTTTTGATCGTATCGATATTTCATAAATACATATCCATACTGAAAAATTTTCCAAAAGTTCTTTTCTTCAAAATGTCATCTCATTTTATTCAAAACTTACAAAAGAAAGAGAGAGAGAAAGATTTTGAAATAATGCTTGAAAATTTATCAAACTAGGTTTATTCTTAATATAAGATTTGCTTTTAGCCGCCTGTTACATTGCCAATACAAGAGTCCGATGAAGTTGAACAATATGTTCCACCTGTATCGAAAAAATGGATATCACTTGGAAGTGAAGTCGAAATTGATAATGAACGTTTAGTATTGAATCGACCACTTGTAAGAAAAAAATCTATCATAATTATGAAATAAATGAAATATAATTAAAGTAATATTCTCAATAATTTAATAGAAACGTTACAAAATCAAAGTTCCAGATCGTATTGCAACTACAGTATCACCGAGTGAAAAATTTAAAGATCTTGATCCTGATATTGAACGTAAAAAAAATTTTATCAGCATAGAACAATGTGAAGATAAACAATTCGAATTAAAAAAGATGGAACTTGACCTTGCAATTCAGGTTGGTCAAATGTTTTGAACGTTAACAAAGCATTTTTTTCAAAATAAGAATTTTTTGAAAATAAATAGGCAGCACCCACCTATCGTGAAAATTCTGCTCAAACCATTTGGCGTTATCCAAAAAATCAATGGACTCAATATGAAGCACGTACACTTACTGAAGAAGACAAAATTAAATCTATGGGAGATCCAGCATTAATGAATATGATTACGAATGCAAAAGATTTGTAATATTAATATATGTATATTATTTCGAATGAATCACACAATAATTTATCTAATATAGATTTAGCGAAGCACTGCAACAAAATATTATTCATGATCCATTTTATCTTGATTGGAAAGAACTTGGTGGTAATCTTGATGGATTAGGTGGTCCTGGTGATTCACACCTTAAAGTATGTTTACTTCGAAGTAGAAATTTAATATTTAATTTTATTAAAACACAAAAAAATAGGAATATCAATCATTTTCATCTATCAAACAATCGCGAGATAAAGTTGTTACTTGTGTTCAATGGCATCCAACATTGCGAGGTCACTTTTACTTTTTATATTCTCAATAAAATATAAAGAAAATTTTCATTATGCAGGTATTATTGCTGTATCACTTGCTGCTGGACAAGGTTTTGATGAACGAACAGATAATCTTAGTCGAACCAATACATCACCATCATTGATTCTTATTTGGTCATTTGTTGATCCTATTCAACCAAAAGTAATTAGAGCTATTCTTTCATTGACTTAAATATTATATTTTGCGTTTTGTTCTTTAGTTGTATTTAGAAGCACCAGATGACATTCAATGTTTTCAATTTTCACCGACAGATCCACATGTGATAGCTGGTGGTTGTATTAATGGGCAAGTTGTCATGTGGGATATAAAAGAATACGAAGAACGTATTAAAAATCCCCGTGGTGATCACCGCGACAAAGATTTATTTATTGTATGATGAAAAATCAATAAATTAGAAAACAAAATTCTTGTTTTCTTTTCATTATTATAGCCTGGTTTTGAAGATGAAACATTTTTTCAAACACCACATATTCGTTATTGTGCTGTATCAAGCATTGAAAATGGCCATTCAGAACCGATTACAGATCTTCAATGGATTCCCGATCATTATCAAGTATGAAACAAAAAGAGAAAATTTTGTTTTGCTTTGTTACAGTCATATACACAATCATAAATATTAATTTCAGGTAACAGTACAAGGTTTACCAACAGAAAATATTGCTATGAATTGTTCTCAAATAATAACATGTGCATTTGATAAGTAAAGATATTCAACGACATTTTAATTATTTAGAATCCAGTGATTATTTTTTCTATTTAGTCAAGTTCTTTTTTGGGAAACACGAGTACCGCGTGCCGGTGTTAAGCCATTATCAAAAAAAGAACGAGAAATTAATCATCCCATGGGTGTTCCATTAACATTTAAACATTTAGATCTTATTTGGAAACCGTATCTTCGTGTAAATAGAAAAAAAATTAGTTTTAATTTTATTCTGAGACAAAAGCAAAATGATCATTTAAGGTAACAATGCAAAGTCCTGAAACTGGCATGGTGGATTTTGCTCCACGAAAATTTTCAATGCGTGAAATTCAAGGTGATCGCGATGTTTGTATGTATAGCAAAAGCGAACAAAAAAAACCTAGTAATTTATTGTTTTAACTTCTTTTGTCATTTTAGTAAATCAAGAAGAAAAAGACTTGTTTGAAAAGAAAAAAGATCCTAGCCTTGGTCAATTTGTGAATCCACTTGATGATCCTAACAAAAGTTTATCACAAGCAAAAGCTAAAGTTCTTCAAAGTGTTGATACATTCTTTTATATTGGTACCGAGGTATGTTTATGTAAGATTAAGAATTTATTTTATCATGGCAAAATAAAAAGAATACGGAAAATATTTATTTTATTTTAAACGAATTAATCCTGGACGACGATTGAGTAAAAGATCAGTTTTTAAAAAATCTTTAAAAGTCATAATTCCACGTTTTGAAACAAATTCTTCTTCGACTATCGGTGAAGCAATTAGTTGAAAAATGTACGGATCTTGAATTTCTTTAGTGTCATCAGCATTATTTTGATCTTGAATATCATTTAATCGATAAGCATTAGTCGTGATTGAGAAAAGTATTGTAAATAACAAAAATAAACCCATCGAGTTTGGCAACATCTTTTTAATAGCAAAACTGTTTCACTAAATTAATGTGTCTGTATGTGTGATAGTTCCGAGTCAAAATGAAGAAAGAAATACATCTTTTGTCGAAGCATATATATATATATAAATTTTTACCTAGCTAAACATGATTTCCTGTCGATATTAAGAGCAGGACGTAATGGTTCTCTTTTTTTTTACAAGGTGAATACTTAAATCAAATGAACTTGAAAAAATAAAGATACATTTATGAAATTAAAATATTTTGATTGATGGAAGCCTTAATGGATAATGATTTACTTTAGTTATTTTTTCTTTTTGTAATCATAGGATGGTCAATTAGTTTATCAAGATTGGATGCCACAAAAAGATCAAGATTCAACGAAATTTTCTAGTATTATTGAAAACAATCAACTAATTATATAACTATGTCGATTGATTTTAGCTCCAAAGGCAGCGTGGTCAACTGCTGTTGTTGATGGCCCTGTCGTTGCTCTTAAACGTTCACCATTTTTTAAAGATATTATACTTGTTGCGGGTGGATGGTTGTTTCAAATTTGGAAAGAAAAAATACATGTAAGTGCTTTTTAATTTCAGTTCATCACTAAAATAATAGCACTAAAAAACACCGTTCTCTTCATCTATTCATGATTATTTTTGTTCTAAAAGCATTGGGTGAATCCATGGGAAGCGTACAATGTTTACATCAACTTTCTCCAAATTAGCTGAAACTTTCACGATTTGTAGAGCTCAGTGAGCTGATCATTTTGGTACTAAATAAGTGTAGGCTAGCATATCGACTTCAGTCAAAATTAGCAGAAATACGATTTCGCGAATTTTTGAAAAAAAATAAAGAATTCCATTTATTGTGAGAATATTATCTCCCTTATTTTAACATTCAAAAAAACGACAAACCATATATATATTCAGATAGCCCAAGCTCAGTTCTATCGAACTTCAAACAAACAAAATGGCTCTACTTTAGAAAAGAAAAAGAAGCTTTTTACCACTGCACTCGATTTTACTGCAGAAAAAGATAAACTCACCCTAGCAGAACCCTTCCGAATTCGGCTGAAAATCGGTATAATAGGTTTTGAAGAGCGTCAATTGGTCTATCTTCTGGTGTATGTAGTTTTTTTACTCGACTTTGATTCTTGTCCGCTAGATGCCCTAAATTTTTTCCATTGCTGTTTGTTGTTAAATTTCTGTTCCAATCTGAGAATTTTTATAGGAACGACTGCATGAAATGATGTGAAAATTTCAATTCAAACAGGCCTCGACTAGTGTTTAAGTTGATCTTGTAAGATCTCTATTGAAGAAAGTGAATAATTTAAGGCCAAAAATGTAATAGACATTTCACGTATTAGTGAACAACATCTATCTTAAATAATAAAAATTAATTCATTTTTAATTTCTTTAAAAACAGAATAGATTAGAAATACTGCTATAGATATTTTTTCAACTATTTATTTTCTATATAAAAATTTATCATTCGATAATATTTTGGCATCAGATACAAGCCTTTTGCTTTTTAGAGAGCTACCTATCACGAAGATTATAATTCTACAGAGTTTTATGTTAATTTGTTTGATAACTATTTTATAAGATAGGAATGAAGAAATATCAAGTCTTTAACTTAAATTCCAAGTTATCTACAGAATGCACAGCAAGCGAACATGGTTTGTGTGTGAAAAGTCTATACACAATATACATGTACCATTTTCGTCTACATAAAACTCATTAGAAAGAAACAAAATTATTAAGATATCAATTTAGAGATTCGTTTGAAATTTCTTTCTTTATTTTCGATTAAAACTATATGGGTAATTGAGAAATATTTTAATCCAACCTAAAAACAAAAAGAAAGAAACACTTTTGATACTACCGTTTATAGAGAACTTTGTTTTTATCAAAAATATATCCAACACATTAGTGTCTTAATCATATCATTAAAAATGTTCAAAATCCAGTGTAACCGAATTATCGTCATCGACTAATTTTGTTTCTTATCTAATAATTTATAACAATAGCCAAAAATCGATCAGATATGTTGTACAAAAACTGTTAATATGAATAGTTAAAATTGAAATGAATTGCTGAATTAACTATTTTGAAAAATAGATATCATACTTTAGTTTCATTATTTATTAGTCTGGCGCACTTTTACATGCAGCACCAGTAAAAGAAAAAATAACTGATGCTGAATGGTCTCCAACACGACCAGGTGTTTTTTATATATCAAAACAAAACGGAAGCGTTGATATTTGGGACATCATCGATCGAACACATGCTCCATCGTTATCTCAATCTATATCAAGTTCAGCTGTGACTTTCCTTAATATAAAAGTTATATCATGTAAACTAAAGTTGCTAACAGAAAGAAAAACGATATATTTTATTGTTTTTAATTATTAATTTAGCTAAACAACAGTTGTTGGCAGCAGGAGACAGTAATGGTACACTTCATATACTTGAAGTGCCGTGGGCATTACGACAACCAGTTAATCAAGAATTAGCTTGTAAGATTTGATTTTTTTCAGTAAGATAAAAATATATTTTCGAATTCTAATTTTTGTGTAGTGGTAACAAATTATCTCGAACGTGAAACTGAACGACGTGGCTTTGTTAAACATCGATGGGATTTACGTGAAGAGGAAAAACGTGAAAAAGAACGATTAGCATCAATGAAAGCGGGTATTGCTCCAAGTCATATTCCAACACAAGAAGAAATTGATATAAGAATGAAAAATGAATTTAATGAATTTCTTCAATTTGAGTTTGGTGTTTTACGTGAAATGGGTTTACGTGATGAAAATGAAGCGCCTGTTATTTCATCGGCGGCGACTTAATTTATTCTGCTTTTAGATTAAAAAAATGTTTCTTTTTTTATATATAAAATAATAAATCTGACATTTGATTAATGACACAAATACATATATATTTACTCATTCATTCTTTGTTAATATTTAAATCGTTTATATCTAATACAGTTTCTTCGCCAGATTCCCACGGCTTAATTATTTCTGTTGGCCATCGAAGTACAAGCAGATCTGTTGATGATGCAAACTCTTCAGGTGAATTTGAATCCGGCAGGGGAGTTAAAACAAAATATTCCACTGAATTATCATCAACGAATAGTTCAGTTGCTAATTCTCTCGTTTTTTCATATTTTTCTTGAGTAATATTCGAATGATCATTTATAAATTCATCTAATGATGGATAAAGTGAATTTGATGATGACTTAACAGTAATTGCTTCTTGAACAACTTTTGCTATATGTTCTTCTTCTTGTTGCTGTTCAAATGTAAGTGCCATTAAACCATGCACAAGTTCACTGGACGGTGAAATGCTAATCATTAATTGAGGAATTGTGGACATCTTTTTTATTTTTGATTCTTTGATTTTTTCGTAAACTTCAAGAATTTTCGATAGGGCAATACCTGAGACATCACCAATAAGTTTTCCACCAACGCTACCTACTACACCGCCAACTGTAGCGCCAAGTATTGGTACTGGAATCAATATTGTACCAGCAATTGTTCCAGCAGTTCCACCGATAATCTATTAGATTGTCATAATATAAATAAAGTTCTGTTTCTTTTTTTTTTCTTGAAAATATTCAAACTTACAGTTGTTGATGCCGATGTTATACGTCTTACAACATATTTTTTAAGAGCAACATCACTCAAAGTTCCTTTTTTTCTTTGATCTTTCTTTTTACTGATGTCAATATATGCTGAAATAGATTCAACGGCAGTTAGAATTATGCCAGATCCGATTGCACTCAAAAATTGTCCAAATGTTCGAACACTTATCAATGCTATATCTTTCACTAATAATGCTGTTGGATCGATAATTAATAATGTTGCTGATTTTTTTTTAACTAAACCTCGAAATGTAACAATTTGTTCAGAGTAATGTTCACCGGTCCGACACCATCTAGCCCAATGTTCACAATTATTTCCCAACAATGAATAACCACGTTTTCCAAGTTGTGCATAAGCTCGTTGAAGTGTTTCTTCATTCGAAAAACATGGAATATCATCATAGTGATGTAAATAAACATCTTCAGTGGTACTCTTAATATTGACTCGCCAATCGCTTTCAATTATAGCCGCTATATAAATTGAACCTTTCATCAATGCACTACGTGCATGTTCTAATGTATTAAAATAATGTATCATATGTAGTTGTTTACCACGTACTTCACTGACGATACCATGATGTGCATAATAAAAATCTGTTTTATAAAAACTAACATGATCACCAGGTTTTACTTGATCTAGATCGTGGATTTTTTCTCTACGAGTTTTTTGTAAACCTCTATCTTTCTGAGTCAATACTTTGACAACGTCTAAATATAGAAAATAAAAGAAAATAAATAAGTGAATTGATTTTAAAAATAAATGAAAATTACTGGTCAATTGTTCTTTGAGATTTGGAATCAGCCGTTGCCTATCGATCATATCTGAAATACAAAAAGAAGAAAAACAAGATCGTTAAGTCAGTCATGTCGTTGATAATATTGCAAAGAAAACTGCATGCTGTTTTAGTACTTGCTATGAGTCTCACGGAAGAATCGCTGTTATAAAAGGAAGAGGAAAGAAGAAAAACACCATTCAGCCGGCAAGCCCGTGTCGATGCATATACTTTTTTTTTCCTCTTAGCATCCCGTCCCAATTGTCTCTGTGTAGGAATACAAATTGCTTTGCATTTTACTAGCTATTTTATGAGTCCTGCGATGATTCATCATCAGAGATCAGAGTAACTGTTTTATGTAATGTTGTAGGCATACAGATATTGCTATCAATTATTAAAAAGCAACAACATTGAACAAAATATACAAAAAAAAAGAACAATTAAGTTTTATTATCACTGCCATTGATACCATTCAATGATGATGATTCTGTTCCACGAAAATCCGGTAATAAATCTTTCACTTTTAACCGCATTTCTGCCAATCGTTTTTCTCTATCGCGTTCTTTTCGTCGTTCCATAGGATATTGACGCCAAATAATGAATGTATTTTTAAAAATTCTTTTAACATCGTGTTCTTTAGCTAAATCTGCTAAACGCCATAAACGAATTACTTCTGTTTGTGTATAATCTTTCCAAGTTTTAAACATATTTATCATTAAATGATTTACATAATGTTTTTCAGCTCGTTCTTCAGCTATTTCTGATTGATGTTTATATCGTTGCCACGATGTAAAATATCGACGGTATAATAAAGATTTGTAAAATTCGATAGCACGGTTCGTTTTTATTTCAATATCTTGTCTTAAAGTTGCATACCAAACATTAAATGTCCGTTGTGCAACAATGTAATTATGATGTTCTGCAGCTGTTTGCATTTGTTGATGACGAATTAGAATTAATTTTTTCAACGGACTTAATCCATAATAACGCATACGGAAGAGTCTAAATGTAAAATATCGTGAGATAATTTTTCTTTTTGTAAATAGAAAATTAATTTTTACCGGCAATGAATATCAGCTTTTTCATTTAATACAATTAAACGTTCTTCAAATTGTTTTTTTTCTAATTCACGTTCTTTCTCAACACGACGCTTTTCTCGTGCTTCTTCAATTTTTAATCGTTTTTCTTCCTCTTCTTGGCGAGCTTTTTCTTCCATCATTTCTAAAGATTATAAATTTATTTATTTCAGCGAAAAAGATAAAAACTCGTTTTTTTTGTCCGTACGTTGCACTTTAGCTAATTTTTCGTCTTCAATAGCTCGTCGTTTGGCTTCACGTTCAGTTTTCAATGCATTTCGTCTTCGTGCTCTTTCTTCCATATTTAACAATATCATATCATTTCTTGTTGTTGGTCGATCAGTTAATGTTAGACTGTTTCAAAAGCCAATGAAGAAGAGAAATGAAATAATAAAAATCTATAGAACATACTCTAATCGACTTGTATTCAATTGTTTTTGTATTTCTCCACGATTATGTGCTTGAATAAGAGCAGTTGCATGACGTCGGTCATTTACTAATTGTTTTCGTTGCTTTTCTTCGAGTTCACTCTAAACGTGAATCCTCGGTTATTTCAAGTACAAAAAAAAACATCAATAAACTTTTCATACTTGTTGTGCTTTCAATACTTCAAGATTTGAAATTTGATTATGAAGAACTTGTTGTTCTTGTTTATATTTAAGTTCTTCTATCATTAGTTGTTGATCTAACGCAAAAGAAGAAAATAAAATTTGATCAAAATTGAAATCAACAAAAAAAATCAACCTTTTAGTAGGCGATTTTGCTCTTTAAGCATTTTCATTTGAGTATTATAACGATTTTCAAATGTATGCATAACTCGTGATGTTGCCTTATGCTCAGCCATTTCATGACGAATACGTTTTTCACGAGTTTTTTTCTTCGTTAAATCTTCATCACTACTGGACAATGCATCAAAATCAAGATGCATACGGCGTGTATCAGCTACCAACGGTACACCAGCACTAGTACTGTAAAAACAAAATAAGAATGCAAAACGCAATCAATACTCATTGAAGTAAAGTATATGAATATTATGAAAGGAAATATTTCAGATAAAATTAAATCGATTTTCAGCATACATATATTTGAATGAAAATAAATGTGTATTCATCGCCAAATGATTGGCAACTAAAACGTTTTCTATGCATATTAGTGAAATATCTTAAGTAATAAAAAAATACAGAATTCTTTTTGAAAACTAGATTGAAACTATGTATTTTTAAGATGAAAACTTAAAAACTTACGCTCGCAACGGTTCTTCTTCTTCTTCTTCTTCATTACCCGAAGATTTTGCTTGAAAAAAATCATCGAGTTTTACATCTGATTGAGTTCTTGTAGGTAATGATGATTTATCACCAAAGGTTACAGCTGAATGTGGTCGAGAAGATAATGAAGATGTACGAGTAGTTACTGACACTTTTCGTGCTTTTATTTGCTGAGATTGTTGTCGAGTAGTTGTAGCAGCGGAATTTGTTGTTGCTGTCGTTAGTGATGTTTGCTGCTCATTTGCCCAAAGCTTACCAGTTGATGCAGCATCAAGAAATGAATCAATTTTTTTCTTTGTTAATTCTTGTTCGTGTTTTAAATTTTTTGCAATACGTTCATTACGAATGTAGATTTGCCAAACTATCATCGATCTTAATAAATAGAAACCTAGAATAAGTTGATTATAGCAATCTTGTTATACTTTCGTAGTATTGTACGTTCATAATGTACGCTTGCTTGTTGCATTTTCCTCGATAATACTTTCATTTGAGTCATGTGTATTTCATTTTCTTCTTCTAGTTTTCTTGTTCGAACTACGCTTCTCCACCAATGAAATGACCTAAAATTCTCTTATAAATAGAAGAATTCACTGTTTCAAAACATACTGAAATAGTAATTTCCAATCAGATAATGCACCTGCTCGACCCATTTGTAAACGTCGTTCTAATACAACATTAAGCCAAGCAGAAAAATGTTTTTGCAGAACCTTAAAACATCAAGAATAAAAACTTTTCAAATGAAGATTTGAAAAAGAAAACTTACTGTTAATGCTTTCATTCGAATAAAATCATCAACTAAAGTGTGTACGCGTTTTTCATGGAAATCATTTTGTTCTTTAAGGGCTGTTTGTTTTAATTTTTGTAATTCTTCTTCTTTGCGTGCTCGTTCTTGTTCAGCTTTTGTACGTTCTATTTTAGCGTGATCATATTCGCGTTGACTGAAAAGAAAATATTTCAATTTTAAAAATTAAAAATAACATAACTCAAAAGTTTGTAAATTAACTGCACAGACACATTCCTCACAAAAATAAGATCCTGCTTTATTTTAGAGATTGAGAAATTCATTCGTATATTTTAAAAAACTCAAGAATGTTCTTCATGAAATAGTTCAAATTTGTTTTAGTTTTAGATTTCTTGAAAACTCTTCTACATACTGTTTTCGTTGTTCATCATCTTGTATACGTTTCTCATGCATTTCTTTTCGAATTTCCACCACATGTCGTTCGATCAGTTCCTCTTCATGTTTAGCTTTTAAAGCACGTTCACGTTCTTCCTATAAAATGAAATAATGAATCAACTAGACAAGAAGAAGAAGAAGAAGAAGATGTTTACTTTAAGAACAAGAAGACGAGCCTGAGCTTCGGCTTCTTTTTTTGCTTGTGTCTGTTTTCGTTTAACTTCACGTTCTTTTTGCATTTTTTCATGATTTTCTTTAACCTTAGAATCAAATAATTAACATTAATTAAAATTGAAAAAAGTAATCTTCTTTCTATTCATACTTGTCTGTGTCGTTCTTCAATCTTAGTTTGAATATCAACAGTTGTTGGTTTACTATTTTCCATAGCCACTAATTGTTGTCGAGTTAATAGGTCTTTACTTCTCAAATCTAGATTCGTTTATGTGGCATTTTATTTTTATATAAATAAGAAAGTAGAACAAACCATGAAGAATATCTTTGACTAGGTCAGTTTCATCGTGTGTTTCATAATAAACACTTGGATCTTGAAATGTGAATAAATCTTTTGGTTCTTGTAAAAATTCTAATTGATCGTCATCATCAAAACTAAGATTGCAAGCCTGTTTAACAGATCGTACATTGGATTGAACTATTTCTTCATCGTAACTATCGTTAAGACCAGCGTCAAGTCGAAGTTTATCAGTCATCCATTCATCAAGAATGGCTCTTGCTTCTGAAAAAAATATAGCGAAACCCAATAAAATTTCAAATATAAGTCTTGCATTTACCTGTATATGTTGTATCAGTTGTTTTAGCATAAACAGCAGCTTGATTAGCGAGCACTTTTCCTGTTTGCCGACTAGATGAACGTGGAAAAACCGATTCAACTGCATTTGATGATGCATTTTCAACTTGACGCAACCAAGATTTTATATCATCTAAGTTAATTTTCGTGCATCGTTATTATTTCTGTAACCATTTTATAGGTTGTTTCCTTACCATGTTTTGTAGGTTTGGGTGGACGATCAAGAGCTGATGTACGTTTCTCCCAGCGATATAAAGGTTTGTTTGATGGTGCAGCATCATTCATAATTTTGTTACTTAAATCTAAAAAATAAAATTCATCGATAAACATGTGTAGCAATGCAATTCGAAATGCAGTAAAATATTTTTAATTTTCATTTAATATCACTTTCAACTCGCTTTCATCTGCAAAATGAAATTTAAGTCATGTGTAAAAAAAGACGATTGTCTCGTGAAATTAATAATTATAATTAATATTTGAAATAGATTCTTTATTTCATTAACAGTCTAACTATAAATCTGCTTCACAAATAGTACAATAATATTATTTTTCTAGTTGATATGTTTCTGTAAGACTTATTTTGTTTTAATAGTTGCGACTAAATTCTCATGAATATTTATTATTAATACTAAATATGAATAGTTTTTCCGTCAACAATACTCAACTTAATTGTATATGTATTCAGAGAAGGCTTACGTTTGCGAACATGACTTAAGCGTTTAGTTGAAATAGTCACACTCGAATAAAATGTAGATTTAAAATAAATTCAGTTTACTAATTTGAATTTAAAATTGATTTTTATACAAATCACTTTAGTGTTAAATATCAAGTTCAGATTCTATTATTCATAAACAGAATAAAGCAATAGAGACTGCACAGTGAATATATTTGGTAAATATTTTTCATTGATTTATTCCTTTCATCATTCATTCACGATTTTGTTACTATGACCACAAAACTTACGTGGAATGGGAGATGTCGCCCTGACACTAGACCAATATTAAAATATATCACGACCACAGAATTAAAATGATATATTTTCGACTCAGTCATTGCAACTGTACATTTACTCGACATGATTGCATGAGTTTTTGACTGAAATCAGAAGTTTTTTATTGTTGAACAGCAAGTCTATGAATATATGCAAATTTGAATATATGAATACATGCGATATGCCACTTTATATTATGTTCCCTAGTCGAACTTTTTTATTCATGCGCTTGCCAAGACTTGAGCTCAAGATATGTCCATAGTTCTTGACTTTCTTGATCAAGAAAGTCAAGAATTGCATGCGCTTGCAAAAATAAGTTCGACTAGGGTTAATACAAATACAGACGAAATGAAACTGTCTATTCACAGGAATTATATATAAATCAGCTGATTTCCTGGTTGAACATCTTTTCTCATGGCCTTTTATGAATAGCACCACTTTGTGATGATTTCGAGAGAAAAAAAATCAGAATATAAACCTGTTGTTTTCTGTGAGAATCTTCATATAATACTGTACACAAAAATATTGTATTACTATTTGTAAACGTGTCTACTATAGTTATACAATAGGGTTAGTACTCATTTTATGACTATCTTCCTACACTTGTCTATAATTCTTTGAATGACAAGGAAATAAAAAATTCTGTTATTGATAAGAAAAATAATTAAAATCATGTTCAATCTAAGTTACTATGAAACTATGATTAGTTATTGTTGTCAATACAAACCTACATCTTGTGGATGGGTTAGCTAGAGTGCACTTAGGTTCGTCTTCAACTTTATTTTTCCACTTGTTTTGAGAATTCTTACGGATGCTAGTGCCTTCGATCAACGCAACATTTTGCTCTAAAAAAATGATTTTTAGATCGACGATTCGGTGGAGAGCATTGACAACAGGAGCTAAATACTAGGGAAGCAAAATTCATTTGACTATTTGACTGGCATCGGATCAGTCTTTTCTCTTTGTGCCCTAATATAAGCATTAATAAGCCAAGTCTATTGATTATTCCTTGAAGTTGTTGCTTGACTTCGTTGACAGCTTTCTAAATTGTTTCAAGATAGTATCTATGATCGAAAGATAAACTTCACTAAGCGAACACCTTAATACTATTCTTCAAATTTTTCCGTTTTTCTATTTCCAGATATATTTAGCATTGTGTAACATTGATGATTATCAAAAATTTCGTATTAAAGAAAAATATTTCCTCATAGTGTTGTATTGACATGATGACATGAAAACTATTTAGTGTACTTTTTTCCATTCAATTGTTGAATAGCCTTCTGAGAACATAATAGATATATGTAGCTTATTTGAGGTCCCTATTTTAGAATGAGAACTGTGAAATTCAATTTTTCAAAATAGAATTTTAATTGATGAATACGAAAATATAGTCACTTGAAAATCTCCAAGCTCATATTTTTTTTAATCATCAACGACTTCCAAATCGACAAAAGCGAACGAAATAAATTATAGCAGTGAAACATCTGACTAGGGATGTGCAGTGGCGACGTAATCGGTGTTCCAGTGGACACACCGTCGGTGCAAATCGGTGGTCAGTACACCGACACTGCACATGCCTACATCTGACTATATCCACATATCGGTTGGTCCACTTTTACCTTTGCTGAGCAAGATATTATTATTGAGGACGGCTAAAGAATAAGTAAAATCAAAGCCAACACGTATTTAATATACCGTTTACATGTGACGTCTAACGATACGATTCGAAAATTGTTTCGGTTCGTCGTATTGTTGTGTTAGTCGCCGACAATAATATTTTGTTCGTACGGTCATGACTTGAAATCGTTCTATACACCATGCAGCATTATTTATGAATGCGGTATAGGATTATTCAAAACAGTAGTGAATTTGATTTTTATTGATTTTACAGAGGCATTTATATACGAAAACTAGTGATTGACGGGAATTTAGTTTTATTACTAAATATTTATAAATAGTTTTTGTCTATATTCAACTTGTACGTCATCTATTGATTGGTGTGAACCAATGAAATATATAAAAATGACTCAGACATTCATCCAACCATTTTTCATATTCTTTTTGAGTTCAACAATTCAACTAAATTGAAGGAATAAATTTAAAACATAAGTTATCTGTATTTGCATTTAGTTTAAATTAAGTTAAATAAATTATCTTCAGCAAACACTCTTCATAACTTCTACGTAAACTTCTCATTATTTACCTGAATCCATTTACCTATTTTTCTCTCTTCTGCATTGCAAAGCTGATTTTATTTTATAGATATCTCAAACAGAAACGTGTGCCAATAAACAAGAAAAAGTCAAACAGCCTTCTATCGTTATTCAAAAGTAATTATAAAAAAAGAATTGCTTCTTTTTGTCAAACAATCTATATCAATCTTCTCGAAAAATAGATCATGATTATGAACACATAATCAACAAAGATTGAATGGCAAAGAAAACAAAATTATCAACAGAAAGTAATTTTTCTCGAACATAGCACAAGTTTTCTTGTTCTAATTGCTTTCTTAAATTTCTTTAGTCATATGTCTAAGCGACGATGATATTGATGATAGTATTCCCATAGTAATCCCTATAAAACAACAAAATTCAGCAACAATTACTGATAATGATATTCAAGATGTTGCATATCAACCAGTGAATTGGATAATTGATTCCAAAGATAAAATTCATGTATATGAACTACCTTCGAAATATTCAGACATATCTAAAAAACCGTTCGAAGTTCGCTGTACAGCTATTCGTTTTGGTATTACAGAATTTAATGTTGAATCTGATATTGTTTTTATGAAAGAAAAAGAATTTGAAATGAGACTTACAGGTAAAAATTACAGCATAAGAAAAAACATTGTTCTTCTAAAAAATATATATTCAGGTGGATTCTTGGATCGTGTAAATATTAAATTAGCATACTCAGATATAATTACATTTTATTTTTCGTTTCAATCTGAAACACCGGCAGCGTTTATTCAAGTTCGCAGTGAATTTGCTCTTCTTTTTGATAAATATATTCCAACATCGGATGAACATGGAAGAGGTTTCGATCCAGATTCTAAAGGTAAATAGAGCGAGTTTTTTCTTCCTTTGAAGAAATCATTTCTATTTGTTTAGATGAAAGAAGACGTCGGATCATTTTTTATTTAAAACCATTAACATCAGACATGGAACAAATACATACATCGACAATTTATCATTTTCTTAAAAGGAAATGGTCTAAAATGGTACTTTCATTTTAACTTTAAGAAAAATTTTCTATGCTATTTCCTATAGGATATTTGTTGTATCAATGGTGCAAGAGCTCAAGAATTATATAAATTAGCTCGATATGCTAAAATGTCATCCGCAACATCCAAGAAAGCACCTTTTATTCTTAGCATCAAGGATTTGTATGTTATTTTTTCGTTGTTTCTCATAAATATCATTTCACTGAATTTCTTTTCGATCGTAATTTTTCCAGTAGATTTGCACATTTACACACATAGAAGACATATGACTGATTTTCCTTGCGAGAGGACATTCAAATAGTTTATGTTTGTGTGACCTTAAATAGATTTGGATGGGTTCTGACTTCTACCTCTCTTTTTTATATTGTTGAATAAAGGAATTCAACCGTGAAAGTTCATCATGAGATTATATACTTTTTTGCTCGTTCTCGTTTGAGATGAAGATAGTGTGTCTAATTAATCTTAGAATCAATTTTTTTTATTTGACTAAATGAAAAAAACAATATATATATATTCATTGTTTTAGAACTGCAAAAACAGTTGGTTTAAACAATAATACAATTCGATTTGATTTATCATCTGATGATTTACATGGTTTGAATGAAGGCGAATTTCTCAACGATAATATCATCGATTTTTATCTACAGTAATATTTCGAAATAATTCTATATCGAAATCCGTAATTGAACTGTATATTTATTAGATATATTTATTATGAAAAATTGTCTGAAGAAGATCGTAATCGTACATATCTATTTAATTCATTCTTTTATACACGATTAACTCAGAAAGGCAATGGTGATAATCCAAATATTTCGTATGTTTACTCGATTGTTTTCTATTTTTTTTATTATCAATCGCTTAATTTTTAGAGCAGCTGAACGACGTTATAATCGTGTTAAACGATGGCTTCGTGATGTTGATCTATTCTCAAAAGAGTATCTTATCGTGCCCATCAATCAAAATGCACATTGGTATATTGTTCTTGTACAGAATCATACCAATGTTCTCACTGAAGGTGATTTAATTAGCGACGATGAAGATAATGATGATGGTACGACATTGAACTCTCAAATTGAAATAAAATCTACTAGAATAAATTTATTATTTGTCTTTAGATGATGGATTAAAATCTAAGAAAAAAAAGCGTTCAAAGAAAATAAATTATCCATCTGTAAAAGGTAGTCTTTCGAGTAGTTCACTATCGAAATCAAATATTGTTTCAATTGAATTTATTGATGATGCGGATGAAGTTGTATCCACTAATGATAGTCCTTTAAAACTTAATATTGAAACACTCGTTAGTTCAAAGTTTCGATCTCAATCTCCTGCAATAATTGTTTTTGATTCTTTACGTATCGCTTCGAAAGTTCGTGTTGCAGCAACACTACGTGAATTTCTTCAACTTGAATATGATCACAAGAAAGTGTTACCTGTTCAATCTTTAGCACGAAAGTTATTTAATATTGATACAATACCAACAGTTGAAGCTGCAGTACCACAACAACGAAATTACTTTGATTGTGGTTTATACATATTACAATATATTGAAAGTTTTTTTGCTCAACGTTCATCAACGACCAATTCGGAGTCATCAACATTTTCTAATGGGTGTGAAAAAAATTTAATGGGTTCATCGAAAAGAAAAGAAATTTTAAATGTTATTAATCAACATATTATTACTAAAGAAGAGTGATCCTTTTTTGATTCATGCGCATTTTTTTCTTGTTGTTATAGTTAACCATATTAATTTTCCTTCGCTAGTATTGGTATTGCGGCAATGTATAACATAGAATGTTATTGTGCTCTTTTCTTCCAAAAAAAAATTAAAAACAATTTGTTTTTCGTGAAATCTAACCCTTCGAAAGTCCTACTATTCTTTACAAGGCTTGCCATCATCGACTCAGGTGTAAAACACAAAGATTAATAACAGTGCTCTACCTTATGAAGATAGTTTTAAGAGAAAACATAAGTAAAAAAAAGCTTTATTCATCATTGGGATGCTCCATGATCTGTTAATGTTGTTCTTTTCTAGCGGTTAAAGTAGTCTTATGAGTTTACTTTACTATGAGTAAAGACAGGCATATATAATTAAGAAAAAGAATAATCATATTCTAAAATTGTAAATTCATATCATTGTGATATATCAACTTCATCGATTTTTATGATTTTAACAATTTATTCAATAGGATAATTTTCGTTTCATAAGAGACGATGAAAAGAATTGATCTAATCCATCATCGAAAAGATTCAATATGCGTGGTGAAAGTAAAATGGTTAGAAGAAAAAGATTTTGTCACAATTTTCACTGTAATAAATCTGAATCGTTGAAGAACAGATTGGTGCTTTTAATTCGAGTTCACTTTTATACGAATGCATTCAAAACAGTTTCTCGATACAATTGTACAAATAGAACCCATTTTCATGAATATACGAAAACAGCATGTTGTCTTGTAGCATAACACTTGCTACATGTAATTACTATTAAATCGATTTCTGTAGTATAGAAATAAAAAGAAACAATTTTTTACGGGTTTAATTTGAAGCGTATCGAAGCATTATAGAAAACTATGATAATTGCAAAAAACCAACGAAGAGAAGTTCTTTTGGTCTTGAAAATGTCTATTGAAATCAAAATTGATTGATTCATATTTCATACTATATTCCACTGACCTTGCCATAGAAAACACTTGAGAAATCAAATATGTATGCTCTCTAGGTTGTCAAATGTTACTATTTTGAATCATGAGTATTCTCAATTTAAAATGGCATCTTTTTTCTGAAGCTTCATTTCGTTCAAATATATGATCAACACATCAATGTAAACTTATATTGGAATAAACTGGATACAGCAACCTGCATCTGTCCTTAGTGCGATTACATATGTTCTATTGATTAGGCTTAATATGTTGTTGAAGTTCTCTCGCCTTTTTTCTTTTTCTTTTGTGGTAATATACTAAGTGAAAAGGAAAGCAGAAAAAAATTACGTTCTCCAAGTTATGTACGAGTATTGGAGAGTAATATTTGAGAAGAAAAAAAACAGAAGCATGCATCAAATAAAGAGATGATGTTGGCAGTACAGAAGAGAAGGTCTCAGTGAAGTGGCGACGAACGAAACTTTATATGCATTGATTGAAGGTAGAAAAAGAATGTAAAAAGAACGATAGAAAACTGAACGAGGAAATGTAAGTTGTATCATATAAAAAAAGGTCATGGTCTTCCAAAGAAGAAAAAAACTGCTGAATAAAGAACAAAAAAAAGAACGGAATACAACTTTTCTTGACACACAATAAATCGACGGAGAAGAAAAAACGAGAGAAGCAAAAGAATAGAAATATTGAATATCTACTTCAAGTACGATGACTTTCGTTTCTTGTTCTCAACTGATATTTCTATTAATACTAATAATATCTTGCATTGGTGGTAAGTATGATTAAATTTATTTTTATTATTATGACATTTATGTCCTGTCGTAAATAGAATCTAAGGCTAATCGTTATCGGCGTCAAAATATTGATGGTACTAATACTAATATACGTACAACTCAATCAAATATAGGTAGACAAGTTCCATTGAATAATGTGCCACTTAATCCATCGAACAATCCACAATTAATTGTATCTAATGAACCAATTAATCTTCAACAAATCAATAATAATAATCCTCGAAGTTCAGTACCTCAACCACAACTCGAACCAGTTCGTAGTCGTGAATTCTTTAATAATCCGGCATCTCCGTCGCTATCGTTTTCTGGTGAAAAACCTCTAGGATGGTTTGGTACAAGTCGTGTTAATTGGGTATCCAATCGAGATAGTGAATTAGATAAGCATAAATTAGCTGCACAACAATACTCATCGCCAAATAAGTAAATCCAAGTGTTACTTTTTTTTCTAACTATTTTCATTTTCTGATTTTAAACAAGTCCTCAACTAACTATTATTCAGCCACGAGCTGATGGCGGGCCACTTTTTCTTGAAAAAGTAGCTAAGCAATACGCAAGTAAAGATGATAAACTATTCACTGCCAATGAATTTGAAAGTAAATAATGTTCATCATATAAACAGAAATAAATTTAGAATTCAATGTAATTTTCTTTGTATTTCATCAAGGTCATGGCTCAACTTGTTCAAATTTTGATAATTTTAATGGATTTGTATTTGGTAATTTTATATGTCCATTACCAGCAAGTACAGGTATGAATCCGCTTGATCAATTTTGCTGTGGACGTGCTAATTATCAATACTGTTGTAATGCTCAGTACGTATTCTTAAAACGTTATTTTAAAATGCTAATTGTGAATTCTAATTCAACAGAGAATTTAGCCAAACACAACGTGGCGCCTTTGCCGATCATAGATCAACCGATAGACACGGTTTTCCAACACGAACAGAATATTCACCAGCAACAAAACGAATACTTCGAATTATTTCTCCTATTGCTAGCTTTATTGTTCTAATAGGACTTGTTATTTTCGTCTTTTTATACTATAAAAAGTTTCGAAAGGAACAAAATAGAATTAGAAAACCAGCTGGAGCTACGCGCTTAGATGATGATTATTCAGGTAGATGTACTAAAAGAAATTATTAGTAAAACAAATTCTCTTTTGCTTTTAGTTGTTCCTCAAGAGCCATCCGTGGAACAGTCAATATCTACTCAAGACGAACTATAATAAACGAATAATTAATTAAGTTTGCTTTATTTATTTTTCTTTATATCAGGATGTACATTGTCTCGAAAGTTTCTATAGCTAGTCTTAATCATTCCTCTTTTTTTAAACAGTGTTTTGTAAAAGGATTTTTTCTTCTTTCATATCTGCCTTTTCCTATGAATACGTATGTCTTGTTCATTGTTTATTTTAATTACAATGAAATTAACTTTCGATATATTTGAAATTCAAAAATAATAGTTAAAATATGATTTTTTCAGCATAATAATAATTTGATCAACCATCATCTTTTTGTAGCATGCATCCTGTCTATGGATTCAAATCTTGAAATAATATTGTTTTATAAATTGAATAAGAACAAAGAGTTTATTAATCTCTATTCGAAATTAGATCGAATATTAATCAATAAGATAAGTGCTATTTAGTAGTTGCTTTATGTTGTACTTGGTAAGAATATTTAAACGTATTATGCAGACGAAAGGAAAACGTGATGTCTTTTTATTTTAAATTCTTTCTTTTAATGCTTTATAATGTAGTCGACGATCTTTTTCCGCTTTAGCAAATATAGCTCGATTTTCTTGCGCACGTCGAATTAAATAAGGTAGAAGGCTACTTATTGGTCCGTATGGTGCCAATTTAAATGCATCATAACCAACAGCAGCTATATAGTCAAACGAAGAAAGACCAACGAAATTGCATAGTATTTATAAATAGCAAACAAATTTCTTTTTACCTAGTGGAAATGTAAGGTAATCGCACATTCCAAATAACGTAGCAAATGAAACAAGACCATCACCACGTTTAACATGCATCGCATCCATCCTGAAAAGAAATTTAGGGAAGATTATGTTTGCTTTTATTTAAAATTGATGCATACGTTTTAGTAGCAAATTGAACTGTGTCTTCATTATGACTGGCAACAATCACGTGAGTTTTAGTAGTATTTTTTTCTTTAGCATGCTTAAGTGCTTCGATGAATGCACGGTGATAGCATTCTGTTGTAGTTAAAAAATTAGGATGAATTGGATCTATACTCTTCATTGCAATAGCTAGTTGTCGTTCCTAAAAGTCAAAATATTTGATATATGTACTAGTTTTGCTTGTTTTGCGAAAATCAAATAAGAAAGATTAGATAATGAGAAAATTAATCAATTAAAAAATCAAATAAATACTTGATCCATGTAAGCACCGCGTACGAGTTTAATTCCTATATGAAAATTATTGTTTTTCGATCGTATTAAATCTTGTCGTAATAAATTCAGAGTAGTCTAATATGAAAAAATGAATACAAACTGATTTGGTAAACTTGCAATTTAATCTATTTACTTTTCTATAACATTGATATGTATTATAAACAGTCAGACTATCTCTATTATATTGTTCTTGTAATTCCAGTACGAATTTATGAATAGCTGTTTGAAAATAGGATTGTTCAGCATCAATAAAAATTCTTCCATTATGTTTTTTCACTTCCTAAATATTGTTTTTAAAATGCGTACAAAATAAAATAAATAACTACTTGAACGATACGATTCATTCGTGTTATTAGATGTTCTAATTCTTCTAATTCACCTTTACTTATCTAAAAAGAAAATATCGTCTTCTTATTGAAACGAAGAAAATAAAACATTATTTACTGTGGATGTATTTGATGCCGTCTCGAGAATCGTATTTTTAGTTGACGATTGATGTTCTCCTTCTAGAATTCTATTTAATTTTTGAAGAATATCAGGTGGAACAAATGCTGTCATTTTAACTGCGGTAATGGCCGATGAACCAAATAATTCAGCTGCTGTTTGAACATTTTTGATAGATTTCAACATATTATCATTGTATGTATTTTCATTCGAATGATGAAATGCAGATGATTCGAATTTCCCCCTAAATATCAGCAAGAAGTAATAAAACAACAATTTTCAAATTAGCGAAAAAAACGATTCATTTTAAAAATAACCGACTGCTTATTGCTTGGCACATCTGATTCCATAGAATAGTCTAATATTAATTTCACATTTTGTTTACGTAATCTGTCCACAATTGGTTTCAATTCAGCTTTATTTGTACCCGCAACAAAATGCCCATAAAGTGTTGAACGAATTATATATTCAAATAATTGTTGACCAAGAATCTTACGTGAAATAGGTAATAGCTATAATATATATATATATATGCAAAAACTGAAATAAAGTTGAATCTAATAGCTAGGAAAATTTACTTGAGAAAGACGATCAACTAGTGAAGAATAAGAACATAATTTGAATACAAACCATCCACGAAATAATTCACGATTTGATTTATATCCATAAGCAGCAGAAATTGAATTGAAGTTAACTTTTTCATGATTTTCTTTAATATTTGATGCAAAGAATCGAACAGAATATCGTGTTATTTGAATTCGATGCGGATTCAATTTTCCAATCATTTTTAATAACATTGTTTACAATTTACTTTACATTCTTCTTTCCCCGCTTCTATTGACTAGAACCATAAGCAGATAAGACCTATTTGTTTTCGTGTGCGAGAAAGAACACAAAATTTTATCACCTGTGATTGAATGGCAAAACTTCATAGGTAACTATTGGTTTTTTTGTGAATCGACACTCAAAATAGTATTGCTATCTATACTCTCATATTTCTTAATTTTTACTTAAAGTCCCTCACATCTACATTTCAAATCTTAACCACAGCCTTTGAGAAGTCAACAAATGACTGTAAATACTATATGTATATGAATATACAAGCATTTTATTAAATATAATATGTTCCTTCCACAAGACAAATAGTAAACAACGTGAATCAGATGAGTAAAACATTAATTCTTCGAACGAAACATTCGATCTTTGAATGCTTCAAAATGTAAACGTCGATCTTTAGCAGCTTTTTCAAAAATGCCTCGATTTTCCTGTGCACGTCGAAATAAATATGGTTGTAATGCTTCAATGGGTCCATATGGCAAATATTTATATGTTTGATAGCCAGAATTAGCTAACGTAAAAGCTATATAATCGCTCATTCCATGAAGTGATGCAAATGATACAATTGATGAATCATGATGAATATCATATTCTTTCATTCTAAATCAAAATTAATTCTATGTGAAAATTCGATTTTATAACCTTACTTTTGAATTGCATATCGAACAGTGTCTTCATTGTGTGAAGCGATCATAACTCTAACGTTTTTAGGCTGACGCTTCACAATGTTTTGTAATACTTTATCAAAACATGTATGATACATCTGTGATGTTGCTTCAAAAGTAGGATTTATAGGACTTTCATAAGCATTTTCACGAGCTAAACGATTTTCTTGTTCCATATATGCACCGCGTACAAGTTTAGCAGCAAATATATAATTGTATTTTTCTGCTACAACAAGATCATGCGTCAAAGAATTCAATGCATCCTATTTATGATTTAAATCATGCCAAAAACCAAAAGTAAAAAAAGTAAATTTTTAATTTAATTAACATTTACTTTTAAATAACATTGATACGTTCCATGAATAACAGGTACATTGGATTTATTATAATATCTCTGTAATTCAGTTGCAAGATAGTTAATTGCAATTTGGAAATATGTTTGTTCAGCATCAACCATTATAGAAATTTTATTCTCAACACAAGCCTACAAAGTATTTTACATGTAATTATCTTTTAGATGAAATTAAACAGAGAATTTTTTATTTTTTTTATGTTTTTTACTTGAGCTATTTTATTTAAACGTATAAGAAGATTATGAATTTCTGTTAAATCATTAGACATGAATGCAACACTTGGCAGTATGTCGTTCTAGAAAACAAATATGAAAATCGCAACCGTTAATTGAAAAATATTTAGTCAATTACCTGATCTTTTATGATGTGTGCACTAATAGATTCTTGAAGAAGTGCAACTATTTTATCATTTTTTTGTTCTTGATTAATCAATTCAAATAATGGTGGTAGAAGCGAACGATCTTTGATAGATTTTAGTATTGTATTAAATTTCTTTAATACATTCGGTCGAATAAGAGCAGTTACTTTGATAGCAATTAAGTTATTGGGACCACAAACATCATGTGATGTTTGAATACATTCAATAAATTTGTTTGTATTATGATCATGCATATGATCAATTTGATCGGATCTACGTGTCGAGAGTTCATATTGAAAAAAACTGGTTATAATGAAGCGAAAAACAAAAAGATTAACTAATCTTACGAAGATAATTGTCCGTGATCATCGCTTTCTACACTATAATCTAGAATAGGACTAACATTATGATCTATTAATCTTTTAATAATAGGTTTAATCTCTTGTGGAGTTTCACCGCCAACGAAATGACCAAATGCAGTTATTTTTAGTAAAACTTTAAATAATCGATCACCGAGAATTCGACGACACCAATGAGTGATCTAAGATAATTGTTAAAATTTGAAAATTTTCATGTACTTTTGTTTTCTTTAAATTTTACTTTCTCTTGATTATTAGTAAGAAAATTGATTGAAAATAATTGATAAACAAGATAACCACGTAATAATTCAAAAGTATTTCGATATCGATAAGCAATTTGGTATTGATTAAATTTTGTATCAAGTAATGGATATTCTTGGCGAATTTCTTGTTTTTTATTTTCATGTTTTATTGGAGCAGCATCAGTAGATTGATAGAAAATGGAGTTTTGGATGAATTTCAAAGTTCGAAATGAACAAATAGTTGAAGAAGTCGATCGGTAGGTATGTTTGATCTCAAATATTTATTTCAATTTTCATTCATTTATAAAATACTAGACCAACTTACCATCAACATTAGAGTTTTTTAACCTAGATTAAATAAAACTCTAAACAAATAAATGATGTTTTTTGTTCCTTCAAAATATTTGCTTTCAAACCAATTTAAAAGTATTCAAAGAAATGCAGTAGAATACAGTTAAGCGACGCCTGTGAATTGTGCAACACATTTTTCTTCCAGGCATAGATTATAGAATGCAAAAAAAGGAACAAGAAAAAAATCAACTATTGCGCCTTTATAAAATAATAGAAAACATGTTTATTTGCGTGGCATGATCAAAGTATAGGCTGAGATCAAGAGCCGAATGAAAGAAAAACACCCAGAAATTTCCATGTCAATGTGACGTATAGTAAAGAGTTTGTACTCCTCCACAGGAAATACTGTTCCCACTAACATGCAAATGTTTTTAAATGAACTTTCCTTTTTTTCTTTCAGCAAAAATAATATTTTTTGAATAGAATCAATTATGCTAAATTCCATTTAGGTTTTCTTTTCGATAGATTTACTAATAGAGCAACAAGAAAACAACAAAAAGAAAATGTTTCTTATTAACAAAAACGCATCGTCAACATACATTTACAAACATGAGCGCAGCAATAAATCAATTCGGTCTTCATACTATTGAATATACTATACGGAAAAAACGTTTAGAAGATCCACTCTATGTAGCCTCACATCCGGAATTTCATCCGGAACAACGTAACTGAATAAAAAAATAAAATTGATGAGTTCACAATTTCTGTTTTATAGTCCGATTTTCATATGCACATAATACACCATATGATACTTGTTCAACATCTTTACCGTCAATGAAACCATCTATTGATTTTGCCTATGCTGATCAATTATCAAAGAATGTATGGTCAAGACCAATGGAAGAGTCACCAAGTATGTATAGAGTACGCGAAGATGAATTGCTTGTAAATCCAAAATTACGACATACTCTTGAATTAAATTCACCTTATGTACCGTACGGCGGTTTTGTTCATCCCAGAGAACAAACTAAGTGGGAAGATCTTCCAGCATCACCACCAGAAATTACCCTACAAAAACGACGAGAAAAATTTCCAGTGGTTCTTAGTTCAATGACAAAGTAGATTCATGTCTTTTTTTCTTAGTCTTTAAATACTAATCTCAATTCATTTTTAGATATGTAGAAGAAATGAATACAATGGAAAATGGTTTCAAATTATATTAAATAACAAGGATACGTTGTAGACACTAATAGATACACATATATTGTAGAAAAGAAATGCACATTTAGAACGATTCAAATATGAAAACAATTTTTTAAATAAATAAATTTTGTATTTAATAACAATAATTGAGACTTGATTGATTCTCATCAGCTAAATGAAATTCATGCACATAATAACGAACAGAATCAATATTTTTGTATTGATAATATAAAGAATGGCCTATGGCTAAGAATAAATAGATGTTTATCAATACTCTTAATCATAAATATCGTTGTCTACAAATGGCATAGAAAATTATTTTTCAAGTTAACTTAAATTCTAATACTGAAATCTCGATTTGGTAAATATCATTAGTAGTAAAAATTTCAAAAAAATATTATAGAAAAAAATCGTCTCTGATAAAATTATTTTTCAATTTTTAATTCATTACAACATTAAGTAAAACAAATGAATAGGGCGCCTAACTATTGTATAATTTCTATTTCTATATCTAAACTACACAATTGACAACACGAGATACAAATCAAATTAAAAACAGGTCATATTGAAATGATTATTTTACTTAACTTAACTTAACAGTCGACGACTATCTCCAATAAAACCTTTTAACATAAACAGCGATGAATAAAATGTCAAATCGAAGCTTCTGTGGATCGAACAAAGTTTCACAGAATTATCAACCAACAAATTCTACATATGATCATAATTTTTGTAAACTACCAGTTATTAATAATGGAGCCTCCGAAATGATGCATAATACGAATCTATCAGTGTGTAAACCATCATTGTCTCGTGGTTGTACACCTCAGACAAATGAAAATTATTTAAATCAATGTTCACATACCTACAATAGAGATGTTAATATTGGAGTAGCAAATAATTTATCTAAACAAATTGACTTTACATCAACTGGTTCAGCAATTTACAATGCTCGTACACCTTCATATAATTCTTGTAAAATAAATTGTTCCCCTAGTGGTGATACTTCGTTTCAAAAATTTTCTTCATCACCTCCTAAATTGGGTATGTACAATGTTATGCAAAATAAATATAAATCAATAGAGACTATTCTCCTAGTTAATTTATAGATTGTAATAAAACAAAACTATCAACAACAAATTTGAAAAAAAATCAATTAATAAGAAACTCGAATAATAGTTATGCACAACGATTAATGACGCCAAATTTAAGTAGTTTCAATTGTTCTACATCAAATATGAATACATCTACTGGACAAACAACTTCTATACGTGATCGTCAATTAGCTAATGAAATCCTTCAAAAAGCAGGCATTCAGTCGAATATGACTTCAAATGATTGTCTTGAAGTGATTACTGATGGGCCAGTGACAACAGATGACAATGTTAATTGCGATCCAAATCCATTATGTATGAAAAAACTATCTGATACTCAAGTAATACTAAGCTAATGATTTTTAAAATGTTCTTGTGTTTTACTTCTTCATTTATCATTTTTTGCAAGGAATGTTATGAACAATCCATTGTTGTTCGGCATTTACAACCGTAATTATTGAGCTTTCTTTTGTTAAATTATATTCATTTCATCCATTGCATTAATCTCTATTGTATGTTCAGACCACGACCACCAGTACCGCCGCCGATTATTATCCGGTTTGTATAATATCGATTATGTTTGTTTCTTTTCATATTCATAGACCCTAATTTATTCAGTGAACGTTGTGCTCAGCAACCACCACCACAGCCGCCTATCATCATTCGACAAATTCCTCCTCGACCATCAACACCACCACCATTAATTATTCGTGAATGTCCACCACCAATACCTGAAATGCAAGAACCAACAATCATTGAACGTGAAATACCACCACCACCGCCGCCACCACGACAAGTTATTGTTGAAAGATTACCAACACCGCCGCCAAAACCACGTTCTATTATTGTCGAAAAATGGCTTCCCTATGAAGAACCTCAAGATCGACCATGTATTGTCGAAAAAGCTACTAGTAATGAAATGCCTCCAGTGAAAAATGTCATTATTCAATATGAATCACTTGAACCAAAAATTCAATCACAATGTATCAATGGGGGTATTTCTTGTGTTGATCCAAAACAGTTTGTTAATGATAGAACAAATGAGAATGCTGAAGTTTGTTATGTAGATCAACTCAAAAATTTAGTCAGTATTAACTTTCTCATTTTTTTTAAATTAAATTATACTAATTGTCGTTTTTTGTGTTAAAAATTTGAATGAACCATTACACATTTGATATTTTAGCCTGATCATATCAAATGTCAACTCAATCCACAAGCACTCGCTGCAATTGGAATTCAAAATGACAATAAAAAGAGTACTAGCTACAATCCATCTGTTGTGCGTACAAATCCACCTTGCTTCTATCAACAACAAACTCGTTTTACATGTCCTTCAATACCTCCTATCTCAGGACATTCAATGATGACAAATGGTTGCTATTCTCCAAAGTCATCGTATTCTCAAATGTGCAATCGAACAGTTTATCGTTTACAACAACCAAACATCAACACTCTATCGGCTTCAGCCGTTTGTTTACCTCAATGTTTCAATAAGTATAATACAGCTATGTTAACACAACCTGACAATCAAGGTTTAACCAAATTAACTAGATCTCGTTATAATCCAGTTTGTTAAAAAACAAAGTTTCGAAAAACATATTTATTTTGCTTTTTTACTCTAGTGGGCAACAACATATCAAGTGTCATACACAAATAAGGCACGAGGAATGTGTCGGACACGTTAACTAATATTTTTCTCTGTTAAACTCTTTATGTAAATATTAAGGCATGACTTAATCAAAGGTTGAATTATTCTTTTAAATAAAAATATTGAGTCGTTTTGAAAAATGATACTAATATATTAATATTCTTTACATCAATCATTAAATACGAATCTATTATTTACTATTTTATACATTTCCGATTATAAGTTGTTTTGATTGCAACAATTCACCTAGATAGTCAACGTATATTTTAATATTTTATATTAAAAGCTTTCGGTATGTAGCAGATTTTTAGGTTTGCAAACACGTTTTCTTAATGATTTAACATTTATCTATTTCATATATGAATAATATTCTTGTCTGTTTCATCATGGATTGTGTTCTTTAATTATGGCCTAAATCATTAAATTGAGATATATCTATGACAATCAATTTTTTTTAGGTTATCTATAGTTATTCCATTGTATATTTAATCATTTATTCTGATAGCGATGTTGCATTTTCAGCAAAAAACTTCACAAAATTAATTCAATCTCGTTAATACATAAACAGGATCCAATGCATCTGTAATAATTTAAATTTCATCAAGAAAATATTCATTTTATATGCTATATGATTTTTATTCAATAGAAAACGGAATCGTTTATATAAGGAAATGAGATAGTTTTCAGATATGTATGATATATCGAGCATATTAAGAATTTACAATAATATCAATCTAATTCTATCTTAGGTACTTTCTAAATCAGTTTCACAAAAAATATGACTACACAAAAATATTACACAAAGGTAGATATGTGGTTGTGATCAAACCGTATGCACGCGATGTTTCACTTTTTGTGTCTGTTGAATTTCAACGTTTATATTAATAATGTTGATTCAGTTTCTTTTTTTTGTTTTTGATGAAAAAACTCTTTAAAAGCTGACATCTTCTCATTGAATATCAGGAGTTTTTCAATTACAGTCACAATCAAAATTAATATTCAATTTTTACTTTCAAATCATCGCGACCAGTCTTAAAAATGATATTATATTTTTCATAGCTTTATTAAAATAATAACCGATTTTTATTATTATAAAATTCTTTTTTTGTTGTAATCTGCTACATGATCTTCAGCAATTCAAAGCGTGAAAAAATTCTTTTTTGTTGAAAAGACAAACAAAACAAATACCCTGGATCTTGTTTCTTATATACACGTATTTATCTGTGAATTGGATTCAAAGTTCATGTCATTAATTAGCGACCTCTGGATGAGCACTTGTGCATTTTAAATGGCTAATTCGTTCATTATGATTGTAAAATTTGATGAAAACATTCATATAGGTATTCGATATTTCTTAGGGAAAAGGTTTAAATAAAAATAAATAACTTTTTATACTATTTGAACACCAAATTAGAGTCTATTTATCGTATAATAGACATTGGCAATGGTGCCATTTATTCCGTTATTGATGTTTCTTTCAGACACATTAGTAGTCTTTTGATTATTCTATTTTTTTTCAATATATAATTTAAAAGAAGAACGAATCTCGAAACTAATTTTCATCGATTTTTATCTACTTATTGTCAATAATCATATTTCGAAATTCAAATCTCAATTTATTCATTTTAACAACGACACGAGCTTCATTATACAACGAAGCTCAAATATTCCGATTAGGTAAGTTCTATTGATTTTTTTTTCTTTACATTAGTTTACTAATAGATATTATCGGGATATATATATATATATCATAATTAGAAGAAATAATTAGTTCAGATCCATATAAGCAATGATTAAGTTTATTTGATTAGTAATAATCATACAATTGTACGACCAAAAGAAAAATTTAATAATAATGAACTACACTCGTTATAATAATCAATATATATATATATATATATACATGAGAAATCGTACTCATTGAAACTGTTGTTATGTTTAGCGGTAGAATAATCTAATTTTAATTGCGATGATTACCAGTGCATTGATTTGATTGATATCATTTGTAATGTTATCCGTGTACAAATCCCGTTATGTTTATTCTGATTAGATTGTGTAACTTTCTTTATTTTATCTGTATGATTTCATCAGTTATATTATTTCTATTTGATGACTTTGTATTAGGAAAATAATACAAAATTTTTATATGGAGAACACTATTTAACTTTTATATTAGAAAAACAGAATGAATCGATTACGTTTGCTGAATATAGATAGTATATTTATATATACATATTTGATATGAAAATAATTCGTTAAAAAAGTATATTTGAACGACATCACATCTGTCATTATCCCACACAAATCTCTTCTTGGTAGCTTGTTTCTCTTATCAACAAGCGACATATATATATATATATTCTTAACTTTCTTATTCTTGTTCTTCTTTTTTCTTCGTCTTCTTCATGTCCTTCCTTCTTGTTCACTCGTTAATTCATCTTCAAAATTGGGAGGGAACTGCGTGTCAAACCCGTCACTCGCAGCGTCATCATTGTCGGGTAAACGCTATTCCTCAAAAAAAAACAAGAAGAAAGTCGACTAAGTAACAAGAGAAAAGATGGCTGAGAGTGAAGAGTAGTAGAGCGTTGGATAAAGAGAAAGACAGCTACAAGAAAGAAAATGCAAGAAGATTATTTTCTTCACCTTCATATTATAGTGAGAGCATTTGTGTTTTCTCTCTTTTATCTTTCTTGGTTCAATTAAAACATGAAAATAAAACAAAGTTGCAGTTCATACTAGTTTGAATCTTTTTATTTCATTAGAATGATGATAGATGATGCATCCGAATACGATCTGTCTTACATCATGCATAGTATTCTATCTTTTATTAAACAGTGATATTTGTTATTGGTACGAACAACAGTAATGATGATGGACATTGGTCTATTTGTCTATTCATCATTCGTTAGTGATGCCTGTTATCAAGTGGATTCTTTCTTTCTTTTTCTTCTTTTCTATTTGGTTATTACTTCTTTGTAGTGGTAATAGTGCTAGATGTGGCAAAGAATAGACGCGACTGCAAAAGAATGATAGAAAGATAAGAACGATGCCAAACTGGTTTATGTCTGTATGTGTATGTTTTTTAACAGGCCCGAACGCTTTTCTTTCGTTTTCTCTATCTCTTTCTCTCCCCCTGTGTCTCGTCCTTTCTCATTCTCTGTAGTATTCGGTGCTCGTCGTCGTCAGCGCACCAAGTAATCATTACTTCCTGTTCTCCTGGCTAACGTCGGGTTGAGCTCTCAGTGGCACATAACAGTAGTTCCTGCCATTGCTCTCTCGTGCTTTCTTCTTTCTTTTTCTCTTTCTACTGCTTTCTTTTCTTTTTCCTTCGTTTTTTTTCAAATAAAACCGACTAGTTCGCATTACTAGAATTATGATTATAGGAAGGCGAACAGCGGCGGTAACGACGACGTAGTCGTTCGTTGTCGATAGTGTGACAGCAAGAGAGGAACGCAAAGAAAATTATCATCACCAATAGAGCTGTTCATCAGCATCGTATCATCATTGCTGGCTGACTGGTCTGGACCCAACTTCGACGTGCATTCGTGTTCTTTCTTTTTTTTTCTTTTTCTTTTTCTCTTGTTTCTTGTCGCTTGGAAAAGAAGAAAGATCTTCCATCTATATTCTACGTACTGCCATCGCTCTTTTTCCTCTTCGTTTTTTTCCCTCACTCTATTGCAGCCATACACGCACACAGACTTTTCCTCTCGATTGCCGCTGCTAGTCGACGAAGCTTTTCTCTTGTTGTTTCACCCACCCCGTCCGCTCGCCCGAGCAGCAAGCAGTAGCGTCGTCGATAGATCGTCGTTTTTCTTTTTTTTTTGCTTCTCGTTTTTTTTTTGTTGAAAAAACTGAAATAAACCAGTAGCCGTGCGTGTATGTGTATGTTTGTTATTTTGCCACATTATAGAAGTGTACGCATAAATGAAAGAATTTCAGACCAAATCATATTTTCTCTACAATGTATGCACGTCTTAAACGAAAAATAATATATCAGAAACACTACGACAATCATCATTATTATCATCATTTAAATTATTGTATCAATGATCACGTCTGTTGTTCATTATTGTTATCTTCTTGATGGTCATTCTCCATTCTACTATTTCCTATCATACAATAAACGAGATCAAGTAAGATATATATATATATATATATATATATATAGATAGAAGAACAAAAGTAAACAAGAGAGAAAAATAAAGAGACATTCTTTGATTTTGATTTTTGTTTTCAATGTGCATTTATGTGTTCCATTGTTATATTATTACATGCACAATATAGATTCGAAAGTCTCTTTCATTGTGTAATATATATATATATATATATATATATATGTGCATGGATACTATGATTATCATGTAAGAGTAATATGTTGAAGAAGAAAAGAATTTGCGAGAATACATCACCCATTTGAAGCAGCGAAAAATACACACGTATGTACATCATCATTGATAGTGGTCATAGCAGTAGCAGATAGTACACACATATTGACTGTTACACAGACAGTAGCATCAATGTCGTCGCGCAAGAAGAGACATATGAGAAAGAGAGAGAACGAACGAGTAAAAATTATCATGACACACGCACAACTAAAATCATCATCAGTGAGACAACAACAAGAAGCTTTCTCAGCTCATTGTATATTTTTAGCGATTTTCACCGTTGCAGATTTGTTTGATTCCATTAAATACTACAGAAACGTGTTATTTTTCTACTTTGAAATAATACTTTTTTTCTCACGCACATCACACGATTAGATTATTGAAGAAAAACAGATTTTTCTCGTCGGTAAAATTCCATTTGAAAGGATGCTTTTAATAGCAATAAGAGCAAGATTATATTTTCAAATATTAACGATAAAACCCGATGAATCTGGTAAACAAAGAAAGAATCTATGAAGAATAATGTTTTAGATTATCCAACTCGATTGATATTAAAAGTTTATAGTGATAATATAAGAATAATCGGTCAGTACTCTAGTGTTTATTATTCACTTGTTATTCTTACTATGGCATATTTAATTATTTCATATTTTGATAAAAAAAAAAGTTTTTCTTCTTCTTTACATGCTAGAAGGAATGATTGATAAGAATATGCAAGGTATAACAGAAGTGTTTGCAAAAATAAAAATCGATATTATTATTTATTAGAGTTTTATCTTGCAGAGCAAAACAAAGGAGCGACAAATATAGCTACTTTTTTTAATATCAGTGATTAATTTTGATAAATATCAAATACTTATTTCATTATAGGTTTGTTCAACAGTCACAATTCGCAATTAAATTAATTTTTCTCCTTACTTTCCCGTTGTCTTATCCCTTATCTTTTTATTAATAATCAATATTAAATCAGAATGAGTGACATTGAAAGTTTACGACAAGAAGCCGAGTCGCTCAAAAATCAAATTCGTGTATGTATTAATAAATATTTCTTTAGTTTTTCTTATTTTAATCATTCTAATCTTTTCTTCTTGTAACCAATAGGATGCCAGAAAGGCAGCTTGTGATGCTACTCTATTACAAGTAGCACAAAATGTAGATCAGATTGGTCGAATTCAAATGCGCACTAGACGAACCCTTCGTGGCCACCTTGCCAAAATTTATGCCATGCACTGGGGTTCAGATTCAAGGTTAGCATTGTGTTTTAATCAAGTTTATTCACTAAAAAGGATAGATAAATTTATATATATATACATATGTTTACGTATAATTTTATTCTTTTTTTAGTACATCCTCTAGAAATTTAGTATCAGCTTCTCAAGATGGAAAACTCATAGTATGGGATTCATATACCACGAACAAGGTATGAAAAATAATAGTAAAAAATAGCATCAATACATGCTGTTCTATTATTCTCTAACAATATTAGGTTCACGCTATCCCACTTCGTTCATCATGGGTAATGACGTGCGCCTATGCACCATCTGGCAATTTTGTAGCTTGTGGTGGTCTTGATAATATTTGTTCAATTTATTCACTAAAAACACGTGAAGGCAATGTACGCGTTAGTCGAGAATTACCCGGTCATACGGGATATTTATCATGCTGTCGTTTTCTTGATGACTCTCAAATTGTGACAAGTTCAGGCGATATGACATGGTCTGTATTGAACTATTCATTGTTAGCTAAAGTTTTAATAAAAATATTTTTCGTTATTACTTTTCAGTGCTCTGTGGGATATTGAAACTGGACAACAGACAACTAGTTTTCAAGGACATACAGGTGATGTTATGTCACTTTCATTATCACCCGATATGAAAACATTTGTTTCGGGTGCCTGCGATGCCTCTGCCAAAGTAATGGAGATGTTCAATCAATTTATTTATCATTTTTATTTCTACTTTTATTTATTAGCTTTGGGACATACGAGAAGGCATGTGTAAACAAACATTTCCCGGCCATGAGTCGGATATCAATGCTGTTACCGTATGTTAATCGACCTATTGAGATTTTCTTTCTATCAATTATACTAATTGTTTTTTCTTCCCATTCGTAATAGTTCTTTCCAAATGGATCAGCATTCGCTACGGGATCTGATGATGCAACTTGTCGTCTTTTCGATATTCGTGCTGATCAAGAAGTAGGAATGTATTCCCATGACAATATTATATGTGGTATCACATCGGTGGCCTTCTCCAAATCGGGTCGTCTTCTATTGGCCGGTTATGATGATTTCAATTGCAATGTTTGGGACACACTTCGTCTTGAACGTGCTGGTAAGTTCGTTTTTCTTTGACTTCCTATCAAGCTAATAAGTTTTTTTTTTTGTGTTTTCTTCAATCAGGCGTTTTGGCTGGTCACGATAATCGTGTCAGTTGTCTTGGTGTAACCGAAGATGGAATGGCCGTAGCGACTGGCTCGTGGGATAGTTTCTTGAGGATTTGGAATTAGCCTCATTTATTCTTTATCTTTCTTACAAAAGATCTGCTTTGTCACATCGACGACAACAATAAGAGCCAGCTTTCTTACCTTTTCTCCCTCAAGCAATACAATAACTCTATGTTTTTTCCTTCTATCTTTTTTCTCTATCTCTAGGCTGGTGGACATATTTTTTTGTACGTTTGGTATTGCCAATTTTGCTTGTCGTCCTTTCTTTCTTGTCTTTGTTGTGCTCTTGTTGTTGTTCTTTTCTTTACAGTGGTGAAATAAGTTTGTCAAACACACACATGCATAAATGTTTACTGAGACTTTCAATCTCTCTTAAATTCGATACGGGTCTTTTTTTGCCTGCGTTCTCTTTTTTTTTGTAAGCTGCTTTTTTGCTTGTCACCTCTCATTTCTTTTTCATGATTGTCAGTAGTTATGTATGAATGAATCAATGAATTTATGTATTTGTGTGTGTGTGTGTGTGTGCGTGTATGTGTATGTTTCTTATGACTGTCGTATCGTTATGGATCGGTATCGTGTGAACATAGTTCTCACACCAGTCTTCTCGTCCTACTTCTACTACTTCTGCTGTTGTATGTGTCGGTTCAGAGCGAACACAGTTGTTCTAGTCGTTTTAATCAGCGCGTGTATCATCGTGTTTTCTTCTTTTTTTCTTCATGTCTCACTGCTCTATGCTCTGCTGCTAAATGTTTTTTGTCTTTTCTTCTTTTTTTCTTACTGCTTGATATGTTTGTGTGTGTGCGTTTCGCAGAATGAAAACTAACACAATGTACTTGATGTTTATCTTTTTTTCTCGTCTGGTTCGCTCTTACTTTTTTTCTCATTATATACTTACTTATTTAAAATACACACTCAACAGTCTATACAAACAACAACAAAAAAACAAATAGAAAAATAATTATTTTAGCGCTAATGTTTTGTTCTCTTTTGTCTCGTTTTTTTTTAGTAGGAAAACATGTTCGTTATTTGACTTTGACTAAGATTTTATTCATTGGATTTCTATTGCTTCGACATTGAATCGCTTTGCATGATGACGTCACAATTACGAGCGAATGCGATGAGATTAAAACTAGTCATTTTTTTTTAATTTCAAATAAATAAACAATTGAATGAAAACAATAAAATGAACTTTTTTGTTTAGGAATAAATTAAATAAAAAAGGAACAAAATATAAATGCGCCATTAGTTTTTCTCAGTAATGTAATGAATGTGTAATGGAACATTCTTTTCCTTTAGTTATCTCTGTCTGTCGTTCTTTTCTTTTTTCGCTTTAGACCAGGATTATAAGAGCGATGAGTCAGAATGGTACGACACCTACTGCCGATGAAGTATTGCTTTGTTTAATATTGAATCATTTCATTTTTTTTGTTCTTCATTTCTCTGTTCAATATAGAATCGTGCACCCATCACAAGTTCTACTCCTTTATTTGTTCCAATGTTACCCATGTATTATCCTTATGCTAATGCTAATACAGGTGGACAGCAATATTTTGCTCAAGCTATCTATCCCAACGTTGCACCATATCAATCAACCGGTAATCATCGTTATGGAAATGTTGGATTGAATTATAATACATTTTATACTCCATTTTATCCCACTTCAAACAATATTGTATCGCGAACAGCACATGTCCCTAATAGTGTACCATTAATGTCACCAGGCCCATTAATGCCACCACCGCCATTATTATCATCCCAACAATTACAACACTCATCATTATGCTCTTCGATTCTGGGCAAGGACATGGAACGTAATAAAAACTTGAATATTCGTGAATGTCAATCACCAGTTATAGATCAAACACAGAAAGCTAAATCTCCATTACAGACTCTTGATATAAATCATAATAATACAGATATAAGAGTACGTCAGGATTCATCATCAGCATCATCATTTATGTCACGCTCAGGTAAAGACAAAGAGATTTTAAATTATAAAATACTTTTATTTGCATTATGCTCTGTAGAATCAGATCAAAATAATCTTCCTAGATCGTCTGGTATAGTTCAAGAAATTGATTCTGATAATGTACCAGATGATTTTTTAACATTTATTGAACAGAAAACAAAAGCAAAGACAACAATGCCAGAATTAAATCCTTTTGCTAATGAATTTTGTTTTATTAATAATAAAACATCTGTGAAAGATTCATCATTAGTAACAAATGATGCTAATCATAATAAAATGAACGACAATCAATCATCATATAGATTGTTATTTGACAGTCTAATTGAAAAAAGTCTTGAATCTATTGAAGCTATTAAAAAATCAAGAAAGTAAACATGTTTTTTTTCTTTCTTATTTCTCTCTAGACTTTTTCTTTTTTCTTTCTAAATTTATAGAAAAATGACTGTTCATGATGTTTCTGTACAATGTGATCCAATAGTAGATTGTCTTAATCGTTCAACACAAACAATAGAACATACAAATAATTTTGATCTTATTGAAGAATATAGTTTACGTACCGTATGTTATCATAGTTGAACGTGTCAGTTAGAAATATGATTGCAATAAATATTTTTAGGTTAAATTAATGGATAAATTACTTGTAAATTTTCGAGATATCTATCAAAATGAGATGCATCAACAGTGTCAAACAATGGCTCATACTTGTGATGAACTACGACATTTAGTTTTATTTATACATCATATTATGTTATCATCAAAAAATGATAAACAAAAAAACTCATCGATAGATTTAAATAACCCATTTAGTAGTATGATACAAAATCTTTCAAATGATATTGCAAATGGTAATATGTATCGAACATCCTCACAAACTGGTACTGGACGAGGCACACATGGTTTAATGAAAACGTCTACAAATTCGCCGACAACATCATTTTCATCGCGACTAATTGATCAAATACCAAAAATTCAATTGAAAGTATAATCTTTTTTTTTGTATTTATAGTACAGTATAAGTAATTAATTTTTTAATGTTAGTTATGTTTAGTCTGTGAAGCACCTTTAGAAGATAATAATGATGTTATGCATACACTTGTAAGTCATGTTCTTGATGCATAAACAATATAAAGAACGTCTATCATTATTTTAGTGTCGTTCATTGGTGTCTCGCCCAGCGATGTTCAACAATACATAGGTTAAAAGACACTGTCTTTTTACCTTTTTTTTCCTGTTGTAATTCTATCTTTTTCTTTTTTTGATCGGCAAATATTGATCAAAGATGTCTTACTCTATCCTTTTCTTTTTTTTTTGTTGTGATCACATAACGCTGATATTTGAAAATACGGTGATATTATGTTTCTTTCATTGAATGTGCATTATTAGTCTTGATGATATCTCTTCTTTTTTGTTTCTACATAGAAGAAAAGAAAAACAATGAAAATCTTATCTATCAATTTCAATAAGTTCTGGGAAAAACGATAAATAATTTTATGTAAGTTTATTTTTACTAAATTACATAACAATCATTGATTAATAGTAAATTGATAAAATTGAAAAAGAATTTCCATATGGTTAGTTGAATTTGAATAATTGGAATTGATTTTTTTTTCAATTTTTAAGGTCAGTTTTTCCGTATTGATCAAAGTTCAATGAGACGGAAGCAATCGTTTACTTCGTTCATGCTCGTAATATTTATTCCGGCACTTTCTAGTCTAATCTCAGGATATGTATTTTAGAGAACTATTAAAAAGAATAATATCATAGGAAGCGGATGTTTTTACCGCTATTGAAAGATAAAGAAAGATCGAACAACTTGATTATTTTAAGAATTCAGATCGGCGTCGTTTTTTTTTCAATTAAAAATAATAATTAATTTTTATTTGTTTCGATTCAACTTCTAGAAAAAAAACTATTTCTACTGTCATCCAACAAGTATGCAGTCTATTGTTAAAATCTTCTTTTGAATAATTTGAGGCAAATATATAATTTTTACACTATTGACAGAGACATGTACCAAAAAGAGATGAGCAAGGATTTGCGATAGATGGCAGAATATTACATAATGTTTATTTAGCTTAGTGCAAAACCGAACGACAGAAATAAAGTATATTTTTTCGATTATTGATTGTTTTAGTATGTTTCTCAATGAATAATAATAAAATGGAGAAGTCGAATAAAATGTCTGTAGAAAGGTCGAGAAAACGAAGGCAATATTGTCCTCTTCATAGCAGAGGAATTGCCATTCAAATGGCGATTTATTGTATCATATTCCAACGAGCATGGGAGATTGTAGTTATGTGTTGTTGTGTTCACCGTTTTTATGTTAGTAATTGAATGATAACATGGATATTAAAATTTCCGAATTAAAATCATTCATTTTGATTGAAACGTTTTTTTCTATTGTAGAACTATTTCAAAAGATTTTGATTTTTAAGCATCAACATGGCCGATAATGCTGCTGCACATGATGACGATGATTTCCAGACAGGTGATGCTGGAGCATCAGAAACGTAAGCGTTCTTTTCTATTGAAAAAAGGCTATTTCTTAATAATAAAATTTCATATAAACAGATATCCTCAACAATGCTCAGCTTTACGTAAAAATGGCTATGTTATGTTAAAAAGTCGTCCATGTAAAATCATGGAAATGTCAACATCCAAAACTGGCAAACATGGACATGCTAAGGTACTGATTTTTCGTTTGAAAATGTTCAATAAAGTTCAAATATTTTTCCTATAGGTTCATATGGTTGGTATTGATATTTTTACAGGAAAAAAATACGAAGATATTTGCCCATCAACACATAATATGAGTGTGCCCAATGTTAAACGTGTTGAATATTCGGTAAGGACGAAAACAAAGTATATCTTTTTGAAAACAAAACTATTTTACCTTTTTTTTAATTTTGCTTTTAGTTAATCGATGTTGATACCGATGGCTATGTTTCATTGATGGATGATAGTTCGGAAACACGTAGTGATATTAAACTTCCCGAAGGCGAACTAGGTCAAGAAATTAGAGCTAAATTTGAAGGTGGAGAAGGACTTAAAGTTACGGTACTTCAAGCCCTCGGCGAAGAAGCAATTATGTCATACAAAATAGAACAAGAGTCAAAAAAATAAACATTCATTAAAATCTTCTGTTTCGTTTTTCTGTTACTTCATCATTAACATTTTCAACAATCGTATCTTTTATGCGAGACTACTTATATTATTGTTGCTCATAATGAAAGAAAGAAAACAAGAAGTTAAACTATCAATATCTTCATTCATTGAAGCCTCTTTTCTCTCTATCTCTCTCTTCCTTTCTCTTTTCCTTTCTTTTTTCGCATGAACGTAGAGTTGATTTGTTTTAGGTTCAAAAAACTAAGGAAAAGTAAGAACATTTATTATCTTATTGTGAGTTTCTTAAATCCACGTAACTTTAGATCACGTTGGTTGGTTAAAGCTTTCGTTTTGTTTGCGTATTTTTGGCTGATCGCTTTGTTTGTTGATTTTTATTATTCTTTCTATTATATCAAAAGATAAGATCATTGGGTGATGGTTAATTGTTGTCTTTTTATTTTTGAACGGGATTCAACGAGAATTCAAATGAATATAAACAATACGAGTTGCTATCCAAGTGCAGAAACCAAGACTGATGGGGAGAAAAAATCATGCGTACTCAATGAACAACGGAAAGTTTATATGATTGTTTGTTGTTATAATCAAATATAAATTGTAATTTGCTGCATATAAAAATAAGTTTATAAAAAAAAAAGAACTTTATTCTTCATCTAATTGAACAGTTCCGCAATCAACTATCTTAACAGATTTTACTGGACGTTGATTGATTGTATTGATAAGCTCAAGTTTATCTAATGTATCAAAACCTTCAACCACACGACCGAACGCAACGAAACGATTCGACATCCATTCGCAAGCATCAGATAATGTTATATAGAATTGACTTCCGTTTGAATGTCGATAACCTTTATTTGTCATACCTAAAAAGTATAATATTCAATTATGTAATAGTGAAGAAAATATGAACAACATGAATACTGACCAAGAATACCTCGTTGATTATGTTTAACAACAAAGGTTTCATCAGGAAATGTTTCACCATAGATCGATTCTCCACCATTGCCTCTGCCACCTCGAATGTCTCCACCTGAGAAATAAAATTATACATATTTGTTTCTTCATAAACGAATATATAATCTACCTTGGACCCATCCATTTGGTACAATACGATGAATAATTGAATCTTTATAATGAAGAACGGTACCAGTTGTTCCACTTTGACCTTTTTCACCTGTACATAATGCTCGAAAATTTTCACATGTTTCAGGTGCTTGATCATAAAATAATTCAAATACTAAACGACCAATACCAGTGTTTTGAGGATTATCAGAATCTTCAATGTGAAAATCCATAAAACAATAAGTATTTTGACTATCGCCTGATGCAAATTTACCCCTTAAAGAGATATAGAATGATTATAATGACTGATATCTAGTTTTTAAGTATACACTCACTTGTATTCTTCATTTGAAAATACTTCTAAAAGTTCATTGGAACGAAAATCAATATGATCAAACGTAGTTTTAGCCCAATGTAAGAATTGATCAGCATTACCAAGTAGTTGTCTATCGATAAATACCATACATTTATCGTTAAATGCCCATGTTTCACCACGTAACTCGGCGCGTTTATTTCGTAAAAACGATTTCCAATCATATTCAAGTAATGGATGTATTTCCGAATGAGATATTTGCTTTGAATTTGTTCGCTTTAAGTCTTCCAAGCAATGCTTAGCTAGTTGATATTCGTCAGAATTTAAGAGACCATATACAGCTATATGAAACACTGGTGGTGCCATGCTATTGAATGAAAGATTATGTGAAAATGTCGCCTGGCAACCGTAAAGTAGTGTTGTCGACACGAGAACAAACGAGGATTTTTTTCTTCTATTCACAATGAGTCTTACAATCGTGCAAACAGTAGATGGCAGTATCAAACATCTCGAAAGTTTTTCGTTTGAATCATATGAATTTTTATTCTATTCTTTTCTTTTTTGAATAAAAATACAGTAAACAAGATGAGTCTATATCAAGTGCACTCGTCTATTAACTTTAAAATCATAGTTGTCAATGGTTGATCTCTTATTTCAAGTTGTTCTATAATATCGAAATGATCAAAATTATCGAATTGTATGGTCTTAACATTATTGAAACCATTTTTTTCTAAGCAAGATCCATATTGTCGATTCTGCTCATGAAAAGCTGGAGAATCATATTGAGCATGAACACATAAAATAGGTACATGTTTCAATGCTGACCAATAATCATTACTATCACGATGTAAAGGACTTTGATTTTTAGCTACTGCTATCGTCATACCAAGTGGTATATTAACATACGTAGAAACAAGTGGAACAAGATCAAAAACACCAGAAATTAGAAAGAAACCACCAAAAGTTTCATGATCAATGTTATATTTATTCTTCCAGTTAATCAGCAAAAGTGTTGCAGCTAGATGGCCACCAGCTGAATGACCACAGATGAATACTTTAATAGATAATTTCATTGCCCATTCCAAAATTTTCACTAAAGCCTGTTCTACACATGTAACAATTTGACCGATTGTCGCATGTGGAGCAATAGGATAACCAATAACAGCTGTAAGAATTTGTGCTTCACTCATTACTTGCGCCATAAATGCACTTTCGTTACGCGAAAAGAATTGCCAATATCCTCCGTGAAGATATACAAAAATAGCCTTTGGTTTTATTGAATCGATATTAGGTAATAACTGTATTGTATTCGATGGAAGATAGATATCAATCGCATGATCAGAAAAGGAACTTTTTGAATCAACTGCCCAGTTTAATAAACAAGGTAAGGTAGTTCTTGCAGATTTTGTACCTTTTGTCAATGCCTGCACATGAGACTCAATAACTTTTTCACTATCATTAAATCGATGTGACCATTTAGATGGTGAATATGCATGATCAGCATCTATTTTTGTTGTTGCCATCTAAAAGAAAAAAATAATTCATCACAGTTTGATTTCATATCCGTTTTTAAAAATATTTTTATTTGATCAAAGTTAAGTTCAGTTGAAACTTCATCTAACAGAATTTTAAAAACGAGAGAAGAGCGATGAATATATATATATATATGTAGATTTTTAAAAGGCATATTTAGTACAACTAATCAACTATATTTCTATTAGTACGAATGGTGAAAACATGAAACAAGCATCTTTTTTTTTCGTTAGGTGTCACACAATCACGGTGCTTGAATTAGAGATTATTTAAAATTGAAATCTATTATTCTATAGATTCTCAGTGCTTCGTAATTAATCGTTCCGTTGATGTTAATAAGAAATAAGATATTCATGAATTGTGGTGGAAAAAAAACTTGTCCATATCAATCTTTCTTGTTAAAATAAAGAAAGAATTATCACGGATTTTTATTTTTTTTCTATGTACTAGTCAAATAGTCAATTTCTATCCTTTTCACTAGTTATGGTTCTTTGTTTATCAAATATACACGATGACAGAGTTTAGTGCGTCATGTTAATAGATGTGTATGTATACAAAAGAAATATTTAAACAAAAAAGAATTATCAGAAGTAAAATTGAACGATGTCTAATGTTATGTGTAAAGAAGATGGCTGCAATCAAGGAACGGTCGCTAAATGTATGCATTGTGATAATAATTTATGTTTGAAATGCTTGACACGACATCAACAACCGATGGACGCTCAACTTTGTCAATTGACTAATGATATGAATAAATTATTATTATTATCATCATTAAATCATGATGATAAACAGTCGAATCATCCACAAATAAGTGTCAATAATCAATATATGTCAGTGATGGATCAAATTGATAATTGGGAAATGACAATGACTCAACGATTAAAAGATTTAGTTTCACATGCGCGTCGTACACTACAAAATTCATTCGAGCAAATATCATTTGAAATCGAAGAATGGTCAACAGAAAAACAAATTGAATTACAAGAACTAACAGAAAATATCGGTAAATTTTCTTAAAATAAAATATAGAAAAAGAAAAATTTCCCTGTTTTTAAATATCTCATATAGAACAATTATCATTTGAAGCAAATGATGAATCAAACATACGTATGAAAATCGATAAATATAATCGACACATTCAAAAATATATTAAAGAATATGAAACTGCCCATGTTGAATTCAATCTTATTAATTTTGAATTAATTCCATTATCATCATCGAAATTAACATTGTTCCATTTATTTGAGCATTCAATAAATTTTGATCTATCATTAATTCATGATCCACCAAATACTTGTTTTGATGCTTCCAAGTCATCATTAATAGTATCGTCTTCTCTATCGCCATCGAATTCAAACAATCGTCGAGAAAAAATCTTTCTACCCAGTGTTTTAGTTAGTTCAAGAAGTCAAATTATTTTTTTTTCAAATAAGGCTAAACAATTGAATATTTTTTCAAATAATGGCACTCTGATCGATCAATTTAAATGGGATCATGCTGATATTATAGATATTTGCTATGATAATTGTTCGTCAACATTAAATGATGATTCATTTTTTGTTCTATCAACAAATGGTAGTGTTTATTCTCTTGAATATCATTCCGATAAGCATTCATATTCATGGTTAAAAATGATTGCTGTTAATAATCAAACATATTATACTCAATTAATATGTGATTCAAAATTATCTTATTTATATCTTTTCATGTCGAGCAAACATCGTCTGGATCAATGGACAATTAATAAATCGAAACGTAATATAATACATTGTTCAAATCAATTGATTATAACAAATGATCATGTTGAACATTTATGTACGTCTGATCATCAATTAGCTTTATTATTGCGTGATAAAAAGAAAATAGTGAGCTACCGTATTGAACTACGCAATTTTACTGATTTACTTGTAACAATATGCTCGATAACACTTAATCAATTATCGAAACCGATGAGACTTATTTTTGATAATCGCAATGGATTTATTTTAGCAAATGGTAATCAATTATGTTCATTTGGTTACGAGGGTGAAATTATTTCCAAACGTATTTTTGAAGATATTAATGAAATTAAACGAGTAACTTTTTGTCAACGATCAACGTGTTCTATTCTCACGGATAATGATCAACTTTTATTTTATATACTTTCAAAATAAAACTCATCATTGTTTTGTTTTTATTTTAATCATTTGTTTTTTTTCCTCTGCTTGACAAACGTTATGTGATTATATTAAATTATTTTATTTGAAATATGTTTCTTTTGCTTTTCATTGAGTATTTAAACAACCGAATTTGTTTCTTGTCGACGTAAAATTTCACTAGTTGTGATGGAAACTTACTTGGACAAAGTTCTCGTTAAAGGAAATCTGAATTCATTGTACTTTACAAGACTTTATTGGCAGTTTTCGTTCGTTAATATCTGCTTGAAGAAATTTTAGAAGCATATGAATTATGCTGCCAATACGTATAAATCCTGTGTAGCATGACGAGACAAATACAAGAGATATCATGAAACAAACAACTCTTTTTCTTGTCGTTTAATAAAATGAAAAAGAACATCGATCACAACAGAAAGTTCTCATATAAAATCGTCTTTGTTGTGAAAAATTAACAATTTAAAAGAAAAATTTTTGTAAACAAAATTGATACGCATATTTGTCCGAATTTATTCATCGCCAACTTTGATATTTTTGAAGATTTCAAAATAGTCAAAATATCAATATTTAGTTTCAGTACAATATTTTTTATATAGACACCTCGAACAATTTAGTGTATACTCAACACTACTTTCCATGGAAATAACTAAACGACACGATTGGTCTCATCCAGTATCGCTTGATCTTATGCCAACGGTACAGATACAGATTGACTGTCTAAATGAAGTGTGAGCTTGTTCAATTGGCTACAAACATGTGCTGTATTTTTGCCAAGGGGGAAAAAGCGCGACTCCCGTACTTCGAAGTACGATGGGAGTACATGGAAGTACAAGGGAATACAAGAGAAGTACAAGGGAGTACGAGTGAAGTACATGGAAGTGAGTGAAGTAGGGAAGTACGGAAGCGGCGCTTTTTCCCCTTGATTTTTGCTCAATACTACAGCAAAATGAAATTCTTTGAACTTTGATTAAAAGAAAAACTATTGAAAAGCCTTTTTCATTTGACAACTGATTCTTTTATGCATCTTCACTACTATAGTATATATATATATATATACCTTTTGTATTCTATTTAAGTCATTAATAGCTCGAAAAAATATTCTATCTAAAATAAACAGATGTTTCTAAAATTCTAATACTTTTACTTTCAACCAAAGTTAAGATTAGCGTTTTCTCTAAAGTTCTGTTTTTCTGATTATCATTGACCTTATGTCCTTCTGCAATTATTTCTCCTTCATAGATACGGTACTCTTATGCAATGAATATGTACATATTCCAAGAACAAATGTCTCAGTAACGACTGTGATATTCATAATTTCTAATTCAAGTATGTGTCAGATCAATGTAGCAATATTTGAATCGTATCTTTTTATAAAGTTGATTTTCATTTCATTCTAGAATTCAAAGTGATTTAAATAAATAAATGCTTTGTATTAATCTATATTTATTTTAGTTAAATCGTAAATTTTACAAAAGTTTTAGAGGCATAAAAAATAGAATTAAATTGACAACTGTATTTTATTCTCTGTATAATAATATTCATAGAAAAACAACTACAGTATTGTAAAAAACTCACACTGTTGGTCTGTACATATGCATATGTATAGGTTGCATTGAAAATAGAGTTTATAAATAGTGAAAAAGCAAAGGTAAATATGAAATTAAGAAGAAAACATTTCATCGAGAAGATTTTGAGACTCGGGTGTCATGGGACGTAAATCTAAATTTGGAAAAAATTGATTAAGATCAGAATTAGCTTCCTGAACTTTCTCTGTTTTAGCAATGTTATCCAAAGGCAAAGCCGTAGAATTGTTTTTGGTTAGTAAATATATTTTGTCTACATCACTAAAATCTCCTGTTAATCGACGTCGTTGTTCTTCATTGTACAGCGCTAAATTTTTCATAACAAACGAAATATCTTTATCGATCATATTGAATAAACCAAATTTTGAAAATAATCGTTCACGTTCCTATACAAGATAAGACAATTGATCTTTAATTCAATCAGAAAAACAAGCGCTATTTACGTTCACCATATGTTGATCATAAAAATGTTTCAGTTGTCTTTGAAATGCAAAATTAGGATCAACAAGTGTTCGTACACCACGAAGACTATTGATCACATCTGACCATGATATTCCTGTGATAGTCATTAAATAAATACAAGCAATTGATGGGCTTCGACTTTTTCCTTCCACACTAAAAAGAATATTATTTGGATTTTTTATTTGATTTTTATCCGAATGTATACCAGAGATACTCTGTTCTGCAGCAGGACAGGACAGGGTATCAATGGAAAAAATGTTGGACAGGGAAGATACTCTGCGAAATGGCGTCTCAATTTTCCAATCTGCAGACAGAAATTTTTTTCAAGTGTTTTATAGTTATAAATTTTACAAATAGGCTGTAGAGGATGGTACTCATTGACCTTTTGAATCTGAAAATTTAAGCGAGGAAATTGATCTTAACAATAAAAATGAAAAATTTAATTATAACGTAGGAAAAGACGAGGAACTTCATTGTTATTTCTTGAATGGCTTCGAAAAGATTAAACAAGTAATAGAACCTTTTAACATTTTGGAAAATGTATCACCAACAATGTCCAGTCCCTTCAAATTACCCACGATCGATCCTATAGATTCCAGTCACAGCAAACGTAGAACGAGGGGTTTTCAGTGTTTTTTGGATCTTAAATAAAAGAACAGTAAGTCTTTAACTAAATAATCTGGAAAATATTTTGTTAGTAGGATCAACAAAATTTTATTTATATATAAATAAACTTTTGTGTTTTTTTCTCAAATGAACCTCTCCAGAAAAAATGATGTACCTGTATTATATTTATTGTAAGATTTCATTTTTTTTGTTATTTGTTACAACTCATACGTTTTATAGGGTAAAACGATGAGTTGATATCATTATAAAGTGTGCTCAAATAAAACAATGCTCTATATTATTCATTAAGGAAACATTTAGGCTTTTGAAATTCATTCAAAATTACGATCAAGACTGTGCTTATTGTAGCCAGGGTACCTTGTCCTGCTTTGCTCTGAGAGACCGAACAGGACAGGACAGGATGCAAAAAGTCACCCTGTGGACATCTCTGATATTTACCAATGAATGAGCACTTTGCCTTGATTAAGTCGCGCATTATGAATAAAATCATTGCATTGTGCTGTAAATTGTAATAGATCTTGTGATATATGGTCTTTAGCTTGGATTAGAAGATATTCACGATGCTTGAAAAACAAAGTATTCGAAATTAAAAGTAGTACTTCCACTGCTTTTGCTTTGGTTTACCTTAAATGGACTGATGGGTTTTGCTTGAATTGAAATAACATGAGTAATACCAAATTCATCAAGTATTTTGCCTTGTCGAGCCACAAGTGCACTTGTGACATAGACACCAGGTACTGCCTAAGAATTTTCAAAATCTATTTACACCTTTCATATCTTAATTCTTATTACTTCACTCATTCCTTGACCCATTGGTAATAGATTGATTTATTTTAACATCTGAAAAACAAAACGAAAACAATCTTTTTAACGATTTAGTTTTTCTTTATTGATTAATAGCATCTTCAAATTCTTCATCAATTTGCTGTTCGAATGGTTTATTCATATCTAAATCGTCAGGAAATTTTAGCTTTAGCCTTTCAAGTGTTTCATGAAAATAAGGAAATGGTTGTGCATGATAATGAACAATTGCACGTTGGCGACGAAATTTTTTTGGTAAATTAAAATCTGCTAGATGTAAATGAAGTGGACATGTAATCTGTTGGCCATATACATCAAGTGCAAGACGAACATGTTTATTTAATTGCTAAAATATAAACGAATTTTTATTTATTTCTAATAGGAATAAAAATAAAATGTTTTTCAACTTGTTTAGTCGGATAAATTTCGTGTTTAATTGGATTAATATACATAGGAACACCGGCAACAAATTTGACTCGATTCCAATATTTATTATCACCAAGTAAAGGAGCACATTGACGTAAACAGTAGATTTCAACGAAATCCCATGTACCTATAGAAAATGACTATATCAGGATAAAATCCAAATCAATTTTTTTTAAAATTCTTACATGTTGTCGTTTTAAATTCAACTAAAGCGACTTTTAATTCATCATTCGTAGATAATGTTCGATGTTCAATAGTACCTGTATAAACACGACCTTCTTTTAATGCATTAGACGTCGCTTCGAACACTTCGTAGGACTAAAATTAAGATAAAAATTTGAGTTCTTTTTTTAATGCCGTTTTCTAAAAATTCCGTACCAAATATTGTCCATTATGAATATGTCTTTCAATCATCACATGTTGTGAATCTTCAAGTTTACGTGGAATAGCTGTTGTTATACCACTAAAATAAAATGTATTTATTATAATTATATGAATATGAAGAAGATTTTTTCGAATAGATTTGATTACATACTAAAATGTTAAATAGGGTTCTTTTAATTTCCGAAATGAACGCATTGCTGTACTTTTTATATCCTCATGTAATTGAGAATTTTGTGTGTATACGAGTAAACCACTCGGTTCACTAAAGTGTAGATAGATAATTAATTCGTAGAACAACAAAATCAAAGTTCACTTACTTTGGTGTTCTCAGACAAGGAAAAAAATGACTCCATTTAAGAGCTGATCGAAATTGTGGCATATGATATTGAATAGTACATGGATTAGTATTTGATAGACTAGATTTTATTTTTGTTTCTTCATCATCTTGTTCTGGATTTGTTATTTCAGCTTTTCGATCCCATGTTTCATCTAAACATGAGATTTAAATAAATGAATCGACACAGCGAATATTATTTTTACCAAGCACCATAACACCAGGTGGTTTATTACAAACAAGTATTTGTTCATCATGATGAATTGTATTATTTAAAATACATGAAACTAAATCTTTCGATTGACGAACTGGATTTGCTTGAGATAAATAATGAACATACCTTTGATTCGACTGGCCAAGTCGTGGACTAGAAAAAGCACAAATTTTCGTATTAGCAATTGTAAAAAATTGAAGAAAATTACCAATGTGATACGAATCGATATAAAATATTCATGTTTACGATTGATAGATATTTCAATAAAAATAAAAACTAGCGATTGTGAATTGATCAACTAATCAAACTAAGTTTAGTACCAATCAGATTAAATTTGATTTCTATACCTATAAAAAATGCACACAAAATTGTCGCATGTCTTATGATGTCGCTATAAGTAAGAACTCTGTAACTTAAATTGTACCCTTTTGATTTTCATTGAATTTGAGTAGTCATACAAAATGAAATCGAAATAATCTAAAGATATCTAGTAAGTATGATAAATGTGATCATTTAAATGAACACTTTTTTCCAGTTGAAATACAATCAAGTTCTAATGTTCAATATGTGTGTCATTAGAAGACAAAATTCTATGGTATAGTCACGTTTTTAAAAAGATATCTTTTTCTTTTTGTTGTGAATTATGCGATTTATTGGTCATGAATAAAATAAAACATTTTATATGAAAAAAAGATGCACAAATAAAAATGTTTACAAACGAAATTCTCCATCGCTGTCAATTCTATGTAAATTAATACCTTGCTCAGTTAAAATAGCAAGAGTATCATTATCAAATTGGACGGCGTAGTGAGGTGATGGCGTATATGTAATGGTGTTTTTAATATATCCTTGATTGGTAACGTGAATAAGACGTGTTTCAGCAACATCGACTATCAACCAACCATTTTCATTCAACGAGCAACACGATACAATATTAGTTTGTTCATGTATATTAAGTGAAATAGTCCAAAGTTGATCAAATGTCAATGTCGAACGTATATCTAGATGTCTTTCATTTTTTGTATCATTCAAAATAATCAACGCTAAACAATCATTTGTACATTTCATATGTTCAATATATTCATCACTTGAACAACATAATTGTTTTCGCCTGAATGAAAAATTCTTTTCCATTATAGAATATTCATATATTGTTGTATTCAAATTTTGTGTAGCTAAAAATAAACTTTTATTTGAACATGCGCAACAATACCAAGATCGATCATTTACTGGTAAACTTTTGATTTCTTCAACTATCATTGTTTGCTCGTCTAATGTAATGATTCCTTTTTTTGCAGTAAGAATAAATTTTGAAAGAGTGTTTGACATACACATATCCCATATACAGCCATGTTCCCAGGGAATTTCTTTAATGAGATATAATTTTTTATCATATAAATATAAATATGATTTCTGACTAATCAAGAAATATTTTGCATTAGCTGCCATGACAATTGAACTATCCGTAGAAATATCTTTGGTTAAATATAATGATTTTACTATAGAATGTAAATTAAAATTAGATTGTTTGTTTCCTATTAAAATGAAGTTATCATCAAAAACTAATGATGGAATATTTAGTTGAAATCGTTCTTTAGGTATTTGTTCAATTTCGCGTTGTACAGCATTTGTTGCAGCTTTTAATGAATCAATTTGTTGTTGAGTTGTGTTTTGTTCGCGAATAAGTTGAGTAATTTTCAATTTGATCCATTCAAGAACTTGACGATCTTGATTTACTGTTTCATTTTGAATACTTTTCTTATCTAATTCTTGACATTTTTTTTCATAATATGAATCAATTACTTGATGTGATTCTTGTCGCCATTGATCAAGTTGCAGGCGATGTTGACCACGAAAATATTCTGATAATTTATTTATTTGATTTGTTAATTCATATAATTGAGATAAATAAGTATCATTATGATCTCTTAAATGTTCAATACAATAATTATTTTGACAACAGTGACATAATGCTCTTGATATACGTGGACATTCAGTTATTGTACATGGATATTGAGGCATTTTTTTTTTGAAATTTATAATGTGATAGATGGGTAAATAAGAGAAACACTGGATTTATTATGTTCTTGCTTACGATTATAAAAGGTCTTCTCCTTTTTTCCTCTTTTTTTAAGTAGAGGCTAAAGATTTTATGCACGTTCTTTCTATTGACGAAATTAATATGACATAATTGTTTCACAGTAACTCAACACAATCAAGAAATCATCAAAAATGCATCTAAAAAAATTCAAAATAATTTAATATTTTACTTTTTATGAGCAACTTAACAGTTTCGATTCTGCAAATATTTATTCATTTCTATAGATGTTTTCGTTAACACCATGTTCGCTGTTAATGACGAAAAATATATGATGACAGTACCGTATGATAGTATAAAATATGCGTTAGACATGATCAGCATACTGTTTAAAATATGATGTTGTACTTTTTTTTCCAGCATTATGATTCACCTCTGTTCTTTTTATATTGCTTTCGATTTATGGATGAATCTTTTTTTTTATATGGTCCATGTAAATTATCAACGATATTTCTAATTATGATCGTATCATGGAAAAATAGACAAGTAAGAAAACATCCATTACATCTAGTTATGTACTGGTTACATGCCTAAAACAAAATAGTAACATGAATGATATATACGTTGTTGAGTATAATAATATATTATTGCCAATAGGACTGAATACATTTTGAAAATACAAAAATGTAAATTTGACTTATTCTACATGAAGAACTAAATCAGTTATTTCATCGAATTACTCAAAGATATATAATTTGATTGAAGACATTCTCTTATTATGCTTGTATATATCTAGGATAGCCTATAGAATTTTAGAATAGGCATGCATCATTTCCAACATGAGCTAAAACTTTTATCTAAACAATTTCACACAATAATTTTAACTATGATTAGAATATTTCTATGAATGACAAGAAGTAAAGGTAAGATCAAACTACGAAGTCTATGTCACAATGACCTATCTAATTTCTTATTATCTTGTAGTCGGAGAAGAATTTAGTCATATGTATTGAAAAAATCTTAACTAATATCAAGCTCTTGTACAACTAATCTGAAAGGTACATATATATTTATCGCAAACGTTATAGTACACTACTAAAAGTCAGTTTATGGCTCTTAGAAAATTGTGACGAAAAATCTCGTCAAGTGTCTAATGTACCATTTTAGAATACTTTACCAATTTTTCTTCAATTCTTTCAATCTGTCTTTGGCCGTATGAAGAAAAAAGCAACAAATTGCGTCGTTCTATTACCATTTCTTTTTTTTTTATCGTTGATAGGTATTGTTTGTCAAACGAAAAAAAAATGTTCTGTTTTCTTTTGTTTGAAGCACATTCTGTAGATATTTCTTTTTTGTATAATGCGATAGAGTCTATTAACAATGGGAGACGTAAAAAAATATGTCGTTTTCAATTGGTATTAATAGCGTTGCATTTTTAACACAAAAAATAAATAAAAATAAAAGTTGCATGATAATACGGTGCTGATCCATGAAAATTAATTGGCAATAGTGTTGCGTATGACTTTCTTTTTTTTTATAGTTGGAGAAAAAACTAGCTACCTATTCTATCCGTTACAAAATAATAATAATTGTCTATTTATTCATTTTGCTACTGAACTAAATTGTACTAAATTTGAATAGAAATTCATTTATTTCCTTCATGAAGATATACTTGACTGTTACCTATGGTCAATGAAAAGATACGAATTAAACAGAGAAACTGTTGGATTTTTTCATTGTAGTAGAAATTCAAACTACCGATGTCTATCACTTAATGCTTCGCAGGTAAAATCTCATGTATAGGTATGAATAAACATGAGTTCAGATGAATTAGAAATTCAGACCAATAGTTAGATGTAATCATTCTGTTAAAAAACGACGTATAACAGATAAACATGCTGTTTGAAGAAATATTGCACAAACTATTCATGTTTTTGTGAATAAATGAATGGCGACCGGTTTTTTCATTTGCACTATTAGTATTAAGGATATACATATATCATGTCCAATTAAAAATAAAACTTTGTATACGTAAAAGTTAACTACAAACAAGTATAAACTTACTCGATTGCCACCACAGCAAAGAGAGCATTCAAAAATGCGAATTTCCTTTTTTTCTACCCTCAACTTATCTTAGTTGTTGATTTTTAATCAATTTTGGAGCAACATCCGATAGCTTCACACAGGGCTATTCCTTAATACTTTCATCTTTTTTGATAGTTCGAGTTATACCCGTCATTCTCTATTGAATGAACAAAATTTTGACCATTTCTCCACATTAATGCTGACATGTGATGAAAAATTTATCGAAAGATAGAATGAGATAAATCTTTGCAATCTTATCAAATCTCTTCAGTAAATTAATATCAACACCAAAAAAAACGTGCACTACTGTCAGAACTGAGAAACAATTTATCAGTCTCTCTCCTATTGAGTACTTGTTTGGTTGAGTATGTATAATACGTGAAGTTTGTGTTCAATCCTCTGAAAGATGAAATAATTTATCGATGAACATTTTCTTGTTCTTCTCTTGTCATAGCTAAAACTTAATATGAACGAATAAAAGTAGTACAAACAAACATTGAATCACTATAACATACTTTGAAAGCTATTCATTCAGTTTAACATTATAATGTGCAACCATGCCAATGAAGTTCTATGTAGCAGAATTGCATTTAAATATATAACTAATAAAGAAAAGGATTACAAAAAAGTAATTTTTCATATAATAGAAAAAACTCGAAACTAATTCAAATTTATTAATTAGTATGTTATATGAAAATTAGTCTCATTTAAAAGGCATCCGTTAATATTTTAATTAATAATATTCATTCAAATCATATTTCCAGATAAAATGAATGAAAAAAAACCTAGAAGACACTATTTGATGACAATAAATGATTATGAAAAAGCAATCTTTATTTGATTTCAAGTTTAATAGTTTTGATTCTCTAATTTGTCTTTATTGATGTTTTTATTTCTAAATATTTTACTGTATAGAAAAGACATGTTACGACATGGTTAATAATCTACACATTAATTGAAAAATAATACCAAAGATAAACAAATACACAGTTAGATTTTAGATAAAAAATAAAGACAAGATACAAAAAAAAGTCACACATGAATAATGTCTATATAAAGTTTCAAACATTTAGCGGGGACGAACTGAACCACCACGAACCATTGATGTAGCTCGTATAACTGTTGATTCACGAATTTCGCGCTGAAAGAATCACGTATTCAAAAGCAAATTAATATGTAAACAAACAAACAAGAAAAAAAACGTATACTTACGCCTGGCGAAACTCGGCTTACACTAACAGATGAGCGACTTTTAGCACGTAATTTGCCTAATTGATTTTCAGCGAGATCGGCACGTTCAGCTGAATCCTCTATAATCAATAATTTTATTTAATGTAGGAAAACAAAGCATAAAAATATTTCAAGTTCATACCGAGTTCTGTTTGAACTTTACGAAATTTGGCGAGATTGAGCGCGGCAATTTCCTCTGTATTAATAATAATAATTGATTTTAAAATTTAGAAAATGCTTTTATACAAACCAGCTTCTTCAACTTGTCGTTTGTAAACTTTAATTTTGCTTTGTAATTTTTCTGTAAGATCTTGTAAACGTAATTGATTTTTACGATCTTCTTCAACTTGAAATACTAATTCTTTTAGTCGTCGATCATTCTTACGTAATTCTTTCAATGTTTCTTGATGACGATGTTGTTCTAATTCATTTTCACTTTCCAATTCATGAATCTAAATCATTAAAAGAATCTTTCATGTTTTATTCTTTTTAGCATTTCTTCTACTATCTACATACACGCTGTTCAAGTTTAGCAATAATACGTTTTCCACCTTTGAGAGCATTAGCTTCAGCTTCATCAAGGCGTGTTTGAAGATCTTTAATTTGTTGTTCGAGACCCTTACGAAGTCGTTCAACTTGTATTGCATGTTCTTGTTCTTGTCGTAGTTCTTCTGCAAGACGGGTAGCATCCGTAGCTAAATAAGGAAAATATGTATACCGTTTTTTTTCTCTCCATAAATTCACTATATGTCTTTTGAAAAACTAACCTGCTTTCTTAGCACGTTCTTCGCTATTTTTCAGTTCAGCAACAGCTTCATCTAAATCAGCTTGCATAGCAGCAACATTTGATTCCAATTGTCGTTTTTGTGATGATAAATTAGCGTTTTGTGTGCTTAATTCACTAATACGATCAGCTGCATCATTTAATTCAATTTCAGCTGCTCGGCGTGCACGTTCAGCTTGTTCAAGAGATGTACGTAATTCTTCGACTTCACCAAGAATAAGATTAACACGGCGTTCAGCAGCAGCAGCGGCTTCCCGAGCTTCATCACGTTGTCGTTGTTCATCTTCAATTTGTTGTTGTAATTCAGTGATTGTTTCCTGTAGTTTTTTAAGAGTTTTTTGTAAATCTGCGTTACTACGATTGGCATGATCAAGAGCAACTTCAAGTTCATTGATATCCGATTCAAGCTTCTTTTTCTAGACAAAAAAGCAAAGATTTAGAAAAACAAAGATTTATAAAGTAAAATTAATATTTTTTTTACCTGTTTAAGTGCTTCAGCTTTAGCACGAGATTCTGCTTCAAGACTTGCTTGCATAGATTCCATAGCACGAGCATGATTACGACGAGTAGTTTCGAATTCTTCTTCCTTTTCATGTATACGACGATCAATTTCTTGGCGTACTGCACTTAATTCCATTTGAACACGAATAACTTTAGCTTCTTCTTGTTCAAGTGCAGACTCGGATTCTTCCAATGCACCTTGTAATTCTTCTTTTTCCATTTCAGCACGTTTACGAGCTTTATCCAATTCATGAATGCTCTTTCCACCTTCACCCAATTGATCGATAAGATCCTAAGTAGGCAAAACAAAAAAAAAAGAATTTCGATTATATTAAACTATATGAAAAAAAAACAATTCTATGTTCTACCTTGATTTCTTCTGCC